TTTCTCAGTCTTTGTTTTCTGTTTGTGAAATTTTGTGATCGCTCACTACGTTCATGCACATCCTGTTCATCTCTTGGGGGCTAAGCCCCCCTTGTCCTTAAAACCTAGTGACGCCCCTGCCCTCAGCACTGCTGCTGCTTCCTCTGCTACAACTGTGTGTATTACAGAGTGAAAGCGAAGCGGCCGGACCCTGAACTGTAAGCGGTAGCCCATGGCAACGGTTCTCTCTACCCACGGTGAGACTGCGCATGCGCGCCACCGAGAGAGACGAACAGTCAGTCGACTGACCTCCAGTACTGTGGGGGAGGGGTTGTCGCCCCCTAGCGTGCCGGCTGGGAACGGCAACACTTTCCCGCCCAGACTTGATTGATTCATGATGTTTTGAGAACAAAATGAAACCTTTATTTGATTCAATGAACGTACATTTGTGACATTCACACAGTGAACAACAGGCGCCATTATTGGGGCATGTGTATGTGAGGGGAGGTTGTGCTTGGGAGACTGTGTTAAGGGAGTGCAGCGCCTCTCGGGACCGGACCCCTGAACGAACTTTAAATGCGGCCTCTTTGGCGGCAAAAAATGAAGGGCGGCAGTGTCTCCGTGCTGCTGGCCCCCCTCTCGAGTCGATCCCGAAGCTAGGATGACTGCTTCTTCTTCTTCCCTCCGGAAGCTCGGTGGCGGACCCTTGTTCCAAGCCGAAGGGCGTGGGTTCTGACCGGGTACATGCCGCTTCACCGGCTGGGGCCCCAAACTGGCGGGCGCTGCAGTCCTCTTAGGGGGAGGCGCTGGTGCCGGTTTGTGCGGATAACCCTGTTGTTTGGGCCTCGCATCACGCCTGGGGATGATGCTTCTCAAAGCTTCGGTTTGTTTTTTCCTCAGCTCAAACTTAGCTTGAATGTCGTCGAGGGACTGCCCAAACAAACCGCTGGCTGACACAGGCTCGTCCAGATAAACCCTGTCCCTCTCCGGAACGTCGGAGAGAGTCAGCCACAGGTGTCTCTGCGCCACCACTGTAGAAGCCATGCCTCTATCGAGAGACAGCGCTGCACAGCGGGACACACGGAGGATGTAATCTGTGGCGACCCTAGCTTCATTGAGGAGAGGAGTAAGCGGACTGTCAGGAGGCATACGCGAGCCGAGTTCTGCCAGACACATAGCCTGATATGTCTGAAGCATAGTGACGGAGCTCAGTGCACGAGCCGTATTTGCCTGTGTCCTGTAAATTTTATCCAGCTGTGACGCTGAAAACCTACAGTGCTTGGATGGGAGCGTGATGGGGCCACCGACACCGTGATTCTGGGCCGGGGCCAGATAAGCTGCCAGGGACGCCTCCATAGGCGGAGGGTTCACCAATCCACCTTTTTCAGCTCCATCTAGATCCAGAAACTGTCCACAACCGGGCACTGTGGCGCGGGTGGACAGCGGCTTGTTCCATGTCGAGGTTAGTTCCGCGACAAAATCTGGGAACATGGGCAAACTGTTCTTAACAGTAGTTGGTTCGGGTGGTAGAAAAAACCCCGAGAACCACAACGGTTTTTGAGCTGGTGGAGGAGAGGGCCATTCTACCTCCAGTTTCTCAGCTGCATGGCGGTACAGTGAGAGGAAGGATGTGTCGTCCAGATCAACCGGCGCAGCGGCGGCGGCATACTGACCTGAAGACAACGGCTCCAGCTCATCTTCCGAAAAACCCTGCACGTCCAGGCCGATGTCCAGCACGTCATCGTCCTCCTGGTAACAAGCTAGCCCGGATAGCGGCTGGCCAGCGCCATCGGAGGGGCCTGGCTCAAACCCAGCTGACCCGTCAGCACACTCCACATGGTCTGCCCAGCTTCCAACTGAGCCTTCGACCAGAAAGTCCTCACCACCGGACTCGGACGAAGCCGGGTCTCTGGACTCGGAAAGGAGGGGGTCGTGCAGCGCAACAGCGGTTTTTCCAAGAGTTTTCTCCACAAACTTGACCCGCCTTCCCAGGGTTGAGTTCCGAAGCCGGTGACAGGACTCACATGACTCGGGCTCAGTCAACGCCCTCCTGGCGTGGACAATCCCCAGGCAAACGGGACAAGCCTCGTGAAGATCCTTCTCGTGAAGGGAGAAGCCGCACCCCTGAGGACAGGGGCGAACAGAAGACTTCGCCTTCACCTTCATGGGCTTAGAGCTTATAACGAGACTCAAAAGCTGAACGAAATTAGCGCTCCGCGGGTAGCCGTAGGCTAACACCAACAGGGGCAGTTGAGCTAAAGTCGATCAAGCAGTAGCCAGAGACAAGACCAGGCTAATTTAGCAGCAGCTAGTTAGCCCGACTCGGTGTAGGTGTTCTCAGTGAGGTGAAGAGCGTAAGAACTGAAGGATGACTGTGGTGTTACACGTATATATGTGCAGGCGGAGCCTCCCAGACGTCACCACAGATCATCTGCCTTAAAGGCGTGAATAAAGGTGTCTTCAGTCAGGCCATGCAGGGGCGTGATATCCCATACTATATGTGTTGTACCGAGTTAATCGACTGAAAGGGAACATGAACCCCCGAACAACTTTTAAAAACGGAGCTGTACAGAAAAAAGAGGACTTGAGCACAAACCAGTCTGATAGTAACTACATGTCAACATCACAACCAAGGGGGAGAAAAATGTATATTCTGTGTAATAAATTACAAAAACTTTGTCTACAGCTTCATATGGATTGCTGGAGGAGGCAGGATTTATGACCTATACTGCAGCCCATCAACAGAGGGTGCTATTCTCGGAGTGACTTCACTCAGCAAGGAGGCAGACTCTGTCCATTCTTTATACCAGGGGCGTCACTAGGTTTTAAGGACAAGGGGGGCTTAGCCCCCAAGAGATGAACAGGATGTGCATGAACGTAGTGAGCGATCACAAAATTTCACAAACAGAAAACAAAGACTGAGAAATTGCTTTTCAGCTTTTTTGGACGGATTTAACTAAGATGTAGTCTCAGGCCACCAGGAGTTTTTTTGTTTTATTTCAGTCTTTTTTTTCGTCAGTTCTTGGAACCACTACTGACCAAACTATCATGTTTTATGTTTTTGCCAAACACTTTACATGGGCAACAGAAAGCTGTATTCTAGTTGACTGAATATTCTAACCAGTTGTGCTTTTCAAACCAGCTGTAGTGAAACGCTGGCTTCTGTGTACCAAAACTGTCTTGTGGGTAGCTCTTCAGCTTGACCTGTCTGGGCCCTGTGTCTTTGTCACCTACATCAAACCCTGTAGTGGAATGAGTTGCTGCAGCTGCTTCATTATTTTCCCTCTCTTGGCCTGTTTGCTGTCCTCTCTCAGCTTCCTCTGCCATTTGCTGCAGCTCCTCGGCCTTTCCTTCTGCCTGACCCTCCAAGATACATTGAAACACATTGAATTAATAACTAATCCAACATAGAGGCTAATGTCATGACTTAAGCTCACACACCACCCACAGTAATTTTTTGCTCCCAAATATCAAGATGTTACACAGATTACATTTTGGGCCCATATGTGACTAAAATGGTTGCAATTTAAAGCCCTGAAAAATATTACTAAATTACTTGAATTAAAGTAATATTAAAATAGAACCCCCAAAAATATTTGGGTCAGGCTAATTTATCTCTTGGCTCTTTCCACTTTCTAATCTTGACTCTCTTAAATAAAAACTCAAGTGAAATAAGTCTTATATGGTGCACCATGACTGAAATTTAATATTTCATATCCATATTGAGTTCCATAAAATTCTAATCAGACTGTCTGCATCACTCCTGTGAATTCTTTTAGACTCACCTCTTCAGTAGAGGTGTCTCCCCTCTCACTTGCTGTGCTCCTCTGTCCTGACTCCTACAGGTCAGTGGGGATGGTGGGGTGAGTATTATTAGTGCATTATTATTTTCCACTGATGATAATCATACGTGAATGAGCTCAGCTCGTCTTTTTCAGAGCTAAAACAAGTGACAGAAATCAACATCATGCTAACAATTTAACTTGGTGTGATAGCCAGGTTTTTATTTCTCAAAATGAGGAGCACCTGGTTTATAAATTATATGGGACAATTAGCTGTTAGCTGGAGCTTATTGTTACTACCAGCAGCTATAAAGACTTACTTTTTTGAAAAACTTGCATATGTCCATGATGCTGCTCTCTGCCTGGCTCGTAATGTGACCGTCTCGCTGTGACTGTGTGCAGGGAGCATGTAGGTGCTGCTGCTGGCAGCAGTGAAAACGCGGACTGGATTTTCAGTAATGTGGGCGTTCTCTATATCAACAAGTGGAACGGATTGAAAAACTAAGCGCTGACGAAGGCTCTCCACCTTACACAGTGAAGTCATGGGAAACTAAATGATTTGTGATCATATTTAAGTGAATAATGAAATTTTATATTATTATTTATTTAAACTCGTATTCCTGCGTCTTTGTATTGAATTTGTCTGCACTTTTTTGTAAAATACATATATAAATATATATGTTTAAAAAAAAAAAAAATTATTTAGGGGGGCTTAAGAATATTTTAGGGGGGCTTCAGCCCCCCTAAAATAGGCCTAAAGACGCCAATGCTTTATACAGTCTATGATCATGACAAGTTCATTTTTACAAACCTGTTTGCCAAAGCAACACAGCCAAACACTCTCGTCTCCCAGTCCCAGAAACTATAAATTGAACCGAATCCTGAACTGTTCAGCTGTGTATCAGTTCAGGAGGTCGCAGTCGCAGGCTTCTCCTGCCAGGCGCTGAATGATTCAGTGATTTGGTGAACGAGTCTTTTAAACAAATCTTTTTAGTGAGCTGATTCTAGTGATCCAGTACATCTTAAAGAACTGCCATGCCCATCACTATCAGATTTAGCAGATCTGAGCCTGTTTTCAAAATCCTCTTCTTTAATATTACGAAATTAGTAAAAGACCCCCTCTCTGATAGTATCAGTTTGGTTTAAGATTAAGCAATCATCAGAGGTAGAGAGGCTGTTACAGTAAATCCGGGGCCTTTTTAAAATTTGTTTTATTTTTTTAATTTTAAGGGATAAATTACTTCCTGCTTCGTCGGCCTGTGCTGTGCGCGCTTCGCACAGCTTAGGTCTACAACAGGGCAGTCTCAGTCTGACAAGTGTGGTGTTGTGGAGTCAGGGCTGTCATTCAGCACAGATTTCTTCCGTTTTATTCAGGGGTTTGCAGAAACATACAGGCTGCTGGGCAGTGAAACCCTCCACGAGTGTCGAAGATGTCCGTGGCGGGGCTGAAGAAACAGTTCCACAAAGCCAGCCAGGTATGGAGACGCAGCCTATTATTGCTCGATCATAACAATTGTCAGGATGTAGATCTATGCAGCTAACGGAACCAGGCTTCCTCAGAAAAGTGTAGACAGCTAAAGTCTCTCAAACCAGGATGGATTTTGGCTGCAATTAAGACTAAAAACATCTGAAGCTCGCTATGACGCGCTTTATTCATTCACAATGAAGATCAGCAAAACAGAGAGCAGTCGGGGTGCAGGTTGATTTTATTTTATTATTTTTTACGAGCGTTTTGGGCACTTAATTGTTGTTTCTGTCATCATCTTAAAGAAACAAACATATACCTGGTCACTGCTGCTTCATCACATGATTTTCAGGGTGCACTGTCCCTTTTGAGTTTATAGTCACTTGACCAAACACGTAATAGAGAGAGCCACGTGCAGATCTGTGCGAATCAGTGACACTAGATTAAAACTATCTCATTATGGATTTACTGACTTGATGTCATCCTCCCATGGATCCTCTCAGGTGACGTTACTAGTGCATGTCCACAGGGTGTAGTTGTCGTAAATCACCTGTGTGCACAGAAGGTTCTCCAGGTAGGCTAATATTATTAGTCTTTGAAAGTGTGATCAGGTTTTCTGTGGTCTGTGGGTGATTCATCTATGTGGTGCTTAACTCTTGTTTGGCTTTATGAATGATGTCGTTCAGAATTTTAACACGTTTGTACAGCAGTCTAATTGTTCAGTTTGAATTATTATGTTCAGGTTTGTTTGCTTCAGTCCAAAAGTTCAAACAGCTAAGACCATAGACTGTATATAGAATGGACAGCGTCTGCCTCCTCGCTGGATGAAGCCACTTCGAGAACAGCACCCTCTGGTGACAGGCTGCAGTATAGGTCATAAATCCCGCCTCCTCCAGCATTCTCTATGGAGCTGTGGAAAAACTTTAGAAATTTACTACACAGAATGCAAATGTTTCTCCCCCCTGCTTGCGATGTTGACATGTAGTTACTGTAAGACTGGTTTGTGCTCAAGTCCTCTTTTTTCTGTACAGCTCAATTTTTAAAAGTTATTAGGGGTTCATGTTTTCTGTGATTGACACTTGATACAACCTATGGGCGTACAAGGATTGCGTAGCTCAACCGGGGGATACACTGTTTGAGCCGAGCGTCATCACAGTGACTCTCCCAGCAAATGCATAATGCCCAATGTTGGTTTCAGGAAATGGAGAAAATATGTGGAATTACGGAGCGCTTTGGCTTCAAGTTCATATACTGGCGGAAGGCGGAACCAAGTTGTCCATAGTGTATACAGCCTATGGCTAAGCCCTGTTTTATAAGTGATTTGCTTTGGTCTCCATGAGCTGATCCAAAATCTACATTACATTTTCATTTATGATCAAAAGCTGTGATTTTTTGTGTTTTCAAGATCTGTGTGGCTGGGAAAAGTGGGTCTGGTGAGTTTTTATCTTATAAAATGAGTCAAAATAGTATCTGAAGTTTTTTATAGATCTCAAATAGTGAAATTTCTGTGAAGAGATATGTGTGTGTGAAAAAGAGGACAGACATGGTCATCCAAGAAAAGTATGGCAAACAACCATCAAACAGCCATGGAAAATGCTGCCACAGGGTATTATGGGGCGGATTTGACAGGTGGAAGTGTAGGTACGGGAGCTCAGCAGCTGGGTGTTGGAGTTTTGCTTTTGATGGATTGACTTTGCCAGACAGGAAGATCCATTCGAGCACAGATCATACAAATGGTTTAATAATGCCAGTCAGGTCATCTCTTTAAAGAATTAATAACATACATGCATTAGTTATATTTGGCTCCTTGCCTCTCCATGTGCTAATGAATGCCAAAGCCTACAGTGTGACCCTCCCTCGTCCCTGTTTCATGTGCGTACATGAAGAACCAGACAGGGAGAATAGCAGCAGCAAAAATCCCCTGACCAAACACACCAGGAAAACAACGCCAGTCTTCATGAGCTCACATGAAAGCATTGGGAGGAAGAAACTTAAAAGGGGAAACTGTAGTGTTGACATGATATGCAGAGGCTGATTAAGTTTGGACCGCAGATTTATTAAGAAAGCTGGACCAGTTATGTCATACCAGCTAGCAATTTAGGAGAACTCATTACTTTATATTTGGACGGCTTGAGGCTCATGTAATAGGCTTTGAGTTCTTTGGCCTGCATTAACAGGTCATTGATTTTTAAAACCAACACACACTGAGGCTCTGCAGTTGTAACACCCAAAGGATGAAGACACCTGTTTCTAAATATAAAAGAACGAGGTGATTGCTATGATGGTAAAGAAGCTTTAAGATTGTACTTCCTCTGAGGACTGCTAAATGGTTTCTGGTAGGTGTACGAGTGAAGAGAAGAAAATAAACACAGCTCAAGTCATGGTTCTGTCTTTTTTCTGTGATCCGGATCCTTTTGCCTAGCTCAGTGACAAGGCCCAGTCTTTCAGCATCAACTGACTCACCACAGCACTTTTCTGTCATGTGTTCAACCAAATAGCAGAAATCTCAAACATCTGACTCCACTCGTGAAGCAGCAGAGACTTCTTCATGCCTACTGTACCTCAGTATGTTCTACATTTATTTCATCCTGTGTTGTTGACCGATGCTCTGCTTTTTGCGTTTTTGCACATTGTGTATTGACTTTACTGTGCTCTGGCTGACAGTTATCCCTCCCTGCTTTGCTGGTAGAGGAATCGCCTTTTTCAACCCTTTCTCAGTCATTCCTCTGAAATGAACAGAGAAGTGTTTTCCTGCTGTAGCTGAAGAGCCTGAAAGCATCCAGGTCCTGCCTTTTTCTGTGTTGGTTGCCTAAATGTGACGTGAGGCATTTGTATGGAAGTAAAATGATTGGGTTTTTCCTGTACAATCTTCATCATAAGCTGGCAGGTAAAAACTATGGATAAAAAATGACCACAGTTTTAGAAGAAACCCTGATGTATGTTGACCATCATGGTTATCTCTGTCTGTATTCACTGACGTATGCAGTGATGCGATGGTGTGGCTCTCCTGCAGCCCTTATAGTAAAAACCAAAACAAGTTCTTAGACTTTCAACCAGATCTGACCCCTTTCTTGCACCAGCCCTGAACAAGCACCAGGGTGACTCTGGTGGGTCAGGGGTAGAAGAGGGGTTCGAGGCATAACCAGCATCCATTTTAAAGTCAGCAGAGAAGCTGCTGACCCTGTTCAGCATCTACAGCATTCTACAACATTTTCATGAGAAAATAATTGTACAATTTTATTCTCAGAAAATTATTCTATAAGGACTCAACTCTCCTACCTAAGAAAATGAAATTACTATATTTCATAATATCTATCTATCTATCTATCTATCTATCTATCTATCTATCTATCTATCTATCTATCTATCTATCTATCTATCTATCTATCTATCTATCTATCCATCTATCTATCTATCTATCTATCTACCCAATTTTTTTTAATTCGATCATGGAGCAGTTACAACTTTGTCTCACTTTGACTTTTTCACTCTGTATATTTTGTTTGTTGAACCCGGAGGTTAATGTCAGGTCAGAGTTTGTGGTTTCCATAGTGATAACAGTCTACCCTGTCCCCAGTCCATGTCTTCAAAGAGGACACAGACATCAGAACCACACCAATCCCCTCACCCCTCCCCTGGCTGTCCGAGAAAGAAAGCCACCGGCAGCAGATTGGGCTCATTTCTCAAGGAGCCTAATTTTACCCCCGCTCTGACCCACTTGGTGCCAGACCTTCCCTCTCTTGGCAGCACTTGTCATGGAGCCTTGGACTCAGTCCAGACTCAGTTCAGCACAGTGTAGATCGGGGTACAGTAGGTCTGAATAAACTACTTGTGTCTGTTTTTATAGAACTAGACCAACTTAAGAATCAAGTGTGACTTTTTGCAGTGATTATATTGCTGGTGTCATGTCAGTGATGCTGAAGTGAAACTACAGGCAGAAGGTTTTACACCAAACTGCTTATACTTTTGTTCCATGGAAAGAAACATGAGCAGTTCTTACATAAGGTCACTGCAAGTACAACTTCCACACATTTTGTACAAATAAAAACACTTTGATAGTATTTTAGTGCTTGAAGAATAAGAATTTTAAGGACTTTGCCTAATATAAATCACCTTTTAGTTTTACTGAGAAGATCATAAATGGTGACTGTGTTCAGATTTCTATGATTTCTATGTCAGACCTGAGTTTGGACAGATTGTCTGCGTCTTTGTCAGGGCCGTTGCTGTAGGAAGCTGGAGAGGAAATTCAAGACAAAGGAGTCCAACTGAGGGTCACAAAGATACAAAAACTTGAACTCCCCTTACCGAAAGGGACCAAAGATTAGAAAATGTAGAGGAAGTGGTGACATCTGTACAGAAGTGAGTTACGGCTCATCAAACAGACACCTATGTGGACAACCAGCGAGTGTCTGCAAAGGAGTTTCAAAGAGTCCCTGAAACTGAGATTAGTTTATAAAGTATTCTGTTGGTTGTAATAACCTTGTGTGTTTGTTATTGTGAGGGAGAGGTTTAGTCTGTAGATTTTCCTTTTTCATAATTTTAATCATCTTTGTATGGTCAAAGGAAGTTCTTCCTCTCCACTGTAACTCTCTACATGCTGGAGGCATATAGTGGTGCTATATAAATAAAGCCTAAATGATTTATTGATTTCCTATGATAATTTCTTTTATTCTATGTTAACCTGCTCTGTGTGATCAGATTTCTGACATTTGTTCCTAAGAAAAAAAGGGTCTTCAAGTGTCGAGCATGGCTGACTAAATTAGAGGTGAGTCATGATAGGAGTGGGAGAAAAAATCGATACAGCATAGTATCGTGATATTTTGTTTGATGATATTTCGTATCGTCTAATTTACCAAGTATCATTTTTTTTCAAATGATTTGTTAATATGAAGTCAAATCTACGATAATGGAAAAATGAAATAAACTGTTTTTCCAGTGAGGTCGGCAGAGGTGACAGCACAGAGCAGAAGAAAGTTAGTACAACAGATATATATATATATATATGTAAGGTTTGCAAGATGTGCTACATGGAAATAAAATATTGTGTAAAGAAGACAAACATAAAGGAAAGACAAATGCTAAATTAGCTAAACAGTTGTAAAAATTGAATACATCGTAATACATCGCTATACTCACTGTATTGCAAGATGTTAAAAATCGCAATAATATCGTATCATGGCCCAAGTATCGTGAAAATATCATATCTTGGGGCAACTAGTGATTCCCAGCCCTAAGTCATGTCATGCTTTATCCAACACCACCTGTACTCTGAAGAATCAGATGAACATGGACGGTTTCCCTTTTTTTTTTTTTTTAATCTAAACTGATGGAGTTATGACAGAGTAGATTGAATCAGAAGATTATCGCTGATGAAACAGAGACAACAGTGTCTGAGGTCATGATGAGACCCAGGAGCACTGCTGATGGGTGTGATGTACTCTTGAGAACTATTTGATTCCTGTGAGTCCTTTTCTTTGAGACTTTTAAAAGTCTAAGTTCAGGAGTTTTCTCTTTTTTCATTAAATCCATGCCTCCCCTTGCCCATGCCTCCAAGAGCCTCATTGTTCAGCCTCTTGTTTGCTGATCCAGCCCGGTTGCCTGGAAGCAGCAACACTTGATCCAGTGCTGCTCCACTCTCAGGACTTTGACGTCTGTGTCCAGCACCAGTCTTCTTATTTAGGGTTTATGGGAGACTCTGGTGCACACGCTCCCTCTTCATGTTAGGGATATTTCACATTTTCATAAAAAACTGATTTTCTGTTGCACAAATGGATTCAACACTTTTTTTGGGCAGTCTGTAACAGCCGAGTGAGGTTGTGATATGTGGAGCTACATTACATGTGGGGTACCATGCTGTTTAAGTATGCAGAGACTGAACTGGGAATTTTCATTTTCAGAACAAGTGCCCAAGAGCCATGGGTGAAAATGAGAATAGTCAAAGTGTGGCCTCAACAGTGTATGGACCCCTTTATAGCCTGTACACAATGGCAAGTACATAAGTAATGTATGCAGCTTGGGTAGAAGAGAAGAGGCCAAATCTCCACTGACCAGATAAACACACGCAGCTTAAAACCGAAAGTTAAATACCTCATGGACCACTGCTTTAGATTTCCACCATTAAAGTTTGGTGTGGACATCCGGGATCTTATTTCAACCAGTTTCCAACTTGCTGTGAAACTGCTGTGTGTGATATGGATGTGTGTGTGAAATACATAATTTTGATCAATAGTCTATTTTAGGTGTAAAAGGAATGATGAAAATGATAATTACAACATTTCACCCAAGGTATTTCTGCGGTTAGTTGACATAGGGTCTATGCAAAGATATAATAACTCCACATTCGTATTTTATTTTAATCTACTGCATCAGGGTGTGTGATGATTGTTAGATGGTGAAGGATCGGAGCGAGTCGATTATCTGTGTTGGCAGAGCGGTTGTAGGTACATTGCACTTCTATGAGAGGACTTAATGCACAGACCTGGCGCCTTGAGACAACGTTCTCCGTACTGAGTGAATACTGGCAATACCACCTTTTAACAGTGTTTCTGTAAGTTCTCAGTGTTTTGTGATAAGCTGTATGTTCACTTGTAATAACCGAGCTGCAACCCTGAAATGCTGACTAAAGGTCCTTACACACCAGGCTGACGCGAATATAGAACGCAAAATTACGATATGTTCGGAGGCGAATTTTGACGCGCCTGACTATACACATCAAGCCCGATGCGATTTTGTGGCTTTCCGGGGGGAAAAAAGACGCGTCCCGGGTGGAAGCAAGAAGACTGACACAACAGCAGGCTGACTGTTTTCAGTTCTGATTAGACACTAGTGTTGAGATGGCTGTCTGTCATGATAGCATGTACTGAGTCGAGGTCAGTACCAGAGAAGCACATTAAACTATAATCCATAAACGTAAGGTAACAACCGAGACCTAATGGTGCTGTGACAGCAACGCGATTGAGTTTGAGTGAAAATACATATGGTATGTTGTATCTGAAGAGGTTAGCTTATGAGCTAAAGTTACTTAACACGGATAAAAGTTAAAACAAAGACGTTTAGCAAACTGTTAAAGCACACAAACCATCGTCATATGAGAGATCCGACGCTATGACTCTCCATAGCGTCGTTATCCTACGGGTCGTTATCTTTGTAATGTTTATGTCTTTTATCAAAAAGCACTCTGTTCTCCGACACGTAAACAATCAGCTGGTCAGCCATATTGGATATACCGGTGAATCTGACGCCGCAACAACACGCAATCTGATTGGTCAGAAGTGTACACACAGTATGCGAAACATAAGAAAAATCGACCATTAGCTGAAAAAATAAAGCCGCAATATCGCAGGACGGGAAAAAATATTGACGTCCGAAATAATTGCACGACAAAAACAGTCCCGGTGTGAAAGGACCTTAACTCTGGTCATTTGAAAGGGTTTGAGTTTGAAATTATGTAGAAATTGGATTAGGTTGTGTTTGGAGTGATTACTCTTACCAAACATGTATCATGCAGAATAAAACTGTGAGAAAGGAGATTAAACTACTGCAGCAGATTTATCCTGTAAGGAACTGATACTTCATTAAGCTCAGGTATGATAAGCTAGTGATTTCTTCATCTGATGCATCATTATTATCATTATTATTATTTTCATCTGCCTTTTCCAGAATATTAGCTGTTATATAAGTCTGTTGTTATCTGAGAACTCAACCATGAAATACATGATAATGTATAAGGGAAATTTGTGAGTCAAGACGCAGACTTTTGTGGAGTAAATGAGCATTGAGTTCAGCTTAGTCATGTTGTTCCCATGGGTGCATGTTACATTATGGTTATTGCATGGTTACTCCAGAGTATGAATAGAGGGGTATTTAGTTGCTAAAGCTAAAGTTAGTTAAAGTGGGTAAGCAGAGGTTTGCTCCATAACTGGCGAACTGCCCCAGATCTTACAGTCCACTACAGTATTGGTGTACTCAGAGTTTTAATCCTCTGGAAATCTGCTGGAGAATTGTGTCAGTGTGTCAATCCACTGACCTGTTACTTTACTTTCTTTCAGTACCATGGAGTATGAGGGAGCAGAAAGCGCCCCTCATCACTCATTTTAAAAGTCTATCAGGTACTCGGTCAGTAGGGACTAGAGTAGGGCTGCTCCATTATGGCAGAAATCATCATCATCATCATGATAGTAAAATAGTTGAATTCACACCTACATTAAACGTATGTATGAAACTTAAAACATCTTTAAACCTGTGAACTCATTAAGGGAAGCCAGCCTGTCCTTCTAACAGGATAAACTTAGAAAAATCAGATGTTGCAGTATTGATCTGCTATAGATCGATTACACACTGACTCTGGTAATTTTAAAAATGGTCATTTAGAGACTGGAGAGGAGGCAAACTACAGCAGAGAATGAAGACAACATTCAACATTTTATGAAAATAAAGTCTTCAGGAAATAAAGTCATTATGTAACTAAAGTCGTCTAATTCTATAATGAGACTAAAGTCATAGTGAAGTCCAGTTATTAAGTGAATGACATTGTTTTGATGGGTTATAAGGCCATGAAAATAAAGTCATTACGTTACAGGATAAATTATGAGATTAACAGTGTTACCTAAAGAGAATAAAATCTTAAATTAAGGTAACAATTGGCTTATAAAGCTGTTCTGAACACTGTGGTGTAAACGATAACCACCACTTTTTCTCCATAAATGTTGACTTTATCCTTATGATCTTTTTCAAAATAGCTTTTTTTCTTAAATGTGGCTCAAATACTCTATCATAATTATTGTATTCAAAACTTTTAGACGCTTACATCTATGCTTTTGTGCAAACCCTTTTTATCTGGTTAGAGCCGTTGCTGTTTCTTGGGTTCTTCCTTTTGCAGCAGAGGACAAAATAACGATCTTCCAGCCTGTTATACTATCGTGTGAACTCTGCAGGCTTTAGTTTAGCTGTCTGTTGTAGATCCAGCTCTGTGCAGAGGTTTATATTATGATATAAAATGACCAGAACATCAAATAACGGGTACGAAGATGGAGTTTGCCTCTAGTTGTAAAGAGACGTTCAATGAAGAGCTGTGATTTACTTTTTTCTCCCTGTCTTTATTTTTCTCTGTTTAGCTACTCAGTGAAAAGATCATTGGGGCAGAAGGGACAAAACTTGATGATGACTTCATGGAGATGGAGAGGGTGAGTTATAGTCCTGAGGTCTTCTCTGCAGCATGATGGCTTTATCGTGTCTCTTAACATCTTTGTATTCTCCCATCAGAAAATAGAGGTGACCAACAAGTCCGTGTTCGACCTTCTATCCAAAACAACAGAGTACCTCCAGCCAAACCCAGGTGAAAAAAAAAAAACGGTTTAAAGTAAAGAAATGTATCTGTCCTTTTAGCTTTAACTACAACACAGCTGGAAAATGAATCTTATCATTTCCTCTGCAGCTTCTCGAGCCAAACTGAACATGCTGAACACTGTATCTAAGATCAGAGGGCAGGTGAGGACTACCGGCTACCCTCAAACCAAGGCCATCATGGGAGACTGCATGCTGCGCTACGGCCATGAACTGGGAGAGGACTCTGTCTTTGGTATTGTTCTTATCTCAGAAAAACGTGTCCTTTCAGGATGTACATGTAGGCTATGTACTGTCTCAATGTCCGCTTTCATACATCAGTCACACTGTCTATTCTGAAGTGGAAGCAAACTCTGAAATTATTGTTTTATGTTTAAAAGAGTCAAACTCACAACATAGTGTGTATACAATAAATACATTTATCAAATGAATAAAGCATAAATTTTATATAGGCTCAGTTTAAATCACAGAATCCTCTCACCTTATAAAAATACACATTTGAAGTCATTGAAGGGTTTTTTTTTTTTCAAATGCAGATGTTTGATAAAAGTAGAAGTAGACCAGAATGAGGACAGTGTTTATTGAATGTAAAACTGAATTTGTAATGTAAAAGGCTTAGTGTAGAAAGTGAAGCTTATGTCAGTATCTGCCCAAGGACTCTGGATGAAATATAGAGATCATGCTCAGTCTGGCATATTTCTATCCTGCTAAAATGTTGATTAATGTCCCGATTAAATAAACTCAGTTTAAAAAAGCCAAACCTGAAACTTTAGCCCCTCTTGAAGGAGTCCAGAGCTCTGCTGGGAAGCCTGCAGTCACAGGTGTGTTTGTCTGTTTGTCCTGTAGGCTGTGCTCTGGTGGACACAGGCGAGGCCATGAAGCAGATGGCTGAAGTGAAGGACACCCTGGACATCAATGTCAAACAAAACTTTATTGACCCTCTGCAGAATTTACAGGACAAAGACCTCAAAGAGATCATGGTACATCACAGCAGTAGCATTTAGTTATGTCAGTGGATGGTAGTCAGTGTGGAGAAAGTACAGTTTGAGTTTTACAATGCTGACAAGGTTTTGATGCACAGACATGTGTGACAATACAACCAAGGTGTGACAACATTTATAAAGCACATTTATATTGCTTACATTGGTTATATTGACCGTAACCTTCTTTCACTTACAGGTGGCACTGATTGTGTAACACCTGTATTATACCTGTTCATTTGATTAAAATCGGTCTCAAAAAGGTGACCAAGGAGACTGTGTTCTCATCAGCAAAATCTGTGGACCAAATAGATTTCAAACTTTTGCTGAAGCACGTCTGAGAAACCCAGTTGTGGCTTTTTGTACCTCCCACTGTCCGGGATATTAATTATGATTGATAAAGATTAATTTACTTGACTAGATAGATAACAAATGTTAGTGCCTGTACGAAATGCTTATGCAATTAAAAAAACGATGTCTGTTTCCCTGATATTCACAGCACCACTTGAAGAAGCTGGAGGGCCGACGGTTAGACTTTGACTACAAGAAAAAGCGTCAGGGAAAAATTCCAGATGAGGAGATCCAGCAGGCTGTGGAGAAGTTCGAGGAAAGCAAAGAGCTGGCCGAGAGGAGCATGTTCAATTTCCTGGACAATGACGCAAGTCTTGAGTTTTAGCCCTTCGCATACATATATTTATACATATACACACATACATGTTCATTCTATCAATCTATCAATCCTCAAATAGTTTTATTTATATGACACCCTGTCTGATGTATGTGAGACAGTTCATTTAAAGTTATCTGTCATGGCTCAAGTTTTCATTTCTGTTTATCGTCATAATTTGTTACAGACTGTAAAGGTTCAGAGCTTTTTTAACGGTTGTCACTTTGCTTGTGGTTAAGCTGAAGCGTGTGTTGTGTGTGTTCTTGGATTGTGGTCAACAGGTGGAGCAGGTGAGCCAGCTGTCAGCTCTGATCGAGGCAGCCGCAGATTATCACCGGCAGTCGTGTAAAATCCTGGAGGAGCTACGTGGAAAGCTGCAGAAGAGGTGAGGAGTTTGTATCTCCACAGACCCTGCAGAAAAGTAACATGTCCACATATGCTTCAGCATATAAAGACACTGTACAGCTGTTTAGAGACTGTCACTACAGCTAAGTCAGGACTCAGTAGGTTAGTCTAGAGCTGCAGAACTTACACTTTCACTGATGATCTGCAGTGTAAACTTCTATTTTTGTTTATTTCATGAACATGTGAACTGATAACTTAGATGCTGGCGCCCATTCTACACTGAAAAAGAGAGTATATCTGTACTTAGTCTGGTATTTGGTGTAACTGAATCCCCCCATTACACTGATATTATATTTTAGACTGATGTACTTTGTATTTTATATGTTCAGTTTATCACAGTGTATGAGTAATTTCTTACTGAGTAGTTTTACTTCCATGTACATCATCAGAGTAACTGTACTTCTACTAAAATACTCTGTTCACCCTTCAGGGATATAAAGAACTTCTTCTCCTTTAAAACTCTGAATCTCTGACTTGTCTGGTGAATTTTAGAAACTCTGAGTTGTTTATTGTTTTAGTTATTCAAAATCTTATAGCACCACCTGTCTGATCAGTGATCACGCCAACAGAGACAGAAAAATCTAGAAGCTTCCTGAAAGTAGAATTTGAGGGAGAGTTGTTGTACTTTATTAGATGTTGATCATAAAGTTATGGCTGGTCAGTGTAACAGACTGTTATGGTGAGGATTGTTTTGAGATGATGAAGTTCCATCATACTGTCAATGGAAGTAACAGGTCCATGGCTCCGTTTTTGGTGTGAGACCCCTTCTTTGCCTCATGAAACCTTTTGTCTTTGCCTTAATCATCTTCGCTTCTCAGGATATCCACGGCAGGCAGCCGGCCCAGGAAACAGTCCAAGACAAAGTCCAGTCAGAGCAGTATTGGGACCCTGGACAACAGTCAACACAATGGCCTGTCCTGTAGGTCCTCATGCAGATCCACTGGTATGTAGTCACATACAGCTACAACATGTTTGTTTGTCATCATTTTTGCATTTGGTCTAGTTTTACCTGTTGGCCATAGAGTGTTTTTTTTTCTTGTGTTATTCCTGATCAGATATCCAGACCAAGCACACAGTCAACGGGACAAGTAGGTATCACTCACTACAGTGTGTGTCTCAATGTCAGTCCTCTTTCCTGCTCCTCATTCAAACTGTTTTTGTTTGTCTGTGTCACTCAGTCAAATCCAGAGACATCTGTACACCTGACAACATTAACACAGTTTTTATCAACCTAAAGATAACAGGTTTCATCCATCAGTATCCTGTTTTTCTTGAGTTTGAATTTGATGAAAAACTCCTGACAGTTTTATCAAACTGGAATCTGAAAATGCTCTTCTGGGGCCCACAGAGGGGCACCTGTGGGCACCTTGTCAGAAAGAAGAAGGTCAGAAGAAGACCACACTTTGTTTAAAGCCACATCTTTACATAAGTGTGTGATGGTGCTCATGAGAAATGCAGTTTTTATCCTGGAAAGTAGAACATGAAAACTCTTCAGAGTGCCTTTAGATCCTGGGTGAGTGTTTGTGTAACAGGGGTCAGTTATGATGTTGTGTGACAGTGAGCTCAGATCTTTTCACTTCGTTGTTGATGTGGTCATGTGGTTTTTTTGCTCTTTGCTACAGTTTACAGTTACAGCACTCTTGCATACATGTTAATAACTGCACACACATTTACTATATAAAAAACACTGCTGCCACCTGCAGGTGAGAGTCAGACACAACTCACTCACATATTAGACAGAGTGAAGGTAGTAAATTAAAATTAACTTTCAGAAAGATTTCCTCATGTTGTCTGTGTTTATTGTTCTGTCTCCATCTCCATTCATCTTGTCATCACACCCAGCTGGTGATATAAGCTCTGATCCTCTGTCACGACCTGAGAGCCCCTCTGCTGGTGGGAATATCCACCGTGAGTAACACACACTGACTCAGCACTGATTTCTGTTGTAAACCTCCCACCCCTGAGACACATGACTCACGTGTGCTCACTAATGTCTCACCCTAAACAGCTGATAACACGTGTGGACAATATCAACTTTTTATTTTATTTATTTTTATTGTACAAAAGCTTATACAACAGTGTCAGTAGTGACTGTGACTTACTTATGTTGAAGGAGGTCTTGGAGGACACTGTCAGTAAAGAGCAGTGGCTTCATAACTAATGGGACATACTGAGCGTTAGGTAGGGCTGGGCGATAAACCGAAAATTTACCGATACTGAAATTTACAACAATGACCTACATCATTTTGCCCATATCGATATATTTGGTGTCAAATAGATAAAAACATAAAAGTTGGTGTTGGATGTATGTAGGTAGGCTATGGTCGCATGTCCCTTTAAGACGCTGTACTACGTCAGAGACGTGACTCCACCCCCATCCAGTCTGTAACAAAAAGGGAAAGACAGGTGAGGAGATGGAGGACGGATCAAAAGTTGTAGAGACTGAAGTAGATGAAGTTAATGTGGGAGGGAGTGAGCAGCTTGTGGAATAGTTATCGTCTATTTATCGTTGTCGAGGTGAACTGCTCAATATATCGTGATCGTGATATGAGGCCATATTGCCCAGCCCTACTCAGCATACTCAGCGGGTTTCCTCATCTTTGTTTTTAAAAGTATTTCAGTTTTAGGAGTTTTAAAACATTTGTAGAGGTCAGCGGTTTATAACATGCTCTTATTTTAGGATCCTTGTTCATGTGATTATTAATGAGGATATTGTTCAGCTATGGTGTGTCTGTACTTCAGTGATCATACCAGTGCAGAAGCCTCCTCTCATGATAACTCTGCAGAAGTGAGTATGTTCATTAATAACTCCTTTCTGTGGTGCAGAGCTGCATATGTTGGACCAGCCGTGCTGCCGCTCCCTCTATGACTTTGACCCCCAAAACGAGGGCGAGCTGGGCTTAAGGACAGGAGACATCATCATCCTCACAAACCAGATAGATGAGAACTGGTACGAGGGCATGATCAACGGAGAGTCCGGCTTTTTCCCCATCAACTATGTGGAGGTCATTGTCCCACTGCCACAGTGACGACGGGCACATCGAGCCCTTTGTACTGCCACATAACACCCAGCTGTGTCCTCAGTTTGACCCCGGCTGAGGGGAAAAGCACAAAGCCAGTTCAGCGCCAGGCTGGAAAAACTCTAATGATCTAGAGAAGTTGTAGACTTCAAATCAGATACCATGGACTCCTTGTGTTTTGTTGACCCTGAAGCCATAGATAAGCTGGACACTTTTCCTTGTTTCCCTGACTGTGGTTAAATGTGTAGCTTTATCAAACTATGTGATCCATCTTACCAAATGATGCTGCTTCCTGTTCATACTGTTTATTGTGGTCAGATGTCTGTCTCTGCCTTCTCCCCTAAACGTGAACTGCAGGACATTGCTTCAAATACAACCCCAGTCACAAAGGAGCTGGTACACAGTGTGAGATGTAGCGCGCAACAACTACCTGATGATTATTTATGGGTTTAGATAGTCTGCCTTGACCTCTGGATGAGCAGGTAGGGTCCCTTGTGTCCTACCCGCTCAGCCCCAAACAGCAAAGGCTCATTTAGAGGGACTGGCTGAGGAGACTAGGGCGGTAGAGTCATGGGACCGAGGTCACACCCTTTCTGCTAACTGACTGATAAAATGTCATCCATCCCTCAGGTTGGTACAGACCACAGCCAGACACCTCTCGAGGAAGTGTTTGTTACTTTATCCAGGAGCCTTATTTGTCATCAGAGTTGTCAATCAATCATCATTTTCAAATCATACAACAAAGCTTGTCAGAAAAAGGCTGAACTTGGGAATAATCAGTACTGAAGATAGAGACAGAAACTTAAAAGTTTGACCCTGGTTTTATCTGTTGACATATACGGAGAGCGAGATTTACGATTCAACCACAACAGTATGAAAAATGAGCACATAGTATATGCAAATATTTAAAACACACTTAAGCCTCATTCTTGTACAGGCTTAATTATTTACTTAGAGTTTCCATGTACAATCACAGATTATTTAGGGCAGCTAAAAATCATTATAAATTGTCTAATAACAAGCTCCATCGGCCGCTCTGGTTTCTTGCCTCATTGCACTGTTTCCCATTTGCCATGTTGTCTTAAATGAATCTTCTAATCATTGTAGGCTTCAGCTTGGTTCGCTTGGTTAGTGTCACTGCTCTTTTGTTTTCTGTTTTCATGTAAAGGCTCAGCTCCTGGGCAGTGAAAGCCCCGGTCTCACAGAAGTACAGCCACAGGTGCCTGAAAGCCTCACATTCCCCTGAGATCGTGGCAGACAATAGTGTCCGCTGTGATCCAGGCTTGTGTTGTTATTGTTCACGTTCGTGTTTACATCCTCTCTACTGTTTAAACTAACATGAGAGCCACACAGAGCACACGTTGATAACCTGTTAGCCTTCTCTCTCTCTCTCTCTCTCTCTCTCTCTGTATTAAACTTCAGATGTTTTGCACGTAGACAGAATAACTCAGTCATTTCCTCCGACAGTAGATTGTTTTTTTTTAAACCTTTATTTACATGTTTTATGTTTTTATTTATATTTCTTGCATATGTAGAAATTTGAATCTTTATTGTTTTTACTTCTAAACTCAGGACAATCTCCTTTTCCACAGCACAGGTCTGTCAGTCCAATGATATTCATTGTTCTTCTACTGTAAAGGCTTTACAGAGTTTTAAAGTAGTAGGAGTTATAAATCCAGATGTGCACTTCTGAAGGGCTCAAGAGTAAGCATGTTATTGTATTTTTAAAACTCAAATGAATAAAGTTGAAAAAGAATAAAAACTGGGGGTAAAATAAACCACTTTCACTTACTTCGAGAGGGTCTGATGTTTCTCCAGTGTTTTCTTTTTAATGGGGTCAAAAGGAAGATTGGTAACGCATTATTTGACGCCTAGCTCTAAAGCACATTATAAATATATGTATAATGCATTATAATGACATAGCACTGCATAACTATAGTTATAAACACTCATAAATGATCATAATGCTTTATAGCAACGATCATAACACATTATAAAGCATTTCATCATGACTTAAGAGACCAGGTTTTATAATGTGTTATAACTGTTAACAACAGTTGCATTGCATTATCTATGTGGGCATTATCAGTGAGTTGTTAACAGTTATAACACATTATAACACCTGACCTTGTAAGTCCTGATAAAATGCCTTATAATGTGTTAAAGTTATTGCTATAAAGCATTATGATCATTTATGAGTGTTTATGACTATAGTTATACAGTGCTATAACGTGATTATAACACATTATACATATATTTATAATGTGTTATAGAGATGGGCATCAAATAAAGTGTTACCGTAAGGTTCAACAAAAGAAGATCTGAGTTCAGAGACAGGGTGAGACACTAAGCCGAATGTTAAATAGTTGAAATGTTGACAGTGGAAATGTGCTGATGTTCATTCTGACCTTTCTGTGGAACATTGGAGACATTAGACATAGATGACTGTGTTATTTATCTGCTGCTTAGGCTCTGGCGTCTCAGTAGATCTGATTGTTTTTTATAGTCCCCAGATCCCCAAGTGTAAGTCGACAGGATGGGATTTGAGAATTGGTCCATGATTGTCGTTATTATTAATGACAATCATAGACCTCATTTATAGGCCTTTCAAACAAACAGAAATAACTGAGTGCAAACTGGCTTTTCAAATTTAGTTTCATTTGATTTGATTGATCTGCTTTGTCGAATGAATTTCTCTGAGACACTAAACTAAGGTTCTATCTGTAGCATGCTTCATGCAAAAGGTGTTTTTAAGGTAATGAGACTGAATATATTGACAAATATATTATATAAGAGAGTAGAGTTTATTTTCCCATGTACCCAGCTGACTTTACTAATATTAGTGTCTGTTACTGTTCACAGGAGTGTTCACAGCACAGCAAAGATATTTTACTCAATAGTTGTTTCTAATTGTTTCAACAGTTTAGAAAAGTGTTTCAACAAAAACAGAGAAATGCTTATTTCAGCTCAGAGTGGACTCCAGCTGACTATGGAGGACAAACAGAGACAGAATTAAATATATAAATACATCTTTCAATAAATTCTTAAGTATATCATTAATTAATTAAAAGGAAAAACTAAATAAATAAATGTGTCGTTAATTTATTTAATTAAATAACATTTCATTTAATGTAAACATAACATATATAATTGTTTCATAGACCTGTGTTGCAGTGCTTCATGTATTTACTTTCTCCGTCAAACTTGCCCATTAAAGTCAGTGGGCAGATCCTAACACCTGATTGGTTACCCGGCACATCAAGTCAAGACAGATCGACTTCAGATACTGGATTGATGCAGCCACTCTATTGTGAATATCTTGGTCAGAGAGTGTGGGAATAACTCCAGAAATGACACCTAATTCCTCTGCTGTACATACTGCATGCTCTTGGTCAGCGTTTCTCTAAATGTTCTTGAAATGTCATTAATAAATTAATGACACAGAATGAAATATATAAATATATTTGATTTTGTCTCTTTTCGTCCTCCATAGCTGACCCGTGCTTCAGCCAAAACTTTGAGATTAGCTTTTAAACACTACAGGGTCTAATTATAAAACATCTGTATAAAAGGATTGATGTCTTTGGCTTTAAGGACAGTTTCAGATGCAGCAGGTACACACAGCCATGTAAACTCCTTCAATAATCCTCAGCCTGTGTAGTCCACAACAGAAAACACCACTGCTGTATTCACTGAACTTTTTAAAGCTTTGTTATTAATGATAGTTTTACACCGTCACACGTCCTGAAGTCTTTAATCCTGAAGTCAGTTTGTATCATATCCAAACCTCAGCACTTTTCTGCTTTGGCCCTCGGACTCCCCTCTTACTCTTCAGAGGCTGCTCCTCTCCTGTGTGGAAGTCTTGTCTCTTTGGTTGCTCCAGTCTTGTCTTTCTAACACCCCCGATCTCCCCTCTGCCACAGTTCCCAGCACAGGTCCAGTCAGGCTGGTGCCCCCCCACCAGATCCAGAGTCGGCAGGGAAGTGGTGCTGGTTACATCTCTAAAGCCCAAAGAGGGTGAGAGAGAGGGGCTGTCTGGCAGAAAGGTTTCATATCCCCCCCTCATACCTGGACACCCTACCAAGGACTCCCTCTCCCTCAGCTTCACTACCTGTCGGATCTTTTTCCAGCCCAGGTGGTTGAGTTCAAGCAAATTAAGAAGGATACAGAAAATGCCCACACAGAACATGAAGAGCAGAAAGATTGTTTTCTCTGTGGGCCTGGAAATGTAGCAGTCCACCGGCTGGCTGCAAGGAGCTGAGGTACACAGAAAATGGACAGGAACCTGGAAGCCGAACAGCTTCCACTGGGCTAAGACAAAGCCGACCTCTAAGAGAGCCCGTAAACACACATGGAAGACGTAACATTTAGACAGAACACCCCCAGAGACCACTTGAGCTTCAACACTGCTATCTCCTGATGTACAGGCTCTGGCTTGGCCTAAGGACGGCATGTTGTTTGTCTCCATCCTCTGGAGGCTCTGGGTTGGGATGCCTTCCAGCACATCTGCCAGGCTGTGACCAAGATGCTTATGTGAGCGGATGGAACAGCTGTCTGAGTCACAGCTCCGGTCATACACCTGCTGTCCGCCGTCCCCTCCAACATCCTGACCTCCAGGCCTTGACGTAACCCCCGGTCCTTGGCCCTGTCTCTGGATGGTGTTGTGAGGCAGCTTCGACAGGTTGTGCCATGTATAGATGATAAAGCAGAGGGATGGTGTGGAGACGCTGATGATGTGAAAGACCCAGAAGCGCGGTTGAGAAATCGGTGCAAATGCATCGTAGCAGACAGTGGAGCATCCTGGCTGCAGGGTGTTGCACACAAACATTTCCTGCTCATCAGTGTACACATCCTCGGTTGCAACTGCAACAATGAGCAGCCGAAAAATAACCATGACTGTGAGCCACAGGCGTCCAATCATGGTAGAGTGGTGGTGGACTGCATCCAGCAGTCGTTTGAGGAGAGTCCACTCCGTCATGGTGGCCTGTGGCTGCCGGCTGCCTCGAGGAGGGACAAGCTGCCTGGAGAGGAGCAGTCTGCTCTGGTTTGATCCACTGCTCCTGTTCTCAAATAACTATCTTTTTAGACTCGATCTACACTTTCCCATCTAATTTACACAGGCTGTGCTGAACGTATTCCTTAGATTTAGAGGCTCATATTTCCTATCGATGAGCTAAAGTTTCTGTAAAAATCAGAGGACCATCTTTCCTGGTAGTAGACTTCTCTCTGCCCGAATGTTCTCCAGCTCTGCCTGGCTGCTGTCAGAATAGTGGAGCCATTACAACAGAGGACCAGTCCATCTTTTCAAGATAAGGATGTTCACTTGACATGAGTCACTTGGCACACTCACTTCTCTGTTGTGTCCAGGATCCATTTTAAAACTGAGACATCAGCCTTCCTCTTCTGGAGGAGCAGCTGATAGTGTTGACCGATAAAACATTCTTCCCAGATTAGTCCTCTGAGAGCTAATGGACTCTGTCTTCTGATGAAGAGGCAGCATTTACATTATGAGCATGCTTAGTGTCTCACTGCAAATAGAACTGCTTTAAAAAGTGTAAGTTTGTGTTGGGATATTTGTCTGAACAAGAAATAAGAATTCAGCTAATGAGAAAAAAGCATTACAACCGCTGTCTGGTTCAGTTTTTTGTTTTCTCCTCCAGCCAGCCACTCGCTAATCTCTTATCTGTGTTTTAAAAAAAGACCCTTGAAAGGTCTGCTAGCATCAAATCGTTTGTCGCCAAGATAAAACACTTAGCGAGCCCTTTCCTCACTTCAAACAGCCCTGGCAAGACTGGTCTGAGTCCCTGTCCTGGTCTGAGTCCCTGCTCTGAGTTACTAATGAAACAAGCAACAGTGTAGCATTGTGTACAAACTCCAGTCACATGTAGGATTATATTTCCCAGATAAAGTGCTTATTTAATCAATTTACTGTGTGAGATATACATATCTATTTTTATGCGAATCTTTGTGTCAGATCAGTATTGGAACCCATATATATTATCTGTTTAAAGTAGAGTGTTCACCATTTTCAGACCTATTTTCCTTTTTTTTTTTTTTATCCATCTTATAAACTTTGCCATCAACTCATTTTCCGGTAACTCATGCGCTTACAGTCTACTACCACTGTGAGATTTTTCTGAAGGGATACAGTCTGATTTCCAAAGTAATTATGTGCTTTTCAAAGCTGCTTTCTGAGGGAATGATGCACTGGACCACTCCTTTAGATAGAGCTTTGACATAAAGGCCTTAACTCCGGCCTGGTGTTACCTTGGTCTGGCACCATTCAGTCCATTCATTTATTCCAGAGTGCGTTAACAATGATCACAAAGTGGTCTGGAGGCTGCTGTACAGACCAGGGTTGGAAAACCTGCCCCACTTTATTGGAACCAACAACACTGTGTAAACACATATGGCCTTTAATGACAAACAAGGTGAGTATTATTCAAGCAAAAGGCTACATTATACAGATATATACAATGAACAAAAATATGATATTTTGCTCACATTTTTAATAAGCTGAACTCAAAGATCTCAGACATTTTCTATGTACACAAAAGACCTACTTCTCTCAAATATTGTTGGCAAATTTGGCTAAATCTGTGTTAGTGAACAGTTCTTTGCTGAGATATTCCATCCACCTCACAGGTGTAGCATATCAAGATGCTGATTAGACGGCATGATTATTGCACAGGTGTGGCATATCAAGATGCTGATAAGACAGTGTTATTATTGCACAGGTGTGCCTTAGCCTGGCCACAATAAAAGGTCACTCTATAAGGTGCAGTTTTATCACACAGCACAATGCCACAGATGTCACAAGTTTTGAGGGAGTGTGTGATTAGCATGCTGACTGCAGGAATGTCCACCAGAACTGTTGCCTGTGAATTGAATGTTCATTTCTCCACCATAAGCCGTCTCCAAAGGCGTTTCAGAGAATTTGGCAGTACATCCAACCGGCCTCACAACCACAGACCACATGTAACCAAACCAGCCCAGGACCTCCACATCCAGCATTTTTACCTCAACATAGTCTGAGACCAGCCACCCGGACATCTGCTGCAACTATTGGTTTGCATAACCAAACAATCTCTGCACAAACTGTCAGAAAACCGTCTCAGGGAAGCTCATCTGCATGCTCGTCGTCCTCATCAGGGTCTTGATCTGACTGCAGTTCATCGTCATAACCAACTTGAGAGGGCAAATGTTCACATTCGATGGCGTCTGGCACTTTGAAGAGGTGTTCTCTTCACGGATGAATCTCGGTTTTCACTGAACAGGGCAGATGGCAGACAGCATGTTTGACGCTGTGTGGGTGAGCGGTTTGCTGATGTCAATGTTGTGAATGGAGTGGCCCATGGTGGCAGTGGGGTTATGGTATAGACAGGCATATGTTATGGACAACGAACACAATTAGATTTTATTGATGGCATTTTGAATGCACAGAGATACTGTGAAGAGATCCATGACCATCACCTTATGTTGCAGCATGATAATGCACGGCCCCATGTTGCAAGGATCTGTACACAATTCCAACACTCCACAGGCCACGATCAACAACCTGATCAACTCTATGCAAAGGAGATGTATTGCACTGCGTGAGGCAAATGGTGGTCACACCAGATACTGCCTGGTTTTCCAGGATTCCCAGTAAATTCCCAGTTTATGATTTGAGCATTAGTCAATCTTGGCTGCAGTCCTGATGTCAAACAGCACATGGACTGAAAAAACTGAGGGTCAAAGGTGATCATGTCCTGCAAGGATGATGATTTTAAGAGAGATCCTTTAAGATACAAAGTATAAATCAAACCAAAGTCGTTCTTTTCCAGAAAGTTTCAGTTCAGTCTGTGTTGTACTCGTCTCTGCTCCTGATAGTAGGAGCTGGCGGACTGGGGAAGGCCTGGCTTTACTGCTGGCCTAAACTATCTACAGGACTAAAGACAGGTGTGGTTAGGTGGTGCTCTCTCTTGGTGTAACTTCCTCTGTTGTGATTTTCATTTGTCTGGCCTTGCTCCTACTTTCCCCTCCGCCTAATCCTTCTCTATTCTCACCACCGTCCGTCAGCCTGACTAATCTGCTGGCAAGAGGAGGTTCCCACATACAGACTCTCTCCAGTAAAGACAGGAGTAAAAAAAAAAAAAAAAAGGCAGTTCTCCACTACACAGGAATACACACCTCCTCACACTTCTGTGGACATCAAACTGGTGGTAAGACATCAGTTTAAATTAGACTTGTATTTATACACAAGCTGCTGTTGTCACATGCCCCAGGATTAGCTGTCATTAGCCGTACTGTATGTGTGGTTGGCTGTGCTTAGCTGCGTAACAGTGTGGTGTGTAAAATGTCAGTCCTTGTTTGTATGAATGCAGCATGTCCAGAACAGGGCTGATCATCACTGACTCTATTTCACCAGAAATCAGCAGAGTACTGGGATTTTATTAAAGCAAGGCTGTCACTAAACAGGACTGTCAACAAGCTCGACAACAAAAGTGACTGAAATGTGATCCCACTGTGGAAAACAGCTCTTCACCCACAGGTCAGTATATATTTACATTTCAAAGCTGTGATCGCATTCATCTTTTTTTTTTTTTCTCTTTTTTTTTTCATTATTTTTGTATTTCTATTTTTTTCAAATGCACTTTTTTGATTGGTTGAAAATTTCACATTTACCTGTTGAAGCTTTTTTGTACATCTAAAGTTTGAAGTGCACAACGATTCATCAACGTTATGAAAGTAAAACAAAGGAGGAAAAATCATCTGCTGACTTCATCTGTTTTTGATTTGCTCCGATCTGGAAAATAAGACATTTGAATAGAATAGAGCAGAATAATAAACTGATCTGAGACAGTCGAATGTTGCAGATCAAATTCCCTTAATGAACTAAACAAGTCCTCTGGTCTGCCTTCTTTACACCATAGATAGAAGTAATAAAACATAGATGTGGTCCTCTGAGATTGGACTTTGTGCGGAGGCTGTAGATCACAGATCATCACAGAGCCCAAACCTGCTGCCAGAAAGAAGAATTAAGCTCTCACTCCCCAAAAGTAACGTATCTGTACATTTCTGTGAATGGACAGACTTACTAAAGAGGATCAGCTCCAATTTACAAGTAAATCCCAGCCCTCACTTCTTTATCCACCTGTGAGTATTTTCATCCTTGAACATTTGTGGCCACCAATGAGACGATGTTTAAAACGGTAAAAAATGAAAACTCTGTCGGTGTCTGTTTCATCTTGAGTATAACAACAGCATTACAGATGCATCAGGCACAGACAGAGGGAGGCAGAAAATGAACAAGCAACTTCTCATGGTGGTCTGCAGAACTCCACCAATGGTTTATGCTCTCTGGGTAAACATGTATTTATACTCTTCCTGCTTATAGGGTCACATATGAGAGCAACAGCCTTTCTGTGTAACATTGTAATTTTGTTACAGTATGGAGACAAGGGAGCAGGGTAAGCTGGCCCTGAACTTTTTACCTGGAAAGTTTTGACAAATATGTCAGGAGCCACTGTACTGACTGGATTTTTACAGAGACTAACTTTAATTTAAGAGTTAAAGTCCCACTCCAATGGTTTTTTTTTCCCACTACTTTAAGTATTACCAGTGGTCCTTAAATTGTGATTATGAAGTTTTTAGACAAAATCAGGTTATCTGTGTCATCTCCAGTAGCTCCAGTAGCTCATTAGCTATTCACCTCTGATTCGTGGGGGGAGACAGACTGCTCTGCACACTCCTTTTCATGCTGGCTTGCAGCCTAATATTGCTAGTGTAGTAGAAGAAGCAGGTAACATAGGAGCTATTCAGCTCTTGGACACTAATGTCTTTAGGGACATGATGAAAGCTAATATCATAATTAGCTTTCTTACGAGCATTGCAATCTGCTAATGCACACGATCCGCGCTTGTCCTCTCTACTTGTTGGAGTCTGGCCTGCATAGCTGAGTGCCGGGGGCGGAGCTTGGAGTTGTGACGTAGGAAATCTCCCCGTATCTGAGCCTGCTGTTTGGGTCTGTGAGAGGTTCACAGCAATTTGAATGGTCAGCATTAAATGGTTGGTCAGCAGACCAAAGATCTAAACTTGATTTTAAAGTTTAGTCCTCAGAGAGGGACAGTCTGGAGAGCATCTCTAACTGTAATGTTGTTGAACACATAGCTGCTAACAAAATCCCCAGTTACCTGCACGCGCAGTAAACTGTGCAGGATCTCCTTATATCAAACCTGTTCTTATTTTAAAACTCATTAAAATAAATGCTGAACACAGAGCCAATCGAATTGTACGAATATGGATGATTAAATCACATCAACATAATTGGATATCGTCCAATTTGTAGATCAGCCGTGGATAATGTGTCCACTCACAGAGAACTAGTCGAAAGACTGTCGTAAACGGAATGATGGGATATGACCTGAACAAAGTAAATGAGTGTCTGCATTAGACACCCTATAGATAGATAGATAGATAGATAGATAGATAGATAGATAGATAGATAGATAGATAGATAGATAGATAGATAGATAGATGTCTTTACAACATTAAACTCTGTAAAGTGGTGATTTTCCTATTATACTAGAAAAAAAGAAGATGACTTTGCTCATACTTGTGCTTATCTGTGTCGAACAGATTAAAATGCTCCTGACATGAGTAACTGGCCTCTGATAAAGCAGACATGACAGCAGAGGAAACTCTGGACTCATGGGTATCTGGTCCTGTGGAGGAAGTAAAGTTAACACCTGAACAAGGGCTGGAGGAGGAACTCAACAGATTCAACCAAGTAACGCACAGTCAGGCGGACACACCGACTGAGGACTCTGACAGGTAACATGGATGATTTAACAACAACAACAACAACATGTATTGATTCTTCCTAAAACAAATAAGAAGTGTTTTTATTCTGTGGTCAGATTTAGAGATGCACAAAAAGCAGTTAGGGATTTGCATGGACAGAGTGAGTAAAATAACATCAGGTCATAATGAACTCAATGTTAACATAACTAAAGATCTGTCAGTGGATTTTTACACGTATACTTCTGATTTCAGTCAATTTAAATCCACTTCAGTGGGACAGAAGTTTTAATTTAAGGACCTTACATCAGAATTACTGAGTATCAAACTTTCCTCTGAGTCTGTATGGAGGAATCCACACCTGAAACCGTGCACAGTGATGAATTTACACAGACAGAGATGTTTCCTTCAGTGGTTCTATCACAGGAAAATGTGTTTGAAGACTTTTCACAGAGCTGCATGTACAGCTCTGTCAGGTCAGTGGTATGGTCTTTTCTGGTGTGTGTGCAGGGAGGAGTTGTTCTGCAGGATCTGCCATGAAGGCGGGATATCAGGGGAGCTGCTGTCCCCTTGTGAGTGCTCTGGAAGTCTGGCCATGGTGCACCAGGCCTGTCTGGAGCACTGGCTCACTGCCTCCAACAGCAGCCACTGTGAACTCTGCCACCATCAGTTTGCACTGGAGCGTCTGCCCAAACCTCTCACTGAGGTAGGCCTTTTTAACTTTTGAACCCTTTCCTGTATATTAGAAACTACCCTGAGCTTTTCTGTATACATTTCTTTCAACGTTTCATTTGTCCAGCCATGATCCATATTTAATGACACTTGATGTAAACTTCACAAGGACTCAGCACTTAAGAAACCCGGCAGTCCCCGGCCCATCAGCCAGCTCATGTTTATTTGATCTGGAAAGAGGAAGGTGAAGTGGTCTGGTGAAACCAGGCTGGCATTAAGGCTCACAAGCAGGGGCGATCATCTGTGGACTTAGTATATTTTGTTCTTGGTGGGACAACAACAGATGAAAAAAAAGATGAAATTATTATTTTTTAAATCTGATAGAAAGTTGCTAAGAAGGAGAAAAGAGATTCTGAATGTCAATGGGTTTATTTCCTGGTTAAATAAAGGTTACTAACTAACTAACTAACTAACTAACTAACTAACTAACTAATATTTGACCCTTTTTCTGGCACATGTCCACAATCTGTATCATCTGAGTATAGTTTGGTCTCTGGGACCTCAAAGCAAGTGAACATATGATATTCATGTCTTCCTTATTATTTTATCAAACACTCTGAGGCCAGACTATAAAGAGTGTTCAGGCACTTCTGTTACTTCATATAGTTAACTGCATACTTCTGAAGACAGGTGACCACTCACTTCAGTCAAAGTGATAGAGGTTTGAAGTGTGATCATTTCCTCTGTAACTTAATACTAATAATACTTCAACCAAAATGATGCACATTAAAGTGAACTGTAAATATCTTTTCTGTGCTCTGATAAAAAGCACAAACATTCTTTCCAGGACAGCTTACCAACCATCCATTAGAGGCAAAACAGCCCTGACCTGATGATGGGACATGGATTACTGAGCTGTGCTGTGGTACTGGCAGCAGTAGGTTAGCCGCAAATTCATTAAAACAACATCCAACAGATAATGAGTTTGAAGGTTTGGACTTAATCATGTCCAACCGTCCTTCACAGCTCCATGATTGTAACTGTGGACACTGAAAACACCAACGATGGGCTGTATTCACACAGCCTTGTAACTTCAAACTGTCACGCATTGAGATCTTTCAAAGACCCACTCCAATGAAAATCCTGTTTTTCTTGTTGTCTACATGTTCATACGGCATTTTTCTGATGCTACAGGACATATGGGAAAAATAAGTGCGAAATTGTATTTCTAAGTATTTTTGCATTCAAATCGCTGTGTATCTCTAACAGACCCAAATGGCAGGTTCAAATACAATGAGATTTCCTACATCACAATTCCAAGCCCCGCCCCCAGCGCCCCACTGTGCAAGCCAGACAAGGAGAAATGGAGAGGACCATAGCGGAACAAGCGTGTGCGTTAGCAGATTGCAATGCTCGTAAGAAAGCTAATTATGATGTTAGCTTTCATCTTGTCCCTAAAGACATTAGTATCCAAGAGATGAATAGCTCCTATGTTACCTGCCACTTCTACTACACCTGCAATGCTAGGCTACAAGCTTTGTGAAGAGGAGTGTGCAGAGCAGTGCTGTCTCCGCCCACGACTCAGAGGCAAGCTGTTAATGAGCTACTGGAGCTCTGTAGAAGAAAAGCCCTTAAAAATGACACGGGTAACTTGATTTTGGCTAAAAACTTCATAATCACAATTTAAAGACCACTGAGAACACTTTAAGTAGTAAAAAAAATTATAATCAGAGTTAGCCCCACCCATCTGTCCTGTGTCCACCACACCAACTTCAAGAATAAGAAGTTTGCTGGCAGCCTTACATATCTCACCCCTCCTCAGAGGTGCCTGTGTAAAGAGTTAATCGTGTTATTCATTTCACTTGTTACTGGCTGATCAGTCTGTAAGGCAGGGAAGTTCAGTTTACAGAAAACAGTGCAGTCAAACTACCCAATTTAGCTGGAAAAAAAGGATTGGTTTGGATACGATAGTTGTTTGGAGACTCTTATCAGTGGCACATGTGCCTGTAGTTTTGGGTCTGACATGGAGTCATCCTAAAGTAGAAAAGCAACTTAAGCTGAAAGGCCTTAAAGACCCTTATCAAAGCTGTCAAATACAGGGCCCTAATAAAATACATATGTAACAACGCACCACATGGTGTCACATGACTTCTGATCAATAAGGAACACGTGTGCACTGTGACATGGTAACTCATGCAGCCTCCACGTTAGAGGACATGCTGCTGCCTGCTGGACTGCTGGAACCCACAAAGCCACTTAGCCTGAGAGCCAGATTAGATGGCTCCTCTTACTGCTCTGTAGAGGACACTGCAATTGGGTGTATTAGTGGCCACCTCCACTTCCTCAGTGTGCTACATGTGTGGTTACAGCCACTAATCTGCTGATTAAGCACCATGTGCCCTGTCAGGTTAAGCTAGACTATGAACAGCATCAACCTTTTATCAGGCAATGACTTGCACAGATACACAGACAGACTTTTCAGTGGTAATGTAGTACATTATCACTGTAAACCTGCAAGTTTTCTGTCATCTCTGACTTTTTATCCCCTTAGAGAATCACTTAATCTGTGTTAGTCTGTGTCAGATCTTTATTCTTCAACATAAACACTTTCCTTAACCCATCAACATGGGCACACACGTCTGATCAGAAACACTCTCAAGAAGTCCTGTTACTTAACACATGAATATTCCATTTAATTGGAGCTCAAACCAAGACTATGATTATTATGATTATTAAGTGTAGAAATTATTAAGATTTAAGCTTGATCATTCATCGGCTGCTTGTTTGTTATTAAATTGAATATAAGTTTCTACTGATGGCTGTTTAACAATTATAAATGGTCTTCTGCAGTTATATAGTTTGTATGGGTTTTTTTGACCACAAGTAGGAGCAGGGACTTCTTTTCAAGGGATTAAGTGGTTCCCATGAGCCATTGTAGTCCTGGCTGGATAATGCAGATCAGGCCTGAGTGGATAACATCAGGTTCCTGATAATATTTGCTCTTGTGCTCCTTCTTCTTGTTCATCCTTTTATCTGCTCATCTGATGTTGATGTGTGAATGTGTACACTGGTCTATATTGTAAATAAGACTGTTTCCTAATAAAACTGTTGTAACACCAAAAAGCAAATTACAATTTCAGTTTCCCATCATGATAGTTGCTGTATTGTTATTATTGTTGGGCTCATGACCTCAGTAAGATCTGAATGCAGCAGTTTTATGAAGTCTGAGCAGTATTTGTTTTGAACTTCCTGCTTCATCACTTTACAGGCTTCAAGTCTTAATCTCCACCTGCTGGCCAAATGCTGTATTTGTTCCCTCGGCTGAAAAGAGTTTTTCCTGTCCACAGTGTTTAAGTCTGGCAGTGATACTTCTGTGACACTAGGTCAAAGTTGTCTTGTTTTCTGTTAACGTGTCTGCACTGTCTGTCTCTCCACAGTGGCTGGGTTCTCCATCTGTGCAGCAGCAGAGGAGGACACTGTGTGGTGATGCTGTGTGTTTCCTCTTCATCACACCACTGGCCAGCCTATCAGGGTGGCTGTGTGTTCAGGGAGCCAGAGACCTCTACTACACTAATGGCATGGAGGCCCTGGGGCTCCTTGTTCTCACACTGGCCCTCTTCACTATATATGTCTTCTGGACTGTGGTGAGTTTAGAACCTGATCTGATAACAGCATGTGTCGCTCAAAAGTCCTTCCTTACCCTCAGAGCAGTCTTGATAGGTGTGACATCCCCAAAATGTCCTGAAAGATTTTAGTGAGCTGCCCTTAACTGGTCTAAAAATATTTTAAAAAGTATTTATAAATAAAAATATCATGGGGTGGCTGTGATTTATTACTGGCAATTGAAGAGTCGAGATTATAATCCTAGGTCCTGCGGTCTACATGCTTAAATGTCCTTGAGCAAGACTTAATGTGTGAATGGTTTTAGTCAAAACTGACTGTGCTTTACCCAGCAGCCTCTACCATCAGTTTGTGTGAACAGATGAATAAGATGCAAAAGTGCTGAGTTACCATACGAGTCCATTTTGGTCCGATACAGTAGTAACTCTCATCTTTGGCAGTGTTGTTCCAGATTCAAAGCAGAATGCCTCGTCTCCTAAAACCTCCTGCCAGTTTAGGGAGGAGGTTATTGGTGAGTTGGGTTTGGGCAACAAATAAATGTGAACAGGACCAAAGAAGATCTATTTAATCCTTAAAAAAAATAAAAATTCAATATCACATTTGAAATACTTTTATCTCTTTTTTTTTATATCCCCCACACTCCGCCTTACAACACTGTATTGTGTCTAACCTATAAAAGCTGAATTAAGGATGTTTTGTGTCTTCCAGGTGTCTCTGCGCTATCATATGCACCTATTTATGACATGGAAGACAACAGACCAGAGAGTGCGACTGCAGGTCCCTCTGCCCACCAAGACTACACAAAACCAACAGACCCTGCCCATAAATGCACTCAATAAAGCCACCAACAAAGAGACAATGGTATAAATGATGGTCTGAAGTTCTGCTTCTGGTTGGAGGAGGGAGCTGGACCATTCAGTTCCTGTCAAGTCTTTTGATACTTTGAAAGAGGAAAATTTGCGCCACAGGAAAACATATCAGACGTATTGCAGCTTTTGATTGTTTGACTGTGATAAAGTGATTCATATCACATCTGATCTAAAGAGAACAGGCAAAGTTAGTGGAAAGTCCTGGAAGGACTAAATGTTGCTCATGATGAAAAAAATGACATTTTGACAGGCAGACAGACAGAACACTTTTTTTCATTGTGGTAGCGCCTTCTTTCCTTTTCTAGGAAAACTGGAAAAATTGGTCAATTAAGTGTTTTTGAAATGTGATTTTTTTTTTTTCAGGTTATTTAAAGGGATATTCCGGCATAAATTTAAGTTGGGGTCAAACACACCGTAACACCGAGTTAGACACCCCCTTGAGAGATGAATGTTGTCGACCACTTGCTTCTCTAGTTATACCAACTTAAGTAATGACCACACAATAGCAATACACAGCGAACTCCACGTGCAAACCTCAACCAAAACGCCGCTCTATAAACACAAATAATGCCCAGAACAGCACCTAACTTCATCAACAGTACATATAGGGTCCCAGCTATAGCACTAGCCATCAAACATCTTTTTAACTTTTGCCTGATTTCTTCAGCAAAGAGACTAAACACAACTCACCCACTCTCCTCCAGCAGCTGCTTGTTTGTGGGGGAGCCCTGACGAGTCGATGGAAATGCTATCTGACCGACCGTGTCTGCAGTGCACATACAAGATAAACAAGAGCTCTGATTGCATTTCCATGAAGTAATCGTAATCATTAATTTTCTTCCTGTGGAGCTCTGCTGCATTCAGTGATCAACTCGTCAGGACTCCCCCACAAACAAGCAGCTGCTGGAGGAGAGTGGGTGAGGTTTGTTTCGTCTCTTTGCTAAAGAAATCAGGCAAAGCTAAAGAGATTTTTGGTGGCTAGTACTATGGCTGGGACTCTATATGTACTGTTGATAAAGTTAGGTGCTGTTCTGAGCATTATTTGTGGCTATAGAGTGTTTTTTTGATTGAGGTTTGTGCATGGAGACCGCTGTGTATTGCCTTCGTGTGGTCGTTGCTGAAGTTGGTGGAACTAGAGAAGCAAGCAGTCGGCAACATTCATCTCCAGAATGGGTGTCTTACTCTGTGTTTCCGTGTGTTTGACCATGGCTTAAATTTACACTGAAATATCCCTTTAAGGAAACCAAAATGCTGCTGAAAACTTGATGCAGCTCAGAGCTCAGAGCATTTTGGGAACCTTTATCTGCACACTGCTCATCCCCCAAATTCAACTTTGACAGCACCTGTTGTAATTAACAGACAATAAAGTGATGGCCAATGCTGACTGAACAGTTTCTTTAACTTTATTAACAATTTGTTTTGCACACATACACAGATAAAAACAAATTAAGGCAAAGTTCTTTCAACCAGAGGAATGAAATAGCGCAATAACACTAAGGTTAATGATGCTGCTGCTCTGAGGCGTCTGAGCTCTTCAAGGAAACAGGACTTCATGGTGCTTGACTACGGAGAAACCAGACAGCAGCAGAGTTTTGTATTCAGCTGCTGGAGCTGTTCAGTCAAAAACAGCTGAAGACAGACCAGCAGTTACATGACAGCGCAGCTCGCCTCCTTAAGAAGATCCTGAAGAAAATACAGTCTGTGTTAGCACATGTGATCTCTTTCCATCAGTAACCTTTCAAGTCAGCATGTCTAAGGTTGGCGCCAAACATGCAGTTAAGCCAAGGGGTGGCAAAGCACTCTGTGAAGGGTGTCACTCTGCTACACAGCATCACTTCAGCGAGTCTAGTCTAGCTGATCGGGATGTTTTCATGTTCACAGCTGGCTGTCCAGCATTTAGCTTTTTTGATCTCATTTGCATTAAAGAATGTTCCTAAATCTAAACAAAAGCATGTGGACATGTCCCTCAAATGTGTCCAGATAGGCTTTCTATTCTGGTTTCAAAAAGCAGTGAGTTGAGGCTGAGGTTAGGGTTAGACACCATGTTGGTCTGTAACATGAAGCAAGATCTGGGGTTCAGTTCAACACTTCAGGCTGGTCTCAGGTCCTACAGTATGAAAGCTTGCTCTTTCTTACTCTAAATAAATCACCATGGTAAGTTGCAACACTCCTGGTCTGCACAAAAGCATAGAAGCTATGGAGCTTCATTGGGGTTTGTTACTTCAAAAACTGGATTAATTTAAACTTTTTACAACTTTTTTCCATAAAACGTTTCGATGTGTGGATGGAAACCCTGTTCTATAGAGAACACTGCTCTGCATTTTCATATCTAAACTTCATGGCACTGCTTGGTGCACAGCCACACATCAGTCCAACAAAGTTTTTGATTACAATTTAATTTTCAGTCAGCAAACATTATTTAACACAAAAGAAACCTCAGACTTTATGTTTAAACTAAATCTGCAGAAAATTGGATTGTTGGTGAAACAGACCGAACTTGTTGCTTCATGGTACATCCCTCTAGTCTATAATTTAAGCATGTTTTGCACATTGCCAACTAAACTGCAAAAACACTTAGTAAAATAAACAGGCCATGCACTGGAGCAAATCAGGTACACAGAGGAGCGGCGGGGAAATACCTCCTCACTTACTGAAGAGCAGACCGTACTCACGCTCAAGAGACGGAACAACACTTCTTTCTTTTTGGCTTCAGTGTGTGCAGAAAAAGAGGGATCACAGTTTTATGTAACACATTATCAGTGCTCGTGTGCGCTTATTCCCACATGTGATTCTGAGGTGTCTGTACTTCAGCTGTATTGGCAGGTTTTTATGCAGCAGTGTGGTTACCTGTCTGCGGCAATGCTGGATGTCAAACTCTTCATCAAACTCCAGTTTATGTCTTCCCTGCACACACACCCTGTGCTCAGCTATTTCCTGAAAAATGCACCACAACACCAATTGTTAGTGACATGACTGTTTCATATAATCCTTACACTATAATAAGAATAAACTCTGCAAGGCTCCCTTTTTTACAAAGCCAAAACCAGCCCCAGCTATGAAGAGTGATCCATACTGCATTTATACAGCCTTAAAACTTCACTTATAGACAAGCTTTAATGAGGATTTGTGAGTGCCAAAGCCTACCTACCTCATGGTTAGGGTTCAAAAGGATCACCCTTACATCAGGGACAGGGCCCCAGCTCTGGTGGCCCTGTAAAATCAAGTCTTCAGAATCGGCCTCTGCACCCGAACCTTCTGCCCAGATCTGGTAGGCGAATGCAAGCGTGTACACACACACAAACACAAGACATAAATATACTCAATACCTGGAAGACACTTATTAAATCATCATAGAGAAAGGGGGGACACTGTGTGGACAAAAAAAAGTAATAACCACTCACTGTGACTGTCTCTCCACATGCTAGACTGCAGGACAAAGGGAAGTGGAAGAAGATGTCTCCAGAGTCTTGGCACACCCTCCGGACCATCCACCCACCCAGTGGCTGCTCCTAGCATGGCAGAAAAGGGGAAGAATATGTACAGATAATCGTATCTCCAGGTCTACCCATGATGTGGTCGAAAGCACAGGTGAGAATTATGTTAAGAGAAAAAGGGCGTGAGCAGTACACTGACGCCTCGAATGATGATTAAGGAGTCTAAATGGGAAGATCCCTGTGAAGGTCAGTTTCAGTGACCTTTGTCTTTTTCCCTACCTCTCTGAACTATGGTGGCTGTGAAGGAGATACCGGTCTGATCAACCTTAAGGTTGAGCCATGCTCTGAAGACACTGGGTCCTACATGTGAAACTCGTGGTGCCAAATAAATTTTCTTCTTAATATGTAATTGAAAATGGTACAAAGACAAATCAAAGGTTAAAATCAAACATTTGATAGTGTTATAAAAGGATATTTTCATTGAATTTCGATGACGGAGACACATTTTTAATCAGTCAGATCAGAAGCATGTTAACTGCTGTTATATCACCTCTTGTAACAACGCTGTGTGAATGTTAAGGGGACTAGGAAGACCAGTTTCTGGAGTTTTTATGGAGAAATGTTGTTCTGTGGTTATGTCCTCTACTTTGTTTCAGTCCATGAGTTTTGGCCCAGAGGAGTCCCTGGCATCTATGCTTACAGTTATGGTGCAGTTTAAACCTGTATTTATGATGGGACTTTGAGCCAGTGCAGTGATTTCCACTGCAGAGTCATGCCTGTTTTAGGGCCTGGGGATCACAACTATACATTATCAGTCACTGCCTTGTCTCTTCTGTTATGTTTGATTCTTGAGTTCTGTACAGTTTCAGGCTGATGATCGTACTCTGGAATTGGTGAACTGCTCATTTACCCCGTCAGTGTCAGAAGGGGTCAATCCCTTCCCATCTTTAAATCTGCAGGACTAAGCCTCTCGAGTTTCCTTTTATATGCAGTCATGTAACAAACCTGACAGCCTTACCTTCTCAGAGTTGTTCCTCAGTCGAATATATCGCCCCTCCACGTCGATCTCTGCTACAGCAACATCACTGTACTCTGGTAAACGGCCGCTCATTTTATAGGCTGGTGAACTCCCTGAAGCACCTTCATATTTCCTTTTCTTTCCTCTGATCCTGCAGCTGCTGTGATCATGGGTTTGAGGTGCAGCTGTTTGCGGGGAGGGGCTGGGTGACAGCTGCAATCTGAAAAAAAAAAATCTATAAATTATCTACTCATCTGAAACACAGGTAAGGAGTGAGAAAGGATCAGAACGTCACGCTGTGAAACCTGTGGACACGCCAGAGTCCCACCTCTGTTCCTCCATCTCCAGCATCTTTCTGTAGGCACTGATCTCCATGTCCAAAGCCAACTTGACATCCAGCAGGTTCTCGTAGTCCTCTAGCTGGGTATACATTTGTTTTCTAATGTTGAGCAGCTCCTGATCTCTCTCACCGAGTTTAAGCTGCCAAATCTCCCGTTCCCTGTCAAGAGTCCTTTCCAAGTCCTGGAAGCGGCCCTCCAGCACCAGTTTCTAAAAAAAAACAAACAAGTCATTTACTTCAAATCACTTTTTTGTTGTTTTTTGTCTCTTGAAGGTTTTACTACAAAAATGATGAAAAAATAATAATTAATCAAAAAGGTAAATGACCATCCCTATCAGAACCAGGGTCCACATTGACTGGTTTTACCTTCTACTGTTCAGATCTGATCAGGCAGGTAAAAACAGTAACACAAGTCCAAACCTGGAGAGACCGGAGACTATCAGCAAATATCTGAATCAATGAGAAAATCAGACGTGGTGGTCCGCTTTCCCCCCCTGTTCTTGGTCAAAGGCTCTCTGCTGTTCAAAACCAGACTTACATCTTTCTGGTACTGCTGGAGCTGGGAGGTGAGGGTCTCCACTCTTAACTTGGCTGTTTCCAGTTCCTCTTTGGTGGATGATGGAGCATTGCTTTTCTCCATTGCAGCCTCCTGAGCATTTTGTATCTGTAGTTCAACCCAAACACACAAAAAAAGGTTTCTGAAGTCTCAAAAACGTCACTCCACACACTGAGGTACTTTTAACTCCGTTTTCACTGTTTGGTACCTTCAAAGCGAAGGTTTTATCCATCTCCTCTTTGTACTGCTGCAGTTGAGATTCATGGTCTTGGCGGAGCTGCTGCATCAACTCAGCGAGTTTACTTTCAAATTCTTTCCGTCTTCCTGAGTCCAGCTCCACCAGGTGGCTCTCGTGTCGGTTTCGAATCTCAAACATCTCCTGCAGAACACAAACAGCTGTTGCTATAGAGGATCTAGCTTTGTAACTAACATGCGCTTAAATGTTTATTTCACTATATAGTCTGGAGAGACCTGAGCCATATCAAAGAAATACTACATGTCATATTATCACTGTACGACTCAATGTTAAACACCTCTCAGATCTGACACAACACACAATCATAGTGTGTATACGTGTTTGTTAATGTGTGTGTTTGTGCGTGAGACCTGCTCACTGATGTTCCTCTGGAGTTCAAGCTGTTCTTTGAAGGTCTGATTCTGGTTCTCCATCTCGACCCTCCTCAGGATCTCAGAGCTCAGCTGCTTCTTTGTGTCGTCTAATACACTCTCTGCCTGGAGACAACACATACAAACACACACGCACACACAAGACCTTAAAACCAAACAATACTGTACTTCATCGTTTAAAAAAAAAAACACAGTCATGACTGTCGTTTCAAACAGTGATGATATGTTAAAATCAGTGGAATCTCTCAGACAGAGCTGACATCCATCAGTCATGGGTTTGATTTCAGTCTTAGTTTCTCTTCAGGACAGAACAGCGAGTTAAACACTTCTGTCAAAATCAAAGTACGCTACCGTTTGGCAGGAAATAGAAACCCTGTCTATTCACGTTCACACACCTCAATCAATCAATCAAATTTTTTTTATATAGCGCCAATTCACAACAGTCGTCATCCCAAGACACTTCCCAAAGAAAAAGAGCAGGTCTAGACCACGCTCATTGTTTGATGAATTATCAAGACCCAACCTAAGATCGGATTTGGCCCAACTCATCTAACGAGTGACAGTGGCAAGAAAAAACTTCCTTTTAACAGGCAGAAACCTTGAGCAGAACCAGACTCATGTAAGACAGCCACCAAGCCACAGCTGGGTTGGGGAGGAATGGGGGGCGGGGGGGGACGATACAGCAGCAACATTAAACAACAGCAACAACAACAGTTCATGTAATGGTGAAACAAATGAATTCGGCTTACAGGGTTAGGATATGAGTAATTATGGACTATGTTAAATTAATTTAATGTGATTACAGTCAGCAGGCCTACTAGTAGTTAACTGTAGTTATATGTTATTAATGTCCGTGAGGCTGATGTTCATGTCTGCAGTAACAGTCCAGAGGAATCCAAGAGAAGAAGGAGCTCAGGGCCTGAGGCGGACAATCATAGACGATACGGCTGGAGTCAGGCAGGTCTGCAGCAGCCAACCAAGTAAATGTCAAAGCCTGTTTCTGCTCAAATTCATCAGAAAGTGTATCCAACCTCCTTAGTAACTTTGACCCCACCCTTTATGTAAGTGGCCACTGGAGGGAAATGATGGTATTCAGGTTCCAGGGTGGCAGGTGTGCCACAGGCTTAAATACCAGGGGCCACTCATTGCCAAGTCTCACACTACCAAGCAAGTAGCACACAACAGCGGAGCACAATTAGGAGGCTAAACTTCCATTGGGCTTTTTTTTCTTCTTCTTTTTGACTGTTTGAAAATTGTAAGTTACGTGCTGTAGAGCAATAAGAAGTTCTTCAACCCCAGATGGGAGGATTTGTGCCCTTAGTCAGCAAAGCAAGGTACTAATGAACTTGAAACTTTGCGCTTTGTTTTGTTTGCATTTGTTTTTTTGAGTTAGTTTGTTATATCATTTTTGAATTAATCTGTTGATGTTAGCTGGTGTTTTTTTATTTAAAACTTCAAATTGTTTTGTAAAAAATGTATTATTAATATATTTTGTTTTTGTGGATTTAAAATTGTTTAAATGTGAAACTAATAACCACCTTGTTTTTGCTGCGTAGTTTCACGGTGTCTTTATATAATAATGATTTTTGCACCAGTTAGAACTCGTAATCTGTTGAGAACTTTACCTCAAATCGTGATGATTTCTTGATGAGACGCGAGAACAGAAATCTCATTTTTCTGTAAAATTAGGGGGTGTGGCACTTTCAGTTCTCATGTATACTTCCAGAGACTACCACCACCAAGATTCCACTTCAACACACTTCAAATTTAACATGACTGTGGATTCAAACTTACATTTTTCAGCTGTTCCTGCAGGTCCAGGAAATCGTCCATGAGTCTGTTGTTATCAGACCGCAGCCTGGTGTACTCGGCATCCTTGGCGCTCAGGGCCGCCTCAGCTTTCTTCCACTGGGTAAACGCATTGGCCAGATCGCTCTCATCCTTCTGCTTCCTGAAAACAAGCAGAACTTCATTTAAAGCTTCACCACAGCATGCTGCTTAAGCTCTCATTTTATCCTCATTTCTCTCCACATGCTCCCAGTGCTTCAAAATCAGTTTTAAAGTTTTACTGATCATTTTTAAAACTTGTCTGAGTCTTGCCCTGAGTTAGATATATTGGGGCTGTTAGATATTAAAACTGTGGAGTGATACATATAACAGTTCTTAGTAAGAAAAAAAGTCAGAATTTTTTGCATTTTGGATGAACTCAGAGGAACCTCCCTTTCCCTCAATGACAGCTTTGCACACTCTTGGTCTTTGCTCCACCAGCTTCATGAGGTGTTCACCTGGAAGTTCTTACTCTCTTAGTGTGTTTGTTCCCATCAGTTGTGTTGTGCAGAGGTAGAGTGAGTACACAGTCTGAAGGATCCACTCAACTAAAGAAGAGAATCAACAGTCTATCAGAACTTTAAGACACAGAGGTCAGTCAGTCCAGGACAACTTCAGTCAATCAAATGATGATACTGGCTTTCATGAGGATCGTTCAAGCAAAGGAAGACCAAGAGTTCCCTCTGTTGGGGAGGATAAGTTCATTAGAGTTACCAGCCTCGAAAAGTGAAGGAAAAGCTGAAGAAGTTTCTGGGCCTCCAAGACTGTTGTGTTGTTGTTTAACACTTTTTTTTGTTGAGTGAATTATTCAACGTGTTACTTTATAGTTCTGATGTCTCTAACATAAATATAAACATAGAATATAATGAAAAAATGAGAAAAACAAGTCATGACAGAGTGTGTATGAAAATTTGACTGCTACTCTACACTCTGTTATCCTCTCTAGTTGTGGCCTCAGCCAGAGCACTTTGTAAAGACATGTGTTTTTACATTTACAGTTATTATTATTTGATTTCATTTATATCAATCGTAGTAGTAAAAGGCAATAATGTCCTCACATGAGTTTTGCAGGTGCATGAATCTAACCCCTAAAACACTTCCCTAAATAAGACGGTTTATGGGGCACCTGTGAGGTCCCGTGGTGACTACCTGCTTTGAAGCTTGTTGTACTTTTCGCACAGATTTCCATGATCAATTTGCAGACGAGCCCTCTCTCTAGCCAGGTCGTCCAGGGACTTTCGGACATCGGCCAGTTCCTCCTCATACAGCCGGCCCACAGTGCCCATCTCTTTACTTTTCGATTCGTTCTTTTCCTCCAGCTGTATCAGCATCGAGGACCTCTCACTCTCCAGATCTTGGACCCTCTGGATGTAGTTGGCGAGGCGGTCGTTGAGGGATCGGAGCTCATCTTTTTCCTGGCCGCGGGACGCGCAGATTGGGCTGGTGCTGGATGTGGACAGGCCGGCAGCGCTGCGGCGACCGACGGAGCGGCTGGAGCGGCTACTGAGGCCGACGGGAGTAGAGGTTGCAGAGGCCATACACAAAGCAAAGAGACGCAGTAGTTTAGCTAAATTCTCATCAAACCGTTAACCACTGTGCCTAAAAATTTCAGGGTCGACCTGGAGTTAAGGTCCTGATCAGCGAGGCAAATGAGAAACCTGGATCTGCTCAGCTGTTCTCGTTTCTACTAAGTTTAGGATGCTCACAGCTGTAATGAGTCAACTTTGACGAGCCGACTCAAGCAGACGCCATCAGTATCAAGACACATATACTGACGCAGTACATTTCCTGTACGACTTTTCAAAATAAAACTTTAGTGAATTATTTTTTACAATAATAATAATAATAATAATAATAATAATAATAATAATAATAATAATAATTATTATTATTATTATTATTATTATTATTGTTGTTGTTGTTGTTGTTTTGTTGTTATTATTATTGTTGTTGTTATTATTATCATTATTATTATTAGTAGTATTAGTATTATTATTAGTTTTGTTATTATTATTATTATTATTATTAAAGCACTAACATTATAAAGCCTCTTTCTGTGCTCTAATAGAATAATACTATCAATGTAGTCCTTATTCTTTTCCCATCATCATGCTTAAGTACAGATCAAAATTCAGGTAACTAAAAAAAGAAAAGAAAAAATGTTTGAGTTTGTGATACTAAACTGAATGTGGCCATTATCACTATAAACCCTATGCTGTGCTTCTTTTCTTGGTGGAATTTTGTAGGACTTTACTTTGAAAGCCAAACCGGAAACATCACATTAGTCATATTGTACTTGTAGTTTCACTTGACTCAGAGGACCAAGATACTGCAGGACATCAGCTGATCGAGACGATGACTCGCTAAAGTCTCAGATGTGATGTTTCTTACTTAGCTGACATGCTCAATAGTGGCTCATAGCTATATGGCTAAAGTTCTGCCGGAAGTGGAATTCTGGAAGTGTGGAAATAGAGGACTTGTAGCAGGCTGTGTATAGTCAGGTTGAAATGGGAAAATCTATGTGGAGCTGGGTAGCTGATCACCAGGTTGGGCTAAGGTTTTGACAGCTGATAGGCCTGCCACCAGCTAATTCTGGTGATGACTCGAGTAGGCTACCAGCTCCAGGTTTTAGAGCTATGTATAAGATCCACACCAGCCCTGCCTGAAGCAAGGTGGATGTTGCATGATGAATGTATGAGATTCTATTATTTCAGTGAACTCTTTATCATTAATCACTAAGAGCCACTGTATTTGCTGTGGCTCTTGATAGTGTGTCTGCTGTAATTCAGCATTGACCTGGGACATGTCAAATGTGAACTTCATTAGTACTAGGTGGAGCCTCAGTGCTCTGAGGGGAGCTCTGTTCAGTTTGTGTAAATGATGTCCTGTTTGCTGACATTGTGCAGAGCATTCATTTGTCACCAACACATATTTCTTTCTGCTCCTCTGTACAGGCAGTGTCTTTAGCATCACCAGAGCGACATACATGAAAAACATGAAAGCATTCACCTGGCATCTCTGAGACTGTCTGATCCAGTCAATATACGGTTCGGTACTGAACACTTCACTTCCAAGACATAAACTGAATCAAACCTCTCATGGAGATCTCAGAGAGCACTGAACCCATGAAAACAAGAAAACATTAATCATTACAGCTAAGGGGACACATGATGCAGCTGTTGAGAGGCACCTTTGTCAGTTCATTACATGTTTCAGTGGGTGAGAGACTAATCTCAGTGATCAACCAAGGCGGTTAGTTATCCACTTTAGCATCTCAGCATTTTCACTGACTTTTGAGTAACCATGAGTAAGCTGCCATGCACCGTAGGGGACTCCACAGCGTTTGACACAACTCTTTGGTCTTCCTCCTGTAGACTTAGTGCACTGTTAAATAAATATATACATATAATAGCTTTACAATCCCACCAGGTTGGTCAGTTAGTTCATATTTCAGTGTCATTGTTGGTTCAGCAGAAAGTTAAAGAATTATGTATTAGCCATGACTGTGGGACTGAAATTAATTGAGGGGGTCATCTTCAAGTGGGCACAAAATTTAAGAAACCATAACTTGGGTGTCTACCTTCGCAGCATGACACTTTCCAAGTTCATGTACAGGTCTTTGAGTTCCAATTTAACCATAATGAGAAAAAAAGTCACGCTTGAATGTTAATTACTATTTTTTTTCTCCCCAAATAAACACAGATGTACCAAAAACTGGTTTATCTTTTGCAAAAAATGCTATTTTCAACCATCCAGCCTGCTGCTGCTGAGAAAGACTCTGTTTGAGGTAGGCTGGAGGTATAAATCTGTTCACCAAATGTTGATGAAATTAAAAGAAATATGCAGCATCTACAAGGAAACATATTGATAATACAGTTAATAATAAAAAGTTTTTTTTTTTAAATGTGTAACCTGTTTCATATACTTAGTCTCAAATCTCAAATCTCTCCCTGTCATTGTGATCCCAGAGATATTCTATACACCGGTGCTGTTTAGGGGGGAGGCTTCCATCTGTTCACAGTGGATCAAGGTCTGCACACAAGTCAGGGGACAAAAACTGAGTGGCGGTGAGGAAAAGTAACAGAGATGCAAACTTTTGTCCTCCAGAGAGTGAAAAGCACCATGGTACCTGCTGCTGACACTTCACACCAGAGTTTCTCTATCATCCAGTGAAGTCGTTTGTGCTCACTTTGATTTGTAAATTAAAAATTGAGGGACAATAGCAACAAACAGCAGCACATCAGAGTTAATGCACCATTATTTGTTGTTCAAGTAGAAGACCTACAATAAACATGGGAAATTTTACATAACTTTAAGGCACCGTGAGACTGTTATTACGGTCAGAACTACAATCTACTGCGAGGAGGAAAAGCAGATGTGACTGAGAGCTACATGTTTTTTTAAAAGCTCAGGTCCTCAGATGTGTTTTCATTTTGAAAATAAGTGTCAAATGTGATAAGACAGGGGATGCCATATTGCCCTCTGCTGGCCAATCCATGTATGATTTTCACAGCAGTGCCTTTCCTTCACTGTTGGCTTTTCTCAGGTGCTGAATCATTACCCTCTTCCTTCATAGTCATTAGGAAGGTGACAGGAATTCAAACCCACTCTGAAAATAATCATGAGCTTCTGTCCATGGTCTTGTGTAGACCTCATGACCATAGCTTGGCCTCTGACTACTCATTATCCTGCATTTGACACCTTTGATGAAAATTATTATTTTTTAGCTCTTTGTAAGTCACTAGGGATCAAGACCTTCATTCGGACAAACCAAATCCTAGCATCCTCCTGAAAACTGTTCTTTTGGTATTTTACATTGCGGGGAAGTGCAGGTGTGAGTTTCCTCCTCTCTAATAGGATCATGGTCTCTAACATCATGGTTGAAGTTTTATTGTACTTGTGTAATCTGGGAAACACATCTGCTTGGGGAAAATTCAAACTGAATAAGCCTACTTCACACATACATATGTTATCATGTATACATGTGTATATATAAAAACAACTATTACACACAAATATGAAGTCTTTTTAACAGACTCCTCCAGCTCATGTCTCTGATCAGATGTAGAGCAGAAGACAAAAGGTCACAAACTCCATCACAAACAGACTCTCCTGAACATACCTTTTTATTGGACTTGTAATTAAATACTTAAAAAAATGTAAAATAGCACCGTTAAGTAAAGTTTACATTTTCTCATTTCTAATTCAAAATGCCAGAAAAATAAATCTCTTAATACATACATTTCAAATCTGGTTTCAGCAAATATAACTATAATATCTGACCATGAGGTGAATGGCCCTTCATCATAAAATAAAGTATCTTCTCTTAAAATTTGCCTAATAAATTTCATTTATGCTCAAGGAAATGCCCCAGCATATACATAAACAAGTGGTAAACAAATGTATTAAAATAGAAATACTTAAAACTACAGTGGTACAACAGAAGCCTTAACCCCACTGGACTCTAGTTTGTACAAATTTAAGACAGCATAGACAGCGTTTCTTTGAGTTCAACTTACTAAGTTCAGTACATTTCATTTTTCACCATCCGACAACTTCACAATATTTTACTGCGAAGTAAAAATAAGCTCTGTGGAAATGTTTGCCAAACCTTTACGACTCCATCCCTATGAAATAGTGTCAAATGCAATGCACAATTTGTGGTATGTGGTAAACACTGCCATAAGGCCACAAAATAAAAGAAAGACTCAATCTGGCTATAAAAAGTTCACTGAACTAAAATCATGAGATCTGTAAACATCTTCGCCATAGGAAATATAATCTTTGAAGTGGAAAAAAAGAACAAAATATTCTTATCTGTATCAATATCAACTTGCAGAAATTAGTTATTCACATTTAAACATCGGATATGTTGTTGTTGTTCCTTCTCCTGTGATTTTTAACCCCGAGCAGCAGAATCTTTGTTCGTCTGCTTACTGGAGCCGTAAAAGTTTCCCAGCCGTGGTCTTCCCACTCTACATTCAACCGTTAACACATGATGGCTCAGCCTACTAACAGTCTACAGTTTGACCCTGGTACATTCACCTTGACACTGCTAGGTTCGGTTCATAAATAAAGGGTACAGTTTACTAGAACTCTTGGTTAATACGCTATATGAACATGCACATGATAGAAATATTTCCCAGGCTGCAGCGTACCCAAAGACGGCGCCCTGCTCCCTCTTCCTGACACTGCATCCTCTTTCGTTTGTATGTACATGCCAAATTGAAGCTTAGTTCAGCCTTTTAAAAGTGCAAAAATTTGGGTATCAATGATCTGGTGCAACAAGAGTTGCAGTTCTCATGAAAATATACGTATCGCCTGAGTGACACCAGTGTGGCAGACCGGGCACTCGGGCTCAATCCTCTCGCAGATGCGATTGGCACATTCCATACAGAAGAGGTTGTGCCCACAGGGAACCAGGGCTGCGATGACCTCGCTCTCAAAGCACACTGAACAATCACGGCTGCCTTTCCGGCTGGTGCTGGATGAGGCGGAGGAGGAGGAAGAGGAGGAGGAGGAGGAGGAAGAAGAGGAGTTGCATGCAACCCTGTGGAGGTAAGAGCCTGGCAGGGAGGCAATGGTGCTGGGGTAACTGTTGAAAGTGAGGGGGCCTCCTCCTGGGTCACTGTACACCCTGCGGGCTAGTGGGTGCTCGATGGGGCCTCCAGTGTGGCTGTGGAGGGGCGGGGAAAGTCTGAGCTGAGGGGTACAACCATTGACCCTTTTCTGATTGACCGTCATCCCATTGGCATTCATGGTCACGTTAGAGGGGAACATGTCCGAGGTGGAGGAGGGAGAGCTGCCTCCAGTGGGGCAAGGGGTCATGAGACTATCATACTGGGACCACAGGAGGCCCACTGGGGGTGGTGTGGAGTCCAGTCCTTGTGAGGAGTCAAAAGTGTGGTCCGTGCTGGCAGGTGAAATGGCTTCACTTCTGTAAACCAGCACATTGCTGTTGGTGTTGTCATTACCGCTGTTGTTGTTATTGTTGTTGTTGTTGTTGCTGTTGTTGTTCGAGGTGGTGTAACTCGGTGAAGGGCTGGGGGGGCTGCAGTCGGCCATGAACCCACTGTTGTTACCAAAGTAGGAGTCAGAGGAGGCACTGCCCAGGGAGGAGGAGGAGTCATTGCGGTAGTTGGAGAAGGGTTTATGTACAGAGGTGGAGGTCATTCCAGTGTTGAGCTTGGACCACATGTTGACATGACCAAGCAGATCAGTTCCAACATCTGTCCCATTTGCATGGAAGTCATTGTCTTCTTGTAGCTCAATCAGGCCGCCTGTCCTCGTGGCAATGTGGGCCTCAATTTCTTCTCTTGCTCTGTCAACATTCTCCGGCATCCCCGTCACCTCGAACACTGGCTCTTTGTCTCGACAGGGTGTCACAATGTAAGTGTGGGTCTGCTGCTGGATGCGCTTGATTGTGGCACCCTTTGGGCCAACGACCAGTCCCACCACACGGTAGGGCACCCGAACCTGGATGGTGGTCTGTCCAGGAAGGTTTGGTGGTCCAGGGTTTGGAGTTCCGCTTCTGTTCAAGGTGGTGTTTTTGTTCCTGGAGGCTCTGATCATGGAGAAGTGCTCAGCAGCAGAGATGATCTCCCTCCTGGCCATCGCCACATCCTCCCTCCTGCCTGTCACCACAAACACTGGTTCCTCTCCTCGAACTGGGGTCTTGATATAGGTGTTGGTCTTTCCCCGGAGCGCTTTGATCTTGCAACCTGCGACAGAGAAGCAAAAGGTCAAAGGTGAGAGGAGGTTGAACTATTTCTTCAGATCTACTGTAATAATGCTAGTTACTCTCTCTCTGTGTAAATCTCCATTTTGTAAAACCTAGACGCAATGACGCAGGAAGGAAAACTTAGAACAACACCAAATAAATGTTTGAATCTGTGATGATTTTGTCAATGAACTAGAACCCAGAGTCCATCAACTGCTGTTGGAGTCTTGGTTCTGTATGCCCCCTCAAAGAACCCTGACTTAAGACATCTTACAAAGATGCAAGACGTCTTAACAAACTGGTGAAAAAGGCTGGCTCTGTGGTTGGATTCAAGCTGGACTCAGTGGAGGATGTGGTGGAGAGATCTACACTGAGGAAGGTGGAGTCTATTCTAAAGAACATGGATCACCCACTTCACAACACCTTAATGGACCAAAGGGCAAATGGTGGTGGACGGCTCCTCTCTCTACACTGCAGGACAGAAAGATTCAGAAGATCTTTTGTACCAACAGACTTTATAACTCTTCTGTAAATAGTAGATGACTTTTAGAGACATGACAAATAAGACTAACCTTCCTCTTCTGTTAGCTTTTACTATGCACCCACTATGTTAAGGGTTGGTTTTGACCCGTGTCTTAAATCAGCTGTAAATTACACTAAAAACAATTCTCTATTATCCAATTTGGTTCTCATCTCTAGGTTACTTTGTTAGGCTTCATTATCCATGAAAATATTGCTTGTAATAGTTTTCATTGTGGTCCTCTAGGCCTTTCTTTGTCAGTATTCCCCTCACACAGACATCTATGCTGAATTGATCTTACATGTCTGGACATGCCCGACGTTGTTTTTAGTGCAGGGAAAAACATGGCAAAATGAGAATTTCCTAAATCTCACATGATTGAAAGAGGATCTGACTGTAAGTGTGGTATCTGACAGAGCACATATAATTTTAGCTTTTGCTCTAATTATTAGATATTGATCTAACCGGGTCAACAGCAACCCTAAAATGACAAGTGCCATAATTTTAATAAGACCATTTTATAATTAAGTCAATTTATTTTTTTGATTTTTATTGACAAAGTCATGAAGTCTTGATGCAAAAAAGCAAATTTAAGTGGTTCTTTTAAGCATTTAAAGTCAAAAACGTGTCGCTGCAGACCCCAACACAGGAGGAGGGTTAAAGACAACTGAATTTCCCTTCGGGGATCAATAAAGTTCTTCTTCTTCTTACTATAGTGACTGCACACTGTGATATAAGTGCTCAGAGAATTTTAACAATCAGCACAAACATAACTGTGTTTTTGATAAAGAAAGGCCTGAGGACACCTGATCTCTGCATCTTAGTCCAGCAGGTGTGAGTTCAGTGATTATAGGCCCTTCTCTGAAGTTTGCTGCTATAATATAGTCCAGGTCGATCCGTGTTATTCAGCTGCTTGCTCTGAGCAGAAAAAAGGGACCAGTGGTTGAAGTTCAGCATCTGATATCAGGAGATTTCCTTCACAGATGCACTTAAAGGTGACACCTGTTTCTTTGTGGAGGATCAGCAGCAGTGTTGCAGAGAGGGAAAATGAATCTGCATGTGTTATTAGGCACCAGAGCCTCCCTGCAGCCCTTCAGCTGGTTGCAGCAAGGTCTGTGCAGCAGCAACCAGCTGCCTGAGGGGAGTTCAGATCTGGAGCGTGGTTGCAGGTTGTTGCACAATATACTGGACACAATTATAAGCGCCTAGTCTTACCGGTGAAACAGGCCATTAGTCCACCACAATTACCGGCCATTCGTCTGGGATAATTAAGATCTAAGTCTGAGCTCATGGTGACCTACCTGTCTTTAAAGCTACCATAACAGACGCCCTCTTACTAAAGAGACTGGGACTGGTGAATCCTACCCTAAAATCAGCCACAGGGAGCCCCACAAAACCTCATACCTGTCCTCCACTCCCACATCTACCTTTGATTTCTTATGAAACGAGCCCTTGTCAATCGAAATTCAGGTCACACCAGAAAACATGACCTATTGTCTCACTGCGTGGGGGAGACTGTGTGCCCCCCTCTCTTCTCAGTAGATGAAGTCACCTATTTTATATGCATATGTGTTTTAATTGGCTGATTAATATGCAGTTTTCCACCGCCCACCTGTTACCAGCAACAGAAAAAGACCCATTTAGGACTGTGGGAGGACTGGATTTATGTGGACCTGCTCAGACTCTAAATGTAAATTCTTGTTGGGCTTCTCTCTCTCCCATAAGTCCCAACCTACAGAGCCTTATATCTGGACAGTTACTGGAAAGGCTCCGTGCCCTACTTTAGGCAGGCACACTAGGGTAAAATAAATAGGCCCACGCACAGTAAATGAGAGTATGTCATTCTGTTCCTCCCACACAGGGTAAAAGGACTTGTTCATACCTTAAGTGTCGGGTGAATGGTCGTCCCCGTACTGCCCACCCGCGTGACATGAATGCGGCTAAACTGTCAAGAAATAGTAAAACACACACACACCCTGCCTGCCCACAATCTCGGCCACATGCTCCGAGCTGGGGACCGGGACGCATTCGGTCATGTTGACGCTCTTTTTCTTGGGCTCCTGGTTGCTGTCGAAAAGGAGGTGCTCCTCGTTGTCCAAGTCGAGTAGAGACAGCTGATCCAGGGCGATCTGCAGGGCTCTCTGATCATCCAGTGCATCTCCCTGGACGCTATTGTCCGCGAAGAGAGAGCTGGGCATCTCTGCAGCGTTCCTACAGGCCTATTGGGTAAAGGCTTTAGGAAGGAGGGTAAGAAAGAGGAATCGGGAGGAAAAAAGAAAGGGGTGGGGGCGGGTTGTCTTCAATGACAACTAGAAACCAGTGGGGGAAAAAACAGCAAACAGGAGCCTTAAAAAAAGGTATCCTCCTTGGTGTCCCGACTCTGTTGCACAGGAAGACTGCGAAGAAGAAGAAGAAAAGGCGTGTTTATTCCTCCGAGCTCTCTGCTGAAGCGGTGATGGTGTCCTTTCAGACAAAAGGCCCCTCCCCGGCTGGCTCCCCTCAGGCTTTTTCTTACTTCTGTCTGACTCCTTGCAGACCCAGACAGAGTGATGTGGGGGTGACGTCACCGCCTGGGCAGGGACGATGCGCTGCAGAGAGGACCTTTGCATAAGGGCGAGCTGATTGGCTGCACGGTGGCTTGATTGGGCGAGGCTGTCACTCAAAAGTACAGGCGCATTAGTCAATAACCGCTCTGTCTCTATTATCAGCCAAGCACGTCTTTATAGCTAATCCATACAACTACAGTGATATCTGCAATTAAACCAGGGGTGGGCAATTGTTTTGTCTGAAGGGCCACATTGGGTTTAGATATCAATGGATGGGCCAGCCGGGTGGTAACCCAAATGCTGATTGAGGGTTAACTTATAATCATGCTTGATGACAGGGGAAATATTTAGTAAATCAGCCCCACCAGAGACAGTTGATGACGCTTTAAAGGATCTTTGGCCCCACTTTCTTGAGAGGACAAGAAATGTTTGCCTCATGGAGTAATGTTCCTTTTTTTGTGATAGTTCTGCAGGCCGCAAGGAATTGTTAATCGGGCCGCATGTGGCCCCCGGGCCTTAGTTTTCCCACCTCTGAATTAAACCAACAGATAGCTACAATCTGCTGTTCCTTATAACTCCTGTTTGACGCTCTGTCTGGATCTGACCCATGATGCACTCTTTGAACTATACACTTCAGTAACACTTTACAATAACCATAACTTAAAAATGGTAAATAGACCATTTATAAATGGTAAGCAGATAGTTTATTAATGTTTAATCATCATTTATAAATAGCATATAGATCAAGAATCAATTGTAAATTTTACGATTTTAAAAACCTAACCCTAACTTTACAATAACCATCTGAGTAATGTTTATAGGTGGTTTATAAACCACTTATTAATCATTTACAAAGTGTTACAAACATCAGTTGCATCTTTACAATAACCATCTAAGTAATGTTTAAAGATGGTTTAAAAAACAAATATCAACAATTTACAAAGTGGGACTGACACATATTTTAATCTAGATGTTTTACAACCAATATTTAAATCCTATATAAACCTTTCATAAATAGTCCATTAATAATTAATGAAAATTATTTATAATAGTTTCATTACTTGTTAAAGGTAAAGTAATTATAAACTTACATGAATAAACTATCTATTTGCCATTTATAAATGGTCTATATGCTGTTTTTAAATGATGATTAAACATTAATAAACTATCTATTTACCATTAATACATTATGGTTATTGTTAAGTGTTACCTAAACTTCTCTCCTGTTACAACATGGAACTCCAGTATCATCATTCACAGCCCTCTAAGAAATACAGATGTTTGCTTTGTTGATGTGAACTAAGTTCAATAAGGGGACAATTCAGCTATTCTGCAGCTGAAAGGCATCAGTAGGTTACCTGTATTAGTCAGCACATGTGAGTGTGATTGTTGACAGGTTGTTAGGTATCCGCCCTACAAGATAAAACAGGTACTGGAGAGTAAAAAAATGGACGTCAATGTAATAAATATGTATCTTTTAATGTTTCTGCAGACAAACTTCTTTCTTGCCTTCTGCTTCTGTCTTGACCCTGCTCTAAATAAAGTGAGTGCACTCTCCTTTTGAGGTTTGTTACTGGCCTCCTTTTTAATGGAAACAGTGACTTTGCTCTATTCATCACCACTTTTACACCGCCAGTTGACGGTGGGAAGGTCACGCATTTGTTGTGCATTGCTGTCCTTTTGAAATGTACCCAGGATGAATGAGGGCATCAGAGTCATAGCAAATCTGTTCCGTTCATTCGATAGATTAGATACACCTTTATTAACCCTTTTGGGAAGGTTCTCTCAAGGAAATTAAAAATCATAGTGCAGACATATTATAGGTGATATGTCCCAAGAAGTTAAACTTCTGCTTCCTTAGTTTGTCGGTCACAGTGACAGAAAATCAAAGTAATTTTAAAAGCCTTTGGGGCCAGAGGGGATCCTTAAGGACAAGAGGCCGTAAGCACTATCCAAGGCTGCTAAGTATATTTGAAGACATTGTTTCTATGCTGAAGCTGAAGCTGTGTCTCACTTTTAGATACCATATGCTGGCCTCATCACTGGTGTTTGTTGTTTGGTATTAGATGTGGGCTAGCAGCACGCAGATGATTATAGGCATGCCTTAAAGAAGAAAAGCTTAGCCCTGTCTCACCCAGAGATCAGCAGAGACAGGCAGGGCTTAGTGATTGCCTTTCCACTCATACTATAGCGGCAGGGCTACAGACACAGACACTGGGTCACAGTAAAGAGCAGGTCACAGGATGCAGAGCAGTCTGTCTGCACGCTGCTCTGCTACCTTGACCTCATATGGCCTCCACAACAGCATATCTCATATAATCTACGTGACCACATGAATTACAGAGAGTCCCCTTGTTGCATCCACAGGTAACTCAGTTTATAGTCCAGCATTGTTGAAACTCCTGTGAAAATTTCTAGACGGTTATTTGATAGATTAAAGATAACAGTAATGCCTCTCATACAGTCCTGTGTGTTTATGTAGGTTACAGAAGCACGTGGAGGTCAGCAAGTACACTGACTAAACCTATATGGTTTTCAGGCATGTCATGGTTACTGCCAGACAAAGTGGTTTACAAGAGCTGCAACATGTCAGTTTACATTGGGCAGAGAAAAGACTGGTATGTGAATGGTATGTTCGATAGCAGATGATATTAAGCAAAAGGGTTTGTGTCATTATTGTATGTATATACTATATGGACCGTATAATATCTGCATAGAGACACGTATCACTGTGGACTGATCACAAGGGTTTACCATGATGTAACCAACAAACTTGAAGTTCCTCTTAGTAGCAGACCCTATCTGCCACAGACCACGTGTCGCAGGTTTAACAACGTTATTTAAAATTCATATTCCAAACATTTTAAATTAAATATACATCTCATTTTGTTTTCATTGTAACTGTTAATATTTTATTGTTTGTAATTAACTAGTCATTGATTTTTTAGGTTAGTATTTTCTTTGGGTTCTGCAGCCATTAAAGCTGTTAAATGACAACAAAGGTATATATACACCAATAGTGCTGAGCCCTCCTGTCCTCTGACAAAATAAAAAAGATTAGTTCTTTAAAATTAATCATTTAATTTATACATTTCAAATGTTTGTTTTTTTATTTGTGATGGAACCTGGGGAAGAATTTGCACTCAGTGGTTGATAGAAAATCATGTCATATCTAACTTGGCTTGTGTTTTTTACATGGTGGCATCACCTTCCAATGATTTCTTACTGTAACTGAGTCATAGGTGTCACTGCACACCCCCGTCATCTGCTGAGTAATTTTGATAAAATTATTCTGCCACTGACTTTTGACTAATGAAAGGAGCAATTAAAAGTAGCATAACAGTAGCATTACAGACTTGTCACTCAAGGGCAGAGAAGTGAGCCCTTTTAGCTAAAGTTGACATCTTTAGAGACTGTGGACTCATCACCAAGATGTTCAAATAATAGGATGATACAAATGTGAATATTACAGATTTTATAGCACCTGGTTTTAATTAAGGTTTTGTAGCCAAAAGCCCATGGTACATACCTACCCACCTCCCTACCTACCTACCTACCTATCTGCCTGCTGACCTGCTCCCTGATGGGCAGAGTTAATGTAGTGGGCACTGCTCATGTTGTGTCATTGCTGTTGTATTGCTCTGTTGTGGCCTTAAAGACACCCTGCTTAAAGTAGGTCAACTCCTCCCCTGGCCCAGTCTGTCACTACAGTGGTATTTAGGCTGACTCCCTTAGCCCCGCCCTGATTGCCACATGGTCCCCTCTTTGTGACTCTGAGGCAGGTCAATGCATCTGAATGACTGTTTTTAGCCTCTGCGCTGCAGATCAGAGATAAATGTACATAATAATAAGAGGGCCATTTGAGGAGTCTATTTTGGTTAGGAAAAGGACTATTTCGAATTGAGTGAAGACAAGTCTTTGAGTGGGTCATGATAAGAGCTGTTTGAATTCTTCAAATAAGGAAAGGAGCTTCACTGCCTCCTTCATTATCTCCTTTGGCCTAGGATACACTGGACTATCCTTTAGGAAAGGAGAGAAGGGAATGACCCACAATCCTCTGTGCCAACTTTATTTTTGAATTATGCCCCTGTTGATTTGCTTGTCAACAAACTGTCAGGATGACAGCAGCTGATTTGAAGCCAAATTCAACAAGGCTATTTTAAATCAATCAAATGAATGATAAATGTGAAGGGAGGAGAGGAAGATGAGCTGAGTGACATTTATCACTCTGACACACTTTGACTTCACATGCAGTCAGAGCTGACCCAAGCCTTAATGGGGCACAAGCAAAATTAGACTTTGGGGCCATCTATTTCTGTCAATAATATTGATTGTTGATCATTCACACACCTTCACAAATATCTATTACATTCCCTGACATGCAAACATACCTTTATCTTGGTGTTTTTTTCTCTTCTTCCTCTTTCTTTTCTCTGCTCCTGAAGGATATGTCCTTTTTTTGCGACATCGTTTTGCCCCACAACTACCTGTGCTTTGGATGCTCAGTGCACATTGCACAGCAGAAGGAACATAATGGTAGAGGAGCTTTGACATATCAGCAGTAAGAATCATAGACCTACATCAGCAGCAGCACTAAAATGTTTTTACTTTATTTGATCATACAGAAAGCATCACTCATAAATGTAAAAAATAAATATTAAATTGTATTTATCTTTTGATTGCTATAGGGCGGTGGGGGCCTAAGCAGGCGCTTAGTTTGCTTATGCCTTGGGCCGGCTCTGCATACAGTAACTTATAGTCAGCCCCTACTTCTTATTAAATTACAACCTCCCATCAATCAACTTTAAAATGATTAAAACAAGAGCTGTTTAAGGTCAGCCAATGCAAAGAAGTCTGACTTCTGTTGTTTAAATGATGATCAAATCCGATCAGTCTATCTTAATGTAATAAAATATATTTATATACACGATTACTCACAGTTTAGTGCTTCACGCATTATTTATAAGCTGATATTCAGAACTGACTGATAATATTCAACTTTAGAGATATAAGACACAATTAAATAAAAAGCCTCTTATGAGGATGACAAAGGCAAAGGGAATCACTGACTAACTTAGTGATGAATCAGAAGGTAGACCCTCAAAGTATCATAAAGCATAAATGTGAACAAGCAGCAGGGTCACTGAGAGAAGCTCAGAGTAATCTGCACCCCCAAGAGAAAGCCTTCACTTTTTACTGATGCACAGGAGGTCTTTTCAAGATCTGATCAAGAGTGATGATAGCGCAATGTTTTTACACTTTTACGTTGTTTGGACGTCTTGACATGGAAAGTGTACTCACCCATCAAATCACTACACTTCCAAAAGTTTTATCTGTTATAGTATCCATTTTTCTTAACTTCAATCTGTCTCATGATTTCAAAGAAAAAAAAATCACACCATATATATATTTTTTTAATTTGAGTTTATTATCATTTAAATACTATTTTAGCTGAGTTTACTCAGGCTGTTTGAGGTACGGAGCATACACTGAATCACAGTACCAGAATGTAGTAGAATGTATTCAGCAGATTTCATAGAATAAACAGATAAACAACATGATCCTTTCAAATAGTTTAAAAAAGCAACAATAGATTCAGACAGAAAAATGTGCCCAATTCAAGAAAATCCACCAAATTCATTTAATCACTATTTAGGTTCAAAAGGGCCAACTGACTGGCTAGAATATGCTGCACATGCAATATTTATACATGAGCATGTACCTGTATATATACATAGACCAGTATATACACATAATGCGGTCCCCCTGATTAAACAGACTGTCAGTCCTCTGTGTTTTTCCTTCATTTCACTTGTTTTTGCTGAGTGTTCTTTGCTTTTCTGCATGCTCTACGATCTTCTCTTCCACATATAGGCCTTTACGGCGACGGACGTCGTTCATGTATTTCAGGGCCTGGTTGACAGAGTCAGCTTTTTCCCCAAAGTGCAGGTATTCTTCCTCTGTGGTGGGAACCCAGTACGGATCACTGGCAATCACCTGGATGAAAGAAAAGTGGAAAGGAACAGCTGATCATAAAAAGTTTTAGATGTTTAACATCATGGGTTTCATCTCTAAAACCCCGGTTTGTTTCCTGTTGTTTAGCTTACGTCATTTTTGTGACTACAAGAAATGTTGTGACAGGAAGATGGGAAGATCTCCACACAGATGCACATTTTGGAACAGTGAGACGGCCATCACTATGTCCCACCAGATCTTGGCTCGGTTGTTCTTGATCACTTTTTGGGGGTGTTCTTAATCCCGCCTTACCTGCCAGCATCTTAACACTCCGCTGTGATGTTCTGTACTGTCTCATTGGCATCTTTGCACAGTCTGCACCTGGGGTCCTGTCTGGTTCAGTAGATCCTGGCCCCCTACTGATCTTGACCTTCGGCTTTGTTCCTGTGAGGCCTTGCTTCTCGGGTTTCTGCTGCCTGAAGGTGTTCGCTTAGCATTTGGGCTTACATCATTTGGGCGCTCTTTCTGATGTACTCTTGGATGTCTGCTGTTTCGTCCTGGATAGTGGCTCTGACCAGACCTCATGAGATCATGATCTATTTTCCCTGAGCCAACACAAACACACAGTATTCAGCTTCTACTCACCTCCCAATGGCTGAAGACCAGCTGTGGACTGGCCAATCCACTGGTTCTCTTGCGGATCTCATCAGCGAATCCGAAGCTCTCAGCCACCGGCAGCATAGCCTTGATGATGAAGACATCAGTTCCTTCCTTCATCTCTTCATGGAGGACACGGCCCTCTCGTTTTCCCAGTACTCCGTATACACGACCTGGTACAGAAAGACACACGTGATCTTTTCATCATGACACCTCTTCTGCTGATGGATTTATACAGAAGGTTATTAGCAGATCTTAAAAATTCACAGAGTTTTGTTGTCAGTCTCTTACCCAGCACCTCAGCTGTGGCCATGATCTCACAGGTATACATGGCAGCCATCAGTCTCTGAGGTTGAGCCTGGAATGCCTGACGGCAAGCCTCCTTCATGGCAGCGATCAGCTGACCAGACATCGGCCCATAGCAGTCTGCAGGACCTGCTTCAGGCCTGCCCCTTGTCTGGCTTGGCTCTTCTGTGGTGCCTTGGACCTGAAGCGGTTTCTCGCTGCTTTCTTTCGCTGTGCTGTCTGCTAACACCTCGTGTGATATAGGTTCATCCTCCACGGAGTCCTGATGTTGTGGTGAGGCTAGAGACTGAATGTCCCACCTCTCTACAGAAAAGCAAACTCCCATCAGGGGCTCCTCACACATGGGTCCGGACAGGGTCGCTAGCTGGAAACCGCTGATGATGCTGTTATCAAAGTCTCGAATGGAAGCAGCTTGATCTCTGTCATCAGCAGCTTTCTTGCTCAGACACTGCCAAACTGAGGTCCTCTGGTAGCTGTCCACACTGTTGAGCAGGATGTTAGGACCATATCTAAAAGAAAGAAGAAAAACGAGGAAAGGTCACAAGGTCAATCACAGTTTAGCCTAAATGGTACTTAAAGTCATTTGTGATGCAAACAACCCCCTGGCATAGAGTACAGCCTCATAAGAGTGATTTTTTCACTGTCACACAACTCTGCAGACAAACTTTGGCAGTTATGTTCAGTCTGTCAACACTTAAAAAAATAGAGATACAACATCTTGATTCTCTACACCTGCTGTATTACTGTAAGATCGACTTTAAAGGTGTGTTGTGGAGTAACAAAGACAGACAGAGAGATTTGTGCGCTTGCACACTGAATCCAGAATCTCTGTCTGGCTTTTTTTTTTTGTCTTGTTTGGTTTCCTGGAGAAGTCTGGCATAAACTAAAAAAGACCATTTTCTCATAAAAGACAGTTTCATCACATCTTTGTCACAACAGCGTAAACATTTCAGTGAAGTGTACAACCAGGCCAATGAGTAGAGTCTGGTCAGCTCAGTCACTTTGACTTAAAATTGACACAAGACCACGAGTGGCTGCTTAAACGTCAGTTAAAAAACCTAAACAGACAGACTTTCCTTATGAAATATTGATATAATACAGTCTATTTATAAAGTGTAAAGGTGGGGTAGGCAGGAATTTGTTAATGAAGCATCTATTTTGTGGTGTAGATACAAAAAAGCTTTTAATATCAATCAATAGCTATCAGTTATTGATGACAACTGGTAATATAACAATATCGCTGTGTTTTGTTATGTCTGTGTAGTCAACATTTTAAAACTTTTGAGGGCTTCGCTCTTCCTGACTGTAAACTAAGCTGTCCTCCACCTCCCCCAATCTGGTTGGTTGTGGGGCAGACGTTGCTCAAACAAAGTTTGAGTGCTACAATACCGGACAGCAGAAACCAACCAGAAAGTACAGAAAACTGTCTGAATCCTCATTTAGCTACGACTACCAACACAAGCAAGAAAACAAAGTAAATACCGGGGACCCTGGTGGAAAAATGGGCGCTTAAAAAGGAGGTTGACTGGATAAGAGCTAAAAAAGCCGGGTCAACAACAATGAGGGACACTTTGGGAGCTTATGGACCCTGTAACCTTTCTGCTGGACAGGTAAACCACTTTAACAAAGTAAGCCAAGAGTCTGTAACAGAAGTGTTTCTTGTCAAACGGGACCTGTTGCGTGTTGCAGCGCCACTAAACCGTTTACCTCGGGTCCTGGACTATGTCACTTTATCCTAGTTGTAGAAGTCCTGCAAACATTGTGTTTGCTGGTAGTCTGTTGGCATCTACAGTAGCACCAATGCTGTTTACTTTCACGTTGACTGGGCCCCATCTGTAATTATCTGAAGTATTTATCTGCATTATATCTGAATTTAATTAGAGTGATACGAGCGAGCAGGAGCGTCTGTTTGTGGGCGGGGCTTGCTGGAGCAGAGACGGAGGGAAGAGGAGGAGCTGAGGGGAAAACTGGTTTGGAGGGGTAGTGTTTACATTCAAGATTTCTCCCCAAAACTGGCACCTCCTCAGATCCTGCCTACCCCACCTTTAAGCTCCATGTTGACCACATCCATGTTATTACCAACAGTGACAGACGTGTAAGGTTATTTTTAAACATTTTGTCCCTCTAAGTCCCTATCATGACCCTTCTATCAATCTTGGAAAAGTACTATTCCACATGTACAAGTACATGCCCAACATTTGGAGTCAGACCTGCGAGGCCCAAAGGCCCAGATACGCTCCACAGCATTCCTCCACTTCCTCCCTTGCAGCAGGCTTTCTAGCTGGGCCTTTAGTCCAGCGATGGCTTCAACGGTTCTGGGGCTGATATCCAGACTCTTACCCTCCCTCAGAGCTATGTTTATGTGCTCCAGAGCCCGAATCAACTCCGAGCTACTCTCCAAGAGACAGGTCACTTCTGAAAGAGGAAAAAAGAGATTTTTAGAGCAAACACCTTAAAACACAAACACTTTGTTTTTTTTAAAAGGTTCAATCATGTGGGAAAATAAGTTTAGCATTCATCTCTTCTGCTCTGTGGAAGGCTGGGTTTGATCCAAGGGTCTAAAATGAAACTACCTGTGCTCCAGTTGCTGGTTCCTATCATTTATTTGAAGGCATTAGACCCCGAAACTGTGTCTAACCAGAGATCAACAATTATTTGGCAGGGTTGGAGTACCTGGAGTTCCTAAATACAGAGAGAACTAAAAAACGACTGGATGGAATTTTTTCGAACTTGGGGGGATTGTAGCGGTTTTCTATCCCTGATATGCACCCCCCCTCCCGTTAAAAAAGTCAGTTTTTCATGCCATGGCCCCTTTAATGGTTGTGTTTGTTTCTGTTAGTACCTTGAGTCTGTCAATAAAGTATCGCTCTCTCTTTAAACACACTATAACACAACACACAAATAGGGATGTGCTGATATATGATCTAATCGCGATATGTGATATTAAACAGCTGTGATGATGAAATCGTAGGGTACAGCAACAATTGTTCCACAATTATAATTTGAAGACAAGTGGCAGCGTCACTCAGTGAGCAAAGCCGAGTACTTACCAACCTAACCCTTTGTAGTCTTACCCACGGTGTCAAAGCCTCGGTAGCAAAATGTACAAACAAACCACCACAAAAGTAGTCCCAAATCTAAAACAAACTCTCAAATTAAGTACATTAATGCCAGCCTGACAGAAACGGGAACATTAAAAGAGAAAATGAAGAAATTTTTACAACAAAATGCATGACCACCCACAATGCATTGCGGCCACCCAAAACAGTGTTGGAGCATGTCCACTCTGTGAACCAGAAACAGTTTGAAGAAGAAGAAAAAAGTTGACGCACACGTTCCAACTTCCAACCAACGTAACGATGCAGCCGGACCAAGAACAGTCAGAGACTGAGAATGACGAAAGGCCTCAAGCTGTATTCTCCTATTAAAAAGGTTTTGTCGGCAGTATGGACGTTTTACGGCTTCACAAAACAGACGGAGCAGGTAAACCTGACACCAATCTGCAGGTTATGCATTGAGGAAGTTGCAGCGCCGTTGTCTAACACTTCAAACCTACGTGCCCACCTCCGTGAACACCATCCAGCATCGTTTGCCCAAATCAAGGTAAAAACAACATGACGCAAAAAGTTTGGTCTACTCTACTGCTTATTATTGACAATGTTAGTGATGTTTTCGCTAACTTAAGCTCCAAAAAGCTAATGCTCCCAACGTCGCGTTAGCTGCCTCTTGCTCATATTGTTTGTGCATGTCATGCTGTGCACAGAGAAGTGATTTCGCAATTTTCTGCCATTTTTAATAATGTTAAAAGCAATGCGCTAATATCGCGATAATATCGTGATATTTTGGGCCACCAATATCGTGATACCAAATTTTTCATATCGGCACATACCTACACACAAGTACATCTAAAATTCTTCATAAACACTGGCATCATAATGAGTTATGACAACTGTATAAAGCTCTATAATCATGAGCATTTATAACTATGATTACATAGCGCAGGGTTTCCCCTACATGTAATTGATCGTGGCACACCACCACAGCAAGTATAAAAGGTGAAGTTTGAAGATTTACAGCTTAGAATGAAACCAAGTGTCTGCTTCTATATTCTCTACCATCTCTCTCATCATTTATCCTCTTTAAGATGTCAGGGCCCAGCAGGGTTTAAGGGGGACATTGGTTTGATTGGAAACATTACAGAGAACTGAAGCTTTCCAGTATGAAGTCCAGGTCTTACCCTGAGGGAGAGGAACTGCCCGAACGCAGATGGTTACCAGTCTGTTTGGAGTAGTTAAGGTGACGAGACCAGTGGTGTCCACATGCAAGGTAGCAGACATTCGACCCTGAGAGGCCTCCTCCTTGACCTAGCAACACACATGAATGGCTGTACTTAGGAGTGTATTATTAAGCTGCATTTTGAACCCTGTAAAACTGCAAGAAAAATAAAATCAGGATGTGATCATTTTCAAATATCTGAAACCTAATACTTGATAGAAAATTGCACAAAGACAACAGAGTGAGTGTTAACACTGAGACATATGTCGGTTTTCTAAAATGGCCTGTTTTAAATTGAAGCCAGCGACAAAAGTCAACAAAGTTGTGACAGTCATGTTTATCTGTTTATCAGCACTTTTTAATAATGCCCTGTCAGCACTCTGAGAACAGAGGAAACCCACTGGTGACTTTCTCAGAGTTCTCTATAAATGTCGTTCAGTGTGACTGAACAGAACCCGTCCCTGTGTGGACAACGGTGGACTCTCCAGATCTGTCAGTGACAGACAGGTCAGGCTGTACTTGGGCTACACTCTTCAAATGAACTCATCTACTTCAGTCAAATCATCACTGCTTTCTTACATTTATCTATGCTAGCTGGGTTAGTACAGAAAAGGACTGCAGTGAAAGGACAGACAGGTGGACTCACCTGGTGAATTATCGCTACTTTCTGCTGCTTGCCCAGGTCTTCATTCACCATGTCCACTTTAGGAGGACGGACCACTGTTTCTCTGAAGGGAATGATGGGCTTGGAGGAGCTGATCTCGATTTGGGCAAACCTGTTAAAAGATGAGAGAAACGTCTGTAACCGAGACTCATCGCACTGTAATCACAACCGAACAGGAACTGACCAAGTCCAAGAGTTCAGAGTATTTAAACCCCAAACTGGATATCTTAAAAACTGTACAAACCCGACCTCTTTACAACACAACAATTGGTCTTTGAGAGGCAAAGAAAATTTGTATATTAACTCTTTACACACACCTGTAATAACTCTACCCTACACACACTACAATTTATACACACAAACTTAAATCTGAAGATATTCAAGCAGCCGTGTCCTGGTCTGTTTTCTCTGACATCTTATTTCAGATGAAGCCAACTACATGTAGTCTTGACTCTATCTTTGTGTTTTTTTAACACAGTTGGACCCAGTATTTCATCCATAATTAATAGCTCTATAGAAGAGGAAGTTTGGGGTTTGTGGCTTCAGGGCCTTTAGAGATTGATCTAATTTCCTTGAAACACAAACCGTTCTTGTACGTTTAAAGTACCACTGTCTTGTATAGTGGATTAATAATACTGAATAGAGCTACGCCAGTAAAATCAGGATTTCACTTTCAAAAATACTGCAGTTTGTGGTGTAAAAAATAGGCTGATGTCACAAAGAAGAAAGAGAAACCATCATGTATGAGGGAGGATGAATAACCCGCTTTCTCTTTTTGAGCTTGGTACCTCTATAATGACCAAGACCAGGAGAAGGAAGAGGGGGAACTGCACTCACAGGTACCAGCTGACCACAGAGAAGGGCAGATTTCAGAAAACGGTTTATTTTCCATAACCTGATGTTATTTAATAATTCCAACATGATGACACCAACTTTTTTATTTGACCAAATTAACAGTATTAACATCTCCAGAGAAGACGATTCTCTCCACAGACAGAGGAGGTCGGCTTTTGCTTTCAAAAACTTTCATTTCAGAAATATGTGAAGGAAGATTATTGTACATAAAAACAAATGAAACCACAGTGTCAAAACTGTTTTTGTTCACTGAAAGAAAAAAACTGAAAAAAAAAAAAAGACAATAGTTCAGTTTAGTTGTGTTGTCTGATGATTCGTGCTTTTTGAGCCACTGATTTTTGAGAATATGAATTCCCCTCAAGGACAATAAACTTAAACTGATCTTGCAGCTGTCATTCACTTAAAAATCTTGAACTAGGAACTAACTACTCATTATTATTCTTTTCTATTATCGTCAGTGTCTACGTCTTGAGCACCATCATCAAACTGCCTTTATCTCTTACTGAAGCTGAAACAGGGTCAAAGTTTTACCATCGCAGCATACTCATCAAAAACACAAAGACAGGTTTACATCAGGAGAGGCAGCACACACGCACACACACTGACCGATCCCGGAGGTCGTCCAGGCATCGTTGGAGATGCACTTCACCAGCGGTCACCAGGACATGTTCACCCGTTTCCTGGATCAGAACCTCGGCGCAGGGATCTGCTTGGTTCAACAAGCGCATACCCTGCATCAGCTTTGGCATCTCACCTGAACACACAAACATGAATGACATCAGTGTACTGACCCGACTACGTCAGCTGGCAGAACAGAACCAGAGCAGAAGAAAAGGTGGAGTTCATCATTTAGAGAAGGACAGACAAGGATGTTCATGTTAACCTGATGTTATATAGTAAAAACATGGCTCACATATGGCCTACATGGGTCATGAGAGTCCAGCAAAGACTCCACTAAAGAGTTCTGCAGGTGGCTTTACTGATCAAATAAAAGTCCTAGAGAGAACTTCAGCAGATGGAGTCTCTTCGCTGAAAAACAGGTTTGGCTTTTGCTCTTAAATGTTTTCCAGGAGTACAACCATACTAAACTTTTCACGCCTGGATTGGATCATGAACTCAGCTAATATAGTAAAGCCCTGAGTTTATCGTGTTCCTGTCAATGTCTGCTGAGATTTTTAGCTGCTGAAAAAACAAACAGGTGAGCCTCTACTCTCCAAACCCCTGGATGGTGGAAATCAGCAGAAGTGGCTGGAAAAGGCAGCGCAGTGGCACTACTGTTGGTGGCAGAGGAACAGACTTTGAGCAAAGGTAAGTCTGGGTCTAGGACGGGAGGAAACAGTGGGGAAACTCTGTACATCAACCTCATGTGTAGCTTCTAACAGACACTTACAAATACACACATAGTTGTGTTTGATAAATTCATGCATTAAAAGTAAACTCAGACACGGTGAAAGCTGTGTGTGGCTCCAAAGACCTACTAGGATGTTTGGGTTCAATGGCGACCCGTACGATGGGCGTGGCCTGAAAGTTGAGTGGAGTGAAAGGTGGACAGGCAGGGGTGGATGATAGGGTGGCCGACTTTAGGACACAGTCCTCCAGACCTCCAATACCTGGAAGTAGAGGATGGGAGTGACAGAGGGTACAACTTCTCAACGATAAAACAAATCTGCAGTTTTATTAGCGATCAAACCACAAGTTTACCATCAAATGTAGAGATGTCAGTTTTCCCTCGGCTTAGTCAGAACTCTTCACAACAGAACAACTTAATTCACAGATTAAAACAACTGTGATCATGGAAACTGAAACCTTTGATTGGATCCGTCTTTGAATTCAATGTTACATGTAGTTCTAATTAAAATTTCTACAGGAAACTCAATGAAGAAGTGAACCAAAGCAGGTCTGATTCATGAAACAGGAGCATGAACATGTGTGTGTAAAGAACAGAAGAATGGATGAAATTTACAAGCACCAACAGAGACCTGAAGGAGAGAGTCACTCTTCCACTCACAGGAGAAAATACATCTTTTTTTAATCTAATCCACTACACCTGAAATCTCTTCTTTTTCCTCATCTAAGAGGTTTTTCTTTCTCCTCCTCGCTCTTCATTCTCTTTCGCTTATCACTCCACAGGAAGTACATGTCCACACCTCCTTATATGGTGTTCCTCGGCTATTCATGGGTGGAGATTTATGCTGATTAGTGGCAATCGTGGGCGTGCTAACACTAAACGTTTATGATCAAATCAGAGGTTCTGCAGCGTGCATGAATCTGAAGAAGTTTTTTAGTATCAGTGACATTTATGTGAAAATCTGCACATAAATGTCACTATCATTACCTCTGTCTGAGTTTCAATGACTATTCAAAACCAAATTTTGGAGGCAAAAACACTTAAATATACAGAGATTTAATAAGAATGACATGATGTTTCTCTACGGGGGCTCAGGAAGGACAAACTAGTAGAAACAAAGTGTGTTTTAATAACAAGGAGCTGAGAAACAATTTGTATTGATCAAGTTTTTGATCATAAAAAGTTGAAAACATAAGATCCAATTGAAGTTTCATCACTGGATTTTAAATCCGAGTTTCTGTCCAAAAATGAAATAATGAAGAAGCTTTCCTAAAGCTGCACCTCAAAAGGTAAAAGCCATAGACTGCTGATACTATGGACAACTTGGTTCCGCCTTTCGTCATTAAACGAATTTGAAGCTGAATTGCTCTCAGTATTTCTGGGATTTTCTCCACTCCCTGGAACCACCACTTGTGCAGTAGCATTGTACTCATTCGGTGGAAGAGTCGCTGTGATGACCCTCAGCTTAAAAAAAGTGTATCCCCCGGGTGAGCTATGTTAACTTTGAGCGCCCATAAGCTGTATCCAGTGTCAATCATAGAAAACATGAACCCCCTAATAACTTTTAATAATTGAGCTTCACAGAAAAAAAGAGGACTTGGGCACAAACCAGTGGGGAGAAAATGTATATTCTGTGTAATAAATCTCTAAAGTTTGTCCACAGCTTCATAGAGATTGCTGGAGGAGGCAGGATTTATGACCTGTACCGCAGCCTGTCACCAGAGGGTGCTTTTCTCTGGGTGGCTTCACTTACCAAAGAGGCAGACGGCATCCATTTTATATACAGTCTATGGTGAAAGCTAATTATAACAACAATGGTCCTTTAAGGTTATTTCTATGATTTTAATGTTTTTACTGAACCAAGAATGTTTGTGGCTGTCAGAGAAAAGACTGTTCACGTCTGAAAAACTACTTAACCTGAGCATGACAAAGATCAGATGCAGAGAATCAATGATCCTAGTTAGAGTCAAACACGAGGGTCCCACGTTTCAAAAGTGAGGTATGCAGGACAGAAACATGTTGGATTATTCATTTGGATTATTTAGTACAGTGGTTCTCAAGTCCAGTCCTCGAGGCCCACTGTCCTGCATGTTTTGGATGTTTTCCTGCTCCAACACACCTGATTCAAATGATTAGCTCGTTATCAAGCTCTGTACTGGCTTAATAATGAGCTGATCATTTGAATCAGGTGTGTTGGAGCAGGACAGTGGGCCTCGAGGACTGGACTTGAGGACCACTGATTTAGTACAACATTAGTTTAACAGAAGAGTCTTCTGAGCGGGGGTCTTCCACAAATCCTTAATTACAGATATCAACTGCACCAGGCCAGAGCAACATGACAGCAGCTCAGGTCAGGGACCTTAAACAGTACTACACCAGTGAGAGTCAGACATATTTACCCAGGACATTTCCTGCTGGTACCTCTTCTAGCTCCTCCAGCTCTCTGCCCATCAGCAGGTAGAGGCTTTCCACTGAACAACAGGATAGGTGAGGCACCTCCAGCTCACAGTCTGAAGCAGTGCAACCCTCTGGCAGCTGGCAGATACAAGACAGGGAACAAGCAAAGTTTCTGTCTGTTTGGATGATATAACTGACTTCAGGTTTCCGTTTTATCAGCACAGGGAAGAGAAGTTTGCAAGTGTCTGCATCATGTTAGTCACTGTAATGACCATCAGTGACTGTATTTCTAGGCCGGGATTTCCTGTACTGTAAACCAGTTCAGTGATGTATAAATAAAGTTATTATCATTATTGTTAATCAAGTTTTTATTATTATTTATTATTAGTAGTATTTATTATTACCTTACAAAGATTCAAGGGTTAAAAAAGGTTGAAAAATCAACACAGTCTCACCATGCTGAGGCCCTGGGCGGGGTCATATTTTGGTCCAAGAACAAACACTCTCTGTCCTTTCCTGACTGTTCCACTGTAGACCCGTGCAAACGCTACAAAGGTCTCCTTCTGCTCATCTTCCACCTCTGGGTTTGGGTCTTGCATCGTCAGATTCACCGTCTCAGCTTACAGAGACAAACAAGACGGACACAAAGTGTTTCTGTTGTCTCCTCGACACTGGATAAAAGTTGCTGTTTGCTTTTTAATTTAGAGTTCAATCTAAACTCAGAGAAAGATAAAGGATGAGACATGAGCTTACCTGGACTGAGCCCCACACCTTGGCTTCCCTCTGGTTTAGTTGCTGAGTGAGTTTCTGTTGATGCTGAGTTATTTACCATCCTGTCAGCATGTCTCTGTCTCGCTAGCTCCCTACGCTGAGCAAGTTCCTCCTGAGTCAAGGGCCTAAACACATGAGGACAAAAACACAGATCAAACTCTCATCAGACCTCCTGCTAACAGCTGATTTCAGCTAAAATAAGAACATTGGGGTGGTCTCTCCTCTGTCCATCTCCCTCTCTCTCCTCTCTAAACCCAGCTCAGTCTCAGCAGATGACTGTCTAACATCAGTCTGGTTCTACTTGAGGTTTCTGCCTGTTAAAGGAAGTTCTTCCTCTCTACTATAACTTGATAAATGCAATAAAGTGTTTCACTCATGTGGTTGAAGATGGGATGGGAGTGGGTCTGCTCTTACAGGATGGAGTTCAGTCTGATCCCCCACATACACACATACACACACAAACACACACACACACTGACCTCTGCCTGTTCTGCGGTAATGCCTTGGTGTCGACAGCAAACATCTTTGACACAAAGACAATGACAGGAGCGTCGTCCTCACTTGAGCACTGTAGAAACGCTGGAAATACCAAAACAGAGATTAACGAAAACAAAAGCAGATCAAACTTAAACTGATTTTAAAAAGCGAGGTCAGGTTTCAGTTGCTTTGTTAATCTGGCAATCAAATCAGTGCATTGACATATATACGGTCCTGATAATGTCATTATTTGAGATGAGATTAACCCTCTGAGTCAAAACCGTCTGAGTCTAACCCTCAGAGATATTTTACATCTAACAGGAAATAGGAACAGTGATTTGATATCTTATGTTCTGAAACTTTTTTCCAATCAAATTAAGTTCAGCTTTTCTTTTAAAAACTTTTACCTGGGAAGGTTCCATCAATGCTAAGTGATACAGGTTTTAAAAATGTATGAACTCCTGTGTTTTTGTATCTTTTGGAAGCTATAAGTTTGGATGCTTGTGAGGGGTAGAGGCACTCTTGTATGAACATGTATGTTTGCAAAATTTTCCCATAAATTGATAACAAGTTATATGTTCACCAGAAACTGATGGAAGTAATCCTAAAATCAGTTTGCACTTGTGTGTACTAACCTCTCTTCAGCTCCTGTGTCTGTTGGGGCATGGATTCAAACCTTCGTGCACCAACACTCATCAGTTTCTCCACCTTCTCTGCCACCATGTCCAGGGGGCTGGGAAGCTTCTCACACACCATAGCTGCATTCTGATTTAAAGATACCAAACTCCAGAACTTCCAAAAATATCCTTTACATATGCTGTAGTACACAGTCATGGTTTGTTTGAAATACAGATGAGAGATAAAGGATACACAGGACAGACGGGGACACCGGTAACCACTGGGTGCAGATTGCTGATAGCAGAACTTTGGGGTCAGAGTGACGAGAGTCTCTTGCCATCACCGTTATTCCCAGTGACTTCACCACTCTCTCCACCTTCTCCTTGTCTCTGATGGCATACAAAGAATAAATGAACACTTTCACACAGAGGCTGTGGGAAAATATATACAGTGCCTTAAAAAAAGTATTCATACCCCTTGAACTTTTTCACATTTTGTCACTCTACAACCACAAACTTAAAAGTATTTTATTGAGATTTTTTGTCATAGACCAACACAAAGTAGCACATAATTGTCAAGTGGAACAAAAATGATACATGGTTTTCAAAAATGTAAACAAACAAAAATCTGAAAGGTGTGGTGTGCATTTGTATTCAGCCCCCTGTACTTTGATACCCCTAAATAAAATGCAGTGTAATCAACTGCCTTCAGAAGTCAGCTAATTAGTTAATAGAGTCCACCTGTGTGTAATTTAGTATCAGCATAAATACAACTGTTGTGTGAAGGCCTCAGTGCTTTGTTAGAGAACACTAGTCAACAAAGAGCATCATGAAGACCAAGGAACTCAGCAGACAGGTCAGGGAAAAAGTTGTGGAGTTTAAAGCAGGTTTAGGTTATAAAACAAATATCCAAAGCTTTGAACATCTCAAGGAGCACTGTTCAATCCATCATCCAAGAACTTCTAACCTACCAAGACATGGCCGTCCACCTAAACTGACAGACCGAGCAAGGAGAGCACTGGTGAGAGAAGCAGCCAAGAGGCCCATGGTCACTCTGGAGGAGCTGCAGAAATCCACAGCTCAGGTGGGAGAAGCTGTCCACAGGACAACTATAAGTTGTGTACTTCACAAATCTGGCCTTTATAGACGAGTGGCAAGAAGAAAGCCATTGTTGACAGAAAGACATAAAAAGTCCCGTTTGCAGTTTGTCACAAGTCATATAGGGGACACAGCAAACATGTGGAAGACGGTGCTCTGGTCAGATGAGACCAATGTTAAACATTTTGGCCTGAATGCAATGTGCTATGTGTGGCGGAAAAGTAACACTGCTCATCACCCTGAACACACCATCCCCACTGTGAAACATGGTGGTGGCAGCCTCATGCTGTGCTCCAACAAAGCACTGAGGCCTTCACATAACAGTTATATTTATGCTGATACTAAATTACACACAGGTGGACTCTATTAACTAATTAGCTGACTTCTGAAGGCAACTGATTGCACTGCATTTTATTTAGGGGTATCAGAGTACAGGGGGGCTGAATACAAATGCACACCACACTTTTCAGATTTTTATTTGTTTGAATTTTTGAAAACCATGTATCATTTTTGTTTCACTTCACAATTATTTGCTACTTTGTGTTGGTCTATGACAAAAAATCTCAATAAAATACTTTTATGTTTGTGGTTGTAGAGTGGCAAAATGTAAAAAGTTCAAGAGGTATGAATACTTTTTCAAGGCACTGTATATCCTGATCTGAACCTTTTGTATTCTGGCTATTTATTTAAACCCTTGCTGGCTGTGTGAATAGGATTACAAAATCTGATGGACTCTCTAACAGCCTCTACCACCAATGACTGAATCTGTGAATGTGATGTCAAAGATCTTTGAGAGGTCAGAAGACAGCGAAAGAGAGATAGAAACACAGTTCATTGATCAATAACATGAGGATAAACACAAAGAACACAACTTAAAATCTGAGATTAAATGACAAAATTAAAAAAAAGGTCTACATTGGACTGCTCCCTATCTCCTCCTCATAAACCTTTAAATATATCAACCCTATCGAACTACATTAGGAAAAAATAAATAAAAACAACATTGTCTGTGAACTTAAAATGGGAAACTACATAAAACTCACCTTCTAACAACAACTGCATCATATAAACTCCAGATGTTGTCCAGCACAAGCTGCACAAACAGTGGCTTCTTTCCTTTAGCCTGCAACAAAGAGAGAGAGAATCAAGGCGATATCACAACTGAACCAAGTTTCATCTTTAGATAAAGTGAGAACCACACTTCAGTCTCTTTCTGTTGTATTGGCTGACTGTGTATAAAATATGAAGTTATTCTGCCTAACAGCCCTCACTGGTGGAGACAGAGGCAGGTACACAGGCGTATAGATGTTGAATCACAGATGTACTAGTTTGCCTCACACAGCACAGTTTCCACATTAAAGCTGAGCGTGACTGCCAATTGGTGCCTATGGCTTCTCTGACTACCACCACACAACACTCACAATCACACACCAGTGGAGGAGCAATACAGGTTAAGTGTCTTGCCCAAGGACAGACTAGGGATAGGGGGAAATCGAACCGCCAACCTTCCAGCTGTTGGACAACTGCTCTACCTCCTGAGCCCTTCAGTAACTGTGGTAACTAACTTTGTTGAGAATAATAGAAAACTTGAAATCCTCTTTGTGACTCACCTGAGCTCCTCTCATGATCCTCTTTGCTTTGGCGTTCAGGTAGAAGTCTCCCCACAGGGTTTTGAGCAGCACCTCGGCCTTGATACCCATCCTCTGGCTGTACATGTGGGCAAATTGCTGGATGCTACAAAACAGAAACACTGTTAGCATCTTTGAATTAGCTTTTTTGATAGCTTCAAAAACAAGAAAACATAAACAATAATGGGGCATACAAAATAATTATTGATTATTGGCTTGTAAAATCTAAGATTATAACTATTTATTATCCAGTATTTAAGGAAGGTCAAAGTCCATTTTTCTATTGTGAAGTGATTTTTTGAGGAGATTTGACCTCTGATTGATCTTTACTGTTCATTTGACTGTCAAGTTTACAAGAATCACCTTTTTGGTGATAGCAAAAGTAGCCTGCTTGGATTTTAGGGTGGAGGGGACCGGGGTAACAGCTCACCCAAATCTTATGAAATCAGACTGCAGTACCTGTTTTAGACACCAGGTGTCACCTTCATATAGCTCCTTTCATAAATGCTTGATAAAGCTAACATTGCCGTTAAATCTGCATTAAAAATAAAGTTTATCATCTTTTCCTCAACAGTCCTGACATGTACCACTGATGTTCTTCACCCGCTTTAGGAAGAAACTAGACTCACCTGAAGCCCCATCCATCTATGGCGCTGGCAAAGACCACGTTTCCTTGGTCAGGTGAAAAGTAGAGATGAGAGTCATCAGCTTCCTCCAATCCAGCGCTCCAATCATAGAGCTGTTCGCCGCTCAACGTCTCGCTCTTCTGCTGCTGATCCTCCCCTTTCTCTTTCTCTGCTCGCTCCTCCAGCACTCTTGATGTGAACAAAGTCCCTGTCACCGCATTTACCTACGAGGACAAACATTTACACTAACACAGAGCTGTAGCACAACAGCTCTTTTGACTCACTCCTAATAACTACACAGCAAAGAGTCGACAGCTTTGGAGGACCAGCAATAAAACTGTGACCTGTGAGAGCTCACCTGCTCCAGGATCTTTTGTAGGTGGCTGTAAGCTTCCTGAGATGTGAGCTTCAGTTCCCCGATGAGCCGGTCTATCTTATTAATAACCAGAACAGGCTTGATGTCCTCCAGCCATGCCTGGCGAAGAACAACCTGGGTCTACACACACATACAAAGCATCACATCATATGTTTATATTTGCAATGTTTATGCTACAGTACAGTGACACAGGGATGTGTGTGTAATTCCTACATGAAACAGTTTCACTTAGTGTGTATGAAGCTTTTAAATGGTGACACATCTGTGAGAAACATGAGGAGTTGAGTCTGTGGGATGTACCCATGAGAAAGTTTACAGCTAATTCTTCTGTTGACTGTGACTCTGAATATGATCTTAAATCAAATTGTTTAACAGAGATACTTACCTGTGGACACACGCCCTCCACAGCATCAACAACAACAATAGCACCGTCACACAGCCGGACAGCAGTGGAAACTTCTGAAGAGAAGTCCACGTGGCCAGGAGAGTCGATCAGATTTATTAAGTACTCCTGATCCCCTGAGAAAGGAGGGTGCATGCTTACACTTAAGCTCTGATACATGTTTTCAAAAGCAGACGATAACTAAACTTGAATTTAACAATCATTTCAGGCCCAGTTCAACATCACAAGAATCTAAGAGAGTCAGAATTGAACATTTAGATTTATCCACTACTTTGTCACATTTCTAACGTCCAAAAAAAGTATTTCAACAATAACTTAAAGAGCACTGTGTTTAATGATAACATACAGAAGAATGACATGTAAAAAACTTTGTAGCTAAAACTCTCTGTAGTTGATCATCAACTTTTTTAGTCAGGAGGGCTATGAATACCACAGAGACAGAGAATCAATGCATGTACTGCCAAGGCCGAGCCAAGAGGCCTTACCAATTCTGTGATGAAGAGAGATAGCGCTGGACTTCATGGTGATTCCTCTGATCTGTTCATCCTCCCTGCTGTCCAGATACCTTAACTGACAGATAAACACGTCATCAAAACTATTGAACGGCGATTAAACAACTACAAATTTTACACCACATGGCTGTTAAAGATCTCTTTAGCAAATGAAAGAAACTTACTTTCCCAGCCAGACGACTTGATATGATTCCGTTGCTTGCTACTAAGCAGTCAGCCAAAGTAGTTTTTCCTGTAAATGCAGATAATTCTAATGATTTCATAGTTTCAGCTTTTATCTGAACATTTTCAGTCAATAAGTGAGAATAAAACTAACTAAGTTGTACCTGATGCTCCAGCAAATCAAAGTTCATAACATTTATCAACTATCCACAAAAGAACAGAATGATATATCATCTAACAACAGCTACATGCACTTGAACAACAGTCACATCACAGGGCAATGTCAGTCATGTGACCTGAAAGATGTCACACTGTCACCACTTCTCCGCTGACCAGGACTGAGCCACAACAAAAGTCTCAGGGGTGATTTTAGGATCGGACCTTTAAGGGTGCTCAGCCCCTGAACTTCAGACAGTCAAATGCTCAGTTAAGAAGACCAGATAAGACAGATACGACTTGTCTCAGTGCTCATTAGAGCACATACAGACTGCTGTGCTGATTAATATGATTTTGACATTGGTTGTGTAATAAAGTCAATTAGCCGTTCAGTTTAAATACTCGTCATTTTCTTCCGCGTCATCTGGGTCCAGGTTGCGGGGGCAGCAGCTTCAGGAGGGAAGCCCAGATGGCCCTCACCCCAGCCACTTCCACCAGCTCCTCCAGGGGGATTCCCAGGCGCTCCTAGGCCAGGCGTGAGATATAATCCCTCCACCTGGTCCTGGGCCGGCCACGAGGTCTCCTCCTGGTGGGACATGTCTGGAACACCTCTAACAGGAGGCGTCCAGAAGGCATTTTAACCAGATGCCCGAGCCACCTCAGCTGACTCCTCTTGACGTGGAGGAGCAGCGGTTCTACTCTGAGCGCCTCCTGAGTGTCCGAGCTCCTTACCCTATCTCTAAGGCTGAGCCCGGCCACCCTGCGAAGGAAACCCATTTCAGCCACTTGTATCCGCGATCTTGTTCTTTCAGTCATTTCCCAAAGTTCATGGCCATAGGTGAGGGTCGGCACGTAGATCGACCAGTAAATCGAGAGTCTCGCCTTACGGCTCAGCTCTTTCTTCACCACGACTGATTGGTTGAGCATCCGCATCACTGCTGACGCCGCTCCAATCCATCTGTCGTGAACAAGATCCTGAGATACTTGAACTCCTCCACTCGAGGCAGGACCGCCTCTCCAACCTGGAGAAAGCAATCTACTTTTTTCCAACTGAGGACCATGACCTCGGGCTTGGAGGTGCCGATTCGCATCCCAGCCACTTCACACTCGGCCGCGAACCGCCCCAGCAAGAGCTGAAGGTCACTGCTCAACGAAGCTAGAAGAACCGCATCAACTGCAAAAAGTAGCGACGTGATCCTCTGCCTGCCGAACTGGACACCCTCCACCCCCCGGCTGTGCCTAGAAATTCTGTCCATAAAGATATAATCCTGTACTCCTGTAATCTCTCCTCTTCATTACCATCATTTCTGGCAGCTCTGTTCGAGTTCAGCCATCTGACAGCAGCTGTGGTCTAAGTAGGAAGGAGGTTTTTTGACTTGAAGGTGACAAATAGACTAAAAGTTCTCAATCATATCGAGTTATGATAACTGCAGGGATTACATTTTAAACACAACATTGATCTGGTATAATTTTGAACACTTTTCATATTGAAATGTGTAAACAGAGAGAAGAATTATGATGGGGTTTTTGTGTTCATACTTAAGCAGTGGTTCTCAAGTCCAGTCCTTGAGGCCCACTGTCCTGCATGTTTTGGATGTTTCCCTGCTCCAACACACCTGATTCAAGCTCGTTAAGCCATTACAGCACTTAATAACAAGCTGATGATTTGAATCAGGTGTGTTGGAGCAGGGAAACATCCACAACATGCAGGACAGTGGGCCTCGAGAACTGGACTTGAAAACCACTGGTCTAAAGGATACAGCTGCAAATTAATCTGAAGAAGTCTAATATGAAGTTTGTATGGTAAATGTTTAATGTAATAGAAATCCCACAGTCAGAGAACAGTGCAGCAATGACAGGTCAGCAGGTGAACTCACCATGATCCACGTGAGCCAGGATGCAGATGTTTCTGGTGTTTGCAGGGTTTCTCTGAAGACCAACAATCTTATCCAGGTTGGTGTGTCCCATGGTGAACACCTGAAACAGAAGAAATCCGAAACATTAACCAGAGTGGCTCACATCGTTTCAAAGGCTTGCTTGTTGCAGGTATTGAGATTGTCACACAGGTTGTTGCCGTGAGAGCAGGGTGGTAATTTTCATTGAAACATCAGTTTATAGAGTTGTTAGCTCCCTTTACACCTGCGGTGAACACCTTTACTTCCTCCAGCAGCTCTGTTTGACTGACATGTGGACAAGATTCATGTCCATGTATAGTTCACAACAACACAACACAATCACAACACCGTGGGGTTAAGAAAGTCACGCTCAGCAGGAAAAGAGTGTCTGACATTTATTAAAGTTTCAGAGGATGATGTCTGCTAACGCTACAGCTAACTGAACAATACTGGGATGAAGACAACAGGCTGACTAGAACCCGGTCTGTGGAGTCTCAAAATACGACCACATCACCACGAAACGCTGCCATATCAAGAGAATAAAAACTTTTAATCAGAAAGAGGACTCAAAGTAAGGACATGTGCTCACTTTCCACTCACGTTCTTCTTCTTTATTTTGAAGTTCGGCTTTTTCTTCTTCTTCTTTTTTGTTGTTAAATGACAATTGGCAAACCAGTCTACAGTGCATTACCGCCACCAACTGGACTGGAGTGCGGACATAGACTGTGTACAGTATATAGAAATGAAACTGTCATTTGTTTGTGCATACCTTTATTTTCCCAGCTCATTTTACTATTGCCTTCCAAAAACGATTGCAAATATTCACCATTAATATTCTCATATAGGCTGCCAACTCTTTTATCTTTGACAGAAATCCCAACATGATTTTACTCCTGCTTGGTGTGAACACCCCATTATGGCTCAGATTTTGAACTAGACAGAGTAAAGACATTTGAGTTTGTGGTGGGAGGTGGGTAAGACTGAGGTCGGTTGGGGTACCCTTTACATTGTACAACATGTGGTCACACTTTTGTATAGCACACTAGGTTATGGGTTGGTGCCGTCTGTGTATGTTTTGCGAGACTTTTCTTAGCCAGTCAGTTAGGCCTTTTGTTGCTATTTCTTTGTCGCAGAAAGTGTTAAATTAGGGCCTGTTTTGTTATCTTAAGTTCATTTTTGGTGCTCTTCCCCACAAACACACCCACACACACACACCCACACACACACACACCCACACACACACACACACATATATATATATATATATATATATATATATATATGTATATATATATATATATATATATATATATATATATATATATATATATATAAAACCCTGGAGGTGATTTAATGTTTTTTCTTTGAATACATTTTAAATAGCTTTATTCAAAGTTACATAATCACATGTTAACTTTGTAGAAAATAAAAAAGTGACACCCAGATGTCTTAAATATTAAACTTAAAATGAAACTTTTGAAAGGTCAACACGCTCTGCAAACCATTCCCACTGACAGATGAAGAAGCATGAGTGATCCTTGTCAGCATACAGGAGATGGAGAGCGGTGGTGGTAGTATTGTAGGTCTGTTCAGACTCCCTCCCTTTTAGAAAGATCTCCTCAGTTCTTCCTTTCAGTCATTTTGGATCCTCTGAGACCTCAGCTGTTGTAAAGGGCAATGACACATTTCTCCCTAAAAACACAGAAATAGATGGAGGAGGTGGTAAATAAGCAATGTCAGATACTTACGTGCTTCAGGAGTTTCAACCTATTGAAGGCTCCTAACAGAATTCCAGGCACAGATATAAATTTATATCTTTACTAACATGGAAATCCTCACACATGTGACATTTAACAAAACAAAACAAGCAAACAAACAAACAAATAAACAAACAAACAAACAAACAAAATAAAACTGGTCCTGCGCACCACAAATCAGTAACCTTTAAAACCTGGATACTCATCATAAATCCATATCATGAAAAACAACAAATTCAGTAATCAGTGCCTTTTCAGCTCAGAAAATTTAAAATTTTAACTATATTTAATTGTTAATTTTTAAGTACCCAGGAATCAAAGAATGTTTAAAATGGCAGGAAATGATATTGTGCCATCTCAGGCTGTGTTATGTTATATTTTACAATTGTTTTTCTCCTCTTTTTTTGTTTTATTTTAAAACAAAAACAAATGATGTTCCAAATGTTATATACAATTACCAAAAGAGACACTGCTGAATAAAAACTGTCACCACACTGATAATTATATTTGATTAATAAAAAATGTATAATGAAGCACACATCTTGTTGGTAAAGATTTACTGCCAGCACGAGTCTGATGTTTACATTTAACAATGACACAGCGGATATGACATAGTGGGTTTTGACGCGCTGTCGTACCATATGATATCAATGGTCGTGCCCGCCCACGAACCATATTTGGTAGTCGAACTTCCTTCTCGTTTGTCCCGTGGCTGATGCTGATTCCTTGGTGGATGAACCTGCAGCTGAAAACCTAAAAAAACTTTATTTCTAAAAACATTTATTATTTAAATTTATATGCATATAAACAACAACATAATGTGACGTATTTGCTAAAATGACTGTTAAATTCTCCTTAAGCCACTCATGCTGATTTTCACATCATAAGAAAATAGTATGGACGTTTACATAACACGAAAAGGAAGCTTGTTTTATTAAAAGGCAATAAAATGTGTCTTTTTATCTTTTACATGGTCATAATGTGGCATTAAAGCATAAACGGACCCTCTTTGAAAGACAACCGGAAGAGTATTTTTGCTGGTTGAGTTCATCCACCTGGAAACCATTTCCCTGAGATTCATTCATCTTCTCGGGGATATTCCTACTCCTACAGTGGGCGGTGCAGCTGTGGGCATTAGTCTAAACCTTCAACACGTAGAGTTGTGTTGTTTCCTAAGCCTTTCGGACCCTCAGCCAGCGGTGTGTTTCTGACGATGCTGCCTTCTTCACGGCACCTCTCATTCATCCGCTCATCTCCGCCTCTCTAGTGGCCTGGTGTGGTCTCGGTTTACCGGCTAACGTTAGCTCACGCTGCTGCTCTGTCGGTACACGGTCCAGGCTCAGAGGAAAAGGAAACAGGTTCATATGATATCAGCTTTAATTTGTCTGCAAAGTCAACCCGGTCAGAAAGCTATCGTTTACTTTCATCAGCTGGAATGGATTATGAGCAGAAGGCAAAGTCGGTGGCTGACTGTCTGATGAGCTACAAGAGGGACGAGACCGGGTGGAAAGTCTGCAAGAAATCGGTAAACTGTAGTTATTATGTTCCTCTGTTGAACTGTACACTTTTACATATAAGGTGCATTCCCTCTTCACGTTGAACACCAGCCAGAAAGTCTGTCACTTGTTCGGCCCCCTAACAATGAAAGCTTTTCCAAACTCAAGAGTCAACTCTGTCGTTTCGGCCATAACTCAGGTAACTGACCGAAACAGAGAAGGTTTTGTGCTGAAAAATAAACAGACTAATTCAATATTTCATATATGTGACCACTTTTAGACTGTATAATATATTTTTGAATGCTCACTTGAAATGATAGGGTGACTGATATGATATTCCTTTAAATTGGGTTAATGCAGAGTAATACAGTCAGCACTTCAGATTTGACCTAGCATCAGTTCTTCATCTCATTTTACCCTCTAGAGGTATTCTGTATATTTTCAGTTTATTGCATATTGTGATGGCTGTTTTACATATTATCAGGCTACAGTGGTTGAGAACCGCCACTGCTGCACATAAAAAAGAATACAAAAAAAAAAAAAAACAACAACTTGCAAATAAAAAAAGAAACAATGCAGATTAAAAAAAAAAAAAAAAAAAGCCACAGCAGAAGTTAAGGACCGGGACTAAGTGGCGATGCAAAGAAAAAAACAACAACAAAAAAAAAAACCCTTGCAAATAAAAAAAAAAACGGTGCAGATTAAAAAGAAAGCCACAACAGAAGATAAGGGCGCAAAACAAAGTGGCGATGCAAAAAAAAAAAAAAAAAACAAGAAAAAAAAATTGCAAATAAAAAAAGAAATGGTGCAGATAAAAAAGAAAAAAACACAAGAGAAGTTACCGATACAAGAAAAAAAAAAAAAGCAACAACTTGCATATAAAAAAAACAGTGCAGATGAAGAAAAAAAAGCCACAACAGAAGTTAATTTTGCATTAATTTTTTTTTCCATCGTCACTTTTTTGCCGTCATTAACTTCTGTTGTGACTTTTTTTTATCTGCACCGTTTCTTTTTTTTATTTGCAGTGGGTTTTGGTTTCTTTTCTTTTTTTTTTTGCACCAGTAACTTCCGTTATCACCTCTTTTTTTTTTTTTTTGCATTTTTATTTTATTTTTTTATTTGCAGCAGTGGCGGTTCTGGGCCACCATATCAGTCATCTCAAATGTGCTTCGTATCCTAATATTAAGACCATTGGTAATGTAATAGTTATTGGAGCACGTCATCCAGTGTGACTGACCCTCACAACACAGTGCTCAAGTATGACAAATGTCTTAAAAGCGGTAGTGCTTTTCAGTGTCTGGAGTTACGAGGTTAAATATGCCTTTTTTTTTTTCAGTGATTAAAGGTCTTCTTGGCTGTAATTATATCTCATGCTCATCTCATATTATCCTGGTATTTATTTGTAACCACCATACTTGATGGGTTTTTGTTAAGGGAATGTGTTCAACACTGTGTTGTATAAATATTTAATGTGCTCACTCAGTCAGTTTTAATCACTGAGTGGATGAATCAGGATGCTATTTGCAGGGTATTAAAATGAAAGTAAAATCTGGTAAAAGTGCAATGATAAATAACAAAACCATTCTGCATTATTGTTGTTGAAGGTCCTCCTGGTTGTCCAGAGGAGTAATGTCATTTGAACTACTTATAAGTTACATTATTATGTACAGCCAACTGTTTCAACACTCTGACTTGGATAAGAACATATTTTAACCAGGAAAGGAGGCTTCGGATTTCTTACCTCTCAGTCTTGTTGGTTTACATCCTTTTACCCAACATAATGAAATCAACAATTTTAATATATTAAACAGTTGAGGGCCCATGAAGGTCATCCTCAGTGCTCTGTTGCTCAGAAAGATCTTGTGGATCAGAATGACCTGCATTATTGCCATCACAAACAATAAGGGTCTTAGAATTAAGGTCCCAGAATTACAGCCCTCAACCTGCAGATCGTGGGCCTTCAGATAAGTGCTACTTCTGTGCTAGTACTTACTCCAGGGGAAGGGGCATGAAACTCTCTGCTGAATGATTTTTTTATGCGTCTGATTGTCTCATTCAGCTCATGTGTCACAGGGATACGGCGGTTCAAGTGCAGAATATGTAAATAATATACAATTTACTTTCCTGAAATCCAGCCAATCAGATCTTATTTGACATTTGGATCCAGGGACCCAGTTCAGTCCTGGGCCAGACTGACCCATGATAACCATCACTTTTATCAAGCTGAATGATTACAAAAAGGTAAATGTTGCTGTAAGCTAATGTGCTGTTTTCTCCGGCAGAATGACGTGGTTGTGTCTTGGCGCCCCTCATCTGAATTCCACGGAAATGTGTGAGAAACGTTGACTTCTTTTTCCTTTATTTGATTTAGTTCTGATTTTAACAACACTTTAACAAAGTTCAGGAATTACAATTGGTTCCTACAACTATGAAACTTTTGTCCAAAAGTTTTCTAAAACTGTACCGATAAAAATACATAAGGCAATTATTCCCTGAAATACTCCTGTGTAAATCACTCTGAAACTGCAAGAAAGAAGTGGAAGTGAAGTCTTGAAGATGAAGTGTAGCTACGCATATTCGACCTCTCATCCAAATTCAGCCGCTGCCACCTCCACTTTTGCGGATTTGCAGCAGCAAACTTTATTTATAGATGATGATTTCTGGAAGTGATTTTTAAGCCCATGCAGTGATTTCCACTGCAGAGTCACATCTGTTTTTGACACCGTGTGGCGTGAGGGCTCGAGGATCACACTTAAAAGTAAAATATGAAGACCAACAATTTGCAAACCATCCAAAAATCTGTTTTTATCAACAATTTATACAGTGTCACATTTATATTTTTGGAGTTGGGGTTGTATTTTAAAATGTAGCGACTTACAGATGGTGCTGCTCATTTTGTGCAAATACTTAAACCTTGCATGGTACTTTATATCCAATATGCATAATTTAAAAAAAATCAAAACTTTTGAAGAAGTCTGTTAGGACTTAATAAATTTGGTTGATACTATTTAAACGCCAGCACAAAGTCAGTGAAGGAGAGTTTCTTTCTTTCCTTTGAGATTGTTCTGAGAACTACAAAAAAGGATTAGGGCTACAAAATTTTGACATTATCCACCAGATTTCGACATTTTGTAATCTCGAAATTCGGACTTTAATCTCAAAATTTCAAATTTTAATCTTCTAATTTTGAATTTATTGACATAATTTCTATTTTTTTCATCTTGAAATTTCAACTTTTACCTCCTTCCTGTAATTATTATTTTTTTTCTCTTTATGTGGTCCTATTCCTCTTTCGTCGAGAACTCTGCAACTGTGTTACTGTCTGTAAGCTAAAGTGTTCTGTGACTTCCCTTTCAGTTATAAGGGGGAGGGGATTGTCAGTGGAAGCCCAGAGAAAGTGTGGGAGTGCTTAAAGCCAATACCAAATGGACTCCGAGTCAGCTGGGACAACAACGTGAAAAAGTTTGAACTGCTTGAACAAATCACAGAGGTTGGTTCTGATTTGTTCTTCCAGAAATCTCTTTTTGTGTTGTATCAAACATACTAACCCAGTCGGTCCATACAGTTGTCAGATTTCTTCAGTTTTTATGCCTCAGATTGTCTGAAATATTTTCAAAACTGCACTGTGTCTCAACATTTGAGTTGCCTCAAACAACACTACAATATTTTGGAAACTCTATACTGCAAAACCAGCAATCTGTCTGAGCCTGCTTAATCCTGGCTCCGCTTTATTATAAAGAAACTGGTCCAGACCAACCATTGAAGGATTTAACTATTAAGGATAAATGAACACATTTCACAGAGAGATACAAACATGACCGGTGCAGCTTTGAATGCATACAGGTGATGTCCACGTTTGCTTTTGCTTTGTTTGACTCAGTCCTTGAGTACATACCCTTGTCTCCCACTCTTACACAGGACATCTCTATCTGCCGAACAGTCACGCCCTCAGCAGCTATGGGGATCATAGCCCCACGAGACTTTGTAGATGTTATTTTAGTACAACAATATGAAGATGGCACCATTTCATCAAATGGTGCGTAAACACTCATTCTTGTCTCTTCTCCTTCCTGTAGTTGTTTCTTGTATACTCTCTTCACTTTGCTTTAACTTGACTGACATGGGTATACTCGACAGGTCTGAACAAACTTCATGAGACATTTATTTGTTTTCAACTTTCACCCCAAAGTACAGAACTTTTGCCTCATTTTGTGTTTGAATAGTTTATATTGATGTTGAAAAACAGGTTTACAACAGCTGTTCACGACACAGAGAAAAACATATAAGAAGATAATCTATGCTGTATGATAATATATGACATACAGTGCCCAGCATAAATCAGTACACTCCCTATTAAAAGTAGTGTAGTACTACATATCTAGGTGAGCAAAAGTACAATTTCCAATATTTGGCACAGCTGAGTTTAACATAACCTTTTATTTACCATAAGATGAAAATGAGGGTTGATTTTAAATTGAAAAAGTTACTTTCTTGTATGCAACTTGTATGTGGTGTATGAATTAAAGTTTCCTTTTGGAAGTGATATATTTTCACGTCTGTAGAGTTACAAGAACAGATTGATACAGAAAATGTGAGTTTGTCTTAACTGCAGCTTTACAGAGGTGGGACAGATAAACCTGCAGACTCCTGGTTTAGCTTTGGAGATGGTAGTCAAGTTTTCTGATCTTCAGTCATCCAGTATATTGTGACAGATGTGAAACTTTTGTCTCGCCAAACAGCCACCAACGTGAGTCACTCAAGCTGTCCTCCTCAGTCTGGCTACGTGAGAGGATTGAACCACCCGTGTGGTTGCATCTGTGTCCCCATCTCAGGGTGAGCTCGCTTCCACACCACTTTAAGTCCATCTCCACTGCTTCTCATTCACTTCTCTCTGTGTTTTCTAACTTCTCCTGTTTTTCCACATTGTTTCCAGAGAGCCAAAGAAGACTCAGGTTTTGAGTTTCTTCCAGACTGACCTGGGTGGCTTGCTTCCTCGCTCTGTAGTCGACTCTTTCTTCCCCTCCAGCATGGCTGAGTTCTACAGCAACTTGGCCAAGGCTGTTAAATCTCTGAAGGACCACTGACAACAAGAGTTGGGAAGTGTACCTTAAATCTTGAACCTGACGTATCAGGTCAAATATTCCTTCCATTTTTAAGCTCACACCCAACAGCAGTCAGTGTCCTGGAATCATCAAACAGTTGCTTGATTCAAACCAAGCTCTGGATTTATCTGTAATCCCCTGTGTTACTGTAGAAGAATCCAGTAAGTCTCAGCCATTCACCGTCCAACTCCAGGGCAGGTACTGAACTACCTTTTCAATCTAAAGACAGAACATGGATTTACGTCTATATTTTTACATAGTTTGAAGTATAGCACGTCTACTTTTTAGCAGGATGATGAGAGACCAGACATTTACTCGTTGTATCATTGCATACTACAGTGTACAGAAAACATGCATGTTGCATGGGCCTTGTTTACCCTACAACGGTATCAGTTTATTGGTTAAGCAAACTGACCTTTACCTCACTTCATACCTCATTAGTCTTTTTTTTTTTAGTGTTGTACTTGAATTTCCATAGATTAGTTCTGCTCTGCTTACTTTAAAATCATGAATGTCTGCCACTGTTAGCAGCTACACTCAAACACTGAAGCATGAAGGAGATGACATAAATGTGCTTTAAGACAGAGGCTCCCTTTAAAATGATGCTGAAGACAGTGGGTCGAGTTCATGAGACGTTAGTGAATTTATGTGCAGATTTACGTCCTAATCGTCACTGTTACTAATGAACGCTGCTGAAACCCCTGATTTGATCATGAGTAAGTTCATTATAGTTCATAAATGCCAATCGATCAAAAAGTGACACCAATGACTAGCCAATGAACACCATATAAGGAGGTGTGGACTTGTACTTCCTGTGAGACAGTGAGAAAAGGAAGAGAGAGGAGGAGAAAGAAAATCTTTCAGATGAGGTAAAAGAAGTGATCTCAGGTGTATTGGAGTGAATGAAAATCAGATGTTTTTTCTCCTGTGAGTGGTGGAGTGACTCTCTCCTCACAGTCCGAGTCTGTATTGGGGGGTCATAGAGGCAGATCCTGCTTTGTGTCAGACGAGTCTAAAACCTGGGCTTTAATGGGTACACATAGACGATCCTTGAAGTGCTGAGGTAAGGAAAAATAAAGGGCAAATCCATGAGTACGGGAAACAAGCGTGCAGACTACACAAATCTGCACATGGCTTTTTCTCTTGATCTGACACCTGAGGACTCTGTAAACATGCGAGGATGTAAACAGGTTTAATTAACCAGCCGTCTCTCACTGATCCATCCTCCAAACCAGTCCCACCTGAGCCCCACCAGACAACAGAGCCACAGCACCAAGTAATTAATATTTGATTAATATTGAACACGTATGAAACAACCCATTTTATATTTTGATCTCATCTAAAGCTGTAATCTGCTAATTGCAGAATAATTTGACTGAATGTGTTATAACAGCGATTTCTGGTCATATTTTTTGCAAATTCTTCACTTACTCAAACTCCAGCCGTGGTCAGGAGCAGCTGTAGGTTTGGATCATTGATGAATATCGTTCTGCTCACATTTCATTAATGAGACCTGTTATCAGTAAAACACTTAAGAGCATCTGGACGTTACCCTTCCATTAGTTTCCTGAGTAGACTTCCCTCCCTCCTTTATGTACAGGTCCTAAAACTCCTCGGGGCCTCCTGCCAGTTTTTTCAGTTTTTTTCTGACACCACTTTCTTCGGCTGAAACCATTTTAAACATGCTAGAACTTGACACTAAGATCCCTCCTGATGTACAAGAGGTGAAACAATTCACTGATTAATTGTTGCATCAATTTTAATTCCTTTTATTCACCTGTACTGGCGTGCAGGTGTGTCATGCCCATTCAAGCAGGTGGAGCACTCGCCCCCATCAGGTTTTTACTCATACTTCCAGCTTATTTTCCTAACCTTGTTTCTATATGATCCCTGAATCAATAATAGTATTGCAAGCCAACACAAGTGTTCCTCTCACTCCCTATAGTTATTCAGCAGGAGTGTCCTCAGCATCACTGTACTGTCAGAAAACTTATCCGTCTCACTGTAAACTCAGATGCTGCTCGACTATGAAAGAGTTTAAAATAGAAGTGTTTTACCATCTGCTGTGTTTTTCTCTCAGGTGGAAATGTTTCATTAACATCATTAACACAATAACATCATGATTAAAACAATCTTAAGAGTTCAAACAAAAGTGAGTCAGTGTTAAGTAGAGAGATTAAGATAAGTCAGGAGGATACACTGTGTTAGTGTGTTGAAAAACACTTTTTTTAAGTGTGGTGAATAATTACAGAAGACAGTGGAGTATAATCATTTTGTTATTACATGAGCTCTGAACAAAACACTAACCTGTTAAATGGTTTATATCTGTTCACTAAAAAAACAAAAAAAAACATGTTTATAATTTTCCCTACAACTAAAGACGGTCTAACAATCACTGATATTTTTAAACGCCTGTATCATCAGCAACAAACTATAAAATTAGGTGAATTTTGTATATGATGGTGGTTTTTATGTCCTGTTATCATAATACAATACAGTGACTGAAAACATCCTTTTAGCAGTTTTATACTTGAAAAGGTTTCTCATAGAAAACAACAGGTTCTCATACTTGGGTTTTAACTGTGTCTGCATTTACACCGGTGCTGTAACAAAGAGTCAACAACATGAGCGGTGCTACTTCACATTTACCTGTTTTTTTTTCAAGTAGAAATGGACTGTAAGAAGTTTTTTTTGTGACTCTATTTCAAACTGACTATTAAATAATACAGGACCTGCAAAAAATAAACTAGATCGTGAGCAGAAACGGACTTTTCTCGAAGATGGGTCACAATGTACGGAAGCGTATTGCATTCACTTTAAAAAATAAAAAATAAAAAAGCTTTTTTTTTTTTTTTTTTTCTTTGCTGTTTTTCAGATTAATTTTTTCTTTTGTTTTTTGTTTTTAGAAAATTTTCCCCCTCTTTTTGTTTTTCAGACAATTTTTGATTCTGTTTTTTGTACTTTTTTTTGTGTGTTTTCTGTTTTTCTGACTATTTTTTTTCCCCCTGACTAAACAAGCTGCTCCAAAATCCTGCGAGAATCTCAAATAATCAGATAACATTAACCACCGTGGCTGCTCCAAACCAGCAGATTCCTAGATAACTTTGACTACAGGGTCAATGAGAGTAAAGGATGTTATTAGTTAAACATAGGGTATGCAATTCCTGAGGTGCCTGCACAAAGTAGACAAACTTATGACAATTCCATCTTTCTGACTTAAAGAAAGGAGTATCTTTCAGTGTCACGAACCAAAAGGAAAGTAAAACGTGATTAAACTAAATAAGTAGGCCATGTTTGCTTCTAATAAATTGAGCAGAGGGGGATAAAAGCATCTGTTTTTAAATGATCATGATCCCAGAGAATAGGAAAAAAAAACTAGTGTGAAAAACAAAACAAAACAAAAAACAGTCTGAGAAACAGAAAAATTAGTTTGAAAAACAGGGGGAAAATATTCCAAAGAACAGAAAAGAAAAAAAAAAGTGAAAACAGAAAGTAATAGTATGAAGAGAAGAACAGAAAAGAAAAAATACTCTGAAAAACAGGGAAAAGAAGTCTGAAAAACTTTTTTTTTTTTTCTGGTGAATGCAATGCCTGAATCTGCTGCTGCTGAAAGTGATTGACAGCACGCAGACTGACCCTGTTAGTGCTCTGCTGTCAGTGGTATGTCAGACATGAAGAATGTTCCTCTGAAAATACTGCTGACAGACAGTACAGGTTTTTACAAAGTTATATGGTAAAACACGGCATAGGAGTGATAAAAATCACCTCTGTGTTTGACAATATTAAAAAGAAGTTATTTACAGAAAATTCAGGCTGTATTTACATTTTTACATGATTAAAAAAAGAGAGGTGTTAGTAATAACACAGCTGCCTAAACCACTCTCTCTTTAGAATAACGCCGTCACCGCCATCTACTGCACTCATGTCAGATACACAAAACCCACATCTGTGCACTGAACTGATTTGATTATATGTTTGTCTCACCAGAAAACTGTACTTAGAAACAGAATAAATAAATACCAGTATCAGAACAAGGGAAAGATAGATTTGTGTGTCAGCTGGAGTTGGTAGAGTCTGTCTCTGTGTGATAACCTGTATGAGATTTTCATGTGTTTCTGTTTTTCGAACATGTTGCTGCCTTCCTGTAAAAGCTCATACCCACAGTGTGGCCAGTATTGTTATTATCATACCTCCTGACTGCATCCATCCATCCCTCTGTGAGTTAAAGGCGTGTGGATCTAAGAGCTTTTCCTTGTGTCGATGGTTTTATGGGGCCAGTTTGACTTTAAAAGTGAATTTATTTATATATTCAAAAATAACTATTTGATTATGTAAAAATCAGGTAATGATATTTGAGCCATATTTAGCAACATCAGCCGGGCAGAGATGATTTTTGCTTTTAGACGGGACTGATTTTGCAGAATGTTGCTAAACTTGATCTGTCAGAAATATATTGAGCTGCATTCCACCTGAACTTAGACATGCAATTACCTGTACTGACACAGGTGACCATAATCTAGGCAGAGCTACAACATCTAGAATCAGTCTGACTTCTGCTTTGTTTAAATTAGTTTACAGGAGATGTTCAGTAGAGTTTCAGCAGGTGTAACTACTTTGATTAACTTTAATGGATTTTGTAAGTTAAAATATCGTGGTGTACTGTCACAAAAACACATTTATCATACAGGATGTGTTTTACAAATGTTGGGTACTTGACTCTGTTCAAACATTGTATACAGCTACATAATAAAAGACCACAGCAAATACATGTTTCTCTCTGTTTTTACTATCCTTGGGTTTGTGTTGAAATAGCTAAATTAACGTTTTTGTTTTATTGTGTGCAACATTTTCCAACACTTTGTAGATTTAGCAGAGAAGATCACTTTTAATTGAGTTAAAGAAGGGCTGATAAATCAACATTTGGCATAATAACCCCCTTTTTAACTGCCTGCTTCTCCTACAGCTCTCCACGAGTCCCTCTCATTGCTGTTGAGCGTTGTTTTTTCCACTCCTGACACAAAAAGTCCAGCAGCTCAGCTTTGTTCAATCGCCTCTCAGGTGATCAAACCCGTGCTTAATACTTTGAAGTGTTTTTAACAGCTTCATTATCATGTTATGTAGACTGAGGTGTACCTTTGTCAACATTAAACAAACACTGTAATGGATTGACTTCCTTGCATACAGAGATGCTAGTTTGAGGGGAAAAAAAACATGTCCAAACTTGCATCTTTGATGGTACAGTAGATACTCTGAGCTCCTCATGTCCACCTTACATTCAAACACACACATAAGCAGGAGACCACAGTCCAAACACATCAGGGCTGTAGTTGTGAAGGCCGGAGTGCAGTTCAGTCGTTTAACCTCATAAAACACCAACTTAACTTTGGTATTTGGCCGAATAGAAGTCAAGTTAGTTTATCGATATAAACAGCAATAAACACCTACTTCTCAATTCAATAAGCAGTGTTGTCCCTGCAGATTGAAAGTATTGATTTGACTTGAAGTGGGTTAACCAAATTAAATGTCAGAAGGGAGACTTGAGGGGGAGTTCCATCCATGGCTGAGTGATTTAGTGTATTTGGGCTCTGGTAGGGATTCTCGCTTATTGTTTGAGGGTCTATACTGCATGAAAGGTTCAACGTTTGGCATGAAATGATAACAGTTCATTGATTTCAACCAGGTGTGCTGACAAAACCTAGTCCCAGCCTGATCATGGCTTTGGGGTAAGTTACCGTGATGATCCATCTTCCCTAACACTGAGACCTCGTCAGGCATCAGTGTTGTGCATGATATTGCTGATATTTTAATGATAAACTTATTTTTCAACTCATGGATGGAAACATGAGCACATCAAGAACACGCCTGTTGTTAGCAGGGCGTCTTCTTTACAGACTTAAAGCAAAAATATGAAGGAGTTTCAAAATGATCCAGACCTAAATCAAGACAGCTGCACAGCACACAGACCTCAGTATAAATGCATAATTAAGACTTATTCAATCTCTCCCATCATAAGTACACAGTAGTACACTTGTAGCATGTTTAATGGAACAGTGCTGGCCTCCAGTGCTTTTTCAGTCCGCTAAAGGACCCGATGAACTTTTATCAATAGTTTTCATCCATAAAATCCTTTTAGTGGGTAAGTGTGCACCCACTCTGGACTCTTCCTCTCCTCTCAGGAGGACAGGCTCACTGAGCTCTGTAATCCAGAAAAATGATTGGTTGGTGGGCAGCGGTTTTCAGAGGATGATCTTTCATCCTGGATGTAACCTGATGCAGAGCAGGTTACATGTCAGCCCAAGTTACCATGGTGATCCACCCCAGTTAAAAGTGAGCTACATCCACCTAATAAAAATCCTGAATTAATCCCTGAGTTTGTTTGCTAACCCTTTTTCTTGCCTTATGGCACAGGCCCTGTAAAAATAGTGCGGGTTACTGAGAAAACATTGTCCTCTTTTGACACCTAGAGGCAGAATTAAGTACTACTCAGCAGAAAAAGCAAGTGATTTTTCCCACTTTCAAAGGTGACCTTCAGTGAGCAGAAATCAGACGTCTTGCGGTCACACTGTCAGATACGAACACAAACCCCTCTCATTATTACTTCAGAGGTGATAGCGACCTTCAAGAACAAGAAGCTCCAGAGATGCATGAGGAGTAAGATTCTCCATCTGTTGAGTTTTATTGTCAAAAACTTTAATCAGTCTGCAAGTTGTTTTGAATGCAACAACAATAACCACTGGTGCATTTTTGGCAGGGGCCTCACGCAAGTCAGAAACACACATGGCCCTATAGTTTTTTCTTTGTGCTATTGTAGAAACACAGGGGTGGCCTCAGCTGAAGGGGACCTGCTCCTTACACAGATTAAAGAAAAAAAACTTATATTAAGGTGATTAAACACCAATTTAAAAAGAGTTATGAACATTATATTCCTTTATTTACCTGATCTGTTATGCTAAATGCCACTTTTGACTTGACACTTTAAAGTGACATAAAACAGGAAATCATGTGCTGCTGAAAATGAAAATGAAAACCTGATAAACTATATTCCTGGGTATAGTCTTTGCTGCTGAGATGACCAGAGCACCACAGCAACCTTAAATAGTAATAGAGGTTAAATCTCTTTTACATCATGTTTTACCTGTTTTCTTACTGTTACACAGCATTTAAGAGCGCTGACACTGCTCCAGGATAAATACACATTTTCTGATTCAGATTCTTAATAAGGGTCCAAAAATAGAGTCTTATAAGGTTATGAAGATGGTTGGGACGGCTGTTTTTTTTTTTTTAATCTTTGGCTTCTTCATTGGCAGCAGCTTCTAGCGGCCATGTTGATCATTCTCCTCCCCCCTGCCTCCTCCTGACCACCACTGAAATGTCTCCATCAGGCAGAGCCTTGATCATATTCCAGGCCTCAAATCGAGTCATGTCCTGTAGGCTGGTCCCCTGAACCTGCAGCAGTTCATCTCCATTCTGTAGTCCACTCTGTTCTGCACACATGATAGAAACACACTTATTTATTTAACCTTTTTATACAGAAATCAGAGAAAGTGACAATGACTGAAGAGTCGCTGTCGATTCACATATGAAGGAGTTTTTATTCTGGTCCTTGAGCAGAGCTGTTAGCCAGAAATGTTTCATTTTTAATCACACCCGCTGGAAAACCACTACTAACCCAAGATTCTAACAAGTGTAGAAACTGTCTGACCCTCTCCTTCTGTCCTGAACTCTCATTACAATGAGGGGAGTGACAGTGAAGTACATCAGAGAAACCTTAAAAGACAGAGAGTGGAGGATCTATTCTCGAGCTATCTGTGTATGCTTCAAACAGAAAACCACTCTTCAGTCTCAGAGCAGATCCAAGTTACCTTGAAGACAAAGTTTCACCAGCTGGTTTTGACATGACCTGATGATGACAGACATTAACAGATAACCTGCTCTGTGTTCGAAACCTGAAATACTTTATTATAGGCTGTGTCACCCTGGGCAAAAGCTTCTGCTAAATGATGGAGTGGCATTTTAATGTCCTCTTAGTGCTTACTGCTGCACCATTTTCACTCCCAGTACAGACATTCACAATAGTTCCCTGATAGTACCTTATCTTTGAAATAGATCAATAAAGAACAAATACATAATCTTACCTTTAAAGATCCTATTGATGACTAAAGGTTTGTCTCCATGGATGGAGCCTTTTCCTCCCTCCAGAGTGAAGCCAACACCCCCACCTCCTTTCTCCAGCTGCACCCTGATCACGGTTCCCTGCTCCTCAACTGTCACACAAAACACAGTTCACAGGACCTGATTAATGGAGCCCACACACACACTCATGGTGCATGTCCACACTCAGCCACTCATTGACTTTGTGGTGCCTTCCTCTTAAGTTCATGAGGGCTGTCCCAGTGTCGCACTGTTTTTTAACCCTTTACTGCGTGCACGCTACCTGTAAGTAGACATCTCTGCAGAATTAGCTTGAGGGAACCATAACCATACTTCAAAGCACTGTGGCAAAGTGTGGATGGAAAATGAACACCATGAGAAGGAAATGAAAAAGGAGGTAAATACTGTGCATGGAAGGTGCCATGATGATGTTGCTTAAAAACAACGTGTTTTTAAGTGAAAATAACAAATATTGCAAAGATCCACTGGTAGTCCTGTTTTGACCAGATTAAAACAGATTTTTCCTCTCATCTGTAGTGTTGTGTTCACAGTGCAGCACAAAATCTAACAAAGCTTCCATATTGACATAAATTCTGCAGGTCGACTACATACCTGTTTAAACATAGACATCAAATCCCAATTCTTTTTAAATACAACTTTGAAACAGTCATCTTATTTAGTCCCATGTGTTGCTTCATGGTTTCAGAGTTGTCTAATGTGCCATGAGCGTTGAGTGAGCAGTCACTCAGTACTGTCCTAATCCTGGTTTTATCGTTTCGAGTCCTGGTGGCCTCATGAACATAATCACTTTCTAGGTGAAGTCATTTAGACCTTTGAGGTCTCAGAGCTTAAGGTTTAGAGAGCAAATTAAATGAGTAACCATGACAACAGAGGCTCAATCAAAGCTTCAGTTCGCAAGCTACCATTTGATGACATCGATGAGGGACTCCGAAGCCTCAACATAACATAGCTGATCCTTTAAAAACATCATTTCACTACTAAACCCTCTGCGTCAGGCATGTCTCCTGTGTTTGTTGATGGAAATCTTAATGTAGCAACAATGACAGGACTGGTTAGTATTGTGCTCCGTCATGTCATTTATACTTTAGGACAGCAGGTGGCACAGTTGTAAAGTTGGTCCTAATTACAATGGACTCTGCTCTGTGTATAATGTTCAGCATTTCTAGTCCCCTTTCAGATAGATGAGCGACTCCTGAGCTGTTCCCTCTGGTGACTGTGGTCCCTCTTCCTTCAGAGAGGAGGACCAGGAAAAATGAAGCTTTGTCTTCTGAGACTTCAGGGCAGTTTTACACTTCACATCAGTCCAGCTTAAAGGGCACAGGTGCAGAGAAGTCTTCAACAGTGTGGATCAAGTTTGGTTGATCTGGTAGTTTGCAGCTTTACTCCTATTGTACTAAGGCTGCTCCTGACCGCATGAATTTTTAATCAATATTTTGTCCTGTAGATGAAAAAATCCTCAAATTCTTTGAAATTGTATGCTAAATAAGATATTCCAAAACTTTTGAACTGTTTTCTAAAGTGGTCTTTCCCACCTTCCCTTCTAGGATAACCTTTCTCTCTGGACGGCCATTTTTTGTACCCCGGCCAAGATGATACTAAGCTGTTAACCTAATTAAATAGGAGATGATCCTCCAGGAGTTTTTTAGCCTAATACAACTTTTTCAGTTTTTTTAGTTCCTGTTTCAATTTTTCTCTAACTTTTTTCTGGTGTGAAATTTAAAACAAGCTCAAATGTTGTCATAAAATGATTGTCTGGATGTAACTTTTAATCCAACACAGACTTTAATTATTTGCAAACCATGAAAATATAATGGCAGTCTATTCGTTTTTATTTTACACACTGTCCCAGTCTTCTGAAATTGAGGTTGTAGCTGCTTGTATGTCCTTGACTTAAAATGTAGTTTTGTGACAAAACGAGTTTTTCATTTCTGCCATTCTTACTTCAGTGGCTGCATGTCAGACTCCGGGGAGTCTGAAAAAAATAATGTAAACAACCAAACACACAATCTCAATATAAGCAATTAATCTGGATTATTGAGTATTAAGTACTGCAGTGTGAACATGGCTGAATTTGTGTGAATATTACTTTGTCTTTACATGTCAGCTCTGTAATGGGCTGGTGGTCTGTCCAGGGGTCCGTTTCACGTAGCAGGTTTAGTGGAAACTCCGAGTTTGTTAACCCTGAAATCAGGGAAACTCTGAGTTTTCCGTTTCACAAAGGAGGGTTAGTTAAACCAGGGAGAGAGGGGTAACTCTAACCTGTTTCACAAAGAGAGGTAACTCAACCTCGCGGTCAGTTACCGCAGTAACAGACTCCGTGAACCTAACCTGCTCGGGAGCAGGTTTAACTCAGTAAACCCAGAGTTTCAGGTGAGACATCGGCATTTTCTCATTTTGATCATGTTTTACATTGTCAAGTAAGTATTAAGTGGCAGTTTGATCCCTTTAAAAAAGCTGTTTTCACACTCAAAACTGAATTTTACTCTCTTATTATGTTCCGTTAAATGATTAGGAATATTAAACTAACACAAAAACGGGTGGTGGTCCAGCAGCCCCACCTTTAACGGAGGCAGAGGAGCTGCCCCCCACCCCCCCCCGTTCGACGATCGCGGCCGGTCCGAACGCAAATCCCCCCCCACAGACACACACACACGCACGCACACCAGTCCGACGATCGCTGCTACGAGGTGGGGGTTTCGATCGTCGGGGGGGGGGGCTGCTGGGCCACCACCCGTTTTTTCTGGCATCTGCCCTCTTTCTGTTTGCTGAGTGAAAGTCTAATATTGAGTGTAGTGTGTGTTAGTTTAATATATGTACATATACATACTGAGAGTTAGTTTAATATTCCTAATCACTTAACGGAACATCATAAGAGAGTAAAATTCATTTTTTTGAGTGTGAAAAGAGCATTTTCTAAGGGATCAAACTGCCACTTAATACTTACTTGACAATGTAAAACATGATCAAAATGATTCAAGCAGTTTCCCTGCAACAGTCTGTCATTGTGATTGCACGAGACTAGATTTAAAGTTACGCATTGACGCGAGCAGCGATTTCCTCCCAAGCCCTCTCCTTCTCCTTTGCAGCTGCTGCTGTATTGCACTTTCTTTTACAAACGTGCTGTAATTCGCTGTTGGCTTGCTGCTGCCCCCTCCTTCTCCCTGTTTCCATTGGTTGATCATTGAATCTGCGCTCCACAGATGCTGGCTGTTTATGTCTGGCGTGCACGTGCTTAACTCCAGGTCAAACTACTCGGAGTTGTTAAAACCGTCTCAAATCAGGTATTGTGAAACCGGAAACTCAGAGTTTCCTAACTCAGAGTAGATCAACTCAGAGTTAAGGATTTAACTCAGAGTTTGTTGAACCACCTACGTGAAACGGACCCCAGGTGTACCCAACCTCTCAACCGGTGACAGCTGGGATTGGCTTCACTCTCACAGGACCCCTAAACATATAAGCCATGAGAAACTGGATGGATGGACTTCCTAAGTGATGTTCCTGACTCGAACCCTTGCTAGCAATTATAGCTGAGCTGTGGCGTTCAACCCCTTTCTTTCACTAACCTGGACAGGTGCATGAAGAGTTTGTTGTCATGGTTACATTTGTATCATATCTTTCATGAATTGACCTCACAAATACAATGGAGACACATGTCCACCCCGGTCAACTCATCATCTGTATGTGAAGAGACCTCTAGCTCTGTCAGGATGTAAGTGCACAGCGCAGCTCTGTGCAGAGGCTAGAAACCAGAGCAGACTGCACAGAACTGCAGAACTTTTGGCATGTTTCCTCCTGAATATCATGAGGGCAGCATGATTGAGAATCAGACTTTAAGATGGTAAGAATCACAGGAGCAAACAATGCTAATTTCCTGGTGCTACTAGCTGCTGAAGCCCATGCTTGAGCTAACAAAATCTTCTGATCATAGAACAGATGGTTATATTTATGCTGCTCAGAGGCGTCCATGATCAGGACGAAAGCAACCAGAAGTGCAAGATCTCAAAACGTGATCATGGAAATCTATCATCTCTTATACATTTCAAGTGCAAACCTGCTAATTCTTGTCTTGTATTTGAAAACATTTCGGTCTGAAAAGGTTCATGACCAGAGAATTATCTGATGCATGACTCACCTGTAGGGTTTGGTTCCTCATTTTTGCAGCCTCCTTCCTCTCTCCTTCCCTCATCTGCTCTCTTGCAGATAACCACCACAGCCAGCGTCGTATTGCGGGTCTGACGTAGAGCATTGGTGGCATCAGCGTGTGTGAGACAGCGCAGTGTTTTTCCGTTAATAGACAACACTTCATCTCCTTTCTGAATGGTGCCCTCCTGAGCTGCCAGGCCACTGGGAAACACTCTGTGCACCTGAACACAAGAAAACAGACATTTTTAAACAATGTTACAAAGTGTAAAATGGAGAAATGAGTAAGCAGAATACTAGCCAGGTTAAAAATCTTCGTACTTTTTGAGTTGTTTGTGGTAAAGACAGTCTTTTATTGCAGTATCTGAGATAGATACTGCAATCCAACAGTCAGATTAGTGTTTACGGTCTTGTGTGAATACTCTTTGATTTGTACAACTCTGATTATTAAAGGTTCAGATGGTTTTGTCTCAAAAAGCCAGTTTCAAATGACTGTTCTTTTTCTTTTAAAGGTGAAGGGGTGGTGGTGAATCTGTGCCAGAGTCGGTAAACTGGGGGTTCTTCAATCAATGCCTGAAATGCTGAAGAGTCTTTGGGAAAGACTTATCCTCAAACTGCTCTCACTGGCAGTGCTAGCAGAGTGTAAATGGGGTAAGGATGTGGTGTGAATGGGTGAATATGACATGTAATGTAAATTAAAGCAGTTTGAGTAAGATTAAAGAAAGTGTTATAATAACACATAATACAGTCTATTAACCGTTTAAGTGTTTTTATCTTTCTCTTGTCTGGACCGTTAGAAACCTGTTCATTAACCATTCAAAAGACATGGTCAGAAAACCAAATGATTGTAATGATGCAGCTTTATCTGTTTTAGTTTGTCTGGTGAGTGAGTGAGTGAACTCTTCTTACTGTAGGAGCTTTGCTCTCCAAGTCAGAACCACCGGCGATGGTGAAGCCCAGCCCAGCGCCCTCCTCTTTGTGCAGAATCACAACATGAATGTCCGCCAGTTGCTGTGGAAAAGTTTGCATTTCATCGATTTTATGTCTCAGGATTCGTGAGCGAGTTTCCATGTCAACCAAACAACTGTTCATGTTTTTTATGGCCTCAAACACCTTTGGAAGAATTTAGATGGTGCACGAAAAAAGTTAGCATGAATACATAAATCTTTTCACAATTGGAAAGCACTAGATTTGTTGGAAAATTCACACATACACACATGGTGGCAGTGTGTGACCATAATAAAATAAGTGCTTATTAGGCTGCAGGAGGAAAAAATCTCAGATTGAACATTATTATAATTCAAAACTTCAGAGAACTTCTGACAATAAACCAGAGAAGATATTTAAATTACAACTATGCAAGTTTGATTTACAAGTTTTCCCCTCTGTGAAATATCCACAGTTTGTTGGTGACTTCTTACCTTCAGCAGCTCTTCATCCAGAGTTTGAACTTCTTGGATCATCTTCTGTATTTCTTCTGATGGAATGGCTGAGATGACAGAGTGAGCCCGAGCAGAGGTGACAGCAGCCTCCCCCTGAGTTCCCCCCTCCCCTTGCTCGATGGTGAACTCTCTCACTGTGGCCAGGCTGTGTTTGATGAGATGATAACATGTTAGACTGAAGATGAACATGCAGGTCTCTCACTCTGTTTTTGTCGCTGCTGCCCCGTACCATGTGATCAGCCCCACCTCTCCAGCATCTACCTCCACGGCTTGAAGGTGTTAAAACTGAATTTATGACTTCTCAAATGTCTGTGTCACAAAAACACATATGCACGGAGAGATTGGGGCCTAAACAGGAACACTCTTCCTCTTCCGCTGTTACAGTAACCACTTTAAAATGTGAGCGATCTGACTGAAGGTCACTCTTTTATATTCTGTGTGAATGGTGTACAACATCTGCTTTTTAAAAGTAGTCACTAGTACACGTCTTACAACACAGGAAGTTGTTTTTTTTTAACTTATACCCACTTCCTTATGAACTGAAAACAGACACAGTATGCAGCTCTCTGTGGGGCGTCGTCGTTGAAATGCTAGGCCAAAGCTCTCAGTCTTACCTAACAGAGAATCCTCTGTCAGTGCTGCTCTGGCTGAGCTCGGACTCCTGAGGGTTTGTTAAGTCCTGGGCACAGGGCTCCAGCAGCTGGGGGTCACCAGGGCAGGGGCACGTGGGTAGAGAGCGCATCAGCGCTTGTGAAAACTGGATTAAAAGTAACAAAAAGTCAGTAAAACGCTTCGATGTGAATGAAAGTCTGTATAAGGTAAGATATACATGTTTGTAAGCTATAAAACCAACATGTATCCAATATCACCACCTAGATGTTGTAATAAACTCACCTGTGGAACGTGAGTTTGACAATAACTCAGCTGTATCCTCCATCACAGTTGTAAATCTGCCCTAACCCTAGATATGGAACAAACTTACTGATAACACATCAGATTCAGACCTGATATGTTTTGGACGGGTCTTATTTCTTTCTTTCTTATTTCTTATGACATGCAGTGGATGTACCCCTTTGGTTTTTAGTCCATGTCCATGAGAGGTTAAAATAAGGTTTCTGTAAAAACCTCCAAATGTAGCAGTGAGTTGTTTCAGTTCAGCATGGTGTCTGTTAAATGTAAATTTAGTCCTATTTGAGGTCATCTGACATCTATTTGAAGATTCAGCATAAAAATGTCAAGTCTGAATTTTGAAGGCGGTTTTTCAGTGTATGATTTCAGTTCATTACATACACTAGTATTAGCTACTGGTGTGCCAGTGAGCCGTATGGAGAGTCCTCTCAATCCAAGGATCCGCTGAACTATATCTATTAGCATTGAATGATGATTTACATTCAGACAGCAGCTCTTGATGCTCAATTCAGATTGATTGATCAGATGTATTGATTTCTTTACTGGCACATTTTAATTGGGGCCTGTTTGAACTGGACACAGTCCTGAACTGACCTACAGAAGGAAAACTACAAAGATATCATGGTGGAAACCAAAGGTAGTCATGCTAATGATACATAATAGGTTAAGATACTAACCTATTATAAATATGTTCCTATTTTTTATATCACAGGTTGATACATTTGTGATACTCTACATTAGAGCAGCAACAACATATTCACACCCCAAAGTTCACGTGGCGTCCTGAAATGGAGCATAGATTAAGATGTTGAGGCCATGCAGTGTTCTCTACTGTTTTCTCTCTACAACTGGTGATGACAGAGAGAGCTCTGAAGAGGGATTTTAAAAATCAAGTTGACATTTGGGAAAAACTTCATGATAATAACCCCTCACATCATGCTGTATTACCTGGTCACTGAAGGCGAGGATTTTCCCCAGGCTCTCGTCCTCCAGACCTCTCTGTTGTTGACCCTCTGTAGATGGAGAGGTACACAGATCTGTGCTCGGCAGGTTTCCTTCTTGGCTCTGTACCTCACCCCCGTCTTTCTCTTCCACAGGCGTGTCTCCTTCAGCCTCACTGTTCGCCTCAGATGTTGCAGGTAGTTGGACCTCTGACTCAGTGACCCTGATGGGGTTCACCGTTACATCCTGGGACTCTTGAGGTTCAGGTATCCCTGACACAACACTGGTGCTGATGACATCAGAGGGTTGGAGATCCATGGGAGCCAGGATGGAGGCAGGTTCATCTGCTTGACTACATGCTACTGAAGTGGAGGAGAGGGAGGAGACAGCAGAGGGTGTCACAGAGACACTCTCTTCTGCTCTATTACACTCCGTCTGGGTAGTCTGGACCTCTTCAAAGATCTGATCTTTGCCTTTTCTAGAATCTGTATTTGAGGTAAGGTAGCCCCTGGATTCCTTCTCCATCAGAGGAAGAGAGGCAGACGGGGCGACAGGCCTCCTGCTGCTCTCCTTGCCTTGACCATCTGGACTGGAAAAACTCTCAAAGGAGTGGATCTTCTGTTTGATTGACAGGTTGGTTGCAGCAGAGGCAGATCGGATTCCAAAGTTTCTGTTGAAACCCGAACCACGACCTTCCCCTGTGGGTTTTGCATGCTTCTTCTGGTCCTGCTCGTCCTGAATTTTTTTAATACTCTGGCGAAACCATGAGGGCTTCGGGGCCACAGGGGGGCCCTTCTTTCCATCAGGGGGGGTCTCAGATGTGTCTGTTCCATCTGTGCCATTGGTGTGGGAGTTGTCTTCCTGGTCACTCATGGTGGAAGGTTTGCTGTGGCTCTTAATAGGCTGTGCAGTGTCTGCAGCGGGGTGAGGATGATGCTGGTGGACGTCAGGTAGCTCCTCAGGGGAACTCTCTGAAAGGTAAACCCAGGGATCCAGTAGCTCTTGGATATGTTGTTCAGTACAAGCCTGTCTCCTCAGAGCGCCTCTTCTTGGTTGTGAGCAAGTAGCTAAATCACCTGTCCACACAGAGAGACACAGAGAAGAAGAGAAACCAGAGAGGTTGAGCATTTCACAGTCCTGTACAAATGCAGTTTAAACACATTGTAACACAGGGTTAAACACCCCCACGAGAGATAAATGTTGCCATCTGCTTGCTTCTCTAGTTTTACCAACTTCAGTTCTTGTTTGTGGGGGAGCCCTGACAAATCGATCACTGAGTGTTATCATTAATGTTCTTCCTTGAGCTGCGAAACTCTGCTGCACTCAGTGATCGACTCGTCAGGGCTCCCCCTACAAACAAGAGACTGCTGGAGGAGAGTGGGTAAGTTGTGTTTGGTCTCTTTGCTAATGAAATCAGGCAAAGCTTAAAAGATGTTTGGTGGCTAGTACTTTGGCTGGGACCCTATATGCACTGTTGATGAAGTTAGGTGCTGTTCTAAGCATTATTTGTGACTATAGAATGGTGTTTTGGTCGAGGTTTGCGCGTGGAGAGGTAGACCGCTGTGTATTACTGTTATGCAGTCGTTACTAAAGTTGGTATAACTAGAGAAGCAAGCAGTCAGCAACGTTCATCTCTCAAGGGGGTGTCTAACTCGGTGTAATGGTGTGTTTGACCATAACTTAAATTTACACCGGAATATCCCTTTAAAAGCTGTGCTGAGGAGTAAAGCAGTTTGCTTAGTATTGGAGCTGCATGCACAGAAACAGAGTCATTAGCTTTCATTTTTCCTGCATAGAATTACAACAAATGCTGTGTTGTTGTGCTTTGACCAATCAGTAGAAGGTAAAGCTGTTTATACTAACTATCTGCAAACAAACATGTCAGACAAAATAATATATTGTATATACTATATTGTAATATAGTAATATTTAAATAAAGGATATATCATCTGTGATCCTTTTTTTGGAGAAGACATTACTAACAAATCAGAGTATAACTGTATGCTTATTTCACCTCAATATTAATATTTCATTTCTTATAAAGACACTTAGATACTCCTGTGAGGTGACACCCACATCAGAGCGGGGTAACACTGCTCTGCTGCTCGTCTAATTGATCACACTAGAGAGGGTGGGGCCAAAACATCAAACTCTGTCCTCAGCCGACCTCCAGAGTGAGAAACAAGAGACTTCTTTTGATCTGAAAATCATGTCAAGCCATTGAAGAGGAATCAGAGAGGAAGAATAGAATCTAAGAAAAGCACAATACCCCCTCTTTAAGGTTTATATTTAGAAGAACATTACATTTATATTTTCTCTTTATTTGGTCCGTGTTTAGGTTGAAAATCGAAATGAGCACAATTCACCATTTTGGAAGTTCAATCTATGTTGCCATGGTAACAAAACTGGTATTTTTTTCATTTATTTTATACTAAAATTGAATCCAAATTCTGGTACCATGATAACTTTAACAGTAAGAAGTGGTAGAGGCATTGCATTAAAGACTAAACTATAAAGAAAGAGCTTCTCATTGAGAGTGTGTCACCTTTAAAGTTCAAATAGGTGTCAAACTGTTCAGACAGGCCATCAGAAACTGTGAAAATAGACCCAACGGACCATGACTAGAGTAATTAACTTAAGAAAAGTGTGATTACTTCTCAGTTTGTATTTGCTGACACGGTTCATCTTATCTGAACAGGAAATGAAACATCAGTGTGATGATCAGGTTCAGCTCGTTGTAAATGAATCAAATCTGCTGCAGGATTGATCAGCTGGTTTCTTACATGCATTCATGGTTTTCCCTGCTAGTTCTCGGCACCTGTCTCTTACCTGAGTGCAGTCTGATGTTGGTGCAGGCTGAGCTGTCTGGACGAGTGAAATCTTCTTCTCCTTCGTCTGATAGTTTCCTTGTTTTTTCTTCTTCCTGCTACACAAACAGGAAGTGGTTTGTCACAACAGTTTCTCTTGCAGTAACCACAGACAGATGCAACGACGAACCATGACTCTGTTCAAACACACTGCACTGCGCTTTCTTAACACAGGATGATCAACTCAGAAACAGGCCAAAAACCTGACCAGAGATAGAGTCCTGCTTATGGACCTAATGACTTAAAGTGGAGTTCATGCACCTCTGTTTCCACAACCACAAGCTCTGGTTTTATTGGAGGAAGAAGGAGAACTCTGGACTATATGCTGCAGAGATTTTTGTGTTGAGGAGACATAGGGGGGGAAATATTTCAAATAACTGGTCCACCTAAATGTGTCAATACTAGCTGAGGTACTGAAAGAAGAAACTGTGATGTTTTCCTTCATCATTCATTGAGTTCATTTGGTCTAAACGGAGACACATTGACCTCAATGATCTCTGCGGACAGAGCAGGAGCACACACTTTATTAAGAGGCCCCCTGTTGTTTGCTTTCTGGCAGATTGAAGTGGTTTGATAAGTTCATCTCTTGTCAATTATGCTGCTATTGTTTTGGAAGTAAAAGGGGAAAATGGGAGATCGACAGGCAGATCGGAGCGGCGTCAGCGGTGTTGCGGACGCTTAACCGATCAGTCATGGTGAAGAAAGAGCTGAGCCATAAGGCGAGACTCTCGATTTACTGGTCGATCTACGTGCCGACTCTCACCTATGGCCATGAACTTTGGGTAATGACCGGAAGGACATGATCACGGATACAAGCTGCTGAAATGGGTTTCCTTCGCAGGGTGGCCAGACTCAGCCTTAGAGATAGGGTAAGAAGCTCGGACACTCAGGAGGCGCTCAGAGTAGAACCACTGCTCCTCCACGTCGAGAGGAGTCAGCTGAGGTGGCTCGGGCATCTGGCTAGGATGCCTTTTTGACGCCTCCTATTAGAGGTGTTCCAGACATGTCCCACCGGGAGGAGACATCGTGGCCGGCCCAGGACCAGGTGGAGGGATTATATCTCTCGCCTGGCCTGAGAGCGCCTGGGAATCCCCCGGAGGAGCTGGTGGAAGTGGCTGGGGTGAGGGCAGTCTGGGCTTGCCTCCTGAATCTGCTGCCCCCGCAACCCGGACCCGGATGAAGCGGAAGAAAACGACGACGATGACGATTTTTATTACAGAGTCTCTGTATGAATAGTGAGTGCAGATGTGCAATATGATTAATTTCTAACAAATCCTTCTCTACATTTAGAGACATGAATAATGATCCTGCATATGCATCTGGCAGGTTATTACTGAACATGTATTTAAAAGGTGTCGGGGATATTACACTACAAGGAGCAATGTGGATGTCCAGATCTGTAACTCAGTGTGGCAGGACTTGAGGACAGGACACGTGCCTGCCTGGTTTTCATGCTGACAGTATAAACACATGCAGATAAGGAGCCAAACATGCATAAAGGTGTGATTAAATATGGAAACTGCTTGATATCATGCAAAAGCAACTCTTAATGATAATGAAATCAGTTCCATTAACATGCAGATAAAAGCAAATCCAGCTCAGCCACACGAACAAAAACACACAATCAATCCTGGATCCCAGAGAACCACTTTGTATCATTTTAACACATCCAATATTAATTTAAAGAGCCAATAAAGTCGATTGGCTAGGAATGAAGAGGTCTGTGAGGGGTAGAGCTTGTTTTTTAATGCAACCACATTCTTTTTTTTCCCTCTTACATCCTGTGTTAATTATGCACAGAGAAATACTTACTGAAGAACTTATTACTGTTCCACAACAGTAAAAGAAAACTAATGGTATAAATGATCAGTCACACAGCTCCTGTCCAGTGACAGACTTCACCCCAGTCTTGGAGACTTATCAACAAACAACTGTTTGGGTTGACTCAACAGGCAGCTCTTTGAATTTTAATGTTTATTTGTCACTTTTTTAAATGGCGACTTTGGACAAACATATTCTTTTTGAGTACTACAAGATCAACAGATGTAAGTGTTGCCCCTCTGTTCAGTTACTGTTCAGAGCTAAAAATAATATAGAAGATTATATAGAAGAAGAGGAAATGTTTGGATTCTGTTACAACTACTGCCACTCTCATCTTCATCTTCTTCTTCATCCTCCAAACAGAGGGTTTCAGACTGCATCTCACTGGAATATCTAGTCTGTGTTGCAGTAGTAACAGTTGTATATAACATAATTTTTTACCTGTTCAGCTGAATGCTACATGTTTCACGCTGATGATACGTTCAAGGAAAAAAACACAAACAACTTCACTCCATACTGCGTGCAGAAATACTTTCTATCAAGGCATCCTTTCAACAGGGTTTGTCAGCCATGATTGATCATTTCAGTCAATAGTTATACATAATTTTTGATAGTTTTCATAACTTTCCAAGAAAGGTGGCAGTCCTCACATTTACCTGTAAAAGCTTTTCAAGCAAAACATGTAAATGCAGTAAACAGAGGAAAATCTTGGTGTTTACCGGCCTGGTCAGGATCATAGACTGTATATAGACTATTATGGACAACTTGGCTCCACCTTTCATCATTATACGAATTTGAAGCCGAATTGCTCTCAGTATTTCCGGGATTTTCTCCACTTTCTGGAACCACCACTTACACAGTAGCATTGTATGCATCCGATGGGATAGTAGCTGTGATGATGCTCAGCTCAAACAGTGTATCCCCCCAGGTGAGCCCGGATCAAGTGTCAATCATAGAAAACATGAACCCCCTAATAACTTTTAAAAATTGAGCTGTACAGAAAAAAGAGACTTGAGCACAAACCAGTCTTACAGTAACTACATGTCAACATCACAACCAGGGGGGAGAAAATTGTATATTCTGTGAAATTAATTTCTCCATAGGGATTGCTGGAGGAGGCGGGATATATGACCTATACTGCAGCCCGTCACTAGAGGGTGCTGTTCTCGCAGTGGTTTCACCCAGCAAGGAGGCAGACGGCGTCCATTCTATATAGTCTTTGGTTTCAAACTTTAGCTCCAACAGATCACTACAGCCTGCGGCCCTGAGCATAGAGGTGAGCGCCTCCTGGAGGTCCCAATTGTTATCCTGTGGGTCTGACAATATTAGAGAGGCCTTTTAATCAAAAGTAGGATTTTCATTTACCCAGAAACAGCTGGTACATCACTCTCTCTTCAGAGCCACCAGACTTTCTATACAGAGACACTAAATAATGTACAAAAACAAAGCAGCACTTTTGACAAGCCACCCTTCACAAACCCTTAAAAAATGTGCTTTATTATAAGTATCTCTAAAACTATAATGAGAAGAATACAGCACTGTACTGTACATTAAACCACGCCTCACCTCTTTGCACTCTGTGACCAGGTTCATCAAATGATAAAAAAAGGCAGGTTTTCAGCATGCTTTCACCAGCACATCACAAAAAGACACCACAGCCATTCATACATACATTCCTAAGTAACCTCAGGATCTTTCGTAATGCCTTGTACACATTAGTGAAGAGCTGCAGCGGAAAGAAGAGAATAATGTGATATAACACGCTTCTTACATGCAAAGTTAGAGAACACAGACCAACTTAAAGTGCGGCTTGAAACTCACTAAATGTCATTAAAACAAAACCTACAAATATTCAGAAGCACTCAAGAATATAGTGAACAATGACTGGTGACTGAATTCCCTTATGCCATGAATCAGAATATAAAGATATATGATAAAGGTTTTTTCAGCCTTTAATTCAATTACACAGTTATTGGTATCAAATGCGGACAGTGTATGAAGCCCTGACGTCACTGTGGCTGATCAAACATTGGAAAGAAAAGAGTAATTAATGACAAACTGAACCAGCCTCCACACACAGGTGACCAGTCATCTGTTTCATTGGTCCTGAGGTCAAACACTGTTTGTGTCATGATTTGTTCTGTTTATTTAGTTTTCTCCTGATTTTATTTGAGTGCATTTTGTTTGTTTTCTCAACTGTTTCTGTTCCCTATTGTTACTATTCCCCTGAAGTCCAGTTTGACCCTGTTTCCCTCCTGTTCTCTGTGTTGTTATTCTTTATAACAGTTTTTAGTGTTTCCTGTTTTATTTTGTAGTAGTTGATTCCTTGTGTTTGTAGTCTGGTTTTACTTCCTCAGTTTTCCCTCCTTCGTTGATCACCCATGAGTTTCACCTGTGTCTCGTTTGCCTCACCTGTTGCTCGTTATCCCAGTGTGTATATAGTCCCTGTCTTCCCCTCTGTCTTTGTTGGTTCATAATATGTTTGTCAGTGTGTGCATATGCCTCTGTCCCCAGTTGCTCCCTGTGATATTGCCCCAGTGATTTTTTGTGGATTTTGCCTTTTTTTGTTTGTTTGTTTTTTTTCTATTTTTTGCTTTTTTATTTTGTTCTTTTTGAATAAATCCTTTTTTTTGTTCTGCATTTTGAGTCCTCTCCCTTTTTGTTTAACTCTGGACTATGACAGTTTGATTATTCAATGACAAACTGTACATTTCCCTAAACAGTGAGATGTCAGCACAGTGAGCATCTTAGTGATCCCCTTTATTTAATCCAATAAAAGTGTGTTCTGTCGGATGGTGATGACTGCCTGGCTCGTGTGTTTTGGGTGTGGGTTCATACAGGTTGTGTTCTTGATATTTTCAATTGTAACTGATACACTCAAATCAGACCATCATATACTTTTTCAATTATCTGCTTCTAATAGTCAACAAAAGAGCTTTCAGTTTAGACCTGTTTTAAATGTGTGTTCAATGTGAGAAACAGGTTTTTATTTAAAGTTCAGAAAGATATTGAAGCGCTTTAACTGAGTGACAAAGAGGAACTAATGCTGGGCTGTACCTGACAGCTGGAGCCTGATGAAAGCTCCAGTCCATCTTCTATTGGAAATCCTCTACAGCTGGAGTCTGCATCGTAACCCTCCTCACTGGTCACGTCCTGGGGCCAGCAGTGCTGACGTGGAGCAACACGCATCTTGCAGGTGGACTACAGACAAAGACACGCAGACAAACACAGCTGTGGTAAAGGTCCTCTTCATAGTCTAAAAAAAACAGCTGAGTACATAAAAATGAAGGTAAGGCAGTATTAGAGCAGCTGATAGTACAGAAAATTGCTTCTACTGTCTGCTGCCTGTGTGTCTGTACATTTTGAGACTTTTTAGACCATCTAAGCCCTGAATAGACTTTATGCACAGATATGATGTCTTGAGGTTATCTGGGGGGGAAGTGTTGACATGACTAATGAAAGTTTCAACAGCTCTTATAAATACTGTGGGACAGAATCTCAGCATAAAGTAACAGCAAATCTAACTTTGTGTTGCTGTTATTACAGTTGTGTTTGGCAACAACAATCGTGCATGGAAAGGGGACCTGTGCCTGCTAGATGTCAACTATGTCAGGACACCTCTTTAGCTGGAGCAAGGGGACAATTCTCATCAGGATACCAACAGCGGCCCATGTGAGCCATGTACTGAAGGTGCTTAAGAGTGCTATGACCCCTGATCTACCCATTTCACTTTTTTCACTAGTGCACAAAAGGCATCAGGATAACAGAGAGATTATGAAAGGATGGGAGTAAGACAAAAAGAGAGGTAGTAACCTGGATGTGGTACCTTATGGCTCCTGAGGGCCAGATCCTGGACTTGCTGACTTGATGGGCTGGCAGAGGAGGAGTTGTACGGGACATTATAGTCTTCATCAGGATACACAGGCACAGACAGTCTATTGTCAGACCAAGTCCTCGTTGTAGACTTCAAATCGAGGAAGAGACAGCAGAATATACCAAAATGCAAGACAAGAGAGTTTTACTTTGTTCAAACTCTGAGCAATGATGCAAGGTGCTGTGATTTTTACCCTCCCAACACAACCTGCTGTACATTTGGTTACCTTGGGAGTGTCCAGACTGTGGATGCGGCCTGATGGGCTGTGGTGCGTGTGGTGAAAGTCATGGTAAGTGAGGCAGCAGTGGTGGTGGTGGTGGCTGTTGGTGTTGTCGCTGCAGGAGCGGGTTATGGTCTTCTGTGCTGGTTGAACCCTGAGCTGACTAAGACTCCTTTCCAGATGATGCTCACATCTCTGCCGGCTTTGAGGATAAGCCTCCAATCGACGCAACCCTGGAGAGCAAGATGGGAATTTAAAGAAAATTCACTAAAGAGAAAATATGTAAAGACAGAAGAAATCCTATCCATGGTTTGATTACAATGGAGTCAGATCGAAGCTTGGAACTTTGTTCTTTGGATAGAAACTAAAGGGCAAAATTATCTCAGAATGAACTATGGCAACAGCATCCATAAATTGTGCATAAATTGCTTTTCCTTTCTGCTCCATTTCGAGGTCCAATAATGCACTAAACCTATTGCACCAAAAATACCAAAAAAAACAAACACAGTCATAAAACTTTGCAGCTTTGTGCAGTTTGCTCTTGTTAAGATTACGACATTGAAAATGAGCTGTCGGCATCTCAACTCTTTTCCAGGATCCAATCTCTCCATGTTTAGATGATGGGTTGGATAAGGAGGGGCTCTGCTGACCGGTGTATTCTTAAACCGACTTTTGAGAGATGTGATACATACATCACTGTTTCTGGGAGCTTCCTTACTAGAGTAAGTCAACAAAGCAGATTATTCAGTAAAAAAAAAATCCCTTATCCAGCATGCTGGGGTTATGCCTTGCACAACCCTGTACCAACCTGATTAAAACAAAAGTAATGTCTAAGTCATTTTTACAAATCTAAAGTGCAAGTATATTACAGGTGGCATTGTTGCTATGAAAGTCACTCAAAAATACTCTGTCAAAGACACCACTGTCTCTCTGCAGATGGTGCAAATTTCTTTCTGAATGTGGATGGATATCAGCCTTAGAGTTTACGAATCAAATATTCACTCATCACATTGATATTTGTTTATATAGTAAGGGGCCAACTTCACCTCAAATCAATACATGATGACTCATTAAATAACCCTGGTGTAGAAAGGTGCTATTTATCCCACAACAGTCTCCTTTGTAAATAGAAAAGGTCTTTTTGTCTCATTTGTACAAGTCCAAAAGTTGCACATCTCTTTGTGAATTAGGTACTTAGTCGATGAGAAGATTTGAACATTTGAATTAAGGCAGGAGCTGATTGAAATAATGCAAAGAAATGTTCAAATTTACTGAATTAGTAAAAAAAATCTGCTTCATCAGAAAGGTACAGAGGTGCTGGCTAAACCATGACCCTGAACAGGAGTGTGTATCTGCAGTCAGTTAGTGCTGGACAAATGAATATTTCACCATCAACACTCCACTGGCTCCGATCCTTTCTCAGTTTGCTGTTTTCCACCGCCTTAGTTATGGCATCATTTAGCAGCTGCTCTGAGACCTGTGACACACAGAGAGTCGAGGTTAGGATGATAAACACACTGGTGATCATTTAGAAAGGACAACAAAGGAAAATGTAAACTGGGTCAGCTTAACTTATTTGAACAAACTCTGACCCCAAAGCTGCTGTCAGCGTGAGTGCACACATCATTTGGAAAACAGCAGCACTTAAATATGTTCCCTAGCCGCTGTGCAGCAGGGCATTGATGAGTCTTTTCTTTCTATAATGTACAAGTCAACTGAAATTTTGCACTGACATAATGAGAATTTCTATGTTTTTGCATCTCAGTGTGACAGGATTTTAAGCACCAGATGCTCAACAACATCACACAGACACAGGGTTTGTTATTTAAGCTCAGTCTTTACAATCAATAAAAAAACACAAGGTACTTTAATATGGTGTATAAATAAAGTGGAAAATGAGTTGTGTCATTCTACAATAAGAGGAGAACAGTTGGAGCCGACACTGAAGCTGCACTTTCATGTGACTCGTCAAGCCACAGTTCATACCTACTTTTGGGTTGGGATGTCGACTGATGATGATGTGGACTTGACCCGGCGTGCACTGGCTCAGGACTGTGTAGACATCATTTAGTGTCATGTTGTAAACCACAGTGCCGTTGATTTCCATAATCTCATCCCCACACCTGAAGAATGGAGGGAAAGTTATGTAAAAGTTCTCTAAAGAGATGAGAGCCAACAGATTTGCTTCGTCTCCTGAATCACCCCACACTGTGTCTGAACGGTGACCCACTTTTGTGAATATCGACTATTTACTCTTGTCTATTTACTTATTGTCTATTATGATGATTTTTCACTCGTTTAAACAGACACATTCAAGTTCCTATCAAATTTTCAAACAGTGGATATCTATGTGGTCTAGCCAACCCTGTTCTTATACCTGTGGTTATTCTTCTTACCTGAGTCTACCATCCATGTGTGCTACAGATCCAGGAGAGACGTTATGGATATAGATCCCAGGACATCCATCACCAGATGGAACACAGCACAGTCCAATGCCAAGACCGACTCCAGCCTCTGCGTGTTATACATGGATTGATGTTTTCAGCAACATACGAAAACATCTAATTCAATTTTAACTTTGGTTTGGATTTAGCTTTTACAGAAGGACTATAAAGGACAGACCAATAGTAATATAAACTTGGGCAGACTTTGAAAGACAGAAGTGTGTGAAAAAAAAAAGACGATTTATATTTAAAACCAGAAGAAACATATGAAAGATTGTAGTGAAAATTCAGTAGGAACATTTTAGTTTTTCATGTGATAAAACAAAAGACGTTTCTATTTTAACATTTGGAAAATTGATTTTAAAAATTCAGTCTTCTGCTCTAAGGCGTACCTTTCTGCAGGATGATCTCCATCATGATTTGGTCCCTCGGTTTAGTGAGTTGCCCCTCACTCTGAGTGTTACTGCAGCTGTTGTTCAGATAGCTGTAGTCCCCCATGTCAGAACTCACTCTTGCTGTGCCAGTAGTGGAGGTAAGAGAGCGGGACCTGGACAGATGAGCGAGCTGTGCCTGCCCGCACAGGGTCCCCCCACGCAAGCTGGTCCTCACCGCTAGAGTCAGCAGACCCTTTTTGATTTGCTGAAAAAGAAATAAATGAATAACAAAATCAATGCCGTGTTTCAGGCTACTTGGACTCAAAATAAATAGTGACAGATGAGTTCAACTTTATCTATAAATGAGGAAACCTGCAGAACTAAAAGGAAACAAGTGCAGGACTGCACAGACGACAACAATGGAAAAACTTAGTAGGGGTGGTGTTGGTGGTGTGTTCTGTCCCTAGGTCTTCAGCCAGGCCACCAAGACCCCAAATGATCAAAACAGTAACCTCTATGTGTGAAATACATTCACTTTTATCACCAAGTGGCAGCCAGAGGGAACACAGGACTATGGCAGATACCGTTTATCTCAAGCTTTAAAAAAATGTTTGATTGAAGGTCACTGTGACATGCAAAACAGGAAATGGTTCTAAATCTGCCCAACAGATACTTAAAGAGACTGAACAAGACTAACTGAGATTTACAAAGAATTGCATAGACTTAAGGGGACTTATAGCAACTTACAGAGACTGATAGATACTTATAGACTTTTGCACATTTTAACTCGCTGAGGTCTCACTTCAGTCCCATAATCAGTACTTTGCTTAACTGACATAAAAATTCAGTCCACAATGCCTTTTCTATGCACCAGTTTATTTGTGCCTCTCTATTCATTGGTCGTAACTGAACACTCCATAGCAGACATCTCTAGTAAATTCATTTTTGAACCTTAACAAATGTGTTATTTTTCATTTTTTAAATCAGTTACAGTTATGCCTGCTTTGTGACTGTTGGTGTTAGGAATAATGCAGTGAAAATGAAAGAAGTGGTTGTCATACTTTAAACTTGTGCAGGGCTTCATCATGAGACAGACCATGAAGTGACTCTCCATTCAGCTCCAGGATCTCATCACCTATGCAAACAGAGACCACAGACCCAAATACATTAACAGGTCTTTACTGACTGTTCTGAATTTCAAATATCATTTGTTGGAGTATTATATTGTATCTACTCAATGTAACAACAATAATAAATTGAATTTATGTAGCGTCTTTCAAAGAAACCATGGTTGCTTTACAAAGTGGAGTAATAAATTAAAAAGAACAAAATTAAAATCCATTGACATCTATATTCAATATCTATGTCTGTATCTTGAATGTGGTCTGAGTTGGGGCGTTTCGAATGTCTGAGGGGCCAGTCAAGAAAAAATCATTTGATATAAAATACAGATACCAAAATGATGCCGCAGCAGGGCATTTCTACCTCATTCTTTTTGTGTTTTTGTTTGGTTTCCTGCTCCCCTAACCTTTACCAAACAGGAACTCTGATATGATCACACCAAGCTAAAATAAAATCATCTACTCGCTTCATTGTAGAGAGAGGCGACAGAGGAGGGTTTCCTTCAGGTCAGCCAGTCTGTTTACATAGACCATAGCAGAGGTTGACCACACTATAAGGATCTGTTGAGTTTAAATAACTTATCAGATAATTGGACCTCTCCACTTTCTTTACTCCAGCTGAGTTTTTTCTTTTAATTCCTGTCTCAGTGTCACAGACAAGTTTTATCCTCCAGCTCAGGTGGTCTCACACTGTAAGTTAATCCTCTATTTTCCTCATATAAATGGACCATTCGCTGTCACTCACCTTCTTGCAGTCTTCCATCAGCAGCTGCTGCCCCTCCAGGAAAAATAGTTTTGACGTAGATCCCCATTGGTCCATAAATGCTGTCATTACCTCCAACAATACTGAAACCAAGACCCTAGGCACAGAAAGAGTTCATAATATTAACACCATCATCATGGATTCACATCTTGAGATGAAATATCACAATCAGAGAGGACTTTCAAAGTTAGTCACTGAGCTGTTACTCTGAAGTTTACCTAAAATACAAGCTGATGAGGAATGAATAAGAAGTCTGGGCCTATTATCAAACCACATCAGTTTTTTACTGATGCACATGACCATAAAACATGTCAGACCATAGCGGGAGGACTCACACATGACTGACTTTTGATAAGTTTGCAAAAGTGACACTTAATTAATGCACCATGGGTAAGGGCATTAATTAAGGAAGTGTTAAGAATCTCCAGGAGAAACAGAAAAGAGTCATGGCAGACCTGGATGTGAAGAGTTCAATTCAGGAGTAGAGGTTCTGTGCTGCTTGAAGTTCTGGTGTGATGTTCCTACCTTGCCCTGACCCTTCATCAGCACAATGTTACAGATAACAAAGGCCTGCACGTTGCTGCAGGAGTGGACCAACTGGACAGAGCTGAGGGAGCGGGAAGATCCCTGCAAAGGCTGGAGATGAACCAAACAAACACACACACACACGCACACATACACATGTTGCTTTCATGATCAAAAATTAATATTTGGCATGTTTTACTTTTTAAACATCAGTCAGTCCTGAAATCCAGAACAAGCTGTCCTACGAGGAAATCATCAGCTCCCTCTGGACAGAGAAATAAGTTTTCATAAAAAAGTTTTTTTTTGTATGATTTCTGTCTAGATCTTTAGGATTTATGTTTTTTTATTTTCTGTCGACTCTTACACCTAAGTTGCAAACTGGCGAGACTGACTCGTGCATATTTATTGTGCACAGATGCTTTATCTCTTTCAATTTAAAAGGGAAAAAAAGCATATATATCATAAGAGCTTTGCAGGAACATTTCAAAAACCAAGTACTTTAATTAGCTTCTGGAACAAGCAGTACTTTTGAGAGTGAGGTAAATAGCAGGGCACAAAGTGAAGGACTTTCTTAACTTTGTGATACACAAACTGACACACATGCTGAAACAAGAACCTATGAACAGGCATTCATCAAACTATACCACATGGACTGGACTTGAATAGTCAATCGCTGTATTGTGTTTATAGTCTGATAGTAGTATATGTATATTGTATATATATGATATAGTCAAATACCTGTGTAGGTGTGTGAGTACACTCCAGCAGCTGAGACAGAGACTTCCTGTTTCCACACAAACCAGCATTCATATGAGGGTGACTGGTAAGAAGCTCTGGGGTCTTCATGATGATCCTGTCCAGATCTCCAATCCAGTAAGGACGAACACCTGAATACACAAGATATCGTAAAAATATTAGGTTTAAATCAGCCGCCTGAAAGCCTCAGTGGAGGAATTACCCCCAAGAAAGTGGATTTACGTAAACATGCAGGGTCATCAGACACTAACAAGGAACTTATTCAAGTTTGCGGATCTCACATTTATTTTACTTCTGGTATTGTTTCAATATATCATAACAAGATTTTAACACCTAACTCAGGCTTTCAAGTAAACAGTGAACTACACAGAGGTGTGCAGCACCAATTTTCTCCTGAGGACATCTATAAAAAGCTCTGTTTCTTGTGCTGACCTTTCTGTTGTAAGAACAGTGAAAATGGACAGAAAGAAGACACACTGCAGACATTTCTGCTCACTAGACACCAGTTTGTACTTCTTCCTCACTTCTCAGTAGCTATGAGGTAAATTCTGTGGGTTTCTCCTGAAAATAAAAGTGAGTTGTACATTAAATGTATGTTGAATTAGATCAACTGTTTCTGTTGTATAGTTTGTGATATAGGCATGTGCAAATTAGGTATGGGAGAAAAAAATCAATACAGCATAGTACAGCGATATTTTGTCTGGTGATATATCATATTGTCTCATTTACCAAGTATTGATTTTTCACATTGATTGCTAATGTTCAGTCAAATCTATGATAATGAAAAAAAATAAAATCAACTATTTGTCCAGTGAGGTTGGCAGAGGTGACATCATAGAGCAGGAGAAAGTTAGCTAAACAGTTGAAAAAATTGCATGATATTTGCAAAATTGCAAAATAATATATTGTATCGCAATCCTCACTGTATTGCAAAGTGTTACAAATCGCAATAGTATCGTATTGTGGCCCAAATATCATGATAACATTGTGTTGTGGAGCCACTAGTGATTCCCACCCATAGGCTGGATATAGAATGGATGCCGTCTGCCCCCTCACTATGTGAAGACACAGTGGGAACAGCACCCTCTGGTGACAGGCTGCAGTATAGGTCATACATCTTGCCTCCTCCAGCAATCCTTATGGAGCTGTGGACAAACTTACGTAATTTATTACACAGAATATTATTTTTTTCCCCCCCTGGTTGTGATGTTGACATGTAGTTATTGTAAGACTGGTTCATGCACAAGTCCTTTTTTCTGTACAGCTCCATTTTTAAAAGTTATTAAGGGGTTCATGTTTTCTAGGATTGACCCTTAATACAGCCTATGGGTGTACAAAGATTGTGTTGCTCACCAGGGGGATACGCTGTTTGAGCCGAGCATCATCACAGCGACTCTCGGCAACTCTCCCACTGAATGTGTACAACGCTACTGCGCAGTGTTGGTTTCAGGAAGTGGAGAAAAAACACGGAAATACTGAGAGCTTTTCGGCTCCAAATCTGTAAACTGGCGGAAGGCGGAACCAAGTATAGTATATATAGTCCATGTTCCCACCCCTAGTGCAAATAGCATGGGAAAATAAAACATGATTAATAAACAGCATAAATGCCACAAATCACTGTGTCAAATTTTTCTGGAAAATTTCTGTTCCACTAAAATGTTTAAGGTGCTATTTTAAATAGAATCTGAAAGAACTGGAAGTGGGCTTCCTAAAAAACTGTTTCCACCTGGGCTGCACTTGTTTAGATATCACAGATCCTTCATAAAGTTGAAAAAGATATCTGCATGTATCCACCCTGTAAAAAAATGTTAAAGATAGCAAAATAACCAGTCTTACTTTACTGACACCTCTCTGTTGGCTACCAATCCCCTCTAACCTGTAGGGTGGAGCTAATGCGGCTGTGGAAGTGCAATCAGGGTTTACTGTACCAGCCTGAACTGGACCTAACTGGGCCGATGGTCTGAAGGGCACCATAAGGTAAGGCAAAGCTATATTTCCACCCATGCAGAGCTAGAAGAGTGCAACACTACTTATACTTAACAATTCAACGGCAAAGTGCAATCTAAAGTTGTTTTTCAGTTTCTTTTTTTTTAATTCAGCCTCACTTAGTCGACACCGTAAGCACAACCCCTTCACTCAATTAAGACCACATTTCCCATAAGCAGCTTGGCTTCCTGTGTCTGAGAAGATATCAATCACTGACCCCTCACCTCTCTGGAGACTATTTCCCCTCCATCCTCTCTCTCTCTCTCTCTCTCTCTCTCTCTCCACTCACTACTCTAAAAGCTTTGGTTGACACAGAAACACATCTTACCTATTTACTTCAAATGGAAACACAGTGGAGTGAATGGCTCATGACTCTCTCTGAGAACAGCGGGTCAAATGCCAAGTTTAAAGGGTCATTTAGTAAAATTACATCCCAAACCCTGGTCTATCAATCACTTGGTGCTTTCTCTTTTGGTTGCAAGAAAATTATGTTGAAATATTTTTTTTTTCTTTAAAGAGTAATGAGGCAATGTCTTGCCCAAGGACACATTGGCAAAGAGACCGGTACCGAACCCTTGACCTTTCGATAAGAAGACCAATGACTCTACCACTGAGCCACAGCTCTGGCTACAATGAAAAGTATCGGATACGCACTGGTTGAACTGGAACATGTTCCATCACTAGCCATCTCTCCTGATGGGCGCTGCTCAGTCTCTTTGGTTTCCAAGCATCTGTCCTCGTTCACCTCTGGGATTGGTAACTGTGCACAAAAATCACACAAAGACAACATGTGTAGATTACTGTGTAAAATAAAAAAGGAAACCTTACATTCACAACATGGTTTCATTGATTAGGACAGGTCACAGAACAATGTACTTCTATGAGTTTACCTTCAGGTGGTTGTTGTTGGCCATGAGTTCCTCATTAGTGTATTCAGACAACACAAGAGGACCAGATGGAGAAATGGTAGTAGGGAGCTGTGCACTTGAAGTCAGGTTATTCAAATAAAGATTGTCCTCGCAGGTTGACATGTCCTATGGAAAGTGAGTTATTATTAGTGGTATAGTATAGTATAGTATAGTATAGTATAGTATAGTATAATATAGTAACGTATAGTATAGTATAGTATAGTATAACAGAGCAGATTAGTATAGAGTTGTGATATAGTCACTGCTTCAAAAAGAAAGGGAACACACAATCATCACAGTGTAACTCTGGGTTAGTCTCACTCGTGGATATAGACCTGTATACATAATGTTGTTTAACATTATTTCATATTCAACTCTCAATTTAAAAAAGTCAAGTAAAGCAATATGATTCAAATTAGGGCCCAACTGATATGGATTTTTTGGGGCCGATACTGAGTACTAGGGGGAGGGATTACCGAATAACTGGACGATTTTTTAAATTTTTGATGAAGTTGAAGAAAAATTTTGTTCATTTACTGATTACCGATTCGTCTCAAACGGGCTAAAATTGGCCGATTTAATCGGTTAGTTACATTTTCTATATTTTGGTTGGTTGAATAAAAATATCATAAATTTATCCCATAAATTATAGTGGTTGATTAGATTATATTAGATTAGAAGAGATATAATTTTATTGATTCTTTTGGGAAGGTTGTACAGTTTAGTATAATATAGTAGAGTTGTATAGTTTAAAAAAGATGGTGAAGTATAGTTTAGGTTAGGGTTAGTGTAGTGTACTGTAGTTTATAGTGTAGCTAAGTTTAGTATATGGTAGTATATAGTGCTGGGCGATTGGACGATAGATATCGTGGGCACGATAGAAAATGTCTATCGTGCCATTTTTATTTTTATCGTTTCGGGCGATAGGCTGTATTTTATCCATAGGGCTTGTGCCATCAGATGATTCATAGTAACAACAACAATAATTGCACATTCAGTAAGTGTATTTGGTGTCAAACGGGAAAGAAAACAATATTTCCTTACAAAGAAAAGGATGCGTTGACATGTAGGCTCGCATTTCTCTTTCGATTTTGCGACATGACACCGCTTTACGTGCCCTCTTTGTGTCCAGCGTCTCCCGCCGTTGCGGGTTACCTGGGTTACACACGTGAGGGGATCATTGTAAGCAGTGCTTAATTTGTGCCGGAGCGAGTCGGAGCGCGATCCGGGACCTCTTTTGATCGGATCCGGGACCTATTTCAGCCGCTCCGGCACCTGTTTTATGTGCTCCGGGACCTTCCCTGTAGAGGATGACATTTTTCGGGGATTCCCCGTGGGTCACGTGATTCCCGCGGGATGGGAGTCATTTTTTAATTAATCCCTTGATCGGGACAGGACGGGAAAAAAAGCAACGGGAGTGGGCAGGAGCGGGAACATTAATAGATGATCATTTTCAGCCGTGTTTAACAACCAGATGAACAGGTGCGTCCATTTTTGTAGTCATCTCTCAGTGAGAGCTAACACTCTTGACCGCGCTAGCAACACAAAAGAACTACAACAGTGGTTTGACTTCCTGTCAGCTGGGAGCGCGGCTGCGCATTTCTACCCTTCAAGCCAGCAGCGAGGAAACGTAATTTTGTGACATTCTGTAGTTTTTCAATCATTTCTGGAGTCGTGGCGAATCAAATCACCTTACCTGTTTGCTCCTGATAGGCGAATAAAGCGCTCGGATTCATGCTCGGGTCTTCCCACGTGCTTCAAGAGTAAAGTAAACAATGATGGAGGCATAGAGCAGCTTTGGAGGAGAAACATCTAGCAGTGTGAACAACCTCTTCAAAAGAGCCCTAAAGACCTACCTTTTTAATAAAGTCTTTGGTTAGTTTTCCTCTATGCTTTTACTACCTTGCCTCTTACATTGCAACTCTATATTTTTTATTTTTTTAATTCTTTTTTTTTATGCCAATCTGTGACTGTCATTCTATTGCTTTTTTTTATTGTTGCTGCTCTTTTTTTACTGTGTACTGTAGCACTTTGAGATTTTTTGTAAATGTAAAGTGCATTACAAATTAAATTTATTATTATTATTATTATTATTATTATTATTATTATTATTATTATTATTATGGAGTGCTTTGGCTCACACTCAGCGTTTTCTGTGAGTGTTGCATAACTTTGGGTGAGCACAGACATGAGCGCACTTCAGCCACGTATTTATTTATTCATTTTTCTAGTTTTAAGTGCTGGTCTTGTACAGGTACTAGTGCAGCTGTATACACTTACATTTTTCATAGAACTGAAAGCATACCATAGCTATATCGTGATATATATCGTTATCGTGATATAAAATGATCCATATCGTGATATACATTTTTTTCCATATCGCCCAGCACTAGTAGTATAGACCCTTAGAGTATCAGTAAACAGTAAGAGCTGTGTACTCAAAGTCAGCACCACAACCAGCATTAACAAATGAGCTGTTTCTGTCTTATATAGTCAGAAAAAGGGGTCAGCACTTTCCTCTATTTTCCCTTGTTTTTGCCTTCAGCTACATCTGTTACGTAATCCTGACATAAGCCATACTATACTCTATGCTGTACTGGACTGAGCTATAGTGACTGATTGCTATCCCAGCTCAGTCTCAGCAGATAACTGTCTAACATGAGTCTGGTTCTTTTCTGTTTTTAAAAAAAAGATGTGATATCAAAAGCATTATATAAGTTGTATCAAATACTCAAGTCAAGTCTTAGGTCAAGTGTCAGGGCCGATTCGTGTTGTATGTAAAAATGATGATTTTATTGCTGAATGGAGCCGATTGGCATTAATAGAAGATGGCCTTGCCAGGTCTGTTTTTTACAGGTTAGACACACTTTCAACAAGTCCCTGTCTTTTCCATTTCTTTAGAGTTTCCACAGCCTTTACAGTGACTCACAAACCCTCAGCAGGATAATGAGGTGTAACTGTGCAGACTGGATAAGGACCTCAGCAACACCAAAATAGTAAATCCTGAGCCTGAAAAACACAGCTCACGTGTGGCTTTTATGACTACCTGGGAAGAATAAAAATACTGCATGTTAAATTTAGCTTTAGCCTCAATGCGCAGGAGGGTGTCCACAAAGGTAGTATGTAAAAAGGATGGTCCTGTGTACTCGACACACCAAAACTCAAGTCCAGAGGAAGTGTCTAAAGTTTGAACAAAGGGTTAAGAGGCTGTCTAACTAAGAGCACAGACACAGAGAAAACAGCCTGTTTGTGTAACCATTTCTGTGGGATCTTATAAAGCCTTGTCTTTTACATTGTGTGGGAGGTCTGGATGAAATGGGACTGAGGCATGAGAAAAATGCCATGCCCACTCCAGAAACAGTTATTGTCTCGCCTTACAGAGTATGTACAGTATCTGGGATGAGGAATTACGCTTGTTCATTAGAATCTGTTTACGCACACTAACAGTTATTCATGTACAGTATGTTGTTTACAGAAGAAATGGTCCTAGTACAGCCATCTTTCAGACCCACATAAAGTCCTTTATACTTCTTTCTGCTTGCCTAGTAAGCACTGATGTGAATTTATTAAAATATGGTATTTATGGATTTGTTTGAAAAGTAAGATTCCTCACTCTGCTATTTACCCCGACGATGAGGGTAAGACCACCAGTGTAGAGGTCTACAGAATGACCCTGTTTTGCAGAAACTTTGTCAGTGAAATGTTTGGGAGGGTTTTCTTGGGAAATAGACTCAACGTTCTCAGTTAATAGTGTCGCCTCTTAAATAAACATAAACATGACATTTGCTTGTACAGCCCCTAATGTTTGCTAGCTAACATGACAGAGAAACAGAACATAAACACCAACATAAACATTAGACCTTTTCTCCTTCTCCACCATGTCTTATTTTTCCACGGAACTTGTTAACCAGGAAGTGGCTGAATACTAAAGTTAGCCATGCTCTTTGACAGACAGAAGAGTTGAAGTGTAGCTGACAGATAATGTCATGCTGAGTGTGATAAAATCCTTTAAAAGACAAATGATGTTAAAACTGTTTTTGAAAAAAGAAATTTGAGACCCAAAACATATACGAAAAGGTAAGACAAAGATGTTTAAAAATAAGGTTAAGTTTTAAGATGAAAGTGTTAGAAGACACAGTTTAAAGGTAAATCTATTTAAAATGTTTTAAGAATAAATAGAAAAGATGACTACCTCACAGTTTGCTTTAATGTGAATGCTCCTCAGTCGCTCTCCAACCACCAAAGCGCGTCCATTTAGAAACTGTCTGTTAAAGGGAGCCAGCTCGTCTGGACTCAGGAAGCTGCAGCCTCTGAGGAAACGAAACATACAGGGACGGATGGACAACTGAATCGATCATTTGGTTATAGATGACATTACCGCTTTTTGGATTTAGAAGAGCCTGGATCATGTCAGAACTAGTCAAGAGTGGTTAAAGTCCAAGAGATTTTGTTTCTGATCACAAATAAAAGCCAACAGGATTAACGCTGTCTGAGCCAATAAACAACAATGGACATTGGTTGGTTTGATCTAAGTGTTTCAACTCTCTCCACTGAAGAGACTTTTGTTTAGTTAAGTTTAGTTTAGTTTGGTTTGGTTTATTTGAGCTTGTTTTGTTTAATTTCAATAATAATTCAGTCAAATGTAGTTTAATTTAACATTGACAGTGTGCAATGTACAATGACATTTATTATCCCACAAATAAAAGCGAAGAAATGGTTGCACCAGATTTAGCAGACCTGAAATCTTTACCTGTAGTCCTTCATGAAGACGTCACAAGATATTCAATAAACCCACTTGACCAAAGGGCAGAAAAACATGACAAAATAGAAAACATAAACCAGAAAAAAATAACAGGGCACTTTAATGATGTCCTACTGTCACTCAGAATAGTTTTATCAGACTGACTGAAACCGACATTTTGTACACTCCTGTGTTTATCTTAATGAGTATTTGACTGAACACGCACTTGAAATCAGTGTCCCTCCTTAAGGTCATGGTTTCAGACCTCACTGTTGTAGCACTGCAGCTTTTATTTAAGCCTTACATCAAAACATTAAGATCATCATCATTAAATAAGTTTCATTATATTCATAAAATTCTCAAACCAAGACACTGTTAAAAATGCCTTACATTGTTATTGTGGAGAAAACAATGATTCAAAATACAAAATACTCTAATGATTTAACACTACAGTTTGGCAGCCCTATTTATCATGATTATACTGGTAAAAGACTGTAGATCAGTAGATTCAGTCGAAGCATGAGAAAAGGTACCTGACCAAAAACTACACAGAGATCATTTTACAGTATTTCCTGCTGAAAAAGTAAACAGAGTTATGTTCACTGTTGTGTTTTCATACCTGTGTAGGTTTGCTCCATTCCTTCCCAGCTCCCTGTTAGTGTCCCTGTACTCTGTCTGAATACCGTTGTCAGCCAGTTGTGGTCCACACACCTCCTCAGCAGGGCCTGTGGCGACACACATCCTCCAGATACTGCTCTCCTACAGTGACACACACACACACATATACACAATGTATATTCTTACACATTTACTGATTTACGTAGACCAAGGAACCCTTTATTCAAGGAGGAATAACAAAGCCGTTTGAATTGACCAAAAATGACAAAGTGTGTCATGTGTTTTTAGAGGCTCTGAGGGAGATGTGATAGAGACACTGTGTCTGCAATTTGTGAAAAACAAAAAAATAAAAAGTACTTAAGTTTCCTTTTTGTCCGTTTTTCTCTCCAAACAGGTTTGAAAGAAAACCATTACTGTTGAACAAAAATAATGATTGTGTGTATGTTACTGCATGTATTTGAAAACAACTCATGAATACAGAATGGATGTAATATTAAAGACTAATATTAAAGACCTAACCCTAACTCTAACCTTACCTAAACTCTATTCTGTGTACATGTAGACCTGCTGTGAAGAGTCCATAAGCTAGTTTAGAAACATTCACTTTTCATGTGAGGCAAAGTCATTTACTTAAACCTCAACTCCAATATCAAGTCATCAGTGAGCATGGTAACAGTTTGATTTAAAACACCTCATAAAGTAAGTGGGAGGATGAGTGGCTGACAGTCCAGCCATGTTTAATGCGAATGTGCCACAAAAACGGAACAAACCCTCTTTGTCTGAATTTTTGCCACTAGTTTCACTCCAACACAGAGGTGGCATGTGTTTATCATTACTCTCAGGCAAAGAACATGGAGTATAACGTCAGCATGTAAAGGCATCATCTACCACACCTGAATATCTCACTGGTTGCTCACTGCCAGGAAAGTAAACTGCTAAATATAATTTCAGTGATTGCTGAAAAATCTTAACCTTTGGCAAAACATGTAAAGAGTGGTGAAGCATCATTTACCAAGGGACTGCAAGAGCCATAAATTCAGACACAGTTTGAATCTTGAATATTCTGAACATGTTGTTACTGCAAAATGAATGCGGTTAAGCCTTCTCATACTGACAGCACAGGTCTGTTAAATGATCAACCAAACTGTGATCAAAAACAGTCAATTCTGACTATTTAGCAAATAAAGAAAGCTGATCAAGCAGAATTATAAAATGGCAACAGAGCCTGAGGTGTAGTTATTATCATTATTATTGTTGTTTTTATTATTTTGTATTATTACTTATCATACTTTTTCACTGACGAGTAAAAACCTCAGGTAAAACACTTGTTGCTCTTTGTGTTGCTTAACTTGTCATAGCCAATACTTTATCCAAACAAATACAACATGTGCACAGTCATCATTGATAAGCTTTAAACTAGCTCAGTCAAAACCATCAAGGCTACACCACCTGTTTACAAAAGTTTCCATAATTTGACTTGTTTGGCTTTAATTTTTAACACTCTTGAGATTCAGCTCATTTCTATAAGCTGAGGAAAAGCAGTCCCTATTCTAGAGACGAAAACTGGGCATAGACTCTGTGTGTGATATATATACTGTTAATATTTGTAACAGGATGTTCAAATCATATCCTTATACGACACATCAGTGACCAACAAATGATTGATGATAACACAGCAGCTTCATGGCTTAATCAAAAACCTTTAGAGAGCTCTATTTTTCTGTCATGTTTTGTCACTGAAATGATCATCTTCACCATCTCTCTGTCTCTCAAATGGACATCAGATAACAAAAAAATACTCAAAGACAGAGTACCTTTTATTCTTGCAGGTGTCTTTATTTTTTACTTGTTTTCTCAACACTGAACATTCACTTATTCACACGAATGAGTTTTGACTTTTTTTTTTTTTTCTCAAATTTTACAAACTCCAACTCCAATGAAGTTTGGACGTTTGTGTAAAACGTGAATAAAAACATGAAACAACGATCTTCAAATACTTTTCCACCAAAATTCACCTGAATACTCACCAAAGATATTTTGTGTTCAAACTGATAACTTGATTTTTGTAAATATTCACTCCTTTTAAGTTTGATGCTTTAACACGCTCCTAGAAAGCAGGTTCAGGGTCATGTTTCTCTCTGCATTACACCAACTTTCCTTTAACAACACTCAGTATGTCTTTGTGATCTGAGGACACTAACTGTTTAAGCTTTGGAGGTCCATTCATTCATAGTCTTGATTGATGGACCATTTCAGCTGATCTACAGTCTGGGGTCTCTGTTGTGGTATTTTGGGCTTCATAATGCTTCACACAGTTTCAATGATGGATAGGTCTGGACTGCAGGCTCCAGTCTAGTACCTGGACTCTTTTACTCTGAAGCCATGCTGTTGTAACTCCTGTAGAATGTGTCTCAGCATTGTCTTGCTAAATAATCAGGGACGTCCCTGAAAAGACGGGGCTCTGATGGCAGCAGATGTTGCTCCTAAACCTGTATCTACCTTTAAGTATTAATGGAGCCTTCACAGATGAGACAGTTAGCCATGGACACTAACACACCTCCAGACCATCATAGATGCTGGCTTTGACCTTTGACCTTTGACCTTTGACCTGAGAACAGTCCGGATGGTCCTTTTCCTCACCAGGTCCATTATTTCCACAAACTATGTGAAATGTGGACTCGTCAGACCTCAGCAGATTTTCAGCTTTGGGTCAGTCCATCTCAGATGAGCTCTGGTCCAGAGAGGCTGGTGGTGTTTCTGGCTGTTGTCTTTGCATGGTAAAGATTGAATTTGTAGATGTAGAGACCCAGTGTGTTCACTGACAAGGGTTTTCGTAAGTCCTCCTGAACCAACGTGGTAAAATCCTTTACAGAATGATGAGGGTTTTTAATGCAGTAATGCCTAAGGCATTTAGACCCAATCATGGCCCCTTACCTGTTTCTAATAAACCTTTTCACCTGTGAAATGATCCAAACAGGTGGTTTTGGAGCGATCCTCAGTTCAATCAATCAATCAATCAATCAAAGTTTATTTATATAGCACTGTTCATACAAATAAAATTGCAGCTAAAAGTGCTTTACATCAGGACAATAAAAATAAAAATAAAATAAAATAAAAGTTATTAAAATAGACTAAAACAGACAATAAAATATAAACTAGAATTTATTAATAAGTAAGGTAAAAAGTCACACTAAAAATAAAAAATATATAATAGTAATTAAAACTTTCATTTGTTGATCCTGAACCAACTTTTTAGGAACCTGTTACAGCATTAATTTCAAAATGAGGAAATCTTTACAGAAAACAAGTTAATCAGTTTGTACAGTAAATATATTTGTAGAGTATTCAGGTGAATTTAGGATTTGAAGATCATTGTTTTCTGTTATTATTCATGTTTCACAGAAACGTCCAAACTTCACTGGAGTCGGGTTTGTAATTATGACCCTTTTGAAAACATATAATGTAAAAGACTCTTCCTCTTCTTATTGTGTTCTGATCCAAACACTGTCTAATCCCTGGCCCTGTACACTAAACATGATCTGCATCTCTGTTCAGTTTCTCAGACATGGGGTTTTAAGGAAAGATCAGAACAGTCTGAATATGTTTGGATGAGTTTACAGTCATTTGCGTTAGATTAACACTGCTGTTGTACCTTAATACTGAAGGACCTCCTCCTGCTTTTTTTCCTCTCCTTCAGTGTGATGCTGTGAGGCACCTGGTTACCTTCTCCATTCCCCTCTCTCTTCTCCAGGCCTGTTTGCTGAGTTGTCCTCCACTGTGTGTTTCCTGTCTCTCTGTACAGACTTTGGTCTCCAACAGTACCATTTTCCCTCCAGCCCCATGCCTTGGATTGGGCTGACACTTCTTCGACATGCCTCTCTTCTGAAAACTCGTCACTGGTCTTTGAGTGACAAAGGATCAGGGACCTGGACAGATTGGTTTCAGACACAAAAAGAAATAAATAGTCATCCTGCACCTCAGCTGGTATCTAAATATTCCATTACTTGTGTCATCAAGCTCAACATATCACAATGAAATATTTCTTTTACCGTAAAATCTTATCTTTAGCAGTGCATAGATCAGCTCTAGCTCATGCTGTGTCTATCAGTCAAAAGGCAAACTAATTGAACAAGCCTCCAGCCTCCTGCACAGCTCTAGTTGTAGGTGGTCCTGGTACCTGGATAGCATGACCAGCTTCTTGGAGCAGTGGTTTTCGCAGCCAGTTGGCTTGTTCTTATTGCTGCTCTCCCTCCAGTCCCGGCTTCTCCTTTCCATCCGTCTAGCAGCCGCTGTGTTAGCCTTCCTTCTCTGGTGGGAGTATCTCTGAGGCATGGCCATCAGTGAGTGTGTATGTGTGTTCGCTGGAAGCTCAGTAACCAAGACACTCCTCCCAGCCGGCCTGAAGCCTAATGGAGAGGGGCGCTCTGGAGGGCAATTAGAAAATTCAGTTAGGACAGTCTGACTGCATCCGTGTTTGTAAGTGTTCTGAGAAACTGCAGAGGCTCTTGTGAAGGCTAGCAGAGATAAAAGCTCTTCTCTGTCCATGCTATCGGATAAAAAAAAGGCCTCCTCACTTATCATCACACACAATTACGTGCTCATTCTGAAGTCACTGTGGTGCATAGAGCATGAACACAAAACCAGCAAACTTAAAGGCAACAGAAGCTTATTCTTCACTTGATTCATAATCTACGTTTTAAGATCTTGTTTACTACACAGTGTTGCAGTGCTGTAGTGAATTTAGTATTGTGTACATTACAAGCATAATGGTAATGACTTAGTTGCTTTGAATCTGTTTATGGGCTGCAAGTGAATGATGGTCTATCCGTGCACTTAAATGCTCACACTCCAGAGAGCACCGAGGGACACCTTCATGTGCATTACAGGCCTACATGCCAGTGTTGATGGCCTGTCACATTTGCGATGAACACTTAGTAAACGATGCACAGAGGCTATTTCACTGAACCCATAATGCCTCTGGTCTGACATCATCATCCTTCTCTCCCATTCCCTCACATCTCAGAGCCTGACTGCCTAACTGTCTGCGTCATGTGATGTGGATGAATTCAATTAGGTGTGTGCGATACATTGAGTATACTCAAAACACTGAAACTGGCTTCACAGAGGATATATGTAATAAATCAAACACAACCAACGAGTATCCTACAAAACAGTAACATGGATGTTAAGAGCAGCCTCCTCAGGGTTTCCACACACCACTGGATGCAGCCAGCAGGTGCTGGTGGGGTGAAGTGTTTCACCCAAAGACACTCATTACTGTGTGGACAGACCTGGGATCAACCCCCCAAGGCTCAGTCTGAACTTAAGCAAGTCATCTGGACCATATCTACATGCCTCCATACATTGAGTTGCTGCCATGTGATTAGCTGATAAGCTTTTTGGGGCAACAAGTAATTAAACAGGTGTACCTAATAAAGTGGCCAGTGAGTGTATATTAAAAAATGAAACATTCCCATAACTTTGCAATACTGAGTTACCATCAATAAACATGATTATTTGGGAAGACACATAATCCCTCAATACTTGATTTTCTTAAACCAAACCAGTTCAGCTCTAACCTGAGGCTGTTTTCCATCATAGCACCATCTAGCTGTGAAAACATGGCACAAGGAACAAATCTAAAACATGCATAAAAGATTCAAACAGTTCACACTTTTCAAACATTCAATGCAACATACCTGCAATATCTGACAAAAGCAGACAACCACTTAAGTTCAGAAGGATGAGAAACCAGTCTGGCGTCTGTTTCCCGAGGAAACTATAAAAGAGGATTCAACATGGCTGAACGTAGCGACCACCGACACTGCTTAGCTGTTAGCGGTTAGCACTACTACTGGCCTCACAAATTTACCAAGCAATGCCATTCAGAGCAATTCAATTCTAACTCAAACATACATATCATCAGCTAAACAACATAAGCACTAAATTGTTAAGAATTCACACATCAGCAATTCAAACTACATCTCCAACCACAAACAAAAAAACAAGGTTCACGGTTTAATGTTTCTCTCAAAGTTGGCCCCCTAGTCCAAATGGATCCTCTCAAGAAAGTCATGTATTAAAAAGAAGTTATCCCATATTCGCTTGGCAATTGGCAAAAGGACACAAAGACTCAGGACCAGGACATCAATGATTTTCTTGTCACTGAGTTCAGCAGTCCAAAAGTCAATGCGCACCACTTCCATGAGCACAGATGTCTGGATATTTTCAAAGGGTGGACAAGCTTCAGGTACAAGCCTCTGGCCCACAACACATTTCTCACGTCAGGGAACATGGTTAAAAATGTCTTTTTCCATACCAATCCATGGGAACCGTTCTCTGAAAGAGAGAGAGAGACAGCAAGTTCATGCTTGGTAACCAGTATTGCCCTGGAGGCAATGTCTTTTTCAGCCTGTACTCTTTCTTTATTCTGTGCAGAGTCCCACTCTGCAACTTTCACTTGTTCCGGTGTCTCATGAGCCTGTTAGCACAGTCAGGTCTAGATGCTACTTCCCACCTGGTAGCCTTTCTCTGTTGTCCCGTATGAAACAGAACCCCACTAGTTATCGTACCTTGTTCCTGAAGATTCAACAGTGGGCTCTGAGGGATAACAATGGACGGACCCTCACTAGGTAGCTGTGGCGAGGGAAGATTAGCACTGGGCAGATTGGCCATCCCACAGCCAATTGATGGTCTTTCTTGACTCCTGGGACAAACTTAAGAGCAAAATCATATGCCTCAAGCTTAGCCCCCCATCTTTATTTACAAGCCTCCAAGCAAGGTTCTGTCAGAATATAGGACAGAGGGTTGTCATTGGTCCAAGCAATGAAGTATCTGCCCTTCAGCCAATGACTGCATTAGCTACAAATAGCCCGTTTTCACACCAGAATCTCTCATCTGTGTGCAAGGTAGTTCAACTGAGATCGGGACAGAGTCTTACTGATGAAGGCGACAGTACTGCCAGCAACTGCCTCACCAGGTGAAACTTTGGGTAATACAGCACCAGTGCCATCATCAAATGAAAGCATCAACCGTATGAATGGAAGGCTTATCAAAATTGTGATGTGCTAAGGTGTCACCATTAACCAGGTCCTATTTTATTCACTTGGTGTAAGGTCAGGTAGAGCAGACAACTTTTTCTTAGACTTCCTACTTTTCTTGACCTAAAACTGAATTTGTAGTTCTGAGATAAGCCTGAACAGAGGTTTTGCCTTTGCAAAGTAGTCAAGGACGAAATGCTAATTGTTAAAACTATCTCTAGGAAGGACCTTATCTTTCTCCAGGAGGGTGTGACGCCATCATTCTCCATCAGCTCCGCCTCTCCTACATGTACCTTGTAGGGGTCAGTATTCACTCCATCAGCAGAAATGATATGCCCCAGAGACTTGACTGACCTTTTCAAGAGACGGCATTTCTGTGGAGCCAGCTTCAGGTCAGGAGACAGGTAGGTAACATCAGTGCAGACCCCCCATACCCAGGACACAAACTGTTTAAACTCCTCCCCTCATGAAGGCTTTACAGATCACTGTAGACCAAAACCAGCAAACACAAATGTCTAGTTCGAGTTGGTACATACTTTGTAATTTTTGTAACATTTCATGTTTAATGTTTGAGCAAAGTTTACGGGAGTCAAATTCCTTGTATGTGAACACACACTTGGCCAATAAAGCTGATTCTGATTCTGGTTCACTGCTTTAATTCATATGGTCTTTCACAAGGGTTCTCAATCATGGTGAACGATTTCAAGGTAGCCCAACCCTGGCTCCACCACAGGAATAACTTAAGGTTTCCAGTTACAGGCCAGGACACTATCACAGAGTATGTCTTACAATGTCCAATTTAGCCGTATGAAAATGGAATCAAATATGAGAAATGTATCAAAAGTAAAAAAAAAAACACTGTAAAATCAACCAAAATATGAAAAAAGTAGCCTGATTTCTGCACTGGGTGTCTTGTTTGAATATTACAGACAGTTGCATCAAATAGTCAACACATTCAGTCTGTGCAGGGATCAGGTATATAGGACCCCAGGCTGCAGTTCATCTCATACACTGGTTGATATTTATATAGAGCAAAACCAGCCTTTATAATGAAATTTCCTGTTTTCATTACACATCCAGTCATGTCCATCTTCAGTTCTTTGGTCCGTCTGTCTCATCGTCTCTCCATCTGACACCATTTGACTGTATTGCATTACATATTTAACCCCCTTCTACCGCTGTCTGTAAAGTTCAGTGCAGTCGTGTTAAAAACATAAATGAATATAATGATAATAAATGTCGTCAACTAGCTTTGTTTTCTATGATGAAGACCAGATGATGATGAGTTAAATTAAGACATAAACAACAAAACAGCAAACTTAGACTGACGCTGGATCGGTACGTCCCTAATCTAGTACTCCTACAATATGTAGAATCCCGGACACTATGTCTGACATTAGTTCTTAATGGGAAACAGCTGATCTTAAATTCTTGTTCTGCAAGTGATCGCATACTCTTAAGGAATGCACGGTTGCTCTGGCCTCTGTTCTGTCAGTCTGGAATGAAAACAGCTTGCAGCATACAGCCATGTGGCTGTGTGGGCTGAGAGCAAGAAGAAAGCCCATCCCATTCATCCATTCATCCACTCCTGGCCTCACTAAAATGTGTGTGCTCTCCAGGTTCTGTTGGGATTGGATAGAATGAATGTTACGTCATTTCTGCCTTTATAAAGGACCTCTGTGTGCATGTTGGTCATGGAATCCACACACACACACACACACACACACACACACACACACACACACACACACACACACACACACACACACACACACACACACACACACACACACACACACACACACACACACACACACACACACACACACACACATCCAGTCTCCCAGCCAACAAGTGTACCATTTAAGTCCGTCGCTCTGCAAGTAATTTGGTCATTACACAAGTCTTCACTTCTGTTGTTTCTCTGTTTCTTTATACTTATTCTTTATGGTTACTAGGCAACCATTCTGAAAGACACACGGACTTGTACTGATTTCCATAACAGTCAAAAGTTTTCAGTATGGGAACTAAAAGTCCTACTCACCGTGGTCAACCATGTTGTCTTTAGCAAGCATCCACAGTGTCAACGCAAAGCACCGAGTAGCATCTACAGGCTGGTCCACCTCAGATTCCCAGACCAAAGGCAGCAGGACACGTCAAAAACTCATGTTTCTCTTCACAGCTCCTTCGTTGTGATTTATCCAAGATCAGCTGCCTGAACCTCTCCTCCTTCGTCCTCCTTTCTCCTTCTCTCCCCCTCTGTCCTGTGAGCATAACAGTGAGTCTCAGTAAGGCATGGGCCCCCAAAATCACTGCCCTTTCCTGTGAGTCAGCTGCAGGGAGGGAGAGGCAGCGCGCTCAGTCTGACCACACACCTACTTTGCATCATACACAGGCTGTAGTCTTTTACAAGGTCCTGCTAGTGAATGCATCTGTGTGCTCTCAGTGTGTTTAGGTAAGTACTCTGAGCCACAGAGACTGAATGGACTCTCTGTGAACCAGCCCAGTTTGGGCGTAAACATACACAAATACACCTCACTTCAATGTGGCTGTGAATCTAGCTGGTTCAGAATAGCTTCAACTGCAGTACGAGGCAGTATACACAGATCTGTGCTGGTTTTGATGGGGGCTCCAAATGGAAAGAACCTTTAAAGATGGACTCTGATGGGACATGAAGCCTTGATAATGTTTGATCTGTGGTTGGGCATATGGAGAAACCTTCAGAGTGAACTATTTTTTAACTTAGAGGAAACCAACATTCTTGACAACCAGGTCACTGATGTAGGACCAGACAAACTTATATATTTATACGGTATAGGTGTGAACTCTTAATAGGCTTACAGACTGGTTTCATATTGCAGCATGAACTGAAAAAAAGCAGAATTTTCAGATTCATTTCCTAACAAACATTCACATACTAACATACTAATTGTCATGTTATGAGTTGATCAAACAAAATAAGCACTGATGGTTTTTAAAATGTAATTCCACTTGGGCCCTAATCATTTATCTACAAACCAATGGATTATGTCTCAGTCCTATTGTCTTGGTAAACTATACTGCAGCTTCAAGCTAAAATACATCGAGTTCTCCCAAAGACAGACTTGATCATCCAGATCCAGACATCATGTTTCCTTCATGAGGTTTTTCCTGATGTCTAAAATCATGTCATGTTTGTAGACACCATGTTTCCTGTACTCTGAGTAAAGGAACACAGCACACAGACTTGTAACATTAACAGGCATTAACCATCACAAACTCAACCCCATTTTAATCAGTGTTACTCCACATTTCGGTCATTATAAAGTCATAAAATCAACTGTGTGGTCACTGTGAAATATGTCTAGGTTTGACTCTCTCTAAAACATGGCTTTAAATATAGAATCATATGACTTTAATGTGTATACTGTGGATCATGATCATAAATATTAATTATCTGAACATGTCAACAATAAATCTTTGAAATAAACTTTGTCAGGGTAGGAAAAAAGTTAACTGGCTTTTTACACCTGCATTTTTGGTCACAGCAGTATTTTGCTTTAAATCCTCATTAAAATTGAATGAAGTTAATTGAGATGTGCCCATACACGTTTTAGATACTTAACTGTGTATGTGAAGGGGTTTAGTGTTCAAACAAAAGGTGAAAATTAAGTTAATTTTTTGAAGAATTACAACTTGTCATTTCATGACCCACGTGCTTTAACTCAAAGTTAATGTGGGTCACAATCAGTTTTTCGTGTTTACGCAGCTGTAGCCTTTAATTTAATTTGGCCTCTTCACCTGAAAATACGTCCGTTTCAACTAAAATCATGGTCTCTTTTTCACTTAGTGATATTACAGTCTCAGAGGAAAACTCACCCCATGTCCCACAAACTGACAACAATTCTTGGTGAAAGCTTCACAATAATATGCACAAACTTTGCTGGGGAATGAATGAGTAAATACCTACTAGTTACTAGTTAGCTGTTACATCGCCCCTGTCTGTCATACACTGTTAGTTTGTTATTTAGCTAAATGACAGTTTGGACAGAGTAGATCAAAAACCAAAGTCCCTGAGAGAAACCCAGCATTGTCTCAGCTCTTCCCTGCTCTTATCCTGTAATATAATGTTTACCTTAATCTGTGAGATCAAGTTTTTCCTGAATAAGCAGTGAGGGAACTTTACAAACAAGTTGAACCACGTTTCTCGTCTGTGTCATTTGAACCTGTTTTGTTTGATCATTTGTCATGTTATTGTAAGTGTTACTGCAGAAGTCTGATGTGACTTAAATTTTATCCATCATACAAATGTGACAGATGTTTCTCATAGGCTTTTAGGATTTGATATTTTTTTCTCTGTAAATTTGAGTTATTTTAAAAACATGGATTTGGCTGTTTATCATAACCATACTATACCAAACAAGTACAAAACACAAGTTTGATCTATTAGTTCTGCAAGGACCAACTCAAGTCACCATCTGTGGATCCTGGAAACTCACCACATTGGAAACCTTAGCAACATTATTGTACAGTCCAGAGCAAGACACACTCTGAATACACAGAATAAAGTTTTTTTTTTATCCATGTACGGTATGATTACTTGACTTGACTTGTAGTCCATCATTTTTCAGTAAAGTACTTGACATCTGTAGGCGAGTGTGATTCCCAATGGAGTTTGTGAACAAAGGTTTGTAAGTATTGGCCCTGCTAAATACAAATACAGTATCAAGTTTGAGAGGGTTTCACACAGCTCAGCAGTGGTGCGTGAACATACAGTATGATTCCCTGTATGAGACTCTCCTCTGTGTTCTTCTGCCTCCCTCTAGTGGCTGCACAGCGTCACCTACTTAGAGACATAAAAACAGAGAGGTTTTTGAGGTTTGACCACTGGTTAGGAGATTGATTCAGTGAGGACGAAGGGAGTCTAGTCCCTCTTCTAGTCCCTAGACAAAGGAAAAAGATAGGAGAGAAACAAATGAAGAGTTCTGTGACTTGGCTCATGTTGGTTTTATTTTATTTTCTAATTTGATTTTTACATTTGTCTTTCTGAGTAAGCCAAGGTCTTAACTGGTAAACATTAGTCTGAATTTTAACAGCAGATACAGAGACTTATCTTCTGTCACTGTTAAATCCTGTATGAAAGTGAAGAACATGTCCAAAATAACTTATGAATGACTTATCACAGTTTTTATTACATTCATATACTTTTGATGCTAATGTCAAAGCAAGAGGTGAAAAAATGAGGTAGTAAAAAGTTAAAAATAAAAATAATGAGCATGTGATCAAACAAATGTCTGATTGAAGCGGAGCTGTGGACAAACTAACAAAAATGGGTTTCCCTCTTTAGAGGGAGGAGAAGAAGAATTCCCGATTTCTCTTTTTTTTCTGGATCATCTCCATATCTGTGACTTTCAGTACTTTTATTTTTACTTCTACTTTAACTGGAGTATTTTTGGTTGAAGGTATTGAACTATGCAGCATTTGAGCATCAGTTATAAAAGGAGTTGTTTGCGACAAGCTTTTCATTAACTCCATGGGAGCAGGCTGACTGTCTACAACACTTGGACCTAAAACACAAACAACATATTACTCGTCATTTTAGTTTAGCTGACTTTGTAGATCCAAATAACTTTCAGTATTTTCATATTTCAAGATATTTCTTGAGGGGACAGCCAGCCACATTAAGAGTGTCCAGCTACAAAGTCCAAGTTCAAACAGACTACAAAAAATATTTGGTCACTGGAAATCATTTCACACATTAATGCTGAGTTATATTTCAATGATGTGTGAGGGAAAATAAAATGTAATTAGTATTTTTAGTTACTTTCAAATATATATTTTTTTACTTTTATCTAAGTATTTTAACAAACTGTTCGCCTTGTTTTACTTCAGCTTCAGTAAGATGTCACCACAGGCAGAGTATTTGACTAAAGTAGGATATTGTAGTGTCATTTCCACCCATGCTATTTTCAGAATGCGTACACTCTGTTTTGTTTATTTAGAAAACGGTGTTCACGGATTTCAAACTCCAGTCAAGCAGCTCTGAAATAATCAGACAGACTAAAGGAACATCTCAAACACAGTTGAAAATGATGATCTGGGATAATGCAAACATTCAGTATCTACCTTGTCATGTTTTTTTAAGGTTGATGGTTCTATTTGATAAAATGTGTTCACTGTAAACAGAGCAAAGATTTGAAATGTTCAGTTCAAAAAGGTTAAGTATGGGGAAATGTCGACAGGTGCTGTGGTGAGGTATCAGCATTGACCACATTGAACTGAACTGATCTGAGGGTCTTTAACCATGAGGATGGAGGGCTTTGAAGCATCACCACTGACACGAACATATGCAGAACTACCTAAACAGCTGTTAACAGCTGATAACAGCTCACCTGTCTCATCCCTTACAGTGCAAAGGAGCGGGCTAAACTGAACCCCCATCATCGGTGTAAACTGTGTCAGTGAAATGCGGTTTAGATCATTAAAGTCGTTTTGTCTTCTCTTCCTGTTCTAGCTGAGTCACTGTTGTGTCGTATAGCTTTAACCCAGATTTTTATGACATTTAACCTTTTCAGATTTGAAGTTTGTTTTAAAAATGAGCGTTTCTACAATAACCATTAATTTCACCCTTTCTTTAGTAAACAGACACACCAGTTTATAGTGATACGGCAGACCTGAACATAGAGCGCAGCTTGTTAATGTTATGCTATTAATAATTTATGAGTTGACGTCTCCTGTTTCCTTCCTTGCAGAAAGTCCTGATGGACAAAGGTACTCAACCGCAGTGATAAACCAGCACACAGTAGACAGACTCGGCCTCTGTACCGACTGTGTGTGTGTGTGTGTGAGGAAATGGACCACACCTCTGAGGAAAGAGAGGGTGAAAACATCCTCAGTAAACAGCCTGTGAGCAGGAAACCCTGCATGGCTCTGAGTCTGACCTGATGGTGTTTCACTTCCATCTCTTCACTCTCCTCTGAGTCAGAGCAGAGCGTCTAACTTTGGCTTAGAGGAGACGTTTGGTCCTTACTTGGTCTTCAGAAGAATCGCTTCAAACCTTTTCTGAATGTCTGACCTTAAATTCCTCTTCAACTCCGGTCTTTTCTCTCTCTTATAAAGAACAGCTGTTAATAATTCCATGGTGGATCTAGATTGTACAGATTATGACTCCTCTGTAGACTAACACTGTTTTTGCTTTAAAAAAAAAGAAAACAAGTGAGGATGAAAGTACAGCCCAGAGTAAATATGTGTGTTTGTGTGTGAGGACAATAGCAGGCAGGGTGGGGTAAGAACAGGATATGAAGCTCCTGTTTCGAGAGGGCAGTGGGTTTCAGCTAACAATGTGTGCGCTGGCCATTTAATCTGGAGGAAGCTCTCCATCTTTCTGAACCTCTGAGAAGAAGCCACTGTGACTCAAAAAGGTCATTGTGTGGGTGTGAAAGCATCCAGCCCACCATCTCTTCCCTGCAGGCAGGGAGTGGGCAGCTGGAGAGGGTCACAACATGGCCGAGATCAAAGGTCAGGCTTGTGCTTATGTGAGCCAGAAAAAAACTGGACCTGGACATCAGATAGACTTGAAAAACAGCCAAGTTTCCACAGTCTAAACGGATGGTGTTTTTGTTCAACAGAGCAGATGTCAAGTCTGAGAATAGACTGTTTCACTCCATCACCTGCAAGAGAACAATCTGAAACCTCTGTGCACCGCCACCTTCAATGTGCCATCATATCTTTTTAAAAAGCTTCAATTGACACGGCTCTTTGACTCGTCCAGAGATGTTTGACATAATACTCTGGTATAAGCTTTAATTGAGTATAACATGTTCCCTCTGAATGATGCAAGACAGATAAAAAACATCATTTAAAGAGTCTCGAGGTTTATAATTTGTGCATCCTGGACCACAAATACTCTCCAAATAGCTGTCATGTCACAGAAACTTCTTGTATGTCTGAAAGTTCAACATCCAAGCCAGCTGATGAGGTTGTGCTCCCCGAGTCATGCGGTCAGACAGAAGAGAACCAATGACTGAGTCAGTGATGGTTTTTCAATCATTTTCTCTATATCCAAATGAAAACTCTGCTTCTGTCTGTGTGCTCACCTTTGTTTTTGTCTGCCTCCATCCTGCTATATATTAAATTCATGAGTGTCACCTGTCATGGCAGCTACTGCTCACCTGTCCCTGCCTTATCTGTCTGTTGTCACCTCATCTTAGCTTATAGTGGTACTGTGTAACATCTCCTATATTTAGATCCTTGTTATCTTGCTTTGGTCCTAAAACAGTGTTTGGTCATATTTTCCAGTCCTTATAACAAGCCTCAGTAACACAAAGTTACCCGTAATCAAATGATACTGATAGCGATGACCAAGTCTATACTTTCTGCAGAATACACCAAACAACATGAGGCCCAAAACTTTGAACTTTGACAACCAGAGGTTAGACTGCTCCAACATGTTTTTTCTTAAAGACCCACTCCGATGAAAACTGTGTTTTTCCTGTTGTAAACATCTTCATATGGCATTTTTCTGATGCTACCGCACATATCATGTGAAAAATAAGTGCAAATTTGCATTTCTATGTATTTGTACATTCAAATGGCAGGTTCAGATTTAGTGAGATTTCCTATGTCACAATTCCAAGCTCCGCCCCCAGAGCCCCGCTATGCAGGCCAGACTCAGAAAAATAGAGAGAACAATCACGGAACAAATGTGTGCGTTAGCCGATTGCAATGCGTGTAAGACGGCTTATTATGAAACTAGGTTTCATCATGTCCCCAAAGACATTAGTGTCCGAGAGCTGAATAGTAACCTGCTACTTCTTCTACACCTGCAATGTTAGGCTGCAAGCTAACGTAAAGAGAAGTGTGTAGAGCAGCGCTGTCTCTATCCATGACTCAGAGGCGAATTGCTAATGAGCTACTGGAGCTCTGCAGAAGAAAAGCCCTTGAAAATGACACAGATAACTTGACTTTGGCTAAAAACTTCTTGGCTTTCTGATCATGTGGTACTATGTATTTTTAGTCTTTAGCCAGAAAAGCTCAGTGAAATAGCAATGGGTATTCAGTATATGATTCTTTATGTTTTAGCTGTGTGTGTTTTTCTCTGTGTCAGAGCAGTGGCACCGTCAGAGTGGCCATCAATAATGAACACAGGATCAGTGGACTCTTCTCGAGTTACAACAGCACCTGGAAACCAAACGTCCGCCTGAAAAACAAAAGAGGACATCCACTCTGCAAAGTGCCACACTAATGAACCTAAAGTTTAACACATGATAAAGTAATTAATTACCAGTCAGGGCACAGATTGGGAAGAAGTGTGTCAAGACGTGCAGCCGATCAACACGTCACTTTGAATTCAAATGATATGGATCTACTAACCACTTTTATTGACACAGGACAGGGAACCCTCATGGCACTGACATCACTTTACAGGATTAAGACTCATGAGTATTAACCGGATAAATAGCTGCCACTAACACTGTTCAGAGAGGGGAACACACAGATTGGGTGCACACACTAAAGTCCTGATTCACACAGAAACTTAATGAGCCCAGCGTTTCTAACAGGCTTAAAAGCAGCAGGTTCACTCATCAGGGATCAATTTACAAAATTAATGTTATTTTTGTACATAGTAGCTTTTAGCCAAACACACAGATATAATATGAATTTCCTTTATTTGCATCAACAGAGACTTATACCATTGGTGGAATATCTGAGGAGCAGGGGTCTTTTTACCTGTCCAGATCTACATCCACCTACCAAGGACAAGAGCCACAATCCAGCAGGTCAGCATGTGTGTGTGTGTGTGCGTATATCTGCGTAACCCTAGAGCAAAGGCCCCGGCCTAATATCACCATGTAGCAGCTTCTCTCTCCTCAGAGACAGCTGTCGTCAGTGCTGCAGTGATGGGAGCTCCTCTGGGGAGAAGGATAGGCAAGTGTTTCCCTCCTGCAGCAGGAAATGGGCGAAACCTTGCCTGCAGTTATGACTCCAGCATTCTGTCGTGTGAAGGAAGCCACTCCTGATAGCACAGGCTTTAGGTTTCCTGTTGTGGGCCAACAGTTTTGGCTTTATCGAGGATTGTAAGAGAGGCTGAAAAACCCGTCGTCTTTCTGAGTCATGCTGTATAAACTCTGAGGAACTACGTGAACAAGCATGAGTTCATAACAGCTCCATTTAACATTTAACAGCTGAGGGTCTGCTGGAAGTACCTTAGTATGTGTGTGTTTCTGTGTGTGTGCGTAATCCCTGTCTTTAGTCTATCTTCTACAGACCCTTCAGTAAAGTCCGTCTTCTTCAGCACTTACATTCATTCACATTACTTTTCTAAATTCTCCTGTTGCCAAACTATCATGAGACATCAACAACTTCACACATATTTACAGTGACAAGTTATCAGAAATAACTGGAGCAGAAACTCTCTCTTGATGGATTTTGAACACCCTGCACCTTATTGCACATACCTGCTGATTTTGTACATGTTTTTAGTCAAGTTTTTACAATATTTGTATCTTTCTATTCTAGGTTTCTGTCGCATTTAATTGAGGGTAATTCTGTTTTGATCAGTTGTGTTTTGTCTGAGCTGTTTTTGCACCAAAAGACTTCAGTCAGATTCATAATATTTGTAAACCTCCTTGACTTAGGTTACTTTTTTTTTTTACTACTAGTTTACAACTTTTTTCCTCTAATTTTTAAACACATTTTAATGAATGTGCCATGTAGCAGCTTAAAAAAGAGAGATGCAGCCAAAGAAATTCTTGTTGTATTCCTGTACAATGACAATAAAGCTTCTTCTTTTATAAACCTGATGCTGATGGATTATAAAGTCGGTGGACAAATCTACACAGCAAGTGTGACCTCAGTTGACCTCATGGTAAATAAGATCTGTGCTTGTTAAACAGCTGTAGTTAAAACATGACACTGCAGTCAGGATGATAAATCCCCCTCAAACTTTTTATCAAACTTTTCCTCAGACACTAGCTTATCCTTGTTTGTCATTGTGTCAACACAGTGGTTCTCAAGTCCAGTCCTCGAGGCCCACTGTCCTGCATGTTTTGGATGTTTCCCTGCTCCAACACACCTGATTCAAATGATCAGCTCGTTATTAAGCCATTACAGAGCTTGATAACGAGCTGATCATTTGAATCAGGTGTGCCGTTACTGTATGCCACATTCAGTACACTTACATGGGTCATACTGTATTATTAAAAATGAGTTACTACATATTGTTTATGGACAATATGGATGTATTGTTAAATTTACAGTGATGGAATCATGAATTATGAGTAAGTTTACACCTGTTTAATGGAATCAAATTTCACAGCAGATTTTTTCAAAACAGAGATGAGCTTCTTCTACTAAATAAATCACCTGAAACTGTCAGCATAAACTAATACCACCAGATGTGACAGAATCCTTGTTCTGCGATTGAAATGAAATCAGCTACGACACATTTTCCCAGTAACATTAGAAACATCATTTTTAATAGTTGAAATAAATACTCCATTACATGCATGTTCAAAAACACTTGAAAATACTAAGGAAGTCTGGTAAATAGTGTAAAACCTATGGCACACACTCACAGCAGCTTTTAGAAATTAGGAATACAAAAAAAAAAAAAAAAAAAAACACACGCTCACACACACGCAAAAAACCCACTGAGACACTCGGATCACTCGATCAAATCTCACAAGCACATGGAATTGAGTAGGTCAGCCAACCATAGGTTCACACAGCAAGGCTACATCCATCATCAAGGCTGGTGTTTTCACCGAAGTAGAAAACTGAGGTAAACTTTTCAGGTTTGAAGGCTGCTGTCTGTCAGCTGGACCCGGGTCAGGCCCAGAATCCTCAGTGGCTCTCTCTCTCTCTCTTCTGTGCAGGTTTGATTCACATCCAGCGCGACATCAAACCCCGTGGAGGTGTTTAGTTCTCCCCTACTCTCTACCCTTCTTCGACCACATGAACAGAAACACAGACAGCTTCATCTGATGATACTTAGAGGACAAACCTGATGAACAGGGAGCACCCTGCCGAGTCTCTTTGGTATGTCAGAATAGGACAGAGGGCGTGGAGCTCATGCTGCCTCTTCCTAATTTAATTCACAGAATGAGAGTTGACTGGTGGCAGAGTCCTTGGAGAGGAGCGTTCTCGGAGCGCCTGAGTGAGCAGAGTGCAGCCATCTGACACCGCGCACGCCGAATTACGCAGCCGCTCGCGGTAGTCTGCCATTTTGGAGCTGCTCTCAGGATGCTGTGCAACGTCCCTTAGGCCCTGAGTGAGGAGAACACAGGCTGAAACCACACTCATGGCTCCCCCTAACACTGCAGTCTGTACCCCTTTCCCTTCATTGGAGATACTCGCAGCTCTTCCCAGGAAAGGAGGCTCTGTGGCAAACCCAACCAGGGCGCTCACAGCCTGGACCAGAGCAGCGCCAAAGAGAACGCAGCGATTTCTGGTCAGCTCACTGGGCTGTGTTTTCACCTCCTTAACACACGCCAGAAAGGCTGTTCCACTTGTGCTCATGCTCTTGACGCTCAGCTTGAACTGCTCTTTCGCAAAGCGATCTCTGGACCTTTCACTTGCCAGAGACGAAATGTCTGTCAGGTTCTTGAGGTTGATAGAGATGTTCTGAGACAGCTCGAGGAGAAGCTGGGGGGTGAGGTCTGGAAGAGACGTGACTCGTAGGATGCTGCAGCTCTGCTCCACTTCATGCCGGCAGCGAGTCACCTTGTAGCGGTCAACCAAACCTGGTGAGCAGGGCTGAGAGCCGGGGGTCTCCACCGCCGCTAGGTAAGCGGCATGGGCCGAGCACTCGGTCAAAGAAACCACTAGGTCGGCCATTTCCAAAAGACGGTCTCCCACTTCTGTGAAGCGGCCCATGTTGAGCTGGCTCTGAATGTCATGTGTAAGAATAGAGAGCTCTTTGGTCCGGGCTATGACTGTGTCCCGGCACTGGTCAAAGGTGTCTGCTACAGCTACCCCCTCGGAGGTCATGACTGGCCTAGTCTCGCTGGACAGAAGGAGGAGATCAGCCACCAGCTGCATCTTGCTTTTACAATTGTCACAGATGGACGAGAGACGCTTCCTTTGCTGCAAACTGCCACTAGGTGTGCTGGGTGATCCCTCACTTGCAGATTTGCCAGAGCCACCACTAGCCATAATAAGGAGGGGGGTGGGTGAGGGTGGGAGGGTTACTCAGTTCACTTATTTATGCTTTTTAGGGTGCTGCACATTACATGGTACTGTTTCCAAGCTAAGCCTGAACTGCTTTTCACAAACTTTGAGAAAGTCAACTGGCCAAACAGTCTTCCTTAAATTCCTTCAGAGTATGGGTCATCAGCTGTACACACAGAATATATATATTCTTCATGTAAACACGTAGAAAGAGTCAAACTCGCTAACTGCATTACTTTGAGTCAATAACATCCAGAATATTTTCTTACAATAAGAGACTGAACTTCTGTCAGGCATATTTCTGGTGGATTGCCTTAAAATTATCAGTATAAAATGCTCTTATCTCTTTAGATGAACATAAATGCCAGCAAAATACAGATGTGGTTAATCTAATCCCAGTCCCAGTTTTGGTCAAACAGAAAAAAACTTCACAGGCTGTGAACTTTAAGAAGAAATCACACCAAATGCAGTGCCAGGGTGCCTCCAAACAGGCAAAGTGCAGACTGAGAGCTGTTCAAAGTCAAAAGCTGCATTTCTTTTCATAAAGGAGATCACATTCCTGATTTATGACATCTGCTGATCCTTTCCTGCTATTTAACACTAGATGTCTTTTCTTTGGGTCTTTTTTAGCAGAGAAAAACATCCCTCAACATTAGCTTGATCGATTCTTCGCTCTTTTTTTTTCTTTACATTAATAAATAGGATGTCATTTTAGGTCCACTCTTGACAGGGTAAGCAGCCTGAAAAAGCACCGACGTCTTGTCCGACTTGCTTCCAATGACTTTGACCGGCCTGGTATTCTCATGCTGGGTACAAACGGGGCACCACCCGGGCAGTTCTCCTGGACAGCGGGAAGACTCGTGTTTCCCTTCAGCACCATCGTTTCATGAGTCCCCCAGAGTTTAAGACCGGGAGCCCGACTTTCCAACAGCACAAACTCCTCCATCCACTTTTAACCTCTTCTTTTTCAAACACAGCCCCGGGTTAGAAGCTAGCGAATGCTGCAGTCGCTTGGACTCCATATGCATCGTCCTTCTGTCCGCCCTCCTCCTCCTCCTCCTCCTCTTCCTCTAGGCGTCTTGACACGGGACCAGAGAATGTGAAGCCCCGCATAGCCCCTGCTGACACTTGCTTTTCAGCGCCATAACCGCTCAAAAGTCTTTGGACAGTCAACTCACATGTTTCGTCTAGTTCCCCGAACATGAAATCCCAAAGGTAGCCGAGGAAAGGGCCGTTATTCCCGGGGATTCAAAGTCGTGCTGCGCGCTCCCGCTGCAGTATGAGGAAGCAGGGAGGGTGTGGTCGGAGCTGAACGGCTGCTGGACTGGCTGAAGTTCCAGGAAGGGAACGGCACAACTGACCCTTCGCCGAAATTTCACTTCCCGGCGGTCAGTGAAGAAGTTTCTTTCTCATGTTAACGACGTCGCGGAGGTGGAACCAGTTTTACAGTAACAAAGAGCACGGCGTACTTTTCTCGCCGCTCCGACTTTCAGGGCTGGCCGCTGATCTGCCATGAGACATCGCTGCTTTATAAAGCCAACCAAAGGCGGAGCCAGCGACACAAGAACCGGAAAGAGGCTCTTCAAAATAAAAGCTGTTGACTTTTACAGTGTGAGAGAGCGCCACAACTCAGCACAGAAGTCCAGAGGGGTTAGTCTGGATGTGAGAAAGAGAAGCTACAGTAAGCTGTATGAAATATGTCAGATAATTTAATGATACAGCACTGTACAGTAAAAATGGTCTGACCTCGTGATACTTGAATAAATAAAACAAAACAAGAGAGTTTGAATGACATAATGTATGACCATAGACTGTATAAAGAATGGACAGCATCTGCCTCCTCGCTGGGTGAAGCCGTTCCGAAAACAGCACCCTCTGGTGACGGGCTGCAGTATAGGTCATAAATCCCGCCTCCTCCAGCAATCCATATGAAGCTGTGGACAAACTTTAGAAATTTATTCCACAGAACACAAATATTTCTCCCCCCTGGTTGTGATGTAGTTACTGTACTTTTTCTGTGCAGCTCCATTTTTAGACGTTATTAGGGGGTTCATGTTTTCTATGATTGTCACTTGATACAGCCTATGGGTGTACGAAGATACACCTGTGGGGATACGCTGTTTGAGCCGAGCGTCATCACAGCCACTCTCGGTGACTCTCCCGCAGAATGCGTACAACACTACTGTGCAAGTGGTGGAGTGCGTACAACACTACTGTGCAATGTTGGTTTCAGGAAGTGGAGAAAAAATGTGGAATTACCAAGAGCTTTTTGGCTTCAAATCCGTATACTGGCGGGAGGCGGAACCAAGTTGTCCATAATATATACAGTCTATGTGTATGACCAAGGATCTCTAAGTCTTCATTTACATTTTCCCAATAATGACTTGTCATGGGTTTTCACATTTTTTTAGTAAGACAAATGTGTGATGTTCTTACATTTGTAAAATGATAGCTGTAAACTTGTACCCGTAATTGTCGTGTGAATGTGATTTTTGATAAATTACACTAAAACAAAACAAAATTGTGGAAATATAGTGCTCTGTTTCAGATTTATATACCATAACATTCTAAAAGGTTGTGGACTAAAGTGGGCTGGTCTGTGCAAGAAAGTCCTGTACTGAAAATGAAATCCATATGGAAGACATTTCATGTGAATTCACGACAGAAAAGGAGGTGATTCAACAGAAGAGCTGAATAACTTCATCAGGATGCTACACGATCCACTGCACAGATGCTTTTAAATGCAGCGGCACTAAATCCAGTCAGCAGCAGACAGTAGCCTGTGGAGCTCTCTTCGTGTCCATTTACTGCAAATCCTCATTTCATCTAGAACAACACAGAATAAAACATTGGATACAAAGCATGCTAGTTTGAAATAACAGCATCTTTACAAAAATACCACCAAAGAGACCTATAGACCCTTTAATGAAGAGGAAGGTGGTTGCTGAGGAGGAAGAGAGACAGCTTTGGCCTTCTCGTTAAATCACTTGTAAGCAAAGGAAAAAAAAAAAAAAAAACTTAGATTAAATCAATAATCATTCAATAAGGAGGATACAATGTGCATTTGTTCAGTAATGATACACAAAGCCTCACGGTAAGAGTATATTATGTATAAGAATAACAACCAGTCCACTTACAACATCAAGAGAGGAAGGAATGGGAAGTAGGTCAATCCAAGAAGTATATTTTCTCTGCATCATATTCCAAAGTAAATTTTTGGGAAGGTAGTACATTATTCCTCTTTAGGGCCTATAAAAAGCTTTTGTAGATTAGTTTTAGCTCTAAAAGGGAACTTGTGGACACTGTGTATATTTTCAAAAAGCTGTTGAAAACCCATTTGTTTACAATCGCTTTGGTATGACCAGGGGCCTGTTCTACGAAGCAAGTTTGACCTAGCGAGGTAGCCTTGGAGCTACCTCGCTGAACTTAACGCGGTAGCCAGCGGTCTCGCTAAACGGTCTTACGACACTGGTTATCAACCTCGTAAGTGGATCCAGCTTTGCTATGAGCGCGTGCACGCAGGTAAGGCAGAGCCCGTCGCATCGGACCGATCGCGAACATGGACCAGTCTGGAGCGTCAGAGCCGGCCAGAGAGCGAAAGACCGCAGAAAATTGCAGACAGTCTCAATGCGTAAATATAATGCGCAAAAAATCTTTGATGCCATTATAACCCTGAAATAGCACTGTTCAACATGCGCTTTTAACATGCACCAGACATGTCTAATTTATTTCCAAGATGAATTCATTCATTTGTTCATTCCTATCATGTTTACATTTTTTGAGCCTTTCATAAAGGTGGTCATCCAGAAAAGTAAGTGGGTCCATGCAGTCCCTGAAAACTCTCGCGCGCCGGAGTGCTCCTCGAACAATGCCAGCACCAAGGTCTATAGGATCCTCCAAGAACAGACAAGCCATTTTTTGAGAGAGCTCATTGGTCAGTGGGTGGGGTTTTTATACTCGGTGAGTTCAATCTGGAACCTAACCTGCCCCAGAGCAGGTTAGCCGTTCAGCGTACGTTGCCATGGAGACTCACCTCGCTAAGAAGTGAACCCGTGTCGTAGAACAGGAAACCCCGAACTTACCCTCGAAGTTACCTTGCTAAGCAGTAATCCTGCTTCGTAGAATAGGCCCCGGGACTTTGGCTGCAAGTGTACTTTTTGTTAAGGTTTATGTCTTGTTGTCTGACCCTTTTTATTTTGATGACTATAAAGCACTTTGTGACAACTGTTCAAGAAAAGTGCCATACAAATAAAGTTTATTATTATTATTATTATTATTATTATTATTATTACTATTATTGTTGTTGTTAAAAGGCTTAAAGGATGGTACCAGGGTTGAAAAAAGGAGGTATTCAGTCCCCTCTGTGGCTCCTACCATCACCTGCAAGCTACAAGGACTGATAATGCTGTGCACAGGACATGAATATGGATCTTTAGAAAAGTTTAAGAGATAGATAGATAGATAGATAGATAGATAGATAGATAGATAGATAGATAGATAGATAGATAGATAGATAGATAGATAGACTTATCTTTAAAAAAGTTCAAAATATATACTTGAACCTGTGTAAACCTATGACCACATGTTACTCTGGAAATGATATTTGCGTTTCCCCCCCCCCAAACCTTTATTATCTCAGCTTTATTTTGACAGCTAAACCGGATGTTGTAGAGCTTTTGTAAACCGCAATAAATTTGACATTTCCAGCCCATGCTTCACCGTCTCGCGCACTGTCCTGCAACCGGTGTATTCTCCACCCTGAAACCCAGATCCTCTCCTCAGAGTAATTGTCAGATTTATTGGAGTTTTCAGTAGCAAGAAAGAAAGGGGGAAAAGAAATATTAATTTAAAAAGTCTGGATGATCAGCTTGAAGTGATCGCCACCTGTAGGAGAAAGGTCGGGCAGAGGAAACACTTTCTGCGTGGGTAATGGAGTGGGGAACGGAAACTGAAAGTCGACAAAATAAGAGGTCTAGTGCCAGGTCAAATAGAATACACTAGGGTAGAATATCTTGATATTGTTATTGTAAATGTACAATGAAATGGGAGGCATTCCTATCAGGTGCAAACAAAACACAGCAAAATATAAAAGTTATACAAATAAATAGGCGAAGTTCTGAACAGAAAGGAAAATCAAAACAAACCATTTGAGACAGTTGCTGTATGTTGGTATAGCAGCAGTAGCACTAACGAGAGTACCGACATCCTGATGAAAAGCGATTAAAGGAGACGAAACAGCAGATGAATATGGTCTCTTATTTAGGGGGTGAGAGGGGTGTAAAATTCAACCTGCCTGATGATTAAGTCGCAATGCTTCGTGTGGTGGTTCTTTTCTTTTCTTTGGTTGGTTCGTGTTTATTTAGGATAACAATCTCGCATTTTTCAGTGAAATGACAGAGCATTACCTGCACCAGCACCATGCTCCAGCCACAATGAGTAGATTTGAAATTTAACACCTTACACGGTTGGAAATAATGACGTAACAGCCGCCGTCCAAAATGAATATATCCAATCATAGAAGCTGATGGGAAGCGCCAACAGCAGAGGGGACCAATCCTGTTCCGGTATGGGCGGGACTTCAGCATGTACTGTAAACTGAATGAGATTGTGTGGCGTAACCATAGAACAGTGGTTCTCAACTGGTGGGTCCCGACCCAAAAGTGGGTCCCAGACACGTTCTGGATGGGTCGTGAACAGCTGATCAAAAAAGTAAATATTTAATACGCATCTGATGTTTGACATGTTTTTTTATTTTGAAAAATAGCTTATTTTGAAAGGCACGCATCATGTCATGGTCCTCCTCGGTTTCTTATTAATGTGGCCTGAATGCAGTAAAATTACATGTTTTTCATGGTCTTTATTTTGTGCAATTTGATATTTATTCACTTTTGTCAATGCTGTTGCTCGGTCCTCCTCGTGTTCTTCTGAATATGCTCTGAACGCAGAGATGCAAATAAGTCAAATGTTTCATTTTGCTTGTCTCCATTGTGTGCAATTTGATATTTGATATTTTCTGTATACGAAACTTAAGTAGTTGTCGCCCTCAGTTCATGTGCTCTGAAATGCACTTTATTCAACAAAATAGGAGTATTTATGTCAAAGATTTGAGTCTGTAAAGGTTCGTTTTTTATAAAAAATTAATTTGCCTGGTTTGAATTTTATAAAAGTGGGTTGCCACATAAGGACCATAAAAAAGTGTGGGTCCCAGAGTGAGACCAGTTGAGAACCACTGCCATAGACTGTAGGCCTATATATATATATATACTATCTATGAGTGTAGAGTAAGAATATATGCCCTCTTTTTTTATTTTTTATTTTTGCTGAAAACGTTATGTTGAGCGAAACTGAAAGTCAAATGGTGGAAATGTGAATAACTACAGCTGTGATGAAACAGCTGAAGGGGAGATGCTGCCCTCCCTTGGAAGGCCAGAGTAGTGTCAGCCTGCCAGCTAAGGAGTTCAAATTGGATTCAGTCCTTTTCAAAAGAGCAAAAAGTATGACCCTCTCTTCGCTAAAAAATGAGTTTGTGTTTTGAAAGATCACACATTTTTACCTGTCCCAAATAACTGCAAACACTTTTCAATATGACAAGGTTTCTATTGTTCCTGTACTCTGCTACCATTCAATATCAATTCTGACAAAAATAGCTGTCTTAAATCCATAACAATGCCTTATTATATAAATTAATATAAATTTCTCCACCATGGGATGAACAGAGGTTTATTTCCCGGTGTTACCTCATATTCTTCCATAACTGCAGGACAGAAATCCAAAAGTCTCGTGATAATGTTTTTCTGCCCTAAAAATGTTTCTGTTCACATTTATTTGATTAAACGCTCATTCCAGTCATATTGTTCTTTTTTTTTTTTTAACAAATGTTGAACTTGCAACTGACTTCACCTTAATCCATGTCATCTCCATTCTGTGATAGATAGATAGATAGATAGATAGATAGATAGATAGATAGATAGATAGATAGATAGATAGATAGATATGACTAAAAAAAGAACAAAAAACAGTCTATTATATAGGCCACATTAAAATCCAAATAATAATACCATATCATTATCAAAATAAAGAACATTTATTTCACATTAATTCATACTTATTCTAAATTGTTATAAACTCATCATTCCTCAGTTTTCACTCCAGACAAAATAAGAGCTTTGGTTTCACAAATGTAGTGCCGCTGGCCTCGACAGACAACATCATCCCAGGAGTTCAGCCAGCCTTTCTGTCCAACAGTCTTTGGAGGGACAATGACAACACAGTCCTGTCCTGCACGGTCTTTGTCCCATTGAGCCACAGCATTGTTTGGCTCTCCAGGCATCCAGAACTTCAAATCTGACTTGGACTTGATACCATTTACCCACACAAATCTGTTATCCTGCACCATGTCCTGCAACCCGATCCATGCTGAATGGAACAGTACATTTGGATGCTGCTGTGTAAACTGGAAAGTCATGTTGGTCAGAAATGCCTGGTCTGCAGCATTCAAGACAACAGCCAGGTCAGCACCTTCATTAAAACACTCCCTACGAGCATCTTCCCACTTCATTGGTTGTGATGCCAAATGGAAGCAGCGTGTGGCGTGCTCAGCCCAACCAGGAAGGCAGCGTGAACATTGCAGGGTGCCTTTATCACAGAATCTCCAGAGGAAAGATAGTTTCTCCGACATCAGAATTGATTGTTGACGTTGATTTTCAGCTTTTAGTTGAGTTGAGGTCTGCCTTTCATTGATCAAAAGCTGTTGATATTTGATTTTGTCTTTTCTGAAAGAGTCACGGTTTTCCATAGTAGAATTCAATATGATTTTCATCTCCTCAATCTGCACTTGAAGCTGTGACTTTTCTGCCATGGTGTGGTTTAGTCTTCGGCTCAGTCTCTGATTTTCTTCCATGGAGTAGCTCAGACTCAGGCTCAGTTTTTGATTTTCTTCCTTGGTGCTGTTCAGACTCAGGCTCAGGTTCAGATTCTCTTCCATGGTGTAGTTCAGACTCAGCCTCAGTTTTTGATTTTCTTCCTTGGTGTGGTTTAATCTTTGGCTCAGATTCAGATTCTCTTCCATGGTGTAGTTTAGTCTTCTGCTCAATTTCTGATTTTCTTCCATGGTGTTGTTCAGACTCAGGCTCAGGTTCAGATTCTCCTCCATGGTGTAGTTCAGACTCAGCCTCAGTTTTTGATTTTCTTCCACGGTGAAGTTCAGACTCTGGCTCACTTTTTGATTTACTTCCATGGTGTGGTTCAGTCCCATGTGTGTTGATTCTAGAAGCTGTCTCAGCTGACTCCTTTCTTTCTGTAACTGCTTAACATTGATGCTCAGGCCAACAATGACAGTGATTAGGACTAAAAGCAGCACCAGGAAAACGACATGAAGAGTGCCTATCCAGCCAGATTGAAGTCTCTGTATGATGCGGTTATCAATCTCCTTTTTCTCTGTCTCATCTTGATCTGGTCTGTCTTGAAGTCTCTGTATGATGCTGTTATCAATCTCCGTTTTCTCTGTCTCATCTTGATCTGGTCTGTCTTGAAGTCTCTGTATGATGCTGTTATCAATCTCCGTTTTCTCTGTCTCATCTTGATCTGGTCTGTCTTGAGCCATTTCCTCCACAGAGCTTTCAGATGGGAAGCTAAAAGAAAAAGATGAGAAGCACTGAAGATCTTGTTGTAAAGGGTCTGAAAGCTAAGTCTTTCTATACAATATCTGTCATTCACAAACTGATGTGCACAAATCTGAGACATGATAAATATTGGAAAATTCCAAATACTCTCATTCTCTGAGTCGTCTGAATGAGCTGTATGAATGTCAGCAGTTCTGACCCGACCCAAACTGTTGGTATCTACACAAACAGAGCCTTAACCTCCAAACACATGACTTCATTTCAATAAAGTTAGGGCGCTGTGTACATACTTTATTTCAGTCTGTTAGTATATGACACATTCAATACAAACAAGGAAAAATTTTCATGTGAATGAAAAGGAGCAGAAAGAAAAAGGTTGAGGCGCGGTTTTATAGAAACACCTTCACACAGGGACCCCTTGAACCGTTTTTTTCTCCTTACCTTAGGTGGACGTGCTGTGGATCCGTCATTTCGCCGTGGGTTTCCTCGGACATGTTTTCCATCTTTGCTTTTCGCTTTCTTCCACGTTTTTACCAGTAGGTCTATGTTTCACTTTGAAATATCCAACTTCAGTTTTTTAAAACTAAACAGTTGATTCAGTTGCCATGACAGCCACTGCAGAGTCGTATTTTTAAATAATTTTAAATAATTTAATACTAATGATTATTAGTATAGTAGAGGCACCTGAACAGCAGCAGAAATAGCCTTGGTTGTGTCTAAATTTAATAATCTTTACATTAAGTGTAGCTACCCGCTGAAAGGTTCAAACGATACCCTGGACAGCTGCTCTACTTCCAGTTAGTAACACGAGATGAAAGCCGTGATGATGTCATAATGATGTCATCACGGAATTGTTCCTTTGATGCCATATTCTCTTGTTGTTTGTTTACATTTGAATTTTTCACATTTAAATGTAAAAAAAAAGCACACCCTATAACAATCATGTATTTTTCAAACCTGCTGTTAACCCACATTGATTTGAGCTGTTTTTGTAATAGATGCTTTATGAATTGATATGTATTGATGGGTTAAATAAGAAAACTTAGTTTGACACACCAGCTGTTAAACTGAACTTTACAGACGCCATCTTGCCTGTGTACTTCTGTCCATTGTTGAACCAAAATTAAAAAATAGTTCTCTTTAAATGTACAAATCATATTTACTCATGAAGATAAAGTCATTATTGATTATACATTGCAGATATACTTTCCCCTGAACTCTATATTAATCAGTTATCCAAAAGCTTTTCCTCTGCTGATGAAAAGTGAAAACAAGAGTCCTGCAAGGATTAAAACTGACATGGGCCTACTTAACATGCGAAATTCAGAGAAATTTTAGCACTTTTTGACAACAGCAAGAGTAAATCAGAATTAACTCTCATTGGGACACACAAACCCCTCCACCACGGTAAGGTGGTAGCTCGAGGAGGGGGATAAAAACCCTCCCATGGGACGGAAAACCGCAAGGTTTATTTTATTTTTTGTGTGAAAAACACCGGGTTATGGGTGCTTTTGTTTGTTGTTTTTTAATTTTCTTTCCAGTAGTTTTTTTTTTTTTTTTCCCATGTTGATGTTTTTTTTTTCTTTTTTGTTTTTTCATCAGTTGTCTTAATTTATTTTTGTTTTTGGAGATTTCTTTTTGAAGAGTTTTTTTTTTAAGTACTTCCTTACTTCGGGGAAGTTACTTCTTCCACTTCTCAGGCTTTCTTAACCCCAAGAATCAGAAATATTTCTTTTTTGTTTTTTAGTTTTCTTAGGGTGTTTTTTTTTTGTTGTTTTCAGAAATACTCTTCTTTTTCTTTTTTTTAGTTTTCTCTTTTTTCTGCCTGTTTTAAGGGTTTTTGACCTAGGCTCCCTCTCACCCTACCTTAAAGAGGTCGTCACTAATCTGGGAGTTAAATTTGACCCTGATTTTAAATTTGACAAGCAGATCAGCGGGGTGGTACAAAAAAGTTTTTATCAGCTACGCCAAATAGCGAAGGTGAAGCCCATTTTATCAAGACCTGACCTGGAAAAATTAATCCATGCTTTTATCACTACCCGTCTTGATTACTGCAACTCCTTGTACGTAGGGATTAGCCAGGCTTCCCTTGCCCGCCTGCAGCTTATGCAGAACTCTGCTGCACGTCTCCTGACACAGACCCGCAGGCGTGAGCACATCACCCCCATCCTGGCGTCCTTACACTGGCTCCCTGTTCAGTACAGAATTCATTTTAAGCTTTTAGCATTTGTTTTTAAGGGCCTGAACAACCTTGCTCCACCCTATATTTCGGAGATGCTACAGCCTTATTGCCCACCCCGACCCCTAAGATCAGCTGATCAGCTTTTACTGACCGTCCCCAGTACAAGGCTGAAGCTCAGAGGGGACAGAGCATTTGCCGCTGCTGCCCCTAAGCTCTGGAATGAGTTGCCCTTGAAAATTAGACAGGGCTCCTCATTTTCTGTTTTTAAATCCCTTTTAAAAACGTACTTTTACTCATTGGCTTTTAGTACATTGTAGTGTTAATTTGTTTTTTATCATCTTAGCACTTGCCGTGAGCCTCCTTATTTATACACTTATTTATTCTTTTGCATTACTGTATTTCTGCTTGCTTTATCTTGTTCTTTGATTGTTTTATTTGTTTTTATGTGTCACTGTACAGCACTTTGGCTACCCTTGTGGTTCTTTTAAATGTGCTATAGAAATAAAGTTGATTGATTGATTTTTTTTTTTGGTTTTCTTTATTTATTTTTTTTTTTTGGAGATCTCTTTTTGAAGAGTTTTTTTTTTTTTTTAAAGTACTTCCTTACTTCGAGGAAGTTACTTCTTCTTCCACTTCTCAGGCTTTCTTAACCCCAAGAAGTGTCTTGTTTGTTTCCAGACTGAAGAAGGTGGTTTGGTGGCATTAGAGGTTGGTGTCTCTGCTGGTCCTGCTGTTCCAACTAGTTCTGGAGATCCAGCAGTCACTTCGATTTCTAAAGCTCCTGCCAGTTCTTCAGCTCCAGAAGTTTCTGCAGTTTTCTCCAACTCCATGCAAAACTGCTCGATGTCCATGTCCATGAAGTCCTGCTCCTGAAGCGTCATCTCACTTTGCCTGATGCCTGTCTCTCGAAGTTGAAGCTCAGTTGAGAGTTCATTTGTTTTTTTGTTTTTTTCATTGTTAAAGCTGGTTTCTTGGGCCACTTTAAGCTCCTTGTTGTCCATCATACCGGCTGTCTGAATGTAGAGCTGTTGTTTCAGCTCCTCCAGCTCAGCCCAGTGCCTCCTCTCTGTTTCAAAAGCTGCCTGCTGCAGAACAGCAATCTTCTCCGTCATGGAGTCCTGTTCGGCTCTCAGGATCTGGATGGTCTGTTCCTGTAAGAGTCCATCATGGTGAGCCTGATTTTGCAGCTCACGCTGAAGGGTCTCAACTTCCTGTTTCGCAGCAGTGAGATCAGTTGCATACTGGAATTTCAGTGCTTGGTATGAGGTTCTTGTCTTCTCCTGTTCTTCATGGAGGACCGTGTTTCTTTCAGTCAGTTCCTGGACTTGTGTTGTGAGCCTCTCATTTTCCACAATATGTGCCACCTTCAGCTCCTCGTAATCGACATGAAGATCCTTCTTCTTCTTCTGCCGGCTCGTGTCCCTCACCTTAAGAGCAATTCTGTGTTTGGAGAGGGTCTCCTCTGAGCTGTACTTTTGAAGCATCTGCAGCTCCTTTTTGAGCTCCTTCCCTTTGTTAATGTACACTTCCTTGAGAGCCCTTTGTCTGGTCAGCTTCTGATGAATCACCTCCAACTCCTGGCTGAGCAAGAGTGTTCGGTTCTTCTCTCTCTCCAGCTGTCCAGTGAGCTTCTGTTGAGTCACCTCCAACTCCTGGCTGAGCAAGAGTGTTCGGTTCTTCTCACTCTCCAGCTGTCCAGTGAGCTGAGCCACAGTCCTGCGGAGTGTCTCCATCTCTCTGTCCCTCAAGTAGAAGGGCCTGTTAATCCTGGGTCGGTTTGTTGGTCGCTGCATTGTCTTTGACTGTTTGTAGTCTCAGAGTTCCGCTGCTAAAAGATTTCGATTGTCTCTTTCTTTAAACATGTAACTATCTTTTTTTTATTCGACATTAACCAACGCCCCCTTGTCATGTGACCGGCAGACTTGTGAACCAATCAGAACGCACCATCTGTAAACATGGCGCCCGACTTCAGATGGAGGTGTGTGGTTCTCCTTCTCTTCGCCCAACTGCTTTGTTATTCGGCCGCCGAAAGCAAAGAAAAGCCCAAGAAAAAGAAGGATATCCGTGACTACAATGACGCAGATATGGCGCGGCTCCTGGAGCAATGGGAGGTACGTTTACATGGTACTTTTTACTGGACCAGCTCAGTACTGAGCCTCAGAGTCAGCAGCCATACTGTCCTGAGTTATTCAGCAGCACTCAGTTTGGTCAAGTCAACAGTTTCAGCATCACAGACTGACTCTCTCGGAAACTGTCAAGGAGTTTGATAATACCAGAGAAGAGTATACAGCCTCATGATTCAGGGAGAGAGGAGAGTGAATCACACGGAGCGGTGTGGAGAGACGTTCAATGTCCTCGAGGAAGGTGGGAAAAATCAAAGATTCCGGGTTCCGGGACCTGTTGGTTCAGATAGACACCGACTGGATAAGACTGGAGGGGTTGACTGTCAGTTTAAGGTCACCTGTAGAGTAGATGACCTTCATTGCTTAACATTGAACCAAAGTAGCTCCAAATTTACAGTAGATGCTGCTGACATGTTTAATTACTGAAAGAAAGGCAGTCAGACTCTATCAGGGTTTTATCGTTCTCTGAAAATCTCTGTTTTATCTTCTCATATCTTCTCTTGGTTCTACAGAAGGATGATGACATTGAAGAAGGGGACCTTCCAGAGCACAAGAGGTCTCCTCCTCCCATTGATTTCTCCAAGGTAGACGCCTCCAAGCCAGAGGAGCTGCTCAAGATGTCCAAGAAGGGCAGGACTCTGATGGTGTTTGCGACAGTGTCAGGGGATCCCTCGGAGAAAGAGACTGAAGAGATAACAGGCCTGTGGCAGGGGAGCCTCTTCAATGCGAACTTTGATATTCAGAGGTGAGCTCAGTTTTGTTGGCTGTTCAAGAGACAGCTATGAGCGGCAACAAATGCATGTGTCTTCTCTATCAGCTGCTTTCACTGGCAGATAAAGTTCATACATGCTGCCAGTGGAAGCAAATCAGGTTTATAGAGTGTCTGATGTAAAGACACTTGAGCCCACATTTGACACAGCATTGGAGGATAAATCATTCTGTACCAGTGTCTAGGCCAAGTTAATGTCTCATCACCTGAGTGGGTGAGGCAGCTTGAAGCTTATGAGGCTAGTGTGTGTTCAGTAAATACTTGGAATTCATTTGAAATATCTAGAGCTTTACAGAACCTAAAGCTGGCTGAGTGATTAGGAAGAAAATCATGAAATAAACTATTCATCCTTGAGCTTACTCTTATTGTATCTTTGTGTTTCCAATTTAACCTGAGTTCGAATGTTATTGGTTAAATCTGAACACAGCCACATCCCCAGTTATTAAAGGGTGTGCACACTTATGCAACCACATGATCTCAGTTGTTCATTTTTACTTCACCTCCCTGAAAGATTTCTGTTTGTTTTTCATTTGTGTTGTACAGGTTATAGGTCACATTAAAGGTGGAAGAATTTGTGAAATTATTTATCTTGATTTAATTTTTTACATGACAAAAACCTGGCAGTTGAACAGGGGGTGTGTAGACTTTTTATGTCCACTGTATAAATATAAGACTTCAACTGCTAAGAAAAACCTCACAGTCGATTCTCTCTCTGATTGCATGTTAACTTGTCTCCTTGCAGGTTTGTAGTGGGCTCCAACAGGGTGATCTTCATGCTGCGGGATGGCAGTATGGCCTGGGAGGTCAAAGACTTCCTCATAGCTCAGGACCGCTGCGCAGACGTCACTGTGGAAGGACAGGTATTCCCGGGAAAGGCAGCGAATAGCAATGGAAAAACTAAACCACAAAATGAGGTCAAAAAGAAAAACAAGAAGAGGACAGATGAGAAGAAGCCAGACGTGGAGGGTAACAGAGCCAGCCATCTGAAACAGGAGCTTTGATGGACACTCAGAAAAACACCTTCTCTGGCCTGCAGGAGCACATGTAGCTGTTTCAGTTCAAAGTTAGTGTTCAGAGTGAAGACAGAAAACTGTTGGGGACAATCACCTTGACCTCTGGCCTTGAATTACAGGAAACATGGTTGCATTTTCTCCACCTTACAGCAGTGTTGCAGCGATGAGTACACTCTTGAAATCCTCATTTTTCATGTCAGCTCCTACAAATCAACATCGTGCAGATGGATTCTGGTTTTCAAACAAAGTCCAAATACAGAATTCAAAATAGTCTGCACATGTTAATTCTTAAAAATGTTTTTCTTTGACCAATATCAGATCAGAGCCAAACCAGTACTGGAGTTTTTACAACCAGTATTGTCACAAGATTATGGTTACTTGATTTTGTTTGATTTGCTATAGGTCCTTGGGAGGAAACGGTGGTACTAATCTTTATTGGATCCATATGAGCTAACTGATTATTGAATGGGCTGTATGGAACTGAATCTCTGTGCCACACTTCGAATGATTGAATTTCAGCATTATGTAATTTGATCAAAGCACTTCTCACACTGTCTGTTTGATTTGTTACACATGATACATGAATAAACATTTTGTTAAATAACCAGAGCTTTCCTTGCTGAGGTCTGGATCCTGTAAATCTGGTCCAAGCCTTGAAGAACTCAGAGGGGTTACAGGGGTAAAACCACAACAGTAAAAACTGGTCTGTGGGATCATGTCCAGATACAACTTGTCTTTGTGTACCCTGGTGTCAGTCATTGCAGTTCACTGAAGTCTGAAACAGATGGAGCATCTTATCGTTTCACTCTGAAGAATCACTCCACCTCAAAAGACTACACAACCCTTGTATGATTTCTACCTCCAACCACCCTTCTTGGTTTTCACTGATTCACTTTTTTTCTGTGAAAAACAACAGGTGCCAGTGAACGCTTCACAATGCGTTTTAATCTTCAGGACTTTTTCTGCTCACCAGCCTAGAGTGAGAAGGCAGATGCCACTGTGGTTGACGGTGGACATTTTGATGCAGAGGCATTGCTGTTCTCTCAGTGGAAGCAGACGTTCAAGATTCGTCAAAGGGAAATTCTGGTGTAAAGTTAAGTTAGGGTCAAACACACCGTAACACCGAGTTAAACACCCGAGAGCTTGCTTCTGCTTGCTTCTCTAGACCAAACACAACAGACCCACTCTCCTCCAGCAGATGGGTGTTTGTGGGTGAGCCCTGACGAGTCAATCACAGAGTGCAGCGGATCATTTTCATGAAGAAATAATCATCATAATAATCATTTTGCACTACAGATGCAGTAGTTCTTCTGCTTTAGCGTCTCGGTCTGATTGCATTTCCATGAAGTAATGATCATAAATTTTCCGCTGCACTCAGTGATCGACTCGTCAGGGCTCCCCCACAAACAAGCGGCTGCTGGAGGAGAGTGGGTGAGTTGTGTTTAGTCTTTTTGTTAAAGAAATCAGGCAAAACTAAAAAGATGTTTGGTGGCTAATGCTATGGCTAGGACCCTGTATGTACTGTTGATGAAGTTAGGTGCTGTTCTGAGCATTATTTGTGGCTATAGAGCGGGTTTTGGTTGAGGTTTGTGCATGGAGACCGCTGTGTATTGCTATCGTGCAGTCGTTACTAAAGTTGGTGTAACTAGAGAAGCAAGCGGTCAGCAACATTTATCTCTCAAGGGGGTGTATAACTCAGTGATACGGAATATCCCTTTAAGGAGAGACTGATTGGTGCCCGTCTCCATAAGAAGCCATAGTCAGACATGCTGTCCTCGCTGGTATAACAATAACCAAACCCTTTCAGTCTGAGAAAGCAACTCTTAGTCTGTCACTCACTGAATCATTAGACTCAAAACACAAACTTCAGGATATTTTAATATCTTGACATTTGTAATAAAAATCAAACCCAAATTTGGACATACCATTAAGTTCTTAAAAAAAAAAAAGAGTGATAGGCCAGTGACATTTAGACAAGCATGATTTATTTCTGTACAACATTTCTTAAAGAAATTAAATGTCATTGGCTTAATAACTTCACAAGTCCAAGCCACATGTACAACACATCCATTTAGAAAAAGTTACAACACGCAGACTTCCCCAAGAGTCAGCTGCATGTTTGGTACAAATCTTTCATATTGGAGCAAAAATAATTTCTCACATGCAGCGTACATACAGGACAGTTATAACTAAAAATGTCCCCAATAAGATTTTGGATCAGCTGTCTACACAATAAATAAGTATAAAATATATCTCTTTGTAAACTTTGGATTTAAAAAAAAAATAAACCCACAAAACAAAGAAGTACTGCTACGACGTCCGAAAAAAGACCAGCTATTTCGGGACAACTCTTAACTCTTTCAAATCTGAAGATCTGCCCATCGTTTTTTTTTTTTGGTTGGGAAATTGCACTCTTAAAAATTCCCTGATTTAACATTCAGTGGCTCCTTTAAATATTTTACATTATTGATAAGGGCTTCCTGCTGAACAACCTCCAAAACACCGTCATGAAAAATTCAAATAAAGAACATCAGATCTCAACAATCACAAGTAACAGAGTGTTTCTGTGTTTTGGTCCTCTTTCTTCTCCTTGGAAATAACTGAGTGAACCCTCTAAATGAACAGTGTGAAAAAACAGATCTGTACAGGGAAGATGCATTAACATCACACATGGTTGAGACCCTCTTTTTACATTTGAAATATAAATCACCTAAAAACAGACACTCACATTCAGGTCTTTCGAACACTGCACAGTAGTTTAGTACTGTATCTCAACAGTACTAAATAGGGGTGGGAGAAAAAATCGATACAGCATAGTATCGCGATATTTTGTCTGGTGATGTATCGTATTGTCTCATTAACTGAGTATTGATTTTTTCAAATTAATTGCTAATGTGAAGTCAAATCTATGATAATGGAAAAATAAAATCAACTGTTTGTCAATGGGGTTGGCAAAGGTAACATCATAAAGCAGGAGAGAGTTCGTACAACAAATATAACAGCACCTGGGGAAGGACATTAGGAATGCAAGGAGGTCACAAATGAGATGGACCTGACTCATTAGGTTTGCAAGAAGTGCTACGTGAAAATAAAATACTGTGTAAATAAGACAAATAAATGTATAAATCCCAATATATTGTATTGTAATACTCACTGTATTGCAAAATGTGAAAAATTCCAATAATATCGTATCCTGGCCTAAGTATCGTGATAATATCGTATCATGGGGCCACTGATGATTCCCATCCCTAGTACCAAACCACTGTGCAGTGGGGAGTCCACTGTGTTGGCAAGACTGTGTGTGCTGTTTTATACTGTGTAAAGATGTTCACTCACAGTGTGACAGAGTACACAGGAGTGATCATGGTTCAAACAAGCTCCCACTCAAACATTTGTGGAAGCCTGGTGGAAGTGGCAGGAATCAAACCAAAAGAACCAAAACAGAAGAGAATAGTTCAGACAGGTGAGGCTCAGTCCAGATTTTAGTCAGACTTTTGAGCTTTTGACCAGACTGTCCAGAGGAAACCTTTAACCATAACCACAAACTGATTTCACAGACACACACTTCTCACATTCAGACCACACAAACACTTCATATCTACAACAATACGTTGGGTCACAATAGGTTCAGGAGTTAGACTATTATGCCATCATGTAGAGTTATTTACAGCTTCACTTTTGATTGGACTTTAAACCCTCTCCCCACCCCCCTTTGGTTGACTTTGCACAGTTTACAGCGGTAACAGTGTCATCTGTCCTGGTCCGAGCATCTCAAAGTGTTTGTCACTGTGCAGAACTAAAGATCATATCCACTTTTTTCAGAGAGAAACAAGTGTTTTCTTTCTGTGCACCAGTTTAGTTACTAATTTAGTGTAAGTTTGTCTCTTTCACCATTAATGACCTCAGCCTTGTCCTCAAGTGTGCAAGCAATTCCCCTCTGGAAGTGTTAGATGAACCACTTAAAGTGTAATACGGATGATCTTATCTGGAACCCCAGAGGGGGTTTAGTGTCTATGCCAAAGAGAGCAGCAGAAGGTCTGGATAAACCAGCAGTTCCTCTGAGAAGAGACATCAAATGCTGGACTATCTCAGGACCCCCCTTTCTGTGCCATCGCTCTTTTAAAAGTGGTCTTCCATTTAGCATGAATGTTGACTCGAGCTTAAGTTGGTGTCAAGGCCCTTTTTCTCGATAGCACCTTGTGTGTTTTTAACACTGAAGCAGACAGCACTGTCACATTGTGGTCCCAGCGGCTGAATTTACACTGAACAGGAGAGACAAACAACATAGAAACAAACAGTGCAAGAGTCACACATACACACACACCATCTCCAAACTTGTCAGTTCCACCACATGCAGACATTCATTTGCTTTTCATTTCCCATCTGTACGCTTTCAGAAAGACAACATGGCCGTCCCGTTTTGGTCCAGCTGTGTTAGGGGGGCTGGTCTGGGTTGGAGCACATTAAGGGGTTTCTTCTCAAACCTAATGGACACTTAAGCTATATTTACACAGCAATGACTGAAGGACACAGGGTACAGTCCTCTCTGTTGTTGTCTGAGGTGACAGCCATGTTTCTGTACACTATTGGCTGAAAGAGCTGAAGACCCCAAATAGATACCAGGGGGGTTCCTCCCTCAACTGTTGGTTGTCTTGTACCCAGACTAAGTTCTTTAAAGGCAGAGATAATCACTGGTTTGGTCGCACCAACAAACCTAGGAAGTAAAAAAAGGTTGATCCTGGACTCATGGCTCAGGGCAACTGACTTTGCAATGCAGGCAGTGTGTTTGTATCTGTACAAGCTTTTTGGTGGTGATGCAGGGGATTTCAGTCTGTATCTGGAAGTCACATAGACTTTTGGCTTTCTTCCCCTCACTCAAAGCTTCAACTTATGGACCACAGGGACAGGCAGGACTTGATGGATTTTGGCTTGGTCAATGTCTACCTCCATGTGGACCCAGTCAGGGATGAAGGTGCCTTTGAAGCCCACAAACGCCAGTTTTTCTGTAGGACAGTGAAAAATAATTATGTGAGCATTACAAATTTAGTACCAGGGTGTAACACTTCTCCGTCTTCCTTCAGGTTGTCTATGCCAGTCGTTCTCAAGTCCAGTCCTTGAGGTCCACTGTCCTGCATGTTTTGGATGTTTCCCTGCTCCAACACACCTGATTTTGTTTATGTTTATTTGTTTATGTTTATTCAGCTTTCAGCATGATCACAGATGTTTAAAAAAGACAGATGCCATTAAAAACACTGAATTATTTTGCTGATTACAAAAAATAAAACTTCAAATATAAAATGCAGCTTAAGAAGCAACAACCTAAAAACTTAAAAAGCTAAACACCATTCTCATTTAACAGCCTGCACATATATGGGATTGGTGATTTCTTATATCTCTCAGTTCGGCATGTTGGCATGATCAGCTCGTTATCAAGCTCTGTAATGGCTTAATAACGAGCTGATCATTTCAATCAGGTGTGTTGGAGCAGGGAAACATCAAAACATGCAGGACAGTGGGTCTCGAGGACTGGACTTAAGAACCACTGATCTAGGCAACATCATGGGGCTCCTCTGAACAGGAGTCTCGGGTTAGCCTGAAAACACACCATTGTACACTGTTCATCCAGAATTCACAGACTGGTTTCAGCAGGAGCTTGTGACACACAGCATGGCCTATCCTTCCTACCCTCTCTTAGACGAGACATAAAACTGCAATTTAGTGCATGCAGACATTGTAAGGCTATGTTCACACTGCAGGGCTTAATGCTTAATTGCTATTTTTGGCTCAGATTGGATTTTTTTGTTTGGCTGTTCACATTACCATCTATAATGTAACCTGTATCAGATTCCAGTGTGAATTCGTATCTGCCTGCATGCGCAAAAGAACTAAAACAATGACGTCAGATGCAGCACGCATTAAGACTATATATAATTATGAAATAATCTCTCTAATTTCATTTTTATTTTTAATTACGTTACTGTGCAAGCCGCCTTAAGCAAAAAAAGTGTGATATGTTTTTAAAATAAATTGATAAATAATCCTTCCTTATGGTAAAATTACATGGTATGGGTTGTCGGTGCTGATACTAAAATCTGTTAGCAGCTCTGTGATTATTGTAGTCGTCTGAGTGTTTTTATATTTATACCCCATACCCCATATACTTATAAGGACCAAGACCTTGCTGTCCTTCCAATGACTTGCTTTATTATTGCTGTCCCCCATTTTTGCAAGGCTGCTGTGATGCAGAATTGTGATATATGTTGCTCTGAGTCGTGACGTGAATGTATCGAATCTTCCTTGGCCATTTACACTAAACCTGCATTGAAAAAAAAGCCGATCTGTATCTGATTCAGGATCACACATGGAAGTGGCAAAAATCGGATTTAAAAAAAATCTGATTTGGGCCAGACTGAAGTGTTCACACTGCCTCTAAAAAGTCTTACCTGGTCACTTGAGACTGAAAAAATCAGATTTGGGCCACTTTTGCCTGCAGTGTGAACACAGCTTAATGATATACTGTTGGGCTGTTTATTCTCAGTGGTTCCTCTGATCTTATGGTGCAGCTGCTGTGTATGTGATGCTGCTCTGATTATAAATCGGAAAATGCTTCAATTCTTCATTATTCAACAATAACCTGTGGGACATGATTACTTGACACAACAAAACTGGGGAACACTAAATGTCTAAGAAAATTCATGTCAGTGTGTAAAATGCAACCAATAAAGCAACAGCACCACCTACTGCTTTTTTTGTGGAATTGTTTTTAAGGCCACCCTTTGACCTCATACTAAAACCAGAAGCCTCCTACATAATGTTGAGAAAATAAAAAAGGTCTTTACATGTCAAAATTGAATGATTTATCTGTGTGTAGCCCTGTGTGCAGGAAACACTGATGTTCATCATTCATTTATCTCACAGACACATCAGCCTGATACATGAGCAGCTTTGGGACACAAATGTGAAAAAAGACTATTTTCAAGCTGCTTCTCCAATCTACTGCTACTGAAGTCGTAGTAAGGCTGTTACCTTTCAGTTTGAATCCTTTGTCTGCTCCGAGTCGCTCCAAAACTTTAGTCCAAGATCCCCTGGTAACCAGACGGCCCTTTGATGTAATGAGGACAACTGAACTATAAAGAGAAAAACATCACATCATCTGTAACTGTCAGCGTGTGTTTAAAGCTCAAGCATTTGTGTCATTCACAGAGTCTAAATTTATGGTCAGTGAATACAATTGGTTCTCTGCAAACCAACAAATAATTCTTAAAAAGAAGAGTTATATTTGCTCCAAAATCAGGGAGCAACCTGCACCAAGACTGTGGAGGGTTTTAGCACACACGAACAGTAGAGCAACAGTTTCTTACCCATCTCTCAGCCCACTGACGTAGTTATCAATCTGTGTTGGGATGCCCTGTAAGATGGAGTTCCGGAATGCTTTACTTTCCAACACCTTCCCATCGTGACCGTCAACAACCGTCAGCTGAACCCCATCCTCTGCCTGATACCATTTCTGTCCGTTCACCTGTCAGAACACAGCAGGTGGACCACAGGAGGTGAACCGATAGATAGATAGATAGATAGATTGATAGATAGATAGATAGATAGATAGATAGATAGATAGATAGATAGATAGATAGATAGATAGATAGATAGATAGATAGATAGATAGATAGATAGATAGATGTAGGTAAGTAGGTATAGTTGGTAGATACCTGTACGAAGGCAAAGTCCTCCTTGATGTGAAAGAAGCGGGTGTTATAGGACTCCACTTTAATCTCCAGGAAGTGTTCTGGTGAGTGCTGCCAGGAGAACAGAACCAGAGTAAATATCAACAATATTTGGTATTTAATAGAGGCAGTTTTAAATGGATCAGAACCGGTCCAAAAGAATGAGAATAAATAATTGCAGTTGTTATCGCAGGGGCTCTTGGAGACTCTTATGGCGTCTTACAGATTCTTCTGATTTCTTGTGATGTTCTGGTTAATTATGTTGTTTGGGTTCTTAGTATTTGGTTCTTGATATTAGTATTTTATTTTTTTGTAGGTTTCTCTAACTCTGTGGTGCTTGTGCTCTGTCTGTCACTTTGTAAATGCTTGTTTTTTTAAAAGTGCTATGAAAACAAAGTAATCACTGTTATTATTAATTAATTATATATCTCCACATTGTATTGTAGTTAAATAGTGCAGACTTTGAAAGTCACTGGAAGCCTGTTTAGTGCTTCACCTAACTGAACATCATGGATTCAAAACCAAACCAAACAAAAACAGATAACTTGAGTTTGGCTCAGTTCAGGTCCAGTTCCAAGTCTTTGTTGGGGCAAAACTGACCGTCTGAGCTGTCCTTGTTCCCCTGACAAGGTTTTGCCTAATGTTGTTAGCTGGAGATCAAGCACAGTTAGCCATGCAGTGATCAAATCCAGTTGTTGGTCTGAAACAAACTAAAACAGTTTATTAGATTCGGGCCAATCCACGAGGCTGACCACATCTATGCTATATTCTGTGTTTACAGCTAAACATGCCCACAGCAAGTCATGTGATAGCATGCTGGTCTGTTATTTCCTTACAACAAAGGCTGAGCGCTTTGGCTGTAATTCACAGTAGTTATGCCAACAGTCTGTACGCCATCCTGCAAAATCTGCAAAGTAAGGGTTTCAGTGGTCATGTCATTGCATTTGCTGCACAAGTCATCACAAGCACAAGTAAACAAGCACCAAGAGATACTAATGGAAAAAGCAGACCAAAGGAGGTGGTTAACCTCTGAGCTGCAGGCATGCAAAAACATTTGTGGTGATGATGTGAAGGTCTGTTCTGGACAATAGTAACCAAAAAGTGGAGGATTTGTAAATCTGCAGTATAAATCAAATACATTTACGATAACTTTTGAGTCATGAAATAATAAAAGAGTGAAGTGTTCTGATCAGGTTACAGAGTCTGAGAAGACTGTAACTAAGTCACTGACAAGGCTGACTGTCTCATAGACAGATACATCCCCTTGCCCACTTACCAACATGGCATTAGGGGTCTTCCTGGGCATGGATACATCCACCACAGGCACCTCAGCATGTTTCGGGTAGGCCTGGGCCATGCAGTTGCTGGGTGGACTGCCTTTGGGAATGACAGCTGTGATCTTCACCCTCTCACAGCCCTTCACAGAGCAGAAGGCATACTGTTCCCTGTCGTTATGGGCTTTTACCTTCAGGAAGAGCAGGCTGCAATACACAAGGGTAGAACCTCAGACTTATAGACTTCATAAGTCAAAATACAATGGCAACCCAATCACACATGCCATGTCAAATCAATCTGCAGCTCAGTTTGTATGTACAGATGTAAGAGCAGAGATATGTTTCTCTGATATACAGATGGACGGTATATACAGAGTCTGCAACAATGTTCAAAATAGAGGTAGTTTCCTCATGTATAAAGGTGTAGCAGCTGCAGATCTGATAGAAGAAAGAGAGCTGAAGGAGGGCAGAAAAGTCCTGAATATTCCTGCAGAAGTTCCCATTCCTCAGTGTAACCTCTCCTTCATTGGAAATGTTCATCTTAATGTGAATTAAAATACATAAGTGATTCAAGGTTTGGACTTGAACATTTCATTTTAATTAAGTATTATCCAGCAAGGAGGCTGAGCAATCTGTTGCCATGACAGAATCACCACCTGTGCCATTGTTTTTTTTTCTGCTTCATGTTTTAATACAGACTACTGTAACTGATTAAAACCATCAGTACATCAATATTTGTGTCATGCTCTGGTTCTGTCAGGATCCTAGTTTGAATTATCACCCTGTCACCTTCTACAAAAGATGTCCTTTTCTAATGCTTTTTAATAATGGCCAAATTTGACTGTGAAATGAGTTGATGTGATGGTCTGTGTGTGTGTCTGACCCAGTGTCCTCCTCCCAGTAGTAATATCCTCTGGTCTGGTGGGAGTGGCTGATCTTCTCTCTCTGGGCCGTCTGCATGAAAACACCAGTCTTACGGGTCTGTTTGGTCAGGCGGTTGTGGATATCAGATATGACCGTGAAGGTGGTGCCTTTTGGGTAGCAGATGCCCACATTGATCCAGTCATTCCTGTAATACGATAAACATTTTGGAGTTGAGTTACATCACACTAAGTGTGGCTACTTTCACTGTCATAGTTGATGAAGATTGTCAGGATATTGCATAATCTCTCTATCCGTTCACTTTTAGTTCTCTATCAGCTCTTTTAGCTGAGTACATCAAAAACCATTGATAGGGTCCAGTTACATTATTTTTGTACAACTTTCATTGTCTTCGCATACTGATGTTAATATGAACTTTGAAAACTTTGTAAATGAAGAAATTCTGGATCATCTGACAGTCTGGAGGTTTGAGCCTGGGCACTGACACATTTGATTTTAATTTTCCCACTCAAACTTAAAATTTGACATTTCTAAAAATCCGTCACGCCCCTGATGCTTTCCCAGTATGAGCTACCCAGCTTCTTCACATGCCTTCATTGTGAAAGCTCTAGTATGTGTGGTGTGAAAGTGGTGCTTGTCCCAGACATGTCTACTGACTTATTAAAGTTGATGAGCCAGATGGTGACTTCAGCAGGCGCAACCTGGTCCCAGTGGATGGTGTAGCCTTTTGCCAATGTAATGACTGGCTGGAACTGCTGGTAGTGTTTCCTCTTTCCAAGAGCACCTTCCAGTTTAAGGGGCCGATCGGGATACTCATTCCTTGCAATGTACATGTCAAGGTAGGCAGGGTTCCGTATCTGGACATAGATCTGCAAGAACAATTTTGTCAGAGGGCTGATTTTAACAAAAGGGGAAAGAAAATCTATTTCTGATACCCAATTATACACCATTATATATCTTTTTATCCTCTTTTATGCCCTTATAACCCATTATATACCTTTATACCCTATTATACCTTTATACACCCTATCATATAACCCCTATACCACATTAACTACCATAATACCCCATTATACACCCGTGTACCACATTACACACACTCATAGCCTATTATATACCTTTTCACCCTCTTTTATATCCTTATAACCCATTATATACCTTTATATTCTAGTAAACCTTTATACCCTTTTATATAACCCTATACCCTATTACACACCCTTATATACCCCTTTACCCTCTTTTATGCCCTTATAACCCATTATATACCTTCACATCCTATTATACCCCATACCCTATTATATACCCCTATATCCTATTATACACCCTTATACCCTATTATATACACTTATACCCTATTAAATTACCTTTTACTCTCTTTTATGCCCTTATAACCCAGTTTACCTTTATACCCTCTTATATACCCCATACCCTATTATATAACCCCAATACCCCATTTTATACCATAAAATCTTATTATACACCCTCACACCCTAATATATACCTTTTTGCCCTCTTTATGCCCTCATAAATCATTATATACCTTTATATTCTATTATACCTTTATACCCTATTATACACCACTTTACTCCATTATATACAATAATACCCTACTATACCTATTATATCCCCTTATACCCCATTGATCTGCCAGTTAGACTTCAAGTATGGGTATTATGCATTTTTTCAGGTAAAAAAAAGCCTTCTGTTTCTCACGTTGGTGTATTAAAACCTCATTAGTTCAGCCTCCATCTAAAACATTTGTTTTAGCTACTGTCTCTTTAAGTTTATCTTACATCTATTTTTAAGACTATGATTTGAAACTTTGCATATGGACACCAAACATTGTTGCTTTGCATTGTCTGTTGTAAATGTGGAAAAGCATAATACCCCCACTTTAAACACAAGACCTTGTGGGTCTTCCTGTATACTTTGCAGGAAGGTGAACTTGACCTTATAGGAAAACTTGTAACCTTCTATCAAAAACTAAGGCTGAGGATGCATGAAGGCTGAAAGTAGTTCGTGTTCTTGGAGAATAAATGTGTGTGATACCTGTGCGTAGTGACCACTGCAGATGGCAGCCCTCCAATCAGGCACATCGATACAGTCAGGGTGTCGCAGAAGCCAGTTGTCCTCCTTGACCAGAAAGGCTCCGGGATATTCACTAATCGAGCCATCAATGTCATGGAAGATGGTTGTCTTGTCCCCATCCATCTCCATCTTATTAAACCAGGGGCCTGGCTCCCCGAAAAACACCCTGGATGTGATCTAAAATAGAGGGGTGGGACAAGAAAGTTTCATAGCTTTAAAAAGTTCTGCAGGTGCAAAAAGCCCCAAAAGTCCTTCTAGCCTGGGCCAGTCTTAACTCATCCTTAGAATCGGCCTCAGGTTTGATAGGCTAGATATTGTTGAACTCCTAAATTTTGGTGTATGGGGAGCTCAAAATTTGATGATACAGGTCAAAATAATGTCAAAAGGTGGACTTCTTGTCCAGACTTTGTAATGGACTCACTTTACACGTCTCTTTTAATGATCCTGACTGTAAACATAGGTTGTGGTGTTAACCCTTTCAGATATACAGTAAATGGTTCAGAACACTCGTTTTACGTTTCAAGCTGAATGTAAACTGACTTACAGGAACATGATCAAAAGTAATATCAGTGACGTTGTTATTTGGGCAGCTCTGCCAGGAATTGTTCAGCCTGAAGCCAAAGGCACTGGTGTGTCGTCCATCCAGCGCTGTATATTTCCTAAATGTGCAGTTCTGGATGTTGATAGGTCCGTCGTAGATCTGCACACCCCGGATAGGAAAATCTCTGAAGGGAAACATACACATACCACACACACAGACCCTTTATCAATTGAAATGATGGTGACATGCCCCGAACACACCTTTGAATAACTCCGGGACTTAATCCAACATTTCTGCATGCCTCACCAAGCACACTGACAATGGGCCCTTAAACGAGGAAAGGTAGTTAGACATGCCCTAAAACACTTCAGCACTATAGCTGTGCTGTCCTCAGATTGACATCTCTCTTTGAACAGATGATGTAAAGCATGAAGACAGGGATTAGCCCCTACCAACCAACCACTCAAAGCTTGTGTGCAAATTAAGTGACTGAGAATGGCCCCTGGATCACGGAGCTTAGCAGCGGGAAGCGTTGCCAGGAATCACACTGTTTGGCAGGCATCTGGTTTTGTGTAGCTCACACGGTTTCAGGAGAGGGCGCTCTTTATCCTGGTGTCATTTTCCTCACTGGGACAGTTTATTACACTCAGAGTCGTCCCGATTTTGACAAATGTTGCTGCGCTTATTGCTTTGATGGCTGTAATAGGATATAGGATCTGTTAGGGACTTGAATATTGTTGTGGTGCTATAGTTTTACTTTAGACAAGAGACTTCTTACAAGACACAAACATTTGAAAACAGCACAGGCAGAGAATCTGAGTGAGAGAAGAGGAAGGTGAAGCCAACTTGGCCTCTAACCATGAAGCTTCATGTTGCTTTTGGAGAAGATATTGTTGTAGAAGCCTCAAATTACAAATTATTATTGACTTATGCACAAAGTAGCACTGTGCTGCTGTATGACTCACACGTGTAAATAATCCAACAGGAGCATCCAGAGTGGTAACATGTGAATAACTGTCATGATGCAGCCAACAAGTACTGGTTCTTCAGGTTAAAGCGTGAGATTTTCCAATGATTTTGGAGATAATAGGATAATAAGATTTAAAAGTATGAACTCATAAATTAAAGTGGTAGATGTTAGAAAAGTTCCATATTCCCAAACCAAAAGAATAAGCCAAAGTGGGACAAATCTTTACTTACATGCCACGTGGCAGGGTTCTGCCAGTGAAGTCAGAACCACCAGGGCCCCAGATGGGATGATCAGGGAGGAACATCCCATGGTTTTCACTTTCACCAACAAACAAAGAGTTTATCACCTGCTGGTGAGAGCCGTCGTCATCTGGGAACGTCCCTCCGCTGCACACATAGATGGAAGAGTTAGAGTCTTAAAGGACCAACAGTAAAGCAGCAGTAGCAAAAAAGTGATGACAGTTCATTTTCTGGCGGTGGAATAAAAACTGTCTGATTGGTTAACTGGTCTCATGGTGGGAATTTGTTCATGCACACTAACTTAGGACGGTCATTGAGCTAACCTATTTGTGCTAACAAAATGATGCAATAACAGTGGAAAGCAAATCAAATGTCAATCAAAAGTTGCTCACAGGCAAGATTTTCCAAACCATCAGAGGAGAATGAAAGGTGACCACAGCTAAGAATGACTATGACCACAGCAACGATGCAAACAATAAGACAAGAACAAAGAAAAGAAGCTCTGTGCAGCTTTGGTGAGTCTCATAGAGGGTACCTGTGGTTTACGACCTGACTAGGAACCTGAACAAACATGTTGAGGATGATTGTTGGCCTGAACATGTGCGTTGAGCATGAATACTATTAAATAAATGAAAAAGCTGAATGAACATCGGTATAAAAAAAGTTGCTGCTTTTAAGTTTAGGCATTTCTGAATGTGTCCCACAGGAGGAAAATCACTCTTCAGCACGTCTCACACCACAGTACAATCTGGTGAGGTAACCTTTACAACCATCTGATAATCAGGCCTGTGCTGACTTTGGTCAAATAGGGGGGGGAATAAGACCCCAAATCACCTGACCTTAAAGGGATATTGCAGCATAAATTTAAGTTGTGGTCAAACACACCGTAACACAGAGTTAGACACCCCGAGAGATGAATATTGCTAAGTGCTTGCTTCTCTAGTTACACCAACTTTAGTAACGATCACATGATAGCAATACACAGCAGTCTACGTCTCCACGCACAAACCTCAACCAAAAAGCCACTCTATAGCCACAAATAATGCTCAGAACAGCACCTAACTTCATCAACAGTACATATAGGGTCCCAGCCATAGTACTAGCCACCAAACATCTTTTTAGCTTTGCCTGATTTCTTTAGCAAAGAGACTAAACACAACTCACCCACTCTCCTCCAGCAGCTGCTTGTTTGTGGGGGAGCCCTGACGAGTCGATCACTGAGTGCAGTGGATTTTCGCAGCTCAAGGAAGAACATTTATGATTATTACTTCATGGGAATGCAATCAGACCGAGAGACTAAGGCAGAAAAACTACCGTGTCTGCAGTGCAAAATGATTAATATGATGATTATTACTTTATGGAAATGATCCACTGCACTCGGTGATCGACTTGTCAGGTCTGTTCTGAGCATTATTTGTGGCTACGAGTGGCTCTTTGGTTGAGGTTTGCGTGTGAAGACGTAGAGCACTGTGTATTGCTACTGTGTGGTCGTTACTAAAGTTGGTAAAACTAGAGAAACAAGCAACAGGCAATTTATGCCGGAATATCTCTTTAAGTTTGAAGCCTGACCTTTCCAATCAAGGCCAAATAGACACACACCTAACACTGCACTGAGAGGTCCTCTCAAAAACCTCAGCATCATAAAAGTCCCCATCGCTCATCTCCAAGAAACAGTATATGACAGGCAGAGAAAAGGTTGAGATAGAACTCCTGATAGTTTGGACCAAGGCATATCCCTAAAGGCACAGTTGGCATTGCACCTTATATAAGACGGTTAAGATGTACTAAAACATGTTGACCATAAAGCCCAGAATTAATCAGGGTTGGGCAAAGGCTTCTGTGGGCTCCAAAGGGATGGGGTAGATAGGTTTGAGGGGACACATGGAATGTGAAGTGAATTCTCATGAACTGGGGAAGCAGAATACAGGTTGTGACAGGGTTGATCCTCTGAATAATCTTTAAGAGACCAACGAAGCGTGGCACCAATTTCTGGGAACCCACCCACAGGCTGAAATCTCTAAGGGAGATTATAGCAATGATGATGGCATCAGTGACAGTACTGCCTCTATCACTCTGCCAAGAGCTGAAGAGACGCCAGACCCTTTTTACAGGGAGCTTGACACCACTATATGGACTGGACAGCAGAGGGCAGTCTAACCTTCCTCTTCTGTTCTGGGAAAAACAGTAGCAGCTTCTAACACTCAGAAAGAGGAGGGGTGGATGTGTTCAATAAGTTGTTGTAAGCCCACTCTGCCCAGGGATGTTAATCAATTAAGTACCTGGGTTTAAGGCAACCAGAGCATCCATCCTAGAGTCTGCTTTTTGCTCTACCTGGTCTCTGAATAAAACCCTAATGACAGACTGGCAGTTGTAGCTGAGGGAAGAATTTGCAAGAATGACTGCTTCTGGTCTTAAAGAGGGTGTTGGGATAAAACTGTCCACACACCCATGTCAGAGGCCTCTAAACGGAAAAGGGTGCAGAGCATCTGAATAAATAAGGACTGGGTTGGAAGTGAATCTCTGTTCGGTTCAGGCTTTTTCAGCTCCTTAAGATATGATGGTGCCTGGTCATGAAGATCTTCGTAGGTCAGAAGAAGAATTTTAAATTCTGCCCAACATTTAATGAAGCCAGTGTAGAGAAGCTAATACAGGGGAGATGGGCTCCCTTCTCCTGGTTCTGGTCAGTGCTCCGGCTGCAGCATTTTGGACCAGCTGAAGAGTCTTTAAAGACTTGTTAGGGGGTCTGATAAAAGAGAACTACAGTAATCCAGCCTAGAGGTGACAGATGCATGGACGAGTTTTTCTGGGTATTTCTGAGACAGGATTTGTCAGATTTTTGATTCATGAGCAGCTAAAAAAAGGCAGTTCTTGAGATTTGTTGGTTGGATTAAAGTTAAAGCAAGAAATAATACAGAGTTTAGAGTTTGGTACAGCTAAAGGCGCTTCCTTAAATTTATCTACAGCCCAGTCAGACAGGCATCCAGTTAACAGGTTTTTATTAGGTGTAGTCTGATAGGACGGATTTAAAGGTTATCAGAGAGGGGTCTGATAAAAGAGGATTTTGGCTGCTCTTCATCAGACTGAAGTAACAACAGACAGCAGCATGTGAAATGTTCACAAAAGTGGAAACATACCTCCATATTTATTCTTGGATACCATGCCAGGACAGAAACGTATAGTTCATATGGACTTACTCCATAAGTGAAACAAGGGAACATGAGGGAAACTGCTGTTGCATTAATGTTTGGTGCTGGATACTGTACATGTGTGTATGTACTGTATTTAACCACCTCTTCCCTGTATAACCAAATATATCTACAGTGCAATGTTTTTCACACGTGTATATTCTGTTTCATTACTTTCCTCTCATGGCACATCCAAGTTTGATGATGTCATTGCTCCTGTGACTGCAATCACCTATACTTCAGGCACTGTACATGAGTACTCTTGTCTGATGAAGAGCAGGTCTGCTCATGACACTTTCCTGGTTCGGTCAGTTTTCTGGTTTTGGGAGACCTGCAGTGAGTGAGCCATTCTTTGGTTACTGTATGGTCAAGTGGGCAGAACTAGTAAGATCTCATACTTGTAAGTCAAACTTCCTCCCACCTCTTAATGTCAAGAGTGATTGTCAAGGGTAACTGCCCCTCACCAAATCAGCTTTAGGACTGTGAAACTTTCTATTAAAAGTTTGCAGTTAGACACAGTCAATCCTGCCATCATAAAGACACTGAAACTCTAAGCCAGGGTGTATAGGTTTAGACATTCATGTAAGAGGACATTTTTAGGGTGTGAAAGATGTCGTTTATATCTGAACAAGAGGGATGATTTTTGAGAAAACATACTGGTCACTCATTTGCAGACCTCCAGAGTTTTTTCACATCAAAATACATCCTGAGTAGTCTATCTTTATGACATAAAAACATAGACGTGATGAGGATGGAGAGTTTACCTTGCAAGAGTGAGGCCGATGCCATTATCAGCAAATCTGACCAAGAGAGAGAGAGAGAGGATATTACTGTCTGAAAACTGCTTCAGTTTAGCTCTGAATTGAAAGGACAGACACACACACACACACACACACACACACACACACACACACACACACACACAGACACACACACTGAAAGAGATAAAAATGTTATTAAACTGATCCATTTCTCAATCTCGTCTCACTGTCATTAAACATGCAGAGACACATTTAGAGCTTCTTATAATCCAGGCAGCGCTGAAAGTTCACCTCAGGTAAACACACAGTGGGTTCACTGCATCTTCACTAAAGGTTTGTCTAATTTTGTTATCTGTGCTCGTGTGCAGTTCTTACTGGCAGTCATCGAGCCAGACATCCCCTCCTCTTAGCCAGGCCCCATGGTCCTGGTTCTTGTAGGCTACAAAGTGGTGGATGAAGGCAGGAACTCTGGGTTTGAAGGGGTCAGCATCCTGGTGGGGACCATACCTAAACCAAACAGCAACAAGCCCTGATTAGAGTTAGGGTTAGGGTTTTCTTATTTGCTTTGTTAATTTTCTAGAAGAGGTCTATCACTCTAAGGGTCTCCTCACAGCCATGGGGGTACTGAGGGTGCAAATATTGTAGGAGCCAATGCTGATGTGATACCATCAAATGAGTTGCAGTTCATTTTGTATTCCTTAGGTGTCACTGTTCTGTTATCTGGGGGTTCAGGAATAAAAGTAGCCAAGTCACTGTTGTGGGCAGGTGATTGACCCGGAAAGGCAAAATGTTTTTTGACCACTGTGGCGCTAAATGCCAGCGATAAATTTTTGTTTGCTGCACCTGAGGAACAGCGCCCTGACTTTCACTGATCATCAAAGACTCACGGTAGCGTAAGAAACCAGTAGCGCGGTGCGTCATCAGGTTACTCTGGGTCAAGCATTTCAGTAGCTTGAATTATCGACTCAGCTCCTACAAATATGTTCAAACATCTTCTCTAAAAAAGGGCTTTCCAGGATAATCCATGACCCTAACAGAATAATCAGATGCTCAGCTACAAATCCTACTTATGCATTAGTGATTAAGTTGAATCAAGGTATAATGTATGAATTTGATTTACTTTGAAATATGTGCATAACTGGAGCTGCCAGGTTAGGTTCCTGATCATCTGAAGACCTGTTCCAACTGTGCATGTGCTCTATCGTACGCATGTTCAGGTCATTATCCACTATCAACCAAACCACATGTGATCTGGGACGACATGAGGGGTCCTTCTGTATGCCAATGTAATGTCAACAGACATCCACTTGGATTTCCTTAAAGTAATGTGCAGACAAAGTTAGAGTATTGAAGACTGCAACTAAATGGCATTGACTGAAGGAAACTGGTTTTTACTTTTTGACGGTATCAGATAACTCAAAAGTAAATTATTATTATTATTATTATTATTATTATTATTATTATAATTATTATTATTATTATTATCATCATCATTATTATTATTATTATTATTATTATTGCTGTATTGATAGCAATAATAGCTACTGAAGAGCTTCTCAGAGGCATTTGTATGTTTCATATCTGAAAATACAAACCCAAAGATCCTGATGGACAGGGGCAGTCAAATAGACACTGTGACCACATATCACAGATCAGGACCCCAATCATTAGTAATCAGCACTTTTGTCCAAAACACTTAGTTTGCCACTTCTGCTTATTTAAGGCCCAGAGGACCATATCAGACTATACCCTCTGAACCTCTGGGACGTGGGTTTTGGCATTGTGGGAGTTTGCATAACTTCAAATGATCCGTTATGTTAATATTTGGAGAAAATTATACCTTTATCTCTGAGTTAATGAGTCTTATTATGAGAAGCACCAACATTTAGAGCGACATTTAACCAACTGTGATGGAGTATTAATGAGCATCTCCACACTCATTGATTATGACGAGCATTTTCCCCTCCTAATTGCTAATACTGTATGTTGATGTTGCTGTATTTGTTCTTTCTTGTCAGGAGTTTAATCAGACTGGGTCTATCTGTGGCATATTCAGACTGTGCTGTGTTTGGTAAACAGTTTATTTCTGAACCATGAGACCCCAGAGTGGACTGCTGTGGGGTGTTAGCTGTTGCTGTAGCGGAGCTGGTGGGGCACACATTTGTTCCTGCAAAGTCAAAGCCGTGGCTGGAGTTCATAGAGGTGTCCCAGTTATTATTTTTTTCTTAAAGTTTATTCAATCAGAGAAACCCACAACGCTCAGACTCAGACAACATGAATTTCCTTCTTAATCCAGTTTATCACAAACTGTAAGTAGATTGAATTTTGTGCTTCCAGGAATCAGGGATGTGCGCGAACGGAGCAGAAATCTCTTTCATGACGTCACAACAAATCAAACTGCACAGAGATGTGTGTGAGATGTGGTTCAGTGCTTATCTGATGTTGTTATGGGGGTGACTGATCGTAATGAATTCAGCTGTCACTATAAGGGTCCTGGCTGCAGATTGAGTACCGGTCTTTGAGGACTTCTGTGCATATGAATCATCTTGATTAACCTTCATTTTAATGGACTGGATTGTGGTGTGTGGAGTCAGATTTTCTTCTTACACAAACCAAAACTACACTGACGGTGTAGAGACTCCAGCTGGGGGTGGGGGATGATGAGTTCTGATGATCTCTTATTAAATATTGTGTGTATATATTTTTATTTCAGGAGCACAGAATAAAAGAAAGACATTTAAGAATACACCAATACTGTTACCAGGTGATCAGAGTGAGCTAAGAGGAGCATCACTGTGCTGAGGTCGGGTCATGTGTCGGCTGTGTCCTTATGAAACAATGGAGTCAGGATAACATTGAGTTTTTTTAACCAAAGGACAAGTGGTGTTGAGACTGTTATCATACTTTTGCACTTTAATATTTATCAAATATTTTTGATCAAATCTCTTCAAATCAACATTCATGTTGACCTGCTTGTAAAGTACAAAACCCAAACTCCAGTGACGTTTGGATGTTTGTGTAAAATGTGAATGAAAACAGAAATCAAAGATCTTCAAATCCTTTTCCTCCTGAATTGACCTGAATACTAGACAAAGATATCTAAGGTTCAAACTAATAAAGTGTATTTTTCTTTTCTTTTTTTAATATTACCTTTATTAAATTTGTTGTCTGCTGCTATTCGCTTTAACACAATGCTAAAAACTCATTAATTGTAAAAAAAACATTCAGAGTTTTCCTGCACAGTAGCTTTAGCTGATAATATTGAGGATGAGGACATTCACTGGACTGAGTGGTCTTACCTGGCTCCTATCAGAGACAGGAAGGGTCTCTTGTCCTTGTCGTTTGCTTGTGTAGTCTTAACCCCGTTATCAAGGATCATACCTGCCTGAATGGCAAGAAGAAAAACGACATGTCAGAAAAAGATGAGGAAAAAACAGCAGGTCAGCTGAGCTTTGGCTTCGACTATCAATCAATGTTCTGAGATCAAGTACAAAGTCAGTGTTGGTCTCAAATCTCATGTAGTCAGTTTTTTAATGCCAATACCAGAATTAAGCTGCTGTTTCTTATTGTTACATAAAATTCTGATCATAAATGGTGTAATCATAATAAAGATCAGCTCCCTCTTTTGGTATAAGAACACTCTTGTGTGACCTGAAACAACCTGAGACATCACTGACAGACAGGAGTTACACTCCAATCAAGATGATCCAAAGGAGGCCACAACACTCACTGTGCTCACCTGTCCTATCTCACCTTCTTGCTGACTCACTTCATTTTGCTGTTCTCTGTATAAACCCATTGTGTTTTGTTTTTTAGCTCTTCATACCCTGCACCGTAATCTTTCCTTTACTCTCAGAGATGAATCAATAGTCCTACAATTTATTCTGAAGTCCGTTTCAAATGTACTCAAGCAGTCTCTGGGTACGTGTCAACTCTTGCAGAAATGACATTTTCAATTGATCCAAATCCACTAAAAGTCTGCAGGGAAACCTGAACAGTGATTGTTGTCCTGACTGTCAGACATTTTGAGGAGCAGTCCTTCATAAAGAAAGGAGTCATTTACTAAACTAAACAGAAGCTTGAGTTCAGAGAGATTTGGAGATGTTTACATGAAAAGTGTTTTAAAATCTGATCTCTGACAACAGATTTACATTTACAGTATTCAGTATATTTCTTCCATGAAGCACAGACTTAAACATCAATGACAGTCTGAGTACTGACTGCTTTATCTCCACCTTAACACACCGAGAACACACCGCGGGACTCAGGACCTGTTTCTGATTAGACTCACCCTGTAGTTGGAGTGGGCTCTGTTGTTGATGAATTTACCCATAGGTGTGTGTTCAGAGTGTCCTGGGGAGTAGAGACCCTCTGAGGGACCAGTAGGAACATGATGGAAGATGAACCAGAACCCTGTTTCCTGGAGAATCACACATAAACACACGTCAGTTAAAATCTCCTGTGAGGAGTATTTTGACTCCAAATTGAAACAGACTGAAATTCATCATGATGAAAAATGCAAATAAAACCATCAGGGACTTTTTAATCCCTGAAACTGTGCACAGGTGTCAGTCAGCTGAAGGAAAAGCCCTTTTTCATTATCAAGGACTGTTTTGTCCACAAGGTGGAGCTAAACCTGACCAAAAGTTCCTCATAGGAGCTCCAACTATGAACCTGTGAACATCAGTATGTTGTGATCTCCTCATGCAAACCGAGGTGTACACTTCTGCTCAACATCCTCTGCTGTGAACTGGATCTCAGTCTGTTTCCTGTTGTTCTCCTCAGGAACAAAAATAAAATATTTTCATTAAAATAATCCATTTTAATTTCCCTGGGTGAACCTTCCTAAAAGGATCAATACATTTTTACCTAATATAATTCTTTTCTATGGTTTTTAGTAGCAAAATACTAGTTTTACAGTGAAAATCCAATGTTAAGTTTGTGCCTTTAAAACAAGAACAGTCTCTAATCCTAAATGGCATGAGCAATGACAGAGACAACCAGATCATAGAAGATTAACCAGATTAACCAGATTATTCTATGGAAGGACCACTATGGCACATTAATGATCTCAAGTCTTGCTCTTGAAAATGGGACTGAAACGTTTATTTTTGAAGAGCCATAGCTTGTGATTGATGGTTAATGGATTACCATTCACAAGGAGAATCTAATGAGGGATGTTAAAACACAAAATGAGCTGACTCAGAAATGTTGAGCAAGAAAAGAGGCATGAAACAATTGCAACATGGTCCAGACTTCTGCAGGACTGGTTGCAAGAGGACCCTAGACCCTTATTAGCTGCATCTGTTGAGTACAGTAATGAGAGAATGTAATGTTTTGACTTTACTGTGAATGAAAAAATCATGATTTGGAGTTTTTTCAGCTGCAAAATAGACGGTTTTGAAGGGAATGAAATGATTGTTCACCTGTGTTTACATTCAGCTGGTATGCAGGCAGGATCATGTACAGTGAACAGGTCATTATGCATAATAGAATCACAGCAGACCTCCACATAAAGAATGGGATGACATTCAGCAGACTGATGAAGCTGCAGCTGCTGGAGGAAGTGGCTGTACTTTTGTCGTATTTATTGCAGAGGTGATGAGACTTCATTCAGTTTGGCGGCCTCTTATGTGTGCTCTGCCTCTACTGTGGCGGAGCCTGTTTTTGTGTGCTTGAATCTGAAGTCAACAGGAGCATTAATCTGGTCTGGCAACCTGAAAATGAGACAGAGCCTTGAAGGGTTAGGGAGGCTGAGAAACTCACCTCCGAGCCTGCAGCAGCACAGTTGATGAGGTTATTATTGGGGTTGGCGATCCAGAAAGTTGACGTTGCGCTGGAGGTAAAGTTGTACAAAGACAAAAGGAAAAATGAGTAAATGGAAAGGTTTTCAGGTCCTTTTTAAGAGAGTGAACCAGGTAAGTCCTGAATATGTGAACCGATCCTCTATAGAGGGCAGTGATAAAAGAAGGAGACGAGAGTTTTAACTGTCCTGCTTGTCCAAAAACAGACTTTTGAAAACAGGTTCATGTCTCCACATCAGGTGTAAAAAAGGAGCCTTTCAGACATTTGTATTCTGATGACACTACAGCAGAGTTATTAGACAGTCATGTATTAATCAAGTCCCGGTATTACCTCTGTATTTTATTCATGCTTCTACCAACTGATCCAGACAGGCCAGATATAAAACAATGAACTTATTGAGCTTCTTGGTAAAAAGCCCTACTAAATGGTTTAGATACTGAGTCCTTTTAAAGATCTGGTTCATCAGCAGAAGACTATAAGATCATTTCCACTTGTTCTATCATGTTTCTCATTTATAAAAACTGGTAAATTAATGGCACACTGCACCTCAGAGGACACATCTACAGTCATGTGTTTGATGCTTTTTCCTTTTAGAGTGTATGTCTTTCAATGATGACAGGACAATGATGGTGTCAAAGCCCACTTAGTTCAGACCTTTTGGCAGATGATCTTGACTCAAATTCAAGTCAGGTATTACAACCTAGTTTTGCACCTAAAAAGTTAGTCTTGACTTTTTCCATGCTACTTCATGTCTTATGAGTCATTTCAAGGTTTACATGTAACCTGTACCAAGTTTATATGTCATGAGTAATCACTAAACCCATCCGACCAGAGACGCTTTGACACAGTTTTGAACCAAGCAGCAAACAGCAATAATCCTGAGTCATGTAAAAGGAATCAGGGGGTGTAAAGGCGTTTGTTTACGTGCTGAGGGTCGAGTTAACATACCAATGATGAAGCATCATGAGCTAGCCTTGGCTGACAAAGACCTTTATGCCATCCAAAGTTAACTAGAGGTACACTCTGGCCTCTGTCTCTCCATTAAGAAAGTCTGGGGTCCTGGTCAGGATCTGCTTTGCCTTTCCCTGCCTTTGAAATCACCCACAAATCTCTCTCTCGCCTCCAACTTGTCCAAAACGCAGCAGCTCTGCTCCTTACTGGTATTAACAGATGCCTTCGCATCCTTCCTATCCTTTCCTTTCTCCGCTGGCTCCTTGTGCTTTTCAGGATTGACTTTAAGATTTTACTGATCACTTTTAAAGCTCGTCTGGGTCTTGCCCCAGGTTGTATTATAGAAATAATGATGCCATTTGAGCCGTCCCGCAGTCTAAGACCCTCAGGTGACGCCCTGCTGGTCGTTTCCAAAGTCTAGGCTCAAATCTAAAGGAGGTCGAGCTTTTTCAATCAGAGCCTCTCGACTCTAGAACGACCTCCCTGAGGGGGGTAAGCATACAGAATCAGAGACATCTTTAAAATCACTTCTGAAAAGTCACTTTACAGACTTGTTTTTGTGGAAATTTAGTTTAGAGCGAAAATGTTAATAAAGATAATTCAATGATTAAGGCCTGAAATTGTTGTCTAATGTTTAAATTATAACTTCCAGCAAAATTGGAAAAGTTCTCGACACATGCAGCCTGATGTAATAAACTGATAAATACTCAGACATCCAGTCTGAGGAAAAACTCCTCTGAGTTCATTAACAGATAAAAATGATAACATACTGACCAAATACTGGAGCAGCTTCTCTGCTGTTTACACACACAACCGAAGATCATTTAACTGAAACAATGCAACGCTCTGTCTGCAGCTTTGCTTGTTTTGTGCAGACTGTACAGCAGATCCAACCCTGGTTTTTACAGTCTGTGCCCAACTGTGCAGTCAACATAGGAAAATACTCATTACAGCAGCCCAGGGTGGATGAAAACCAGCTCTCAGCCAGCCAAAGCAAGGCTGTGCAGATTATCTGAGCCTGTCACTGTTTAACAGAGCAGGGGGACCCGAGTCCAGACAAACATTTTTATTTTATTAACCAAAAAACAAAAGTCTTACTGTAACAGAGCTCAGGGTAAAAACCTAAAAACACAGGACATATCAGGGACACATGGAGGGGTGATGCACTCTGGGTAACCAGCAACCAGACACAGGTGAAGACGAGACAATGAGGGCATACAATTACAGAGGAGAGAAAACACAGGACCAACACACTGAGAGCAAACTCTTAGACAAGAGTACAGGAATACACACACCAGGAAAACGGCTGAAAAACAAGGAGGGTGACGGGAAGACAAAACTCATGAACAGAAATGACAGAAAGTAGACAAGTCATGAAAACACAAGGTACCATCTTCAAAATAAATCAGGAAATGACGATGACAAAGACAAACAGATAGAAACCAAAGGTAACCCATGACACCGCTGATGGAATTGGTTCTGTTGTCATCATGTGACGACGGCTGTCCAATTTAGACAAGACTGCTTCTCTACCATGTGACTTCTTCTTTCTGCATTTAGGTTCTCATTCATTATTGATAAAGGTACAGAGTCTTAGAGTGCCTTTCAGACTATGTAGTTCAAAGAGCACCCCCATGCATGAATTTGGCATAAAAGTATGCAAATCTATGTGTGAATAAGCTGTTCAGGGTAATGAGTCTGAAGAAAAGGGGCTGATATGCAGTCTGGCTCTACTCCCTTCTCAGATCCTTCCTTCCTCCCCTCTCATCTTCTTCATACATCCCTCTCAGCTCTTTCTTTCTCGCCCCTCATCTCCTTCATTCCTGCCTTCTCAGGTCCTCCCCTCTTCTTGCTTCCTTCCTCCTCTCTGAGTTCCTTTCAGCTCCTTCCTTTCTTCCTTCCTCTTTTCTGTTCATATGTCCCTCTTTCCTTTCTCCCATCTCAGCTCCTTTTTACCACCCATCCCAGCTCCTTCCTTCCTTCCCTCGTTCCTTCCCTCTCAGCTCCTTCCTCTCTCTGTTTTCCCAAATGTCTTTGTTTCTGTCTGTCTCCCTTTAAGCTCTGTTACTGATCATAAACTTGTTTTTGGGAGGAAACTGAGTTATAATCTTTTTTTTTCTCTGTAATAAAATAAAAGTGAAAGCTGTTTTGTTTTATGGAGAGGATATAAGAAATCTGACTGGATTATTGTTAGTTGGATCAAATTAAGAACAGTCAAACTTTAAATCACTCTGTTGACCTTTTTCTATCACCAGTGCCCACTTCTTCACCTGGCCCCTGTTTTTCCACAGGTCACACTGTCTCTATACTCTCTCTCTCTAACTGCATGTCCACTCTCTGTTCTGTCTGTCTGATTCAGATGGACTATTATGTACTGAGCTCCCAAACCCACTCTTGTTCCATTTACCTGTTCTGTTGAGGCAGATTCATGTGTTATAGGTGAATGTACTATATACTCTCCAATTTCTCTACAGTAGCATATCTAATTTTGGCTCAGGTGGTGAGGCATATACAGGCAAAACCAGCAATCTGGTATCCCAGATATAACCAGGAGTGAATAACGTAGAGTACAACATTTCTGTTGACATTCAGCTTATTTAAGGGCAATACTGACCTGTTTACTTGCAGCAGTGTCTCATCACAGGATGTGCTTGCCAGCCATATGATATAAAACATACCATGCTGTCAGAACCTCCTAGTAGACCAGATAAGATAAACATCTGTCTGAAACCACTTAAGGGTAACGCAGCCCCTCACTCAAACACAAAAAGCAGCTGACTTGAGTGCAGGCAGATCACATTCTTATCGAGTTTCTGTTTAAATACAAGCTACTCTCACGAAACCTAACTTTTGTCTCTTCTCGTCTGTCTTCTTCGTGTAGGTGTCAAAAAGCTGGACACTGTCATGTTAGGAGGAGGGGGACGCCAAATCTGCAGTAGTCTCAAAAGTGTGTAAAAAAAAATAATAAATAAGCTTCCTTGAAAAGGAGTTGATAGCTCTTTTTTTTTTTTTTTACAGGAAACCCATTTAGTGGAGCACATTGAACTCAGGCCTGTTACTTTTTCTCATTTTCCTCCATTACTCGTGGATTATGATTCATAAGGCTGTCCCATTTGTGCTCAGCTACCCTAGAGTCAGAACTTATGGCACACTAGTTACACTAATAAAAATATACTGTATACTCCTAGTCCACCATCTTCTTCATTCTGGATGAGGGCAGTAACAGATGCTGTTTGATGCTTTTGAGTGGTAACTTTAATTGTTGTATTGATAATAAACTCCTGCAGATACCGTCGGAAAATCAAATCCAGGTCCAACACGAGTTCAAGTACTGGAAGGTCTATTCGAGAATAGACCTTTTTTAATCATAGGACAAGTGAATACAGGCAGTAAAGGATCCATCCATGTAAGGGATCAAACTCCAGTTTACTTCTCCTCCTGTGCAGAGGCCATCAAACTTACTCAGTGACAAAGATTTTATACAGGCGATGGAGGCAGAAATCCAGTTTTTCGTAGTTGTGAATGGCAACTATGAAACAATGTTTCAGTGGGAATCTTTAAAGGCTTATGTTAGAGGATTTACTATCTCCAACACAACTGATGATGAAGCCAAATGAACTGGAGACAGAACTGAAGAAGACTGAAGCAGCCCACAAATCTGATGCAACCAAGGAAAACCTTATCAAAATACAAACTATAAAAGTGGACAGATACTGGATCTTTTGTGTCTAAAATTAGACTGCCAGTTCTAACTGAAGAACAGGTCTTTCGGGAAATCTGTTCAACAACAGGAAATGTTTGGCGCTTTAATACGCATATCTTGTTGACCTTGCATTGGTCACCAAGGAAGATAACCTGCCCAACCAAGAAACAAGTAAACTTCTCCTCACAAATGGTTCAAGATTGAAAAGTCAATTTTCTTTACAACAGAATCAATTTTATCACTATTTACAAATAGACACTTCATACCAAAAAAGATTTGTGCCCCACATAAATGGTCCTTTTCTTGGTTTACCTTCTCATACACCCCAAACCAAAAAGGTTTTTTCCATAAGCGTACAAAACTTTAGGGTCACATCTGAACTATTCCACGGATCATATCAGAATGCGATGACAAACTGAAATCATATAACAGATAGAGGGAGATACCTGGTCAGTAATGAAAAATACACTTACTATTCTGAGCTGCAATACTGAAAGGCAGACTCAGCTTAAAATAGACTCCATTGTACACCAGCACTGAGGGGGAGGCTTGGTTTCGGCCCACCCAAGAAAAAACGTACTTTAATTCTGGATCTCCAAGTATAACGCAACAACGGAAGGTTGGTAAAGGGAGGTTCTGAGATAACATCTGACTCACACTCTGCATGACAACACTGAGGGATTTCTGTGGATTAAAAATCACTTGAAACCTGGCCAAAGCCAACCTTGGACTTTGGGTTCATAATAACAGATTTAATAACAGCCTCTTTGGCAACAGAGGTTTTAAAAAAAAAAAAAAACAATACTTTTATTAGGATCTAGGATATAATTCAGCCGTACTTTATTGTGTTTCATCTGCGCATGTGTATGTGTTATACCTGCGTCATCTGTGTTTTGCTGTTAATTTGAAATCTATAGAAATGTTTCTGTATATGTTTTGTACGTGACACACGATTAACCCTTAAAAGATCTTTAAGACATTTTGTGCTATTTTATTTTTTATTGTTTTTATGCCATTTTGGCTGTGTTGAATGAACATAGCCCAAATTTGCCAAAGGATATCAATTTTTTGGAAAACTTCAGAATTGTAGTTTTGGTTCCTTAAATTAGCCTAAAATGGCTAACCTACAGAAAAACCGACACATTTGATCCCTGTGACAAAAAATGTCCCATTGAAAACTATTGAAAATGTCACTTTTGATCCCGCATGTATCATAACATAAACTAATGCATTCCCATATGTTAAGATTTTATTTTGGGCTACTGGCTTTCAATTTTTTATTTTTATACTTGTCCAGTAAACGGCTCTACATTTTCCCATTCAAAGCATGAAGCTGAAATTTCTCACTTTTAACTGTTTTCTATATCGGCACTTTGCTGATAAAATGATAGCTGTATGTTACTATCGATGTTGGATTAATAACCCTCAATAAAAGAATATAAAAGATGCCAAGGCCAACTTTTGTTGAAGTTCAGCTCCGATAATGGGAAAATCTGAAATGCAAAGTTATATACCAATTTAAATCACATTCATATGCTTCTGTGTCTCTGCATATACAGAGTTAGACTGGTCTTTGATCCCTCCTAAAATAAAATCTGTGTAAGCTCATGTACTCACTCACTGATGTTTGCACTGAGTTATATTTTGGTCTGACAGACAGACTGCAGATGTGGGTGTGGACATCACAGTAAATGAGGCACATTTCTGCTTCTCTTAATTGGACATGATGACGATAAATGTAAGAGCATGACATTCAGTGTGTGTTTGTGACTAAGTGGACTAAAACACTTCTGCTGTTAGTCCTGCTATTTCCTCTGCAGCACATGGACAAAAAAATCAGTTTTGGGAAATTCATACTGAGGCTTACGAGCAACACGCACACACACAGGCACAGGCATGCACACACACATTCTTTGCACAAACAAAGTATTAGGGCTAAGAACATTCATCTGGCCTGGTTTTGATCAATCCAGTCCTCCTCATGCAGCCCACACTTCTCCTGTCTCCTGAAAATCTGAACAAAATTTAATGTTCTCATCTGAACATTTCAGTTCAACACACACACAACTCATACATGACAGGAAGGAGACAGGAGGAGCCACAAGGGAGAGCAAAAAAAATCTGTGTGGAAATGTATTATAAATCTTACAGTTGGGAACATTGTGTGTGCAATCATTTTTGATGAAATAGGAACTCTTGGAATGTCATAATTCAGATGCTGGTGTTTTGAAACCGTATTAGGACACAACATCCCCGATCACATAAACAAAACATGAATTGACCGGATCATTTCAGGCAAATCTAAAATATGTGACCTTTCCTCTGAAACCGGGGTTCTCAAGTCCACTCCATGAGGCCCACTGTCCTGTATGTTTTGGATGTTTCCCTGTTTCAACACACCTGATTCAAATGATCAGCTCGTTATTAAGCCATTACAGAGCTTGATAACGAGCTGATCATTTGAATCAGGTGTGTTGGAGCAGGGAAACATCTAAAACACGCAGGACAGTGGGCCTCAAGGACTGGACTTGAGAAACACTGCTCTAGAAGGACCCTTCTCAAGGTTCCGAAATCTAGATGAGTTACAAGAGGTGAGCGAGCAATTGCAGTTTGTGCTCCACAGCTGTGGGGCCCCCCTTCATAAGTTTGTTCGACAAACTTAGTGTCCTCTTTTAAATCTTGTCCCAAACTCATCTCTATAATTTAGCTTTCTCATGATCATTGGTTTGCTCCATGTGAGTCTGTAACCTTTGTTTATTACCAAAGTATTAGATCTTCTGTATTTATCGTCTGTAGTAATTAGTCATTTGTTTGGATTTAGATTCAATGTATTTGTTGGTTTATGGCTTCGTGCAACTACACCCATCAATTTTATCTTAATAAACATTTTTGAATGCTCAGCACTTGGTAACTTGTTTTGAAGAGTGAAAATTGAATAAATTATTATTACTTTAAGAAACTTGGCCTGAACCTGACATCAGGCTCTGCTATTCACTCAGGAAAAAGTTGAAGGACAAGACAATTAACACTGACACTAGTACATCTCTAACAAGGACACAGCCACCTGGAAGCTCTTTACGCTGCACTGTGCTTTAGTATGTCTTTGAAAGTTTGTTTTCAGGGTTTTTGTTGTTGTAGAGGGAAGTCTCAGCTATTTCTATAAGTCCTGGACAACAACCACAGTGTAGCTCTGAGTGCTTGGCACTTCAGTGATGGCGCTTTTGAACAAAGACCTTTATGAGGTTGACTTGAATTGAGCTTCCACGAAAGCTCGTAACCACAAGCTGAAACTAACGGTTGGTAAGTTTACCTACTGTTCAAAAAAGTTGATTTACTGCATAAGTCAGACTGAAATTAAACTTTACTGAACTACTCAGGGTTGGACTACATGTTAGTGTCCATGGCTAACTGTTACATCTGTCAAGGCTCTATTGATGCTGAGAGGTACATGCAGGTTTAGGAGTAACATCTGCTGCCATCAGAGCCCCGTCTTTTCAGGGATGTCCCTGTTTATTTCAGCAAGACAACGGCGAGACACAGTCTAGTACCTTGACTCAAAGAGTCAAGGTACTAGACTGAAGCCTGCAGTCCAGACCTATCCCCCACTGAAAATGTGCGAAGCATTATGAAGCCCAAAAAACCACAACAGAGACCCTGGACCGTAGATCAGCTGAAATGGTCCATCAATCAAGACTGTGAAAGAATTCACCTCCAAAGCTTCAACAGTTAGTGTCCTTGGTTCACAAAGACTTACTGAGTGTTGTGAAGGAAAGGTGATGTAACACAGAAAGAAAAATTACCCTGAACCTGCTTTGAAGTAGAATAAAGTGCACTATGCAAGAATATAGAGCATTATAGTAACCAAAAAGTGTACTGTAGTTAATAACGTGTACTAGAATTAAAGTAGAATAAGAGCACTTTCTTAGAATAAAATGCATTGTAGGATAAAAAAGTGCACAATAGTAAAAAAAAGTGTACTAGAATAGAACAAAGTGCATTGTAGCTAAGTGCATTGAAGGTAGAATAATGTGCACTACAGGAAAAAGGAAGAACTATAATAAAATAAAGTGTATGATTGTAGTGTAATAAATACTTGACTAAAATAGAGCACATAATTAGTGGAATAAAGTGCTTTATAGTAAAGAGCATTATAGTATAATACAGTGCATTGTACTAAATAAAGTGTACGTTAGTAGAATAAAGTTGCATGTTAGTAAAAAGCATAATAGTAGTGTTAAGTGCATTATAGTAGAATACAGTGTCTGATGGTAGAATAAGCGCATTACAGCAAAATACAGTCCATTAAAGTAGAACAAAGTGCATTTTAGCAGAATAAAGGGCATGACAGTATAAAGTGCATTGAAGTAGAATAAAGTGCGTTATGGTTGAACAAAGTGCATTAAAGTAGAATAAAGTGCATTAAAGTAGAGTTGAGTGCATTATAGTAGAACAAAGTGCATTATAATCCAGGCTGGAGTAAATAAATGCATGTATGAATTAAAGTCACGGACTGTCTTTGCTGAGTTAAGCAGGACTGCAGACTCTGGCCAAAGTTCTTGTGACAGGTTGTTCAGAGGACCCAGAATATATTTCTGGGGTTAAGCTCACATCTGAGTTTCTTATGGTTTGATACTTGGCCAAGGTTTATTATGGAGATTTAAAGCTTATTACATACAGATCAGAGTTACACATCTCCTTTCTAGTTTGTTGTTTCATGTGAGGGTGTGGTAAGTGTGCTTCAGTGTGTTCCTGCGTGTCTTTGTACATGGACTGAACAGCTCACAGACTGACAAAATCGGTGTTAGTCTCTGGAGAGGTTTTTTTTTGGGGTCTGAAGCAGGCATCTCCCTGAGGTGTGATAGGGTGCTCTCATGTCCAGGCAGCGCCAGACTGGCTTTGTACCAAAGGAGTAAAACTATATCATTTGGGGAGACAAAAGCCTACCATTCCCCAGCCCTCTGTCTCCTTAAATCAACAAATAAAGTGGGGAGTAGGTGCAGTCCTGGAGTGAACTAACAGTGGGCTGTGAACTCCCCTGTGCATGAACGTCTTTTTAATTCATCCACACACACACACAATCATAACAACACCTGAAAGTTAGTTCAGGCAGTTTTCATACCCCTGACAAATGACGCCCCCAAAATTAGGGATTCAGATCAGATCATTTCTGATATCCACCTTTGCTCTGATATTGTTGGTGATGTCCTGCTCTCACCCCCACCACCACCCAGCGTCAACCTAGAGGCTCTCTTTTCTGGGAGTATAAAATATTTATCTACCACTTCCCAAATTTCTACATTTAAAATAAATCCACGTTAAGAGACAGTCAACATTTCAAAACATGAGTTATCTGACTGAACTCAAATTCAATATGTCCCTGGGTGCAGATGAGGAAATGGGTTCAACTGGTGTTTCTTTATTGTAGTGATACACACATACCTGCAGTCCTGGCGTGGGTTGGGTACGTATCCTGGGTAAGCTCCCTCAGTGATGTCACGGCACATTTTGCTGTCTCTATCTGATGGCAGCAAGGTCCCGGCTCGCACCATCAGACCCAGACAGTGGTCAAACGTGTTTCTTTCTTCTGCACCATCCTCCGTGAAGAAACAGTGGCCTAAAGTGTCATAGCCCACCACATTCCTCACCTGGAAGGCAGCAGATGAGTGCAGAGATCATAAGACTGCAACTCACTTTCAGAGATCTTCTAATCCAAGGAAGGAGATGGATGCACTTTCAGGGTACGGCTGGGCGATACGGCCTCAAATCAATCTCACGATATATTGAGCAGTTCACCTTGTTAATGATAAATGGATGATAACTACTCCACAAGCTGCTCATCCCCTCCCACATAAACATCGTCTACTCCAGCCGCTACAACTTTTGAACCGTCCTCCATCTCCTCACCTGTCCTTCCCTCTTTGTTACAGACTGGATGGGGTGGAGTCATGTGACATAGGACAGCGTCTTAAAGTGACATGAGACCATAGCCTACCTACACACATCCAAAACTAACTTTTATTTATTTATTTATTAATTTGACAGCAAATATACTGACATGGGCAAAATGACGTTGAATTATTGTCATAAATTTTGTTATCGGTAAATTTTCGGTTTATCGACCAGCCCTATTTCAGGGCATAAAGGAAATAATGTGTCAAACTTCTTTACTGACCAGCAGTCCATTGGTGCCGTGGATGGTCACACAGCGAGAAAAGGAGTGGTGAATGGATAAGTCACTGACGTAGGTGGGGGGGTCATGGCTTCCTCTTTGGTCCACATCACCGTTCATGTGGAAATGGACTGGATAGTGACCCATTGACTGCTGACCCATGTGCTGCAATTCCACCCCAGATATATGAACTGCCCTAAAGCCTTTCTCCACCTGTTGATGACAACCATTATATTTCAGGGGGAGAAGAAATCTTTAAGAAACAGCTGAAATATAGAAATGATGAATGTTAAAAGTGGGGCACTGACAGAAATGGGGGGATAGGAAGGAAAGCAGCAGGAAAAGGTTTAAAGTGGACAAGGGAACAAGGATGGGAGGAAGGATAGAAGATGGGCAGCAGAGTGAAAAGTGGGTTATGCAAGTAGTCAGGAAGCAGGATGAAAGGATTGAGGGACTACATGAAGGAAAAGAGACTGATTAAAATGTAGCAAATGAGGAAGAAAACCAGACAGATATTCACAGGTGAATAAAAACATCAGTTTGAGGGACGTTATAAAAACAGTTTTAAGCTGCTGCTGCTGAAATAACATTACAATTCAAAACAACAAAGTGTTTATCTCGGCATGTGGCTCCTGGAAAATACAAGCTGTGACTCAACTGTAAAGGCATAACTGTCAAAGAGAGGCCTTCACTTTGAAGGGCTTCACTGAAATCTCACTTGGGCTTTCTTCTCCCTGCATTAACTGCTCGTGCATGCTGTGAGCAAACCCATGCATTAGAAATATGTGACATGAGCCTGTGATGGAACTAATAATAGGATTTGATAACATGCCCTGAGGTTGAGACAAGAATGCAGCAGGAGTATAACCGCAAGCTCTCAGTCTGCTTTGTTCCTCTGTCCTTGCCTGTCTCTCACTGCGTCTCCCATGTGCTTTTTATCTTCTGCTGACATGCCTGCAGGCTGAGACATGGGTTTTGTTGGGAGTTGTACCTGTTCTATTTTTAATTTTAATCACCTGCCATTAATCTGATAGGCCAAACTTCGCGTGTGCTGAGGATGACATGGGCTTTCCCTCTGCTGAGGCATGGCAAAAGTTTTTATCTGAAAGAGGTGAAAAACCTCAAAACACATACCAAACTGTCAAAACAAGCCTAGTCTAAGGTCATGTTCCTTTTCTACACTTTTTTTTATCAAATGTGCTGTCGACACAGAGATAGATCATATTATTCCTTCATGGTGGGCAGTAAATACTGTTGTCACCATGGAAACCTACATGAAATGACACCAACTAGAATAGACAAAGCCAGATATAAATATTTATGCCTAAATCTGGATGATAACAAGTCTTGAATCATAGAAACTAGAACTCTTGTGTTACACTGAATGAGTTCTCTATGAACCTTTATATCTAGATAATGTTGAAGGAGTGTTATAGAGCCTAATAAACTGACCTTTTATAGAAATGAATAATCATTGTTAAATAATCTGTCTGGTGATTCAGTACGAGACCAGTTGAAGACAACAGCGTACCTTTAGATGTCCACCAAAAGTGTCAAAGGTGAAGAATTTGCAGGACTCGCTGGCATAGCAACCGGGCTCCATCTCACCCTGAATCCGTATGTTACGACTCAGCAAGCCCACCTCCGCCCTCATGTCCACTCCATCCACGTCCTCTCCAATGTGAATGAACTGGGCCTTACCTGCAGTCACACATGCACACATTAGATTTTAGTCAAGGGCTAAATAATCATTTCAACAAACATCATACTATGACTGAAGACCTGGCGCTGTCGTTTACATCCTGCATCCTGATTCAGACTCTCTAGCAGGACAGTTGTAATGATGTCTTCATAATATTAAGCACGGATGTAATCATTATAATCCTGCTCTTCTGTATCATGTTACTTTTATTTACAAACACAAAACCAACGTATGTCCCATCTTGTGTATTTCAAATCCTCATCCAAATCTATTCATGAAGCATATTGGAAAAATAGCAAAGATGGCCAAAGTGTGATAAAACAGAAAAAACACAAACACAACATATAAACAGAGAGACCAGTAACAAACAATGAGATAATGAAAAGTGAAAACTTCACTGCTGAGTCAAACATGAAGGAGTAATGGTAAATTCTGAGGTTTGATTTTAAAAAGAAAAAATGTAAAAATTGGCTGAAACATTTGCAAATGTAAAGCCTGAATTTTCATGGATTTTTCAATATTAGGGGTCATTCACTTTGGCTGTGTAAGATTGTATTGTGTATCTGTCTGATGATCTAAGACAATGCTCTTTTACCAAAGTAGTCAAGATCATGAGTCTGTTTGAAATCAGAATAAGTAAATCAAATATGCCAGTAATGAGTAAACCATTGCATTCACCATCTTTATAATACCACTCATCTGGGATTGGGTTGGGAAGTTGATGTTCAAAGACACATTGGGCAGAAGTTCAATTGACCAAGTCTGACAGTCTGCCAGCCTCAGGGGAGAAATATAACACAACACCATGAGAGGCAGCATGATGGAAGAAGACATCCAGCCTTGATCCACTGTAGGAAACAGAAGTTAAATCACTCACAGCAGGATATCCACAGTACAAACATGATAGGATCAATCAAAGAGGCTTAAGAGCTGTCACCTTCCCCGAGCCATGGGAGCTCAATCAGACCCACTGAAGTAGCAATTATCAGTATCTGTACAGGAAACACAGCCGACCTTAAGCAAAAGTTAAAATGGTCTGCAGAGCAGCGGACCTACTGGACAAAGAACATCTATACAACAATGAATATGGAAATTCATACCTCATTTATCCCACTGACTTATCCCCCATTGCATACATTTACACTCTGACAGCAGCTACAGCATTGCTTGTGCACTTTGTAAATGTTTCTTTTATACTTTTTATATTTTTGTATTTTTATTCTATTGTCTTCTTCTTCTTCGTACTTCATTGCATGTTCTTTGTACTTCTTTGGGTTGAGTAGTTCTTCTCATCCAGGGCATTTCAATGCATTGTTGACTATGTTTAACCTGCATATGACAAATAAATCAATCTTGAATCGATGGGCTCTATTTTCGTTCCTCGTGTAAGTCAGGTCCGCCGCGCCGACAAGGCATGCCCAAGCACATTTTGGTATTTTGGCAGACCGGCGTAAGTATCCCCCCCTCCCTAACTCAGCTCCTCTTAGTAAGTCGTAGTGAGGGAGGAGAGAAGGCGTGGAGTGGGTTTAACACAGCCAAGACCTGTTTTCGCCAATCAGATCAGCACCTGGCATTGAAATCTGAACCATCTGTGTGTAAATGACACATCACGCTCCTGGCTCTTTCTTTCATAGATGTTGGCATATAAAATAAATTTGACTAACTGAATATTATAACAGAGGACACGGAGACATGTCCAGGTACGGCTGCGTGAGAAATAAGAGGAAGAGGAGGAAAGACAAGGAGGGAGACGAATTAAATATCTTGTTCACTTCATCATGTGTGTTTATTTACTAGATATTTAATTTAATTTAATGTGGTTTCAGCTGTGTTGATTTGATCAGGTTGTGTGTCCAAACGCGTGCCAAATGTGCTCATCAGATCAGATATAGATCAGAATATATCCATAGATCTTAACACGTGGTCTGACTCAGATTATTAGTTGCTGTTGATTATTTATTGCACTGAAATGTGCCTGACACTGTGGAAACCTGCCGTTGAGGCATCAGTGACGTATGCGCACTATGCCGCCGGTCTACCAAAATACCACTAGACTAGCTGTGCTCGGCGTGCGCTGAAAGCTGACCAGGTTTGAATCGGCGAGCTTTCAGCGCACTTTATACGCCACCGGCGAACACAAAAATGTCACTGCACCAGCTGCTTCTGTCGACACCTCCCCCTACCGTGCCACCACGCCCAGCTTGGTGGACCTTGGTGTGCCTCAGTCCACGAAAATACCAAACTGGCTGTGCACCGGGCTCCACCAGAAGAAAATACCACTGTGCGGGGTCAGCCACCCTCTGCCGCGTCGCTGGTGGGCACGAAAATAGAGCCCCATGTGTCAATCAACCACAACACTAGTTAGGGTATCTACAGCAGCAGCATTGCAGCTGTGATTTCAGTAACGTACGATGTGTAATATGACCTCATGGACTAGGACACCTTAAACAATGGGGACAACAAATCACTGTTATGTTTGTCTGTCTGAGCAATCATCAATAAACATCATGACTGAATCTAACCCCACATTTTCGCACAGGTCCTCCAGTCATTCACATACTTTGGATGTCAGATGGTTTGACTCCTTTTATTACTGACATTAAACATTTAAATCACTGTGATTGATATGTTATGAGAGTTTTATTACAAATTTGATGATCATGATGAAAAGTTATCTTTACCAATGTAAGGTGGCTTTATGTAGAACATAAATGTCAGGTGAGAAATATGGCCTGATGAATACCCTCCCACTGCTCCGGGGCATTGGTATGCTCCAGTAACACAACAACTTTTCAGCCATCATCGTTGAAGCCATTTAGACCTGTCAGAAATTCAGTGCGTGTAACCCATACTGTAATGGAGTCAAACTGATGATAAACAGCCCCAGGCCAACGGTCTCTGTGTCTCTCAGCTATTTCCAAAAGCTCAGAGTTACCCAGAAAAACAACACACCCTTTGCTTTTGTGCATAACCCATGAGGAAGCTGACTTGATAATTCTGTCAAATACAAAACTGCTGCTACAAAATGGTATGCATGAAGGAATAAATGAAATGGATCAAAGTCAAAGGAAAGTGATAGATGCTCTAAGCATTAGCCTGAGGTTTGGAAAAAAAAGGATTTCACCGTGTTAGGCATAATTCTAAGTGATGTGAAGGACAGGAGAAAAAACTCAGAGAAGCAGGAGGGTGAGGGGAGTGTTATTATGCAGCAGAGGAGAAACAGCAGGAGAGGATTTAAATATATTATGACTCTAAGTCCTAATCAAAAGCAGAGGAAATGCAAACACAACCTTTTTCATGTGCAAATCAGTGTTAAAAGTGACTGCTATGGGAGAATATGTCACAGAGATGAAGACTTAAGCTGCTTGGGCTCCAACTTCTATGTGCATTTGTCAGGTTTTAACTCTCCCTTCTTGGGTTTTCAAGCAGACAACAATAAAGTATTGTTTGAGCCCATACAAGCATACATGCATGTAAGGAAGGCTTTGGTTTGGAGTCCCAGAGACTGCAGCCTGTGACTCTGCCTCACTCTTGACTCTGAGGATTGTAGTCAAGTCACTAAAGCTCAAGTCCTTCATACAAGCTCTTAAGATGTTCAGCCTGACATTACTGAATTGATGTTTTATGACTGAGAGACACACAAGAATTGGGATTTGTATATGTGATGGTAAATATGGTGGTGTCTTGTTCCCCTGTCCAGCCCCTGTGGTGTTTTGTTCTCCTTGCTTCTCCTCTGGACCGTGCAACAGGTGTCTGCTGATGATTGGGCAGGAGCTAGGGATTGGCGATAAATTATCGATCACGATAAATTGCCTGAAAAATCCTCCATAACAAATATTTGCCATTTCATGATAAATATGATAAAAGCAAGTTGATGACATAAACTCGAATGATGGACTCACAGCCATAGCCCACACAGAGTTGAATAACAAACAAACATGGCCGTAGGTAATGAAGATGACGTTTCTGAGCAGCTCGTTAGTGAACGAGGATCCACATGAGGGATTTCATTCAAGATTGGGGTCTATCCAGGTATGATAGTTTTGATTATTTAGGAGATGTTGTGTTTGTTCTTTTTGGCATTTCCTCTCCTTACAGTTTTGTTTGAATGTGGACAGATGAAACCTGTTGGTTTGGTCGTCTTTGGGGGTATATGTAGTCAGAAAAGGTTTTTCAGGTTTTTCCTAGCTAGATGAAGACCTTTTTTTTTGTTTTTTGGCATTCATGGAAATAAAAAATCTCTATTTGTCTCTTACCTTGAACCTTGACCTGGTTGGGTGTGCAGGTAGAGCAAGGTAACAAGGTGAACTCCTCAGCCTGGTGCATGGAGTAGTCAGTGCTTGCCACCACCACCCGATCCATGGGTCCCCAACCTTCTGGGAGGTCCTCAAGCTCCAGGATGGTGCTGTTGGACAATACGTCAATGGAAATAGATGCCTGTGGACGAACTGGGTAGAGGTTTAGGGTGTCAGAGTCAGAGCACACCATGTTCTACTTTGGTTACACAGTCCACACAGTGGTTACCTATCTGTTACAGTTTGTTGAATTAGAATTGAGCAGGGGGACTAGGAGGCTAACAACCACTTCTGGCTAGTATCTGGCTATCTGGCTGATTCACTTCAAAAATCACTTTTATTAATATGATGAGCAAAGGTAAGAGTGACTTGTACCTCACTGACCCACACAGCTGATCCATGGCTGCAGGCGGGCAAAGATGCACCACATCTGATCTAACAGAAATGGACCTTCTGACGGTAAAATAAAGCTCTGAAAAAATCTTTATATAGTGAACATGAGGCCAATATAAATGATTGGGTCAGACTATTTTAGAATTTTCTCACTTGCATGGTCAAACTGACTCTGTCTGCAGTGGTTGATTGTTTCTGGGTCAGCTCTCCAGTTTCTCAACAAAGGGGTCGAACTGGCCAGGATCCTCTATATGTTCTTCACTTTCTATTGACAAAAGCCCCACAACCCCACTTCAAAACAAAACCACTGTTGTGAATTCCGATTGATTTTTAACCCACAATCTAACTCCTCCGTGCCGTAGACCAGCTCCTTACAGTTCTTGTTTTCTTTGACTGATCTAACCCTATTGACACTATTGTTCTTTAAGTGTTTTCATATGCAAAAACAGTCAACACTGGGAGATCAGAATATTCAGACAAGTACTTGTGACAGGACGCCAAGCATTGAGTTTCTGTCAGAGAAGCAGAAAAATAGTCTTTCTCTCTTGTTTTTGCAGCTTGATCAGGTTTGGGGTCATCTAGGGTAAGTCTGGACAATGGCCAAGAGAGCCTTCGATAAGTGATGCCTGAGGCTCCAACTTAAAGTAGAAGGACATGTTTGTATTGCTTGTTGACTCACTGTCCTGTTGAGTGAACTCCATCCATGCACACTACAAGTAGCCTATATATAAACAGGCTATGGATCAGAAGCTGTACTGGAAGACTGAGACACGAACTCCACTTGGGACCCTTAGACAAGATCTCATGTGTGCAGACTTCATACATCCCCTGACAAGAAACACAAACAACAAATGTGTTGTACTCTGCGTAACCCTCAAGATCAGGCCAAAACTCTGCAGCCCTAACCACATGCCGTGAAGACACATGTAGACAGGGACAGACAAGCCCAGACAGAGGTCCTTGATAGCTTGCCTATTAAGTTGGTTGTGCTTCTTTGCACCATGATGCTGGCTCTGTGCATTCCAGTCATAACTGCCTCCTCACGCACAGCACACCCTCTGGAGTACAGCCAGTGTTTGTGTCTGCATATTTGGAGACTGCAAACAACTCACGCTCTCCTCATTTTACTCTCGGTAGTTATTGAACCTTTACAGGCTCTGATCAGCATGATCGTACATAACAGAAAAGCACTGAAGAGGAGGAATCACACACACACACACACACACACACACACACACACACACACACACACACACACACACACACACACACACACAACCTGATAGTAAGTGAAAGATGTACCCAGTTTTCCACAGAGAAAGCGAACCCTGTAGTTTTGACAGAGGCCATGAGCTTGGTCTTTGTTGAGGCAGACAAAGCCGTAGTCCTTATCATTCTTGTGGATCACATCTCCTGACTGGTTGGCTGGTGTGCCGTCGTAGGTTTCAGCCTGGATGAGGGAGAAATGGTCAACGATAAGTGGACTATGTTTCTGTCTCTGTCTGACCACTCAAAGCTCTTTTATAGCATGTGTCACATTCACCCATTCACACCACATTTATACATTCACTGTTGTTTTAAAGACACTTTTAAGAACATGACTGTCAGTCTGACCAACAGTGATTCTGCTGATAACAGGAAACAGGGAAGTTTTATAAAGTGTGCTGTCTTCAGAGAGAGACAGAGAGGTGTCATTAAGCATTGGTCCAGTTTGGCTCGATCTGTTCTTGAGCCCATCACACTAAGATTTTCAAGCATCTTACCTCTGAAGATCATTAGGATCCATACCAAGAATGAGTAGTTCAGAGTAGAGTCTTTGCATTGACTATCATTATGAAATAAAGCTCAGTTATTTTTGCATATCTGTGGCTCTTCTATTCATAACTGAAATCTTTTTTTATTATTATTCTACTTCAATTTCTCTTTCACAAACAAACATCATTGCAAATTTCAATATCATACTTTTCCAGCAGAGGTACTGTCTGGCCCACTTCCATAAATCCAGCTCAAATCTGGATTTTCAGGACCTGTACAACCAATCTGATCAATGCAACAAAGAATGGGAACAGATAAGAGAACCACATCTGCCTTACAATTGGACACTGTGAGGGAAGTTATTTGATCTTGTTTATTAAAAATGGCAGTAATAACAGAATCAATGTACTTGCAAGGCCAGGCCCCATTTTTAAATAAAGGACTTCAGTTGGTTCAATGTATCTGAAACTCTGATGAGTTGCCTTATGGTTCTGGTACCACCCTGCTGGGCCCTCAGCATTTCTACTGAGAAGTTTTGATGTGAAGCATTCATCCTTCTAGTTTTCTTCTGCTTGAGTATGTTTATGAATTAAAGTCACTTGTCTGTTCGCAGCACATTTGTTGCTCATGCAGTCCGTGTTTTTTCATTAGTGTCTCCCATGTTGCATTTTTTGAACTTCTGCATGTGTTTTTCAATTTGCATTGACCAGGCGTTTACAGTCTTGTGTTTTTTGTGTTGTCTGTGGTGGAGCTGAGGGAGACCAAATGATTGGCTTCTACATTGCCAGCCAATCAGATAGCCAAACTTATTTGGCTAGTGATTCTAAGTCAGACATAGTAAAGACATTCATCATCAGCCCAGAGCTGTTTATGCTTTCATAATAAACTACAGTAGTTGTGGTCAGCTGTTGTGGCTTCTTCTTCAGACATGAACTCGTGTATGAATGTATGTGACTTTGCACACTCTCATCCGTACAAATGTGCAGTAGAAAAAAAAATTACCTGGATGTCAAGTGGACCACTACACAGCCGGTCTGGATAGGCCTTGTGCAGGTCAGACAGTTTCTCCCAATCTCCAGATCCTCTCTCGTCATCCCTGTCAAACCACTCTGTCCACTCTGCCTCTGTTGCGCACAAACACACACACACACGCACACACAGACACACACACACCAGTAGCTCACAGTTCAGTGGTCTGACAGCCCGGCACAGTTTAACCGGCTGATGTAAATGCCTTGGTTTCTGTTCCACTTAGGCTGTCAGGGAACATCAGTCATTAAGTTATTAAAGGGCTCTCTCTCCTCCTATAGCTGTTTCGGCTCTGGCTGACACTGCTGAGGATCTGTTGAATTTCAATCTTAAGTTCAGGGCGGCGTGAAAGAGTCTTTGAGAACGGCACTCGAACACTGTCAGGCAATATGTGCAAGTCTTCATGCAGGCACATGTGTCTATCTATCTGCCTGCTGCAGTGTTGCTGTCTGAAAATGTATGTGACAGATTTAAACAGAAGCAGGTTGAACTAGAACACAGTGATTGATAACAGCAGCATCCCAGACAGTGATGAAAAAAGGAGGCTGATGAATTTTGTGTTCAGGTAGAATCCTCAGGGAAAGAAACTTGTCTTTGCTTGTGTCTGTCCATGCCGTCTCCCACATGTATGATATACTATGACTGAACTCAGGCAGACTGCTCAGGTGTATTCACAGGTACTCAATAAAATTTATGGAGGTCTTCTTCATCAGTCCTCTTTATCAAATCCACTCTAACCCCTCTGATCACTCTGAATGAAGGGATGACATCCCCAAAATATCATCCTCACTCTTGAGCTCTCAGTCCATATGTCATTGGACAGACATTTGCATGTATTACTTTCACAGGAATTAGCAGCTTAATCGTTATTTTCAGGGGTGGCAGAGGTACCTCTGAATAAAACTATTCCGATCTATTTGACCAATATCTTTCCAAATTTATTGATCATATAATTTAATAGACAGAAAGTCAAAACAGCTTTCACAAATTTGAACTCTCCCATTACAGTAGGGACCACAAGTTGTTTTTAGTGACCCAGACCAATTGGCTCGGGGAAAACCAGGCTCCAAACGGCTCTAGTCCTGACCCATGTCGCCGAGGTCGGCTTACCAGAACCAGCTCTTTAGAGCCTCATCGTTTACGTCCAACACATAGAGGCCTCTAATTAACTGGAGCCATGTCAGAAAATGTTAGCGATGTGGCCGCATGTTTCCAGAGACACTGAAAAGGAGGTCGAGCCTAACTTTGTTCATAGCAGTCTTCACAACAACATGGTCCATCATCTGAAAAGGGTGAACAAGAGTTTGTACGTCTTCAGGCTTTCTGCTGTCAGATGCATTACTTGTTCCATGAAAAATAATTAAAAGCTGATAGTCTGAATATACACCGAACAAAAATATAAATGCAACACTTTTGTTTTTGCTCCCATTTTCCATGAGCTAAACTCATAGATGTAAGACTTTTTCTATGTACACAAAAGACCTGTTTCTCTAAAATACTGTTGACAAATGTGTCTAAATCTGTGTTAGTGAACACTTCTCCTTCACTGAGATACTCCATCCACCTCACAGGTGTGGCATATCAAGATGCTGATTAGACAGCATGATTATCGCACAGGTGTGCCTTAGACTGACCACAATAAAAGGTCACTCTAAAAGGTGCAGTGGTACTGTATTGGGGGCGTCCTGGGGGGTTAGAAAACCAGTCAGTATCTGGTGTGATCACCATTTGCCTCACAGTGCAATACATCTCCTTCACATAGAGTTGATCAGGTTGTTGATCGTGGTCTGTGAAGTGTTGGTCCACTCCTCTTTAATGGCTGTGTGAAGTTGCTGGATATCAGCAGGAACTGGAACATGCAGTCGTAAACGCCGATCTAGATTATCCCAAACATGCTGAATAGGTGACATGTCCGGTGAGTATACTGGCCATGCAAGAACTGGGATGTTTTCAGCTTCAAGGAATTGTGTACAGATCCTTGCATCATGGGGCCGTGCATTATCATGCTGCAACAGAAGGTGATGGTCATGGATGAATGGCACAACAATGGACCCCAGGATCTCCTCACGGTGTCTCTGTGCATTCAAAATGCCATCAATAAAATCTAACTGTGTTCGTTGTCCATAACATATGCCTGTCTATACCATAACCCCACCGCCACCATGGGCCACTCGGTTCACAACATTGACATCAGCAAACCGCTCACCCACACGACGCCAAACACACTGTCTGCCATCTGCCCTGTTCAGTGAAAACCGAGATTCATACGTGAAGAGAACACCTCTTCAAAGAGCCAGACGCCATCGAATGTGAACATTTGCCCTCTCAAGTTGGTTATGACGATGCACTGCAGTCAGATCAAGACCCCGATGAGGACTTGGTTACACATGGTCTGCAGTTGTGAGGCCGGTTGGATGTACTGCCAAATTCTCTGAAACGCCTTTGTAGACGGCTTATGATGAAGAAATGAACATTCAGTTCACAGGCAACAGTTCTGGTGGACATTCCTGCAGTCAGCATGCCAATCGCACCCTCCCTCAAAACTTGTGACATCTGTGGCATTGTGCTGTGTGATAAAACTGCACCTTTCAGAGTGGCCTTTTATTGTGGCCAGTCTAAGGCACACCTGTGCAATAATCATGCCGTCCAATCAGCAACTTGATATGCCACACCTGTGAGGTGGATGGATCATCTCAGCAAAGAAGTGTTCACTAACCCAGATTTAGACACATTTGTCAACAATATTTGAGAGAAATAGGTCTTTTGTGTACATAGAAAAAGTCTTCAATCTCTGAGTTAAGCTCATGAAAAATAGGAGCAAAAACAAAAGTGTTGAGTTTATATTTTTGTTCAGTATATGTAGATAATCAGAATAGCTAGTATAATGTCGTCTTTATTGTGCACATTGTTTGAGGAGTGTTTTTCAGATTTTTTGTGCTTTTTGGACTTTGGGACAAAATTAGCTTATTTTCCATGGGTTTGTGTGTGCTGGACTGATGGGGGGAACAGTTACTGAAACTGGTCCAGTATTGAGGGAGAGCAGAGCAGCCAGGAAAATCAGCAAAAATGCAGTTTGACCGGGAGATTGAGCATTGTCAAACTGTGTCCACTGTGTTGTTCTGACAACTCAGGAGGAGAACATGGAGGACATGTGTGTGTGTGAGTTCAGGAAATGTTCCCCCTTATCAGTCTACGAACACAAACACTCTGTAACCAGGCCCAGGTTGAAAAACAGTGAAAATGGCTGGAGCGCTGCTATTGTATAATCTGTTTGGAAAAGGACTTAAAAGGACTTTTAGGACTTTTTTCAAAATGAACCACAGTGATGAAACTGTGCTAAATTATGCCTCACCTGTTTTCAGGTTATCAGGAAAAAAGTCCAAAGCTTGGTTACTGTCATTAGGTTTACTTGGACAAATGTTAAAGACTCATGAGTCGCTCAAGTTTAGTATCAAAAACAACTTGTTTTGTTCCGTCTCTGATTGGAAGTCAGGGGTCAGGGGTCATTTTCTAATTTTTTCATTCCATTTTCTGAATCCTCATCTGCTATCCAGACTTCATACGTTTGAGAGAGAAGAAGGCAGACAAAGAGAGGGAGACGGACAGACAAATACCTTGCACCCACTGGCTGCTGGCAGTGATGATAAAGTCCTCCCCATTTTTCGAATGAATAACAGCAGAGCTCCGTGCTTCTGATGAGGCCTTGGTCCCTGACAAAACACACACACACACAGACATGGTATAACATTTGAACAGCATAAATAAAATCCAGATGGGTGCCAGAAAAACAAAATATTTTCCTCTAAATTGTGACTCTTACCCTGATAGACAGCAAGATCCTCCACAACACTGGAGGAATTTCCTTTAGTCACGATAAAAGTCCAGGGATGTCTGCAAAGGAGAGAAAGGGTCTAAAACATGAAGATTTCAAGATGGAAGAAGTGAGAGATTTGGGAGAGAAAAGACTTCCAGGAAGGGACTAAAAAAAAAAAAAACAGAAAGACTGAATCACAGGCAGGATACTGACCAAATACTCTCTCCCCGTCTCCTTTGCTTTTTCTCTAGGCCTGATGAAAGTGTCTGGATGGTTTGTTATTGAATGTATACTGAACACCCTTGTGGTTCATTGACATGCTGTACAGGCTGTAAATGGTTTTGGTCTTCTTCTGACCTCTGGGGAGCATCTGGGGAGGAATTAACTTAGAATAAAAAAAGTATTTTCAAATTTGAGCATAAAAGAGACAGTTTCTTTAAAAGTATCTTTTCAGGATGTTCCATTTATAATTTGCCCTGACTATTGAAAACGGTCAACTTTATAAGAAAACTCATTAAATTTGATCTCATAGTGTACTCACTATTGTAAAAATAAACACAATCTACACCAGAGACAATCATTTGGAGTCAAAAAGATCCTCTCTGAGGTTAAATGAATATTTGCTGTTGTTGCTGTTCTACTGCTTGGTTAGGACTTGCTGATGTAATATGCAAAAACATAAAGTATGACCTCTAAGTTTATAAAAATTAGCCGCTGTTTGGAGTTTGAGCTGAAATGGGCTCTAATGTGATCTGGAGAGCTGGTTGTATGCATGTTGTTGCAAGTACACTGATCCCGGTCCTGCTTTTTGCTCAAAGTTTGTTTCACTCTAAACAAGCATTTCTAGCAACTTATTCAAGTCCAGCCAACGTCTTGATCATGTGACCTGGATCGGACCTGCAACATATCTTCCAAAGTGACCTGATCAGTCTCATCCTCTCTTCTCCACAGTTGTCCTCAAAGACGGAATTGAACACCCCCTTGACTCAGACTGAGGAAATGGGTGGATCTGTCTGCTTAAACTCCCTGGTGGGTTGGTAAGTGTTCCTCTCTCAACAGGAAGTTGGGTCCTGATTATCATTTTGTTGAAAACCAAGAAGGGGTTTGATGTGCAGTCCTCCTGAGGCGTTCATCTTCACAGATAATCCCTAGATCTTAAACATCTCTGTTGCTTTTCTTGCGATAGCTCATGGTTTTTGTAACAAAGTTGTGACATTGTTTTGACTGGTTGTGAATACAGCTCAGTATTGACCTGATACAGAGTTCTCTTAGTGCAAGCTGCAGGCCTGGCACAGGGATTTGTAAGAAGGGGTAGGAGCTGTTGGTTCTTAGGACAGAGATGACATGGAAATTTCCCTTGTAGCCTGATTGACTTTCACTCAGGGGTGATGCACCTTCACAGTCTTTTCAAGTCCAAAACTTACTTACTTCAACAATCCAAGATGAACAAGCCGAGTAGAAGTAGACATACATTTCTACATGACCGACCTGTTTTGACCACAGACCTACTGAAGAGATTTTAAACTTTAAATAAAATACTTGTGTTTAGGTCTCATCTGTAGAGAAAGTCCTAAAAGCATTTGTTCATTATTTAACTGGTAGTAGGTGATCTAAAGGTTGGGTGATGGTTAGCCTGAGCCTCTGACCACATTAGATGGTGTGAAAGCAAGGCCACATCCAGATTTACATCCAAATATGTGAGTCATAAAGCGATGCTATTTTTATTGACTTTTGAAATCTCCTGATTACAAAAGCTGCTATTGTAATCAAGATGACATTGAGATTTATTACTTGAGTTGAATTGCAGAATCTTGACTGTCACTTTCAATCCTCCTTCCCAAATGTCTTGGGGTTTGCCACAAATTATAAAGCGTCCCTATGATGACACCAGTGTTGGCATGTTTGCAACAGCTTGAGGAGAATAGGCGACAACAGTCGTTAAGCAGGAATCCCTCTGCCTCCTCCTCCTCATCACTTTCATTAATTAAGTCTGTCCTCAGCAGCACACACAACCATAGAGCCAACTGAAGCTTTAAAAAAAAAAGGGAATGTTGAGTCTTGCTCTGTCCTGGTGTTTTTATACGAGCTACTCAGTGTTTCCTGTGGCTTCCCTTCAAGCATTAAGTTTCATAACATTGCCGAGCTCTCTGGGTAACCACAGGGCTCACAGGGCGGCCCACATCAAGGCCTGCAAAACTGTGGAAAACAAAAGTCTGTCATGCTCATGGTTCACTACGCAACAGCTCCACTTTCCTCTATGAAGAAACCCAAGTGCAGACCAAGTCTTTGGAAGTCTCTACACCTACAAGCCTCAGTGAGAACACTGTAGTAGTCAGTCTGCATCTCTGCTGTTGGCTTACACTGGATTACAGGTGGACTCCAGACAAGCCAAGAAAAACTTTCTGACATACAACTAACATGGTTTACAGAGGGCCTTATTTTCCAAGATTCAGGATTGGGAGGATGTTGCAGATTGAGAAGAAGTTGTCTCTGTGATACTTACTATTTTAGTAAAATTCTGAATTCTTACTTTTTCTCTGATATGCTCCCTTTGTAATAAACTGTGAGCTTACATGTATTCCTGCAACCCCAACATGAGGCTCAGGTTGGTAAAGGATCAGGTCCTGCTGAGAGCAGATGTAGACCTCCGTTCACCCAAAACTTTTTTTCAGATGTTAGGCTGATGATGTTGAGTTGATGTCCGTCATATTGTGATTATTATCAGTTTTTTCTGGATACCAGAGTTAAATCAAAATGACACTTCCATTGCTAAAAGAGGCCAAAATGATGTCGTTAAAGGTATATCACACCCTTTTCATGTGTTTACCTAAATCCCAGACTCCTGATGTGCTGGCTTCCCATCCTGGAGAGACTCGTCTTGGCTGACTCTTCCAAGTTGTTGGATCCTTCATCATTGACCACTACGGCCAGTATGAGACCCAACTCCACGGCATTCATGTACTTTGCCAGGCGGCGACTCTCATCCTTACTCCGGTAAGTGTCAAACCTGTGGGAGGTAAAGGGGATACAGGAACAAATCAACAGCAATAAAACTAATAACTAATAAGGTCAAGGGGCAGTGCACCATTAAAACGTGACCGATGAAAACAACAAACAGGTGGTTTACAGTGCATGAGTGAATACATGAGCTCTCAGTTGTTCACACGTATTACTGGGGCCTTATGCCTGAGTTCATGATGACATTAATTAATACATTAGTTAAGATGTGTGAGTCATCATGACTCAGGAGTTATTCATGATGTTCCTGACACCTTCACAGGTAAGTCTGCAGACAAACGGACAAAAACTCTACAGTCTACTAAACTTTAAATGTTGTTTTCATGAGGTCTTCATCATGTTTGTGGCCCCTAGGATAAAGCGGGGCCCTGATCTGTCTTAAACACCTAAATAACAAGCAGACACTGGTGGGATGATTGTGTAATTCATCAAGTCAAAACCTCGGTAACCATTTATTTCAATTATTAATGTTTTGTTTTTGTAGCATGTCAAATAAAGACAAAATAAAGAATTCAGATTAGACGGTAATTTTGTTGAAAAAATTGATTTGCAATAACACACTGTAATCTTAACAGTCATGGACAATAATTCATTCTTAATACTGTAACCCTAACATTATGTAGAAGTTGACATATTTCTGTGCTCGCCACAATTTGTGGGTGCAATACTACTGTCACAAATTTGAAGAAATAAATCACAGCAGTGTTGCGTTGACATGTTTACAACTTTGTGAGTCCCACCCTTTCATTGAATCACACAGTGCAGTAACAGAAAATAAGAGGACAATATTTAAAGACGCAGAGCCACAAAAATGATTTTGAAGGTTTTAATCTACGTTTTAAAATATATATTATTTTACTATCATGGTTAAGTTAAAATTTTCTTTGAAAAACCAAACAAATAAACAAAATTTATTACCATTCAATTTTAATCTTTAAGAATAATTATGAACAGCTGTGCTCTGTTAACAAGGACTTGATCATTAAGACCACAGGTGGATATAGGTGAAAGATGGTGAAGTTTTCTATGATTCCATGTTCAAATGCACGAAATGAATTTTAAGTAACGTTCAGTAAAATATTGTATGTCCATAAAAGTGATTTTCTCTGACTTCAGATTGACAGAATTTCCTAGTTTATTTTGTTGTTCACAGTAAACAAGAGTTTACTTTGTTGGTCCAAACTTTAGAAATCCTGAAGAAAAGTGATATATATGATCGAGTAAGTATCAAGGTTTTAGAATAAGTTATAAAGGATTTTTCTATTTCAGGAAAAACTTCTGCTTAAATCTGCAACAGATATGTAATTCTAATAGATAAGAATGGAAGCAAGTGAATTACAGGGTGATATGATGCAGAGGTCCTTCGGTGAACAGAGGTCCGTTTATATGCCTGCTGTCTCCTTCTATAGGTGCAATATGTTCTTTTAAAGTGTCCTAGTTTGGTTTCCTCTGAGCCACAGGGTTATCATTATAACTCTGTCCTCTGGGTGCTGAGGGTGAGCACCACAATCAACAGACCACCCTGAATAGTTCACGGTCGAGCGTGTTCAGCTCGTGTTTCTGTGAGCTGGGAGTGTTGGAAATTCTTAAAATACTTCAAAAGAAGACATTTACATTTTACCATGATTGTGCTTTTTCCATACCTGTTATTCTGTCCTATAGATATAGTCAGAGCCCATGATGATTACATTTAATCTAAGATAACTTTAGTCAGGCCTTACAGGTGGTGATTGTCATGACAATGGTCATTTACAATTTATCATGGCGATATTACTAAAATGAGGTCCATTAAAGTTATTTAGAGGTAGTGATACAAAAACCCTAAAGCTGCATCTTACCAGGCTGAGAGTTGAGGTATTTTATATACCTTTGATAAAGACCTGAGACTTCAGTCCTTTAGGAATAAGAATAAGAATAAGAATAAGAACTTTATCAATCCCCGAATTTATATACAGTTTATATGCAATTTATATACAATTTATATACTTTATAAACCCCTGATAAAGTCCTGAGACTTCAGTCAATTATGGACCTCTGATCATCTTTCATGTATTTTGACAAAATGCAAAAACCCTTTAAGAGGAACATGCTGCACTTTTTGTACATAGATACTAAGCCCATTTAGAGGAATCTGGCCTCTGCATATTGGCTTTATTGATTTAATTTTTCATGAGGGTTTGTCATCTGTCTAGTTTTTAATAGAAGTTCTAAAATATAAGTGACTATCGATTTGAATCTCAGCGTTTCCTGAAATTTTAGTTGTGCAGTTCAATGTGAGTTCATGAAAGTCATTTTATGTTTTCTTTGTTCAGCAGACCAGTCCATCTGCAGATACAAGATTAGCTACAATCCCAGAGCTGTTTAGTACCCTGAGGTCCTGCTTTACAGGGAGGGACAGTCTCAAAAGGTTTTCTGAAGCTTGCAGAGTCCTTTGTGAGCAGGAACTTACAGCCCCAGCGGCTCTTATCCACTCTCTGTTTTCTGTATTTGATTTTAAAGCAGTCGTCCCATGTGTGTATTTTTGACACAATGAAGTTCAGAAGTGTAAAAATGGCTCAGGGGTTGAATTTTTATCAGCTGAAGTTTACATCCTGCAGTCTCCAGCTTACAATAACAGTGTCTTAACACAGAAGGACAAAGTACTACATTACACCATAACAAACAGTGACATAGGTATCCCTACGTTAGAGTCTACAGCTTGATAATACAGATAGAGTGTAGCTCAGCAAGTCCTTTTATTAAACCCCTCCATGGTTACTACATTAACATAACCAATAGCAGGAATCAGGTAACGGAGACATTCTGAAGATCTCCGAGTCATAACTAAATATCACTGCGTAGACTCAGATTGACCCTAAACTGATTTTAAAGTCACAGTGACCTCAAACCAGTTTCAGTAATCCTTCAAACCTGGTGAATATTAGGGCCACATCTGAAAATCTTCCATCCAGGAAGTAAAAACAAACTCATGAATAAGTCATCCAACCATTATTCCTGCCAAGTTTCAGACACAGCTCTAAACTCTCAGCCAGGAAAACTACTGTACATGTCCTGCTCTTTTTTGGGCGTTTGATATTTCTCATACCATCCTGTTGAACTCTGCCTACAGTTCCTCCCTCCCTCACGTACTCCTGAAGTCATCCTCTGGGCTCTTGACATCATCAGTCTTACAGCTGATGAAATGATGGGCGCACACACACATTAATCTTGATTTGATCATTGCGGAGGAGACCCTTACCTGTCCACATGCAGTACCTCTCCAGTCTTTGGGCTGATGACGTGGACAATGACGCCCCGGTTCCCCCAGCTCCTCTGGAACAGGTAGCTGTTTTGGGTCGTCTCTCCAGGGTGAATTGTGTTGCTGAGGAAGGTCCAGGAAAGCTTCTTTTTTCCATGGATCTCTAGTGTACCTCCTGTACCAACACCGAGATACTTCCTCCCAAAGTAGCTGTGTTCTTGGTCACTGTCGTCCAATCTAAGGACAGCAAAGGAAATTCTGCTATAGCTCGAGCAGCATAATAGGGTTCACATTCAGGTACCTAACGCAGACGTAACACATTATTTTCATAACTGATGTACGATCAGTCAGTTAGAAGTCATTTCTGTGACACAGCATGTAACAGACAGTCCTGAGGTCCACATAGAAAGACTGTATTTACCAGTCAGCCTCCTGGATAGTATTTCATAAAGTTTGATTGTGACACTAAACCATTTCACTTTATTTCTCTTTGGTGTCCTCGCTCTGAATCATATCTGGGTCAGTTTGCAGACATAACCTCTGACTGAGATGACAGATCTGTCACAGGCTGGATCTAATAACTCACAGTCACGTTGTGCAGTTTCCGGAGCCTCTTCTCTTAGCCTGATGAAATTTCTGCATCTAAGGTCTTCTTTAGGCACTAAAACTTAGACACTAGTACTTCCTCTCCTCAGGGCGCTAAGGTTAAGTTAAGAAAGCACTTCTGAAGTGTTTAGAAGTTCCTATTTAGGAATTACACAGGATGACCTCTACACCAAAAAGCTGGGACACTGTATAAAATCTTAGTAAAAACAGCCAGGTGCTCACATTTATTAAATCTATACACTCTTCTGTCAGAGTCAAAAATTGAAGGGTAGGTTGAGCAGAAGAAAAGATAAACTGGTTACAGGATTTAAAAAAAAAACATTAGGCACTGACAAAGCCCTGGGTATGGGGTTTTTTGCTTAACCAGGATTAGCTCTGATTTGGTCACTCTTTTTATGAAGAGAAGTCTACAATAAGCTTTATCACCACTTGAAGCTGCTCTGGTGGATCTAGTAGTCAACAGCAAAACCACCAGCCAACTATACAAGCTGCTAATTCTCAAAATAAGTTTACACCATTGTATTTGAGGAAACTTCAACTGTTAGGAAAGTTGTGTGCTCAGGTCAGTATTCTGCTTCACTCCAGGAAAAGACTCCAGGCGCTCTAGACGCACTTGCTGGACCATATATGAAGACTCTATGAGGGTTTTTGAATAGATTTGCTTTGAACTAAAAAAGGCTTTCATACCCCTTCATGGACTCGAGCATGTAGGTCTGGAGACAGCCCTGAAGGCTTTCCTCCTTTTTAAGTTTACATTCTAGATGCTCTGATCATCTCTGCACCATTTTACCACCTCTGGTCCTTTTTTTCTGCTGATGACCAATCAGCCAATCAGCACCAACCTCCAGTTTTGTGCTGTCAGAATAAACTGAGGCCGCCGTAAAGGATCATTTTTGTGAGATTGTCAACAAGATAAAATCATACACAATACACTAGATGTGCTCTGATTCCTCTTCACTGATTGTTATACGTTACCTACCTGACCACATTGTCTCTAGTGTCTCCTTTACTGACCAGAGTCATCAGGATCTCGTGTTTCATGCAGCCAGACAAGTAGTTTGAAGGCCAGGCAATCAATACAGCACAGCATCACTGCATGCTAAACTTTTCATTTCACAACTCTACCTTCCGAACAGGGAGATGGTGAAGTTGCCTCTGTATGGACAGTCCGGACTTCCAATGTGCAGCTCCCCTTTGTCTCCAATCAGTATGTGTTTTGTTCGAAGCAATATCGGCCTGTTGGTGTCAGCAATTACCAGCTTTCCTGCAGAGCAGAGCAGAGCAGAGAGAGTGAGGGTGTGGGATTGTTGGTGTGTGCCCCCCTGGCAGGTCTTTCATGCTCCACAGCCTTCAGACACCTCCTGTCTCCATACCATTTATGGCTCTGGGCTGAGGCTGTCAACACACATACACACACACAAACACATACACATATATCAAAGGTTACTGCCCGACCAGATCTGCAATCCGCTGATTACATACGAAGAATGAGAATGTACGAGAAGTTCATTGAAGATGATTCCTTGGATATTATTTATTCCTCTAAATACCTGTCTGTAATCATACGATCTGCTTAATGAGAAGGCGTTTGCTGTGCCACATTTCCATGACTAACATTTGCAAAAAAAAAAAGGCTCTGATCCCAGCTAGAGGTAAGACGATCCAGGAACTCAAGCAGCAGAGGAGATTCTGTTTGGGGAACTCATTTATTTAGACTGTCAGACAGGAATGTCTGCAGAAATAAAGGAGGAATCATATGAGGTCAAAAATCCACTTTCATGAGCTCAATACAACAACACAAACAGGAAAAACCCAAGGCAATGTTTTTGGTAAGGTCCAACTGAAAATTTCTAAAATATATAAGTAATGACAACAAAACATCAAAACTGCACCAGCAGATCTAGAGCTTGTTCCTGCTTTGTTATGATCTTAAAGCTCCTGTGAGGAGTTTTTTTGGCCTTCATGAAACAGACTCACATTCATCTTAAAGCCTTTTTATAACATCCAGAACCAAACAAACCATCAGCAACAAGACAGAGGACTTTTATGTCCCGGTGCTAATGCCTGAAAGTCTGAAACAAACAGTTCTGTTTTAACAATTCCAGCTTTACATATTTACATCAAATGATACTGCCAAGGGTAAGCAGGATAAGATTTTGTTTTGGTCAGAAATTAAAACACACAGAGGACAAGATAAGTAAAGACTACCTGATCCACAAGGGGGGCGCCAAAACAAAGACAAACCTAGAGTTCCTCAGAGAGCTTTAAGAGGGTCACAGTTTTTCGAACGTTGGATATAATATAAAGTATGAGCACACTTTCTCTGCAGTTTGCACTTTGTCAAACAGGTAAAGTATAGAAAGATGTCGCTTTGTGTCATCTCACAGGGATTACAGTGCATTATACTGCTGACACAAGAAGCTGTTAAAGTTGACTGACAGGTGATCAAGCGGGGATCAGCTGACGTTTAATCTACGACAGGAGAATTTGCTGTAACTCTAAAAATCTGGTTGTGGCATAAATATGTTTCCAGTGACAGTCTGATCCTTGGCGTTTTGGACCCTTCATGTTTGGGTTAGAGTGCAGATTATGTGGTGAGACACCAAATTACTGCAAGCTGCCACACTCGTGAAATACTGTGCACGAGTAAAAAAAATCATGTCTTAGTTAAAAGACTTTGTGGTTGTACACAAAAAAAACTTGATCAGTATGAGTCAAGTGGATTATATGCTGTTTTGCTGCTGTGTTACATTTGCTAACTTTGTACTGATTGCCAAACTACACTGCGTCAGAGATTGTGACTGACACAGTACATTGTTTGATGAGGTGACTTCTCACCAGCATGATATGACTCTGGTACTGTGCTCCAGCTTTACTTGTGTGTTATGTGCTGGGATAGATTCAATATCTCTATGTTGAACCTGTGAGTCAAGATTATATCCAGTTTAGAATCATAATCAAAACCATGAGATCTCATCCATTTTCTACAGAAACACAGAATTCAAAGAATAGGTTTCATTTTACTTTGTAAATGTGTTTAAAACTATCAGCACTTAATATTAGAAAAAGAAAAACATTGTCTGCCATACCTTCATCATGAATCACGATGGAGTGTAAGGTAGCGGAAGCTGTGAGAAGGACCTTTCTGCCATGACCGATAGTAACACGGTGGTCTTCTCTGTGTCCTGGCATCCATGGTTGCAGACCTGGCTCCTTATCTGGACACACTGCAGGGAAAAGAAAACACATTTAGGTTTACAACTCTCTCCATGTTTCACACATCATTATTGCTACTATCTTTGAGAAAGTAATGTTACTTACACTCTATAACTTTCACAGCTTTTCTCTCATAAAACTTTATATGAAAACTTTAAGCTTCTGTAGTAAAAGAAGAAGAAGAAGAAGAGAAACTCACTTGCTTGGATGTAAGGTAGCAGCAAAGCTGCTGCAAGCATGATGCATGTTTTCATCTCTCCTAGCTGTCACTGACCAACTTCAAATGTGTGGCCCTCCAATGATGCTTCAGATTCCCCAGTGAGCTTCAGACGATTGGGTGTGTCAAGTTCACAGCAAGAGGCCGCCAGAGGCACCTACAACACATTGAAATGCAGATGATTCAACAAGACATTTTCAGATAGTGAATCTGAGAGGACTCCCCCCATGGTGGACCAGAGAGACAAGGCTGTTTGTCAAATATACAGACATGTCACACTATGGGGGAATCTTGTAAAATAACAACTTAAATGACTTAAATTCTGTTCTTATTTTGAAGATTTTCCCATCTTATTATGCTCCTCAACGGTTATGTCAAAATCAATCAAGTAGATGATGTACGTCAGCTCAAGAATGTCTTCCTGCTTCTCCAAAAGGACCACAAGCTGCACTCAGGCTCCCTGAGCTGTGTTTCCCTGGGGTCTAAATTCTGGTTAGATACACCCAATAAACCTTATTATGGGTGAGGCACCCTGAGTTAATGCTCCAACCAACTAGCTGCTTTGATCAAAAGGAGTAGCGAATTTTGCTGGTTATCCTCTGCAGAGTACATGCTTTGGATACTTTGAAAACTAATGTTTAATGCAAATATTTGAGTCTTCATCTCCTGACCTTTATTAGATTACTTTCAGAAGAAGGTGTCTTGGGTAAGCTGTAGAGGTACTGTGAAGGGTTTAGACATCCTAAAAGCTGTAGGACTAGTAGCGAGTCAAAATTTGTCCAGAGGGAAAAAATCCAAAGTATAACAATCGTGCCCTAACGAGAGTCTGTCCTGTTATTAGCACCACAGGTGTCTTCAATCTTGCAATCAGTCAGTCTGTATATCATTAAAAGGGTAAAAAGAAGTCACTGTGCTGTTGGGTATCATGGAGTGCACCACACTGAACATGAATCAGACAAAGTAAAGAGCTGTCTGAGGAGGTTATTAAGAAAATCATAGATGAGCATGTTTAAGGAAAAGGCTATAAGACCATCTCCAACATCCTGAAGTCCAAACCGAGCATCAGAACGAGGAAGAAAGGGGATTTATGTGACTCTGAACGTGGAGTGGTTGTTGGTGCCAGACGGGCTGGTCTCAGTATTTGAGGAACTGCTGATCTACTGGGATATTAGCTCTTTTAACCCATCTCCAGGGCTTTGAAAAAGAGTAAATATCCAGTGTACAGCGGCTGTGTGGATGAAAACGCCTTGATGATGTTAGAGGTCAGAGGAGAACTGGCAGAGTGGTTTGAGATGATAGAAGGGCAACAGGAAGTTGAATAACTGCTTGTTACAACCAGTATGGTCCTATAGCTTAGTACTTGTAAACAAACACAGAGTGAAACAAAGACTGTAGAGTTTTTTTTTTTCCTTTTTTCAGTGAATTGATAAACTTAAAAAATGCCTAAACAGTCTCAGAAACATTGCGTGTAAGAACACGCTGCTCTGCTGCAGTGGGTTCCACCATACTTCTGTTATTGCCATAATCACATTATGACTGGATTACTGGTGTGCATTGAAACACAGCCATTGATGTTTCCTGCATGACAGAAGTATGTTCACCCACCCAGAGAGAATTACATTGGTGGATGCATGACAGGAATCAAAACAAGTGGAGCTTCAGATGGAGAAAAAATCAATGAAACACACTGAGCGCTTAACAGCTGGTTTTCAAATAATACCAAGAGGGTTTCAGCTGGAAATGATTTATTTTGGTCTTTCTCAATCATCATCACTTGATATTCCTGTACTTGACCTTTCTGAGGTCACAGCTTAATCCTGTTTATTTCTTTTACTGGTATTTACATTAAATTAATATCTGACAGGAGGTTTTTCACTGATTCAAAAGGATAAGGCTGTGTAGGACATCACCGTCACAGAGAACAGAGCAAATTTCACAAACTTACTTAGATTTAAAACAGAAACAGTTTCAGTTTTACTGAACCAAAAAAAATGATGTGCAGAGAATTCTCTGCTCTCAGCCAGTCACTTCTCAGGGTCAGGGTCTGGTTTGAGTCTTCACAGACACTTTCACAGAACTCCTGTAGGTAAGCAGCACTGTGGTTTTGGAGGTCAGGTGGTTGGATTTGTTTTAGCTTTGGATTGGCTTAGAAAGTGTTTTGGTTCCTTCTATGAACTTAGCCTCATTTTTTATTAGTAGTTATTTTTTTGAACAGCAGCAGCCCTTTCAGTCACTGCACGCTATTTGTTGCCCACAGGAAAGAGGGCTAAGCTGACCACTAGTGAAACATTGGCTTTACTAGAGGATTTCCGGAGGCCAGCTGAGCCAAAGACTGAATATAATATGGACAACTTGGTTCCACCTTCTGCCAGTATACGGATTTGAAGCCGAACTGCACTCAGTAATTTCATGTTTTTTCTTCACTTCCTGAAACCAACATTGCGCAGAAGTGAGTACGCACTCCACCACTTGCACAGTAGCATTGTATGCATTCGGTGGGAGAGTTGCTGTGATGACGCTCGGCTCAAACAGCGTATCCCCCAAGTGAGCTACGCAATCTTTGTACACCCATAGGCTGTATCAGGTGTCAATCATAGAAAAGATGAACCCCCTAATAACTTTTAAAAATGGAGCTGTACAGAAAAAAAGAGGACTTGAGCACAAACCAGTCTTACAATAACTACCTGTTAACATCACAACCAGGGGGGAGAAAATTGTATATTCTGTGTAATAAGTTTCTAAAGTTTGTCCACAGCTCCATAGGGATTGCTGGAGGAGGTGGGATTTATGACCTATACTGCAGCCTGTCACCAGAGGGTGCTGTTCTCAGAGTGGCTTCACCTAGCGAGGAGTTAGACGGCGTCCATTCTATATACGGTCTATGGGCTGAGCACAGAGCTTGCCGTTCTGGCCCCGCCCCCTCTACTGTGACCAATCAGTCGAGCAGCAGTGCAGGCCTCACTAGTTAGTGAGCCTTATTAAGATGTTGTGTGATCTCCCAACGAACTGTATTGAACAGTTTACATCTATTTTCTAGGATTAACAACAGCATAGTTTTACCTCAGGATTTGAAAATTATCATACATCTAGTAAGGACACCAAACATTTTATTAACTTTGCAGTTTTTGTTGTAAATGGGGAAAATCCTAATACCACACCACAAGGCTAATAGAGGGTTAACAGCATGATCAAAAGCCCCCACAGTTGAACTTCCCCGTCAGACGGTGTGACCGGGGTTAGCGGTTTTAAATGTGAACAGTGTTGTGTCTTGTTTTATGTCTTGTGGTCTCACTATTTAACCTCAAGAAAAGTAAAAACAGAACTCTTTCCATTAGGCCCTTTTCTTCCCTCAGTGTAAACTCAGAGATATCGTAGATATAATCTCACACACATTTTTTCACTTACATTTTATCCCAGCTGCAGTATAGAAATGATATTTTGTTTAAAAGTAATCAGTTTAAAAGCTCCACTGACCTACAATTAAACAAAGGTGAATATTTGTGTATTTATGTTAAATGCAAGGAGTAAATCAACACCGGACTCTACAGTCATGAATAGGAAGTTGATTATGGAGCTAGCAGATAGAGCAAAACAGTGACTAATTTAATACTGCTGTAAATTCAGGGAGATATTAGTTCATTAGTTCAATTCACATTAGTTCAACCGAATTACATTGAGTAAAACCTGTCATTTTAGTTATGTAATCAGTGTGTATATTTGCTAAAACAGAGCCGGACACTGCAGTTATCTCTGGACGCCTGCCTAGCCTGACCAGTGAAAACATCCGTCCATCTTTACTTTCTTCCTTTCAGGGTTGTGGTGACATGCAGAGCTGACAGACACGCTCTCAAACCCTCCTCTGAGTAATTCAGAGGTAGACATGACCCTGACACCGTGTTTTTGGACTGTGGGTGGAATCCGGAGTCCCACACAGAGAGCCCACACATCAGCACTAACCACAGCAGCAGCCTGGTGCAGCCCAGTGATAAGATGTCATATTTCATTTTTTCAGCTGTTGAGTTGATGTCCAGCGTGGGCTGCACAGATAACTCCAGAGTGGCAGTCTTGCACGCTCCTTTGCACTTTCTTTAAAGTTGTTTTCCCAACCACGATCTATAGACTTTGTCTGCCCACTGGATATAAAGCCAGAGGCAAGATTAAACTGATATTGAATATGAATATACGATGATAATCTATGTAAATTACAGCCATGAGAGCTTTCCTCTTCACTGTGCTGTAAATGTCTGACATCTTTCCTCTCAGCAGGGTTACTGACACTGGAACATTAATAGCTGTCAAATCTTTGATCTTCTTACTGATGGTCTAGTTTGGTTTGTTTAGTTCATAGAAAGCATTTCTGTTAAATCCAGTCAGGGTTAAAAATGGCAGCATAGCAGCCGGTCCACATCGCTGAGCTCTGGCCACAGCATTTAAAAGTTTATTTATTTCTCACACAATAGCTAAGTGACATTTATGCACTGGCTTTCTATGAGTTATAATGATATAAACATCGACGATTATTTTTTGGGTTGCTCTGACACCATGCCACCAAAGATATGAAGAAGCAAAATGGAGTGTTCTTAAAGCCTCGCTAGCATAACACCAGGCGCAGAGGTGCTAGCAGTAGTTAACATGACTGCAGGCCCGACTGAACCTGCCCCTAAGCAATAAAAGAAATCACTGAAAACATGACAAAAGTTATTGATGAAAAGCCGAGCCTGCTGTCTCAGACACTGCAGGCATATGCACTAGAACTGCAAAACTTTGGAAGAAGAGCTGATGAAGCCGAGGGAAGGATTTCAAGAGTGGAGGATGCAACTAGCCAAGCTGCTACCACACTGACAACCTTACAAATAGTGGCAGGAGGAAAAATATATGCATTATCGGGGTAATGGAGCGTGTGGAAGGCACTCCGCCAACAATATTTTTGAAAGTTGGCTTCTTCAAATTGAAACCAAGACGGGGCAGATTAAGATCGAGGGAGCTCATCATACACCAACTCCAAAGCCTGGTCCAAATCAACAACCCCTGCCCATCCTCAACAGATTTCACAACTCGAGAGATAAGCAGAGGGTCCTTAAGGCGTCCAAGCGCAGCAGCACTGATGGTCATCCCCTTATGTGCGATGAATCTGAGATTATGTTTTCCACCATTTCTGCAGCTATCATTTGTAAATGAAAAGGATTTGATGAGGTCAAGCAGCAGCTGAGGGACACAGGACCCTGTTTTCTCTCCTCTATCCAGCTACTGTAAGAGTCACTCATAGTTGGAATGTCAAGGTGTTTGACTCTCCGGGTGGTTTTTGTGGACAGTATGTACATTTTACTGACTTCTTGATACTACCTTGGTGCGGTTCGACCCACCTTGATCCACTCCATCCCACTCCAAGTGGTTCAGTTTTGGACTAATTGTGTGTGAGTAATTACAACCAGTCATATTTTACAGACAATTTTTTGTTAATCTGTGTGGTACAGGTACAGCATGCACGACTACGGACACGTGTGTTTCATTTACATGAGCAGAGAAGATGTGCCTCTACTCTTTTTTTTTTAATGGGTTATTCATTATATGAGGGTTTTGTTTACAACGGGTTTGGTAATGAGGGGCTCAGGCAGACCTGGGAGAGCTTGGTATTGAGAATGAGGAAAGTTGTTGGGAGAAGATATGGAACACTGCCAAAACCAGATCAATTTGTAATCAAACCAGGATAATTCAACTTAAATTACTCTATAGGGTTTATTTATCACCTGATCACCTTTCTAAGTTTAACTTAAAATACTTATCAATGTTTCCTTAATGCAAAGTAGGTGTTGGTGACCTCACACGTTGTCTCTGGTTTTGCCCCGAATTACAGACTTACTGGTAGTCTGTTCTGTATGTAATGATGAGAATATTTGGAACTAGTCTTAAACTGGATCAAATTGTACTTCTCCTGGGTCTCTCTAATGGACAGTTCACTAATATCTGTTAGAAAAAATTGTGCTGGCCTTTTGTGCTTCTTCACTGGACTTCTTCTAAAACTCTATGACTCTCTGGGTGGCATAAGATAATTATGGAGTATATTCCATTAGACCTCCTGAACTGCCTGAATCATTCTAAAATGACAGACTTCAACAAAATGTGGAGACCATTTCTGGAGTGCCTACGATTTTATCTCAAGGTTTTTCATGGAGCACTGAGATCTGGCTGTGATGGCTGTTGATGTTTTATGTCCCAGGGAATATTATATTCAGTATCTGACAAATTCTGTCTGTGTGTGTGTGTGTGTGTGTGTGTGTGTGTGTGGGCTGATCTATGTTGGATGTATTAGCAATTTAGCAATTTAACTCTCAAAACAGAAACAAAAACCCATCTAATCCCCCTCCTCCCACCCTCAATAAGATAGACGGTAAATAAAATATTAATAATAATATCAGTATGTGCATTATATATTGAGCATACATACATTTCCGTGAACATTAATGTCCATACAGACACATATACATCATAAGCCTATAAGTCCTCTTCATCTCTATTTCTGCCTCACAATACTAATACTCTAAGCTATTTTGAGGTCATCATGGTGGTTGCTACAGTCCTTGTCCAGCTTTTGGCATTTGCACATTTAGGTTATTCATGACAGTAAGGAAGACCGCATCTTGTTAAAGCCCTCAACCTTTCCTCTTGTCATGAAAGTCAGTTTTTCCTCTGTAACCCATTAGTCAGAGGTAGGTCCCTGAGTCTCCTTCCATTATAAAGCAGTTATATGTTTAACTTAAAACAGACAGAAATTAATCACTTTTCCTGAAAAGTTAAGTTTAAATGAATAATTTAGAGTTATAACTGATGACTGTGTTGACAGATGTGGATCCTGCAGAGTACTGTACCAGATCAGCTGAGTCAACGAGGAACACTGAGAGAAAATGTCACAAACACACAAGTTGTGATACTTTCCATAAGAGTCTGCTTCAAATCAACATGAGAGTGTTTTTCTGTGGACTGTGAAAAAGTCAACACTTTCCATGTTGACTTTGGCAACTTTTTTAGATTTTGTCTTAGTCTTTGACAAAAAAGCCTTTTAGTCTTAGCCAGGTTTTAGTCATTTAGGTTTTTGATTATTTTAGTCAAGTTTTTATTTTAGATCTTTTTTTTTTTTTTTTTAAACTTCAAACTAATTAAATTCATCAATAAGAAATAGGTATCAAGGTTGTTCTGGTGTTGAAATCTGCAGTGATGTCCTTCCTGAACACTTGTGGAACTTGTCTCGTATCTGAGTTCCTGATCTCACTGGATGATTTAGTCTGGACTTTCCCACAAAACCATGCTGCTGTGCCGCCCCTGCTGATCTACAAAAGGAGAAGAATGATCCTCACTCAGGTCAAACATCTTTCTGTGGCCACTATAGCTGTGTTTATTATCTGTAACTTATTCTTTCTGTGGGGTGTGTTGGGGATCTGGGTCCAAAGATCACCCCTTGATGGGCATACTGGACAAACACTGAGTTCACTGCACCAAAGTTGCATCTTCATCTTCATCTTCATCTTCAGTGATTTAAAGTTCATCACTACTACAGAACATTTTGCTAAACTTGCTTTCTCACATCTTCAAACTGGGATTATACAAATGGAGTCACACAGTTGTCGATGGCAAAAGCAGCAGAAAACAACACTCCAGTGTCAGACATTGAAGTGACATCGACCTAGTAGCTGGTTGTGTCTCTATATTCAAAATGCATGAAGAAAAGTTTGAGATTGAAGTGAGAGAAAGCCTGGAAGTACAAAGAAAAGAGCCCCCTTCGGCTCCAGTCAATGCACATAGGAGAAACTACGAAGACTGTTCAATGTCCAACAGTCCTCCTTTTACAGATTTATTTCATAAATTGTCTCGTTAACAAAAAACAACCTATACAGGTTAGAATTTCTGTCATCAGTGATTTCTGTTAGTTAGTCTTTGTCTCATCTTCTTCATGGGAAAAAAGAGTCACTGTCAGATTTTTTGTTATCACGACTTTCATTAATAAAAATAAACATTGGACTGAACCCACCTGAGGTACCCTCAGTGTTGTACCACTAAGTTTAAAGTGTGTCTTTGTTACTATCTGGGCTGCCTCTGCCCATGCTCAGGCTGCACCAACCCATGTAAACCATAGACTGTATATATACACTCACCGGCCACTTTATTAGGTACACCTGTCCAACTGCTCATTAACACTTAATTTCTAATCAGCCAATCACATGGCGGCAACTTAGTGCATTTAGGCATGTAGACATGGTCAAGACAATCTCCTGCAGTTCAAACCGAGCATCAGTATGGGGAAGAAAGGTGATTTGAGTGACTTTGAACGTGGCATGGTTGTTGGTGCCAGAAGGGCTGGTCTGAGTATTTCAGAAACTGCTGATCTACTGGGATTTTCACGCACAACCATCTCTTGGGTTTACAGAGAATGGTCCGAAAAAGAAAAAATATCCAGTGAGCGGCAGTTCTGTGGGCGGAAATGCCTTGTTGATGCCAGAGGTCAGAGGAGAATGGCCAGACTGGTTTGAGCTGATAGAAAGGCAACAGTGACTCAAATAACCACCCGTTACAACCAAGGTAGGCAGAAGAGCATCTCTGAACGCACAGTACGTTGAACTTTGAGGCAGATGGGCTACAGCAGCAGAAGACCACACAGGGTGCCACTCCTTTCAGCTAAGAACAGGAAACTGAGGCTACAATTTGCACAAGCTCATCGAAATTGGACAATAGAAGATTGGAAAAACGTTGCCTGGTCTGATGAGTCTCGATTTCTGCTGCGACATTCGGATGGTAGGGTCAGAATTTGGCGGCAACAACATGAAAGCATGGATCCATCCTGCCTTGTATCAACGGTTCAGGCTGGTGGTGGTGGTGTCATGGTGTGGGGAATATTTTCTTGGCACTCTTTGGGCCCCTTGGTACCAATTGAGCATCGTTGCAACGCCACAGCCTACCTGAGTATTGTTGCTGACCATGTCCATCCCTTTATGACCACAATGTACCCAACTTCTGATGGCTACTTTCAGCAGGATAATGCGCCATGTCATAAAGCTGGAATCATCTCAGACTGGTTTCTTGAACATGACAATGAGTTCACTGTACTCAAATGGCCTCCACAGTCACCAGATCTCAATCCAATAGAGCATCTTTGGGATGTGGTGGAACGGGAGATTCGCATCATGGATGTGCAGCCGACAAATCTGCGGCAACTGTGTGATGCCATCATGTCAATATGGACCAAGCTCTCTGAGGAATGCTTCCAGCACCTTGTTGAATCTATGCCACGAAGAATTGAGGCAGTTCTGAAGGCAAAAGGGGGTCCAACCCGTTACTAGCATGGTGTACCTAATAAAGTGGCCGGTGAGTGTAGAATGGCCGCTGTCTGCCTCGTCGCTAGATGAGGTTACCATGAGAACAGCACCCTCTAGTGATGGGCTGCAGTATAGGTCATAAATCCCACGTCCTCCCTATGGAGCTGTGGACAAACTTTAGAAACTTATTACACAGAATGTAAATGTTTTTTCCCCTTGGTTGTGATGTTGATGTGTAGTTACAGTAAGACTGGTTTGTGCTCAAGTCCTCTTTTTTTCTGTACGGCTCCATTTTTAAAAGTTATTAGGGGGTTAATATTTTCTATGATTGACACTTGATACAGCCTATGGGCGTATGAAGATTGCGTAGCTCATCCGGGAGGATACGCTGTTTGAACCAAGCATCATCACAGCGACTCTAGGCAACTCTGTGATTCTCCTGCCAAATGCGTACAATGCTATTGCACAAGTAGTGGTTCCAGGAAATGAAGAAAATGCTAGAGGTATCGAGAATAATTTTGTCTTCAAATTCGTACATTAGTGGAAGGCGGACCCAAGTTGTCCATAGTATATACAGTCTATGATGTAAATGCTCACAGAGGCAGTCATTTGACTCCATATCTAACAATGGAGGCAGTTAAAGTGAAGCTCTATGTTCAACATCAGTGAAACACAGACACATATCCACTAAGAGCACGAATGACCTCCTGAAAGCTGAGTTCATGCCGATTAGGTTTCCTTTTTAACATAACACACTTGTGTCCAACAATCCAGGGATAAAGGCGTTATGGGGGTGGGCAGGGCTAAATGAATATACTTTATCTCTTATAGAGCAGCACACAGACACACGATTGCTGAGGAATTCATACTGCTGTCTGCTATCAATATGGTTTCAACTATAATAGTGAAGCCTCAGCCAGCAAACCTCTATCAAACAACACTATCACAAGGAGGAGCATTGATGACATAAGACATGGAGGAGATACGTGACAACCATTTTTGTTTTTTTCCTGCAGGTGGATGAGGCAGCAGCAAAGACTCTTTGTTGATAACAGATGTAGGATTCATAGATGCTGAGGATTTAGGGAGGATCTGCTGTTCTGTGTCACCAACAGAGACACTGCAGATTAACTGTTCAGCATCACTGACACTCGAAAGAAGCTGTCTATGTGGGCATGTGCATGGACTCACAGCGTGATACAGCAAAAGGTGCTCACTTCTAAACAGTTAAGCCCTGAACTGAACAATGTAATGACAGACATTACATTACAGTAAAATAGGACCCTGTGGCAGGAGATGGGATCTGTAATACTCCACAGAGAGTCCCCATGGCTGTTATGTGGAAAGGTTTTGTACCTGGTGTTTGAGACCCTCATCACATCACCAGCAGGGGGGGAATAGTTCATCCATGTCACCTCTGATTCAACAATGAGGCTGCAGTTTACGACACTGGCAGCTTTTTGGGCTGGAATGGAAAAGAAGACCCACAGATGGGCAGGAGAGACCTAGCAACACTCCTTGATTTTGCCAAGCCCTACTTGTGTGGGATAGGTTTTTTGGCAGATCTCACACTGACTTGCAGAGAGCAAACCCACATCAGCTGTCAAAATCAAAACAGGACTAAAAGTGCAAGTCAAAGATTTTTTCCAGACAGCCTGTAAATTTTCAGTCAGTTTTGCGAACTTCTCTTATTATATTTACCTTTGTACATTAAAATGTTGGAAAGGTAGCTATTTCACTTCCAAATACTTGTTTTTTTTTCAGTTCTGTGTAACAAACTGAAGTTGTGTTCCTGTAGTTTTGCAAACTACAATGTGTAGTCATGTGGTGTGTTTAAGGATGCCTGTGTACGTGTCAGTGGAGGTCCTCGCAAAAGAGTTTGTGAGCCCTTGGTTGTAAACCGTGAGTTATGATCTGGGTAAAATAAGGTTTTGAAATCTGCTGAGAATCAGGAGTCGTCTGAGCAGTGACTATTGATTTAGATCTGTTTTGCTGGAGACCTTGAAGGTCCTGCTGGTTCTTGGACTCTGTGAGCTCAGCTGTAAAATCTCAGAACTAAGTAGCACATCCAGTGACGGCGGGAAGTTTGGAAAACTCCCTGACAGACACTGAGGATCAAGCTCATACGCTGACATGCACATATGCAAGTTAGCTGAGGGTGGTGAATATATCTAAAAACAGATCTTCATGACTGCCACTGTAAGAGAAACTTACAATTAATCCTATAAGGAAACAAGACCTAAGTCCATGAATAGACTGTAATAATAGACCTGTGGGTTCAAAGAAGCAGTGCTGGGTGGAGCTCCGTTAGCAGTTTGTGTTAGCAGCAGGTCTTTTAGAGGTCTAGCAAAACAATGACCAGATGGAAGGGAAGAAAATCTGCTGACAACACACACACTCACACACACACACACACACACACACACACACACACACACACACACACACACACACACACACACACACACACACACACACTTTTCCCAAAATATTTGTGTCTGAACAAATGTTTTTATCTCTGTCTCGAGTGAAATGATTTTACAGCCTGAGAATAACACAGCAGGGCTGAAGATTTTGATTCGCCTTTATCTGCGTTCCTCTGACGGCGGGAGTCAGAAATCCAGCTGACGGGATGTGATTACCATGAATACGAACCGCATTCATGTTACAACTGGCAGAGAGCTTCTCTCAGTACTCCATGCTGTTTAATTTCATAAGAATCAAACCTCAGCAGGTGTCAGTGACCCTGGCCCTAAACCTTTCTTTATCTTCGTCTCAGTCGTAAACTCAAACACTTAACCTTTTTTTAAGGCCTCATCAGCCAATGGGAGATGGGCATAAAATGCTTTCTCGCTGTACAGAGTTTAATCTCAGCAGCAGTATGTTGTTAAAACAACATGGGGTACCCTCCTAAACTTGGAGTAATAATGGAGAAAACTCTTCTGACACTAGTGTAACTATCTTTATAGACAAAATAAATGTAGTATAACTACAGGATTATGTCCTCCCACTGAAAACTTCACACTTTACAGAAGCTAAGACAAATAAAATGCTACAGCAGACAGAGCTCTGTTCGAACATCTTAAAGGCATGGTTGATGATTGGAGAGATTGGTAACTATTACGAACCTCGTTTGTATGGCGATCATGGTCCTATAGTGCGATCTCCACTAAGTGAAGAGAAAAAAAGAATGAAGATTAGAATGGAAAAAATCTTCACCTTAGCAGGTGCAGGGCTGCAAAAACATTGACCAATGGGAGCCATCTGTCCCGGACAGCTCCAACCATTCACCCTGCTGTATTCAACACACCCCTCTCCCGTAGTTCCGACTCATCCCCTCCCACTCTCCTGGCCCTCTTTGGAGCCCAGAGCGGCCAAAAGTAGTATAGCAGCTTAGCTACAGAAACTGTGATGGAGAAGGACGCAAAAAACACTTCTGCTTGCCCCACCGCCAAAAGTGGGAAGAAAACGCAAGCCAACAGAAGAAAGGGCAGAGTCAGTGAGGAAACGCGACCAAGCGAGGAATCTAACTCAAATGAACATCAGGTCATCCTTCGAGCGGTGCAGAAAGCCCTGCCAGGATTTGGGCCTGAAAACAGACACCGAGACAGCAGAGTTGTTGCTGAACAGGTAATTTTTGCCTTTTATTGTGGCACATGTTACATAAATAAGTCTTATTAATCTCAGCAATGTCAACATGCTAGCTGTCCAAGCAGCTGCAGATGGTGCTCGCTAGCAGAGCTGGTGTTTACTGCCGCTAGTAACTAGCAATCCAACATAGTGAATCCTATTTGAAGCTAGAATAGGATCTTCTGCCCGCCAGCTTCTTGCTCTGCCAGAGGGGTTGTGTCATGGGGAGGGCGATACAGGTTCGGGGGGGGAGTTATCGTGGAGCACAGAGGGGGAGGGGAGGTCTGTGTGTGGGGGGTTGGCATCGTCAACCATGCCTTTCAGTTCAGGCTAAATCCCCAAAACGGTGTATTTAGCACCATTTGTGCTTTTTTAAATCCTCAAGAACTTGTGCAAATTGGTATCAGAGGCATTTACTGGATTTGCACAAGACGAAATTAGGGAGATGGCCACATAGTGGAGCTGGGGGCCAACTCTCTTGTCCTGCAGCTGAGCAAGGGTCCTTAGTAAAATGGTTTAGAACAAGAACAGCTGCTAATTTCTGCAAAGTCACAGAATAAGGACGTGTTGACAAGGCAGAGATGTTAGCTTGTGTTCAGGAAGTGTGGTGTTCCTGAGGCTGAGCGAAGTGGAGAGAAGGTCATCTTTTCTATTTGGTCATAAATTATATAACAAGAACAAACCAGCTCATACCACCATGATAGGTTTTGGTGTTTATTCAAGTAAAGGGGGCACCCTGAAATAGGAGTTCTTGTACTTCAGCGTAACCCTTACTTCATTTATTCAGTTATTTCTCTGCTGTGTGGATTCATTTTCTATTAATCACATAAAATTTGTCCTTTACATGACCTAGCTCTCTAAATCTTGGATTTTCCAGTCAACATCAAACCTCCGTCTTGTGTGATGATTTCCACTGCTCGAATTTTCTTACATCATTTGTTTTTCATTAGTCATTCCTTTTCTCATGTGGTGATTTGGGAATGTTAACCACTACGATGTTGTTTCTCCTGCACTGACCCTCCAGGTCAGGCTTTAGTATCCAAGGCCAGCAGAGACTCAGACAGCTTCCTTATGTCTGCAGGGCATGTGTTGTGGATTCCTGGTTGTGGTGCAGTGTTGAACAGATGCAGGTTGGACAGCACTCTGCCCTGATATTAACTTTTACAGGGATCACAGTTTACCAAGTTTTATCTGAGTTTTATAACAAATTCACTTTTGCAGCATTGGGCTGCTCTTTCAGTGACAGGCTCACCTGAAGTGTGTGTCAGAGAGATACACATGTCCTTTCTTCCTGCTGCAGTCAGAGGGCTCTATTTTCATGCCTCAGGTAAGTCAGGTCCGCCATGCTGATAAGGCGTGCCCAAGCACACTTTGGTATTTGGTGAGTGGCGCAGCCTGGCATAAGTATCCCCCCTCGCTAACTCAGCTCCTCCCAGTGGCGAAAGTCGTAGAGGGGGAGGAGAGAGAGCATGGAGTGGGTTTAACACAGCCAAGACCTGTTTTCACCAATCACATCAGCTCCTCTCCTCACCTTTAAATCCGCCACCGGCGAGGTGTTTTACAATTTCCGAAAAGTAGTCAAAGAGATCAAGAGATGTCTGAAGACAATAATGCCACATAATGGCGACAGAAGGCAGCTCCTCAACAAGTGTCACTGTAAAGGGTGTCCTGCACACTCTCTCATATAAGCACAGATGGATGTGGTGTGCGTAAAGTTGGACCCACTTTTAAGACAAACACCCTTTTCCACAAATAAAGACACTCACATAAAGTTGCATATATTCAAACCTCATGTGACAAAGGTGGGTTGAGCGCACAGATCACAACATTAACTCCAAAAATGGCATTAAAATCGGAACCATCTGTGCGTAAATGACGCGTCGCGCTCCGTGGCCTGGCTCTTTCTTTCATAGATGTTGGCAAATAAAATAAATTTGCCTCACAAAACTGAATATTATAATATTCGTATGTAGGCTTAAAGTAAATAACTCATCTGAGCACTGAAACAAATCATCTGTTCAGCCGCTGCAGCAGGACGAAGAGAGGACACGGACACATATCCAGGTCGAGCTGCACTAGAAATAAGAGGAAGAGGAAGAAGGAAAAGGAGGGAGACAAAATAAATATTTTGTTCCGACATCATGTGTGTTTAATTACTAGATATTTAATTTAATTTAATGCGGTTTCAGCTGTGTTTATTCAGTCAGGTTGAGTGTCTAAATGCGTGCCAAATATGCTCATCAGATAAGATATAGATCAGAATATATCTATATAGATCTAAATGTATGTGCTGACTCAGATAGTTGCACTGAATGTTGGCTGTTGTTGATTTCTCATTGCACTGAAATGTGCCTGACACTGAAAACCTGCCAGTGAGGCATTGGTGACGTATGCAAAATACCACTAGACCAGCTGTGCTTCGCCTGCACTGAAAGCTGACCAGGTTTAAATCAGCAAGCTTTCAGCGCACTTTCTATGCCGCCGGCAGGCACAAAAATGTCACTGCACCCGCTGATTCTCCCGGACACCTCCCCCCTGCTGCACCACCACCGCCCTTGGCGGACCTCGGTGCGTCTCAGTCTACGAAAATACCCAACTGGCTGTGCGCCAGACGAAAATCTCAATGCGCTGGGTCCGCCACCATCCTCCGCGCCACCAGTGGGCACGAAAATAGAGCCCCCTGTCTTCCCCTTTGTCTTTGGTGGTTCATTGTTTGTTGATGTGTGTGCATGTCTTTTTTATGTGTGAATTCTTTGTCTCCTCGTGGATTTTGGAAATTATTTTTTGTTGGTTTTGATTTAGTTCCTTCTTAATAAATCGTTTTTTTTTTTTTTTATTTCATTTTGGGTCCTTTCCCTTTTGTTTTTACTCTGGCACATGACACCTAATTCTTCTTCGTTTGCTGTGCTGATCCTCTGCTGTTAACATGGCAGATTTCCCCACCGTGGGATGAACAAAGATTTATCTCATCTTATCTCGGGACAGAAAAAAAATAGAAAACAATACTGAACTGCTGATCAACAATTCCTCAGCTCCCAAAAGGCTTTAGCCCTTAAGAATGTAGTGGAAAACTACCCAGGAACACATACCTGCTGGTGGGATTAACAGCCGTATCAAAGAAATCACTTGTTTGAGTTCGACACTAAAATACAGCTAAAAAAACAGCAGTCAGCTGATGGAGGCTGAGGAGTGTCCTGGAATGGTGGAGAACAACATCTCTGTAATTAAACAACATGACAGCTGTGTCAGCCGGTTGGAAGCTGAACAGAGAACGGAGGAAAACCACAGCAGCAGTTTGGATGCAGCCTTACAGGCCTACCTGTCAATGCTGAAAGAAGAGATGTGTGAGCTTTCCAGGAAAAATGGAGACCCTCAGTGCTGGGCGCTCGTTTGTCTCCATCACTAAGTATAATTGAACAAGCACACAGAGTCCCATCTGGAAAACCAGAATGTGCCTCCTCAAGCTCTCCAGGTACAGATCTTAAACTATCAGGACAAAACAAAAATGAAGTCAATTGCAGATGAAGAGGGAAAATTCACCACATAATATTTTTCCACAACACGCCAAAGGAGAGGAAAAGAAACGCAGGAGCTAGAACAAGATCCCAGCCTTGGGTCTAGGTTATTGAAAACTACATCCGTCATTTTTTCAGGTGATGGACTAAGCAGCTTTCATCTCCTCACTTCTCCATAGGAAGTAAACACAATCTTAGACCAGATCCAGGAGAAGCTCAGAAAAAAAGGCCCCGGATTATCCGGTGAGATTACCATGAACACCAAACTGACATGAGGGATGTGCTTCAGAGTTTACAACTGAACGAGTGAATTTAGGAAAGAAGCAGCGTTTTGAGAAATGCTCTGTGATCCTGTTAATTCAGCTGTCCATGCAGAACAAGCAGGACATAATTGCTTATTCAGGCACTTTCAGAAATCTGTGACATGAGCAGTAGTGAATGTTTACTGTTATGTGACAGGTATAGACGTTACTTGCACAACGATCAGTTTCTCTATAAATGAGTGAGGAGAACTCACAGGTAGAAATTTATCATAGACTGATCCTGAACAAGGAACTGGTGACTGCATGAAGAGATGGGGATCAGTAACATGTTCCATTAAAGACTCGATTTTGCATTTTTCAAAACCCCAAAATTAAAAATGTTTAAGCTTAGCGAGTCTACTATCAAGTCTTGAGGGTAGAGAAATGCTACACTTAGAGTTACATCCATTGACTGTATATAGAACGGACGCAGTCTGCCTCCTCGCTGGGTGAAGCCACCCCGAGAACAGCACCCTCTGGTGACGGGCTGCAGTATAGGCCATAAATCCTGCCTCCTCCAGCAATCCCTATGGAGCTGTGGACAAACTTTAGAAATTTATTACACAGAATATAAATTTTCCTCCCCCCTGCTTACTATGTTGACATGTAGTTATTTTAAGACTGGTTTGTGCTCAAGTCCTCTTTTTTCTGTGAAGCTTAGCTCACTTGGGGGATATGCTGTTTGAGCCAAGTGTCATCACAGCGACTCTCCTGCTGAATGCCTACAATGCTGCTGTGCAAGTGGTGATTCCAGGGAGTAGAGAAAATCCAGGGAATACCAAGAGTAATTCGGCTTCAAATTCGTATGATGATGGAAGGCAGAGCCAGGTTGTCCACAGTACAGTCTTTGGTTAAATCCTGTCATATTTATTAAATCAGCTGTGCACGCACATTCAAGCTGTCGTATAAAGTTTAACCCTAGACTCTCAGTGATTTTGTTATGTCTGATTACACAACCCACAGTCTGTACAATATATAACTTTTCAAAATACACAAATAGGTGTTAGAGAGGAAGATGAACTAAATCCACAAACTATAAAACGTGTTAAAAAGACCTCAAAGCTCCCAAAGTTTCATCTGTGTACTAGGAAAAATCCAAGTAGACTGCAGGTGGAGGAGCACGGAAGTGTTTTACTTAAACATAGTCTTCTCGCTGCCAGGAACAGATGCAACCCAGCTGCACAGAGAGGGTGTGTGGAGGTGCAAAGACTGGAGGCAGGGACTGAAGGGAAGAGAGGAAATAACTCCTGGCGGCGGCCTAAATCAACATTTCTTTTACTAACTGGCTGCCTCTTCTCCTCCTGCAGCCTGCACACAGTCAACACACTTCTCCTTACAGGCTGGTGAAGAAGTGTGACTTACAAACTTATATCTCCTGATAAATTATTTCAGATGAAGCAGGAAGCAAAGATGATAACTTAAATGTAGTCTAAACGTTTTTTATGTCGTTTCAGAATGCTGTTAAAAGAAAAGGCTGACAAACCCTCCAACATCTTCAAGTTACAAACTCCATTTAATGTTCAAAGTGATAAACTTGATTATTTTTGTGTCATTTTTCACTCATTTTGATTTAAAAGTTGATGCTGTAATACGTACAGGGGTCATGTTTCCCACTGTGTGATGAGGCGTTCAGAGCAAACGTGAATAAAATCATTTATGCTGCATTTATTCCCATGAGTAAAAATCACACGTGAGGCCAACGCAAAGATATGTTCAGGCGTGAGTTTGTGACGTGAATGAGGCACTTGTGCAAAAAGTTCAAATCAAGGAGACTACACACCAATGACACCAACTTGTGTTGTTTTCACTGCACAGCTGCTGCTTAATAGTCATGTAAGCAAATAAGGCGAGTTGCACATCGAACACAACATAAATTCACACATTACCCATGTCACCCAACAATAACTCATGTTTAATTGCATCTTTACATTGACTTTACATGCGCATATGATCCTGTTTGTGGTTGGTGTGACTGATAGTCGTGAAGTTTTAACACGGCTAAGAAGTTTGGGAAAATAGTCCAGCGGGGGAGAAAGGTGGTAAGAAAACCCTGTTAAAGTCAGAGTTCAGACTCTCCACACCTTTGGCTCTTTTTCTTTGTTCTGCATTAAAGAAATGATAAACTGTTGCCTTTTTTTCCACTGCTTGTTTTGTGTTTACACTGCAGCCCCGTTGAGCAGCGTAAAGCACACACTATTGCAGGGCTGTCCTTCAGTTATTACATCACAGCCTCATTTTCCCACTGTGGAAGTCAACAAATACTATGTGCACTGTTGGACCTCTGCTCCAGGGAAGCCCGCTTCAAGACACCATTAAAAAAGAGAAGTTTGCAAACCAGGGAGTCAGTGAATGAATGGGGAGCTTTCACCTCTCTGACATGCAGAGTGGCATAAAGGCCAAGAAACTCTGAGCTGTGTGTAGAAGAGCAGCTCGGCAAAAGCGGAGGTTCCAGTGATGAGAATCCCTCTAGTTTAGAAAGCTGGAGAACGTTTTCTTTGGACCTGAACCAGTCGTCTGCAGCACGGTACCGTCAGGATACTGCAGAAAACTTGAATGCTCTGTCAGGCTTTACAGCGCAAACAGCACACACAGAGACACTTACACATACTCTTTACTCTAATGTTCATCTTTTGTTGGTCAAGGATTAAGAAACTGAAAAAAAAAAAAACAGATTCAGAGCAGCAGCAGGAGGGAAGATTTGTTGAGGATTATAAGAAGGACGTCTGATTTTCTCTGCTTTTTAGTAGTGCTTAATGAATTTCTCTGACATAACTGCAAAAGCAAATGTGTCATTATTTTCAGGACTATGCAGAGGAATATGAGGAAACACGTGTAATGACAGATATTGTCAGTTCAGTCAGTAGTACCAAAGACACACAAACATGTAAATATACATTCATCGCAGTTGTTTAGATGCAAAAGAAGCAGGTTATCTTCACATGACAGCAAACCTTCAACCAGAGAGAAAAACATAATTTTTAGACTTTTCATCACATCAACATTTCCTTAGCATATGCCTCACTGCGCTGTACTACACTCTCTCTGTGTGTATTTGTAAGAAAATTTCTCAGTCCCACACAGTGTAATAGACGCACTAGCCTTGAACCCCCCACCTCCTTTTCTGTCTGTATGAGCGATGCCTGTGATGCTCTACAAAGACCTGCACCACTCAGTGTGCGACTCCAGACTTCTTCATCCCTCTGCTACTTGGTAGAGTGCATAAACTGACAAGGACATAACTAGGTGTAATAACCTTGGAGTGACTTTGGCTTTATCATTGAGCAGGTTATCCCATCGTATCAGTGACTTTCCAATGTCACAGCAACACAACCCTGGGAAGAGTAGAGCCTCCATGCGTCTGCTGTCTGTGCCATAACCACAGTCTGGTTGTAACACAGGCTGGCCAACAACAACAGCAGGAGTGGACACTACCTGCCTTTAGCCTCTCTCCTCCGGCCCCTGAGCTCAGCCCCCTTCCAGCTCATGCTCGTTCCCGGAGTCAGGCAACAGTTCATTTATTCTTTATAGTTCTTTGGGTACATAAAAACAAAATATCCAATAGCCAAATCAAATGGGGATCCGTCGGCATCTATGTATGTCAACCTCATTCTAGACCACCTCTCTGGCAGGTGTCTGCCTCAGCTAATTGCGCCCGCAGCTTCAGCATCTCCTCAGCTATCGGCTGTGTGGCCAGGAATTATGTAGATCATCAGAACGCGCAAAATACTGGGAGGAGGATATGCAAAGGGAATCATTTAGTACCTGCAATGTGAAACCTGGCAAACGATTGCAGTCGCTGTTTTGTGTCTATATTTAGCACATTTGATTGGCATGTGCAAACTGAAAAATCCTTGTTTGAAGAAGGCAGGCCACACCACTTTTGCACCTGTTATCAACTGCACACACAATTTAGCATCCCTTATTTGGGATCTTAGCAGATCAGGCCCTAAATGTGTAACATTTGAGTCACATACTGACTCAAACATACATACTTTGAACCAGCACCACCACAGCTGGGGCTGGTTCAAAGCTTTCTCAAACTTTGAACTCTCTGAAAACCAGTTTACTTTTCCACGGGCAAAGGCTGCAAAAGACCCACGTCATTATGTCATGCATATTTCAGGGAATATGTCTTTAATTTCCACAGACTAGCTGCAGAGTTTACAAAGTCAAATAAACATATTGGGTCTGAGAACAGGACAGGTTTTTCCTAGCTCGGACTATTTGCATGAAAAACGTGTGATTGTCTTTTATTCAGGGCCTACACAGTGACACAGGCACAGTGATGAACATGATTGTTGATTTTCACCCAAACTCCATGCGTCACGTTTAGGCCTCTGCAAACAGCAGGACCTAAATGCTGTTGGGCTGTCAAGTTGAAGTACTGGAGTATTTGCTTTAAAGGTACTAAAGTATTCAAAGTACTCTTAAAAAATCTATAATCATTTTTGTATTTTCACAGTGTATGTGTGCAGTCAAGAATACATGGATGTACAGAATAACAGGAACTATAACAAGAACGACTAAAAACACCAGATAACAAGGAAAACAGCAGTTAACTTCCAGCTCAGAGCCCGGAGTGAGAATAGTTAGGATTCAGAAAGATATGTCAGTCCGACATTCGATTTAGTGCGATTTAATTTTGACTAATGTGTTAACATGCATTTTAAAAGTCCAGTTTTTGTTGGATTAGGACAATAAAGGGATTTTTTTGAGCTGCGTATAAACAAGTTTTTTGGCTAATATGTCATTTTATAAACGACTGAGGTGGAAGATCTCATTGACTCCTCTGGCTCTGGGCATCTATTGATTATTTTCACCATTGCTGAGACACTTGATCCCAAACATGGTGGCCTGAGCTCACTAACTGAGGGGATCACTCTTTTGTCAGAAATCTACATACTAATGAGGGGTGGGAATCACAAGTGGCACCACAATTAGATATTATTGTGGTTTTAAACATTTTGCAATACAATGAGTATGTTGTAATCTACAATTTTTCAACTGCTTAGCCGATTAGAGTGTGTGAGATGTGGCAGACCATTAAGAGGGGGAGCAAAGGAACCAGAGCCAGAGGACCAAGACCAAGAAAAGAGTGAGACCCTGCTTTAAACATCTTTTCACAGAGAGACACAGAGTCTGCCGCTTTCAGACTGACAAACAGCTATGAGGATGGATCACCCTGATCCAAGTCTGATTGCCACAGTGAAGCAGAACAGTGGACACACCTACACACCTTTACAAGAGTTCAGAAGTTTTTGTTCTTTGGACTTTTTGGACAAAAAACTGCATTTTAAGAGTTTCACTTACTATGATGAACCTCACTGTCTTACTTATGATTGGCTCCTTGAAGAGGAATCCCTGACTGCTGTGTTGTCTGTTCTGTGATTAAGAGCCTCAGTAGTGTTTCTTACTTTTGTGATGGGAAACAGTGACTGATGTCGAGCACAGGATGAGAGGTCTGGAGGACATCGCTTGAAAGCTGTACTCTGTGTTCGCAGTTTGGAGGAATGAGTTTTCAAAAATGTGTCTTAAAAACTGCACAACGAACCCACAGATCAGCTGATATATATGAGATATTTCTCACACTAAAGGTCCTTTCACACAGTGACCGTTTTTGTTGTGCGATTATTTCTGACGTTAATATTTTTTTTCGAACCCGTATCCTGTCAATAAAGCGTTCACATCAGCGTCGTTTTCCCGTCCTGCAATATTGCGGCATTTATTTTTTCGGATCATGGTCGATTTTTCTAAAGTTTTGCATACTGTGTGTCCACTACTGACCAATCAGATTGCGTGTTTTTGTGACGTCAGATTCACCGGTATATCCAACATGGCCGACCGGCTGATCGTTTACATGTTGGAGAACAGAGTGCTTTTTGATAAAAGACACAAACATTACAAAGATAACAACCTGAAGGACAACTTGTGGAGAGTCATAGCGTCAGATTTCTCATATGACAATAGTGTGTGTGCTTTAGCAGTTTGCTAAACGTCTATGTTTTAACTTTTATCTGTGCTAACTAAGGTTAGCTTGTAAGCTAACCTGTTCAGATACAACATACCATAAGTATTTTCACTGTCTCAAACTCAATTGCGTTGCTGTCACAGCACCATTAGGTCTCGGTTGTTTCTTTACGTTTATGGATTATAGTTTAATGTGCTTATCTGGTACTGGCCCTGACTCAGTACATGCTATCTTTAGTCCAGCAGAATAGTATGCTACATGCTACAGACAGCCCTCTCAACACTAGTGTCTAATCAGAACTGAAAACACTCAGTCTGGTGTTGTGTCAGTCTTCTCACTTCCACCCGGGACGCATCTTTTTTCGCAAAATCGCATCAGGCTTGATATGTATATTCAGGCTGGTCAAAATTCGCCTCTGAATATTTGGTAATTTTGTGTTCTACATTCGTGTCGACCCCGGTGTGTAAGGACCTTAAGCATGTCAGTATTTGTTGAATACTTTTCGATACCAAAAGCTTAAAAGGATCAATATGTTTTTTTGTTTTTTTATATTTAGTGGTACTGTAAAGTTTGCCACAGTCAAAGATTGCCCACCACTAGTTGTCTTTGCCACATCTCTCTGCACACTCGTTTGTTATTAAGCTACAGTAATACAGTAATGTGGGAGAAATATGCTGCAGCATTCATGGGTTCACCAAAAACACCTGCTGCTCTTCATATGTAAAACCAACGTCCAGGTGTTCTTTAGTGTTTCCTCCCCAAACTGATCATTTGTCTACTGTAACTCTGCTCTTTAACTAGTCAGTATGCACCACTCCTACCACACACACACACACACACACACACACACACACACACACACACACACACACACACACACACACACACACACACAGCTGTCTCCTCAGTACTAAGATACAGTCCAGGCATGAATACCTTCCACTGCATTGTTGTCATTGCACAAGTCTAATCCCCAATTCACTGACCTGTCCACACTTGCACAACTAAAACACACACCCACACACGCAAACACACACGTTCGCACACACAAAGAAGTGTCATGTGAGTTTCAATGTGTTTAAAATGCCATTATTAAGAGCTTACTCTCCAGTCAGTACATGCTGGGATATGTTTAAGACGTCCTGTAAAAGGAGGGATGGAGGGACAGTGTAGTATATTTGTGTGAGTGTGTATGTGGCACACATCAGGGTGTTACCTTTGTTACTTGTGTGACAGTCAGACCTGATAGTATGACTGTGAGAGAAACTGTTAAAGTGAAACACTTGAGTTGTTTTGGTAGAGGCTGTCTTTGTCTGCCCTTGGACACAGATTCCTGCTGTGTTATGAGGGTTTACAGTTACAGTGAGTCAGCTCAAAGTTCAGTTCACAGTTTAAAACCAACCGTTTCATTGTGATTCAGCTGCACTGACATCATCCATGAGCAGAGATTCACATACTTCAATCCTCAGTCACTGACATTTCTGCAAATAAGGGTTTTGAAATCCTCCTGTTTACAGTCATAGATGGAAGATAATTTTCAAAACCAAAAAAACACTGGTGTGTTTTATCATTTGGTGGAATAAGTTTTTAATTAAACTAAAGGTTTTAATGTTTTCCGAGCAAAAGCCTGGGGGGAAAATCTGAAACCTCTGATCAGTCTACTATGACCTGCAGATAGAAAGGCCTTATAAATGAAAAATCTGCACTTTGTTGCCATATATTCTCAGCTTTGGCACATGCTGCCCTCTGTGACAAGCTTTGGACAACGGTTTTCTCTCTGTACCTTCATTGCAACATCATTGATTTGGTAGCATCTGGACACAACATCGCTGCCAAATGTGCAGGTTTTTGTATCTGGAATGTGATTTTTATTACACTTGAGGTGAGGCCTGGTGTCAACCCTGTGCTCTGTGGACCATCAACTGCACCCCAGGGGACCCATCTGTCAGACTCCTGAAGTTTGGAGACGACACCACAGTCATCAGTCTCATCCGAGATGGTGATGAGTCTGCATACAGACAGAAGTTGGATCAACTGGTCCTCTGATGCAGTCAGAACCATCTGGAGCTGAACTCCCTCAAGACTGTGGAGATGACAGTGGACTTCACGAGGGGCCCTCCTGTGCTCACCCCCCTCACAATCCTTAACAACACAGTGTCTACTGTGGACTTTTCCTGGTATCCACTATCTCCAGAGACCTGAAGTGGACCATCCACAGAGTATCAGGGAAAAGGCTCAGCAGAGGTTGTACTTCTTGCAACATCAGGATGTTCAACCTACCGCAGGAACTGCATCACAGGAGACTGTAAACCAAAGTCTGTTACTGTAGTGATGCGAGATTCAACAATCACACTGGAGCCTTTCTTTTTTTTTGGCGGTAACATTATTAGTAGAGTCACCAAATGGGGCACATAGGCACCCACTGGAGCCTTCAAACATTTGTAGGTGTGGATGGTGGCCGTGGCTTTACAATCAGTTTGCCACGCCCACTAATTTTCACAAATCCAGCCACTTCACTGCCATTTCTTAAGAAAAATGTGCTTTCATGGGCTTATGCATCAAGTCTGCATATATAAATAGTCTTTACAGCAGCTCAACACTCACCCCATGTGCACCAAACACTGACACACGTATACATGTAAGAGGTCATGAAGTTTCAGGGGGCTGTTTCTTCTGTATTCTTTGGTTTGGGCCGTTGGAGTCCTTGGTAAAGCTCTAGTTATTGTCTAAGATGTCTAAGGTCTGCTTTACACTGCTCTTTTTGTTTTCCTTATTATTGATTGAGACAGCATCCTTTGGCCCCTCTGAATTATTTCTTTAGGTTTTGTATTGCTACAAATAGTAAGCATTTATAAAACCATGAGTACATCATGCATACAATTTTTCTTTTACAAATCACTGTCCACCTGTGATTTTGCTCACATCGATCCATATCACATCTGTCCATATTCCCATAAACAATCCATGCAAATCACCTTATGAATAAAAATGCATATGAATAAGTTGGCAGTTCACAGGTTCTGCTCATTGACCCATGACCACAGAGACAGAAAGTGGGCTGAAATCAGGGTGCTTGAAGGGATTTGGAGGTTAGAGTATGTGGTTTGTTTCTGTTTCAGCAGATGGGTCTTAAAATATTGTAACAGTAATAATGTGATCATGATAGTGTTGTTGTAGCATGCAGTCCTTGCAGGCAGACTTGTCAGGACATCCATGATTCATGCAGCTGTTGCCCAGTAACCTTTAAGAAAACCAAAACGGCACACTTAGTGATATTGCTCTGTATTAGAGCAGTATCTCCCTGGTTCTCCAACCTTAACCCCTCATTGGTCTGAGCTGCTGCTGCTGAAGTTAAAGTAAGAGCTGTTTGAGTAGAGGGTCCATGCCCACGCGCTGCATCCATGAAGGCCCCATCTTACAGTTTTCAGGACTTACAGGATCTGCTCCTACGGTGTTGGTGCCAGGTACCACAGGACACCTTTAGGGGGTCTAATGGAGTCAATGTCTTGTCTTGTCAGGACTGTTGAAGAGGGTCCTACACAATAGTATTTATGTAGATGATCATAATGTCATGGCTGATTAGTATATGCCTTTCTTTTTGTATGAAAATGGCTCACGACAGATATGTACAAATGAAATGAACTGTTGGTACTGCTTATACTGACATGGATCTGTTCGCCTATTGGAATTCACACACACACACACACACACACTCCCCCCCCCTAAAAATGTGGTCAGTAGTCATGGGTTTGCTTACCAGTGTGCCCATTTTCCTGTCTGGTTTGATTTTATAGATCACAGACTATCATGGAAAGTTGCATAAGCCAGTTTAAGGCCCGGTTTTGTTTTTGCAGAATATTTATAAATAAGACACCAGAACTAACGGGCAAGACAAAGGGGGGAGATAAATAGAGAGACAGTCGATCCTCTTTTAGCAAACCCCCCCCAGTGCTGTTCAGTTTCCACTCACAGAGTCAGCTGATGGAAATACACGTCAACAGAAAGCCTCAGAGGAAAAAAAAACATTAACTAATACCAATGAAAGTGACTTTCCCAGGTTCTATTTATATTTACATATTTATTTGTCACAGATAGATTATGAAGTCAATGAGGGGAATGGAGTCCAAGTCTGGTAAATACACAAGTGCAAGTATTTTGGCAGTTCAAACAGTTCAATGCAAAATAAGGAAAACCAGTTGAAGTTTAAATAGACTGTCTGTTTCTAACTACTCTGAGCTCTTTTAAATCACGTCACATTCACCCATTGCATGCATGCAAGAAAATGTCATGTTAGTTTGACAGTTTAATCTCTCATCACTCAAAGAGTCCATCAGAACTTGTTTGGAGGGACAAAACTGATGGCCACACAGACACTAACATGCAAGAAAAGTGGGTGAAGAATTTGTCAGACAGGGTTCTCACTCAGCCGGAAAAGGAAGTCCTTTACAAAGGACTAAATTTTGCAGTTACCCCAGAACAGATCCCAGTGGTAGACCTTATCACAGCCATGGAGTCAGCTATCCGCAACAACAATCTGGCGGTCACGGAGGCAGAGCAACTTAGGTTGAAGGTAACAGCTGCTCTTTCGAATGCCAAAACACTTCTTTCCAACCTGACCATGCAGGAAAGAAGAGCCTTGGCATCACTGCAAAAAGATGAAAACATCACCATCCTGCCTGCAGATAAGGGGAGATGCACTGTTGTACTCAACACTAGGGATTACCATGACAAGGTAACAAGCCTTCTCAGTGACGCTGCCACCTATGAAACTCTAAAACGGGATCCCACCAACAGCTACAAAAAGAAAGTTATCAGCGTACTTCAACAGCTGGAAAAGGATGGAGTTATCGACCGCCCACTCTATTACCGGCTATACCAAGGGGGGCGCTGTTCCGTGCATTTATGGATTACCTAAAATACACAAGGAAGGGGCCCCCCTTAGACCCATCAGCAGCAGCATTAACTCGGTCACCTACAAAGTGGCAAAACATTTGGCCACCATCCTAGCTCCTCTTGTCGGCCACACCACTCACCACGTCAAAAACTCACAGGACTTTCCTGAGAAAATCAAGGACACCAGACTCGACCCAGATGAAACCATGGTTTCCTACGATGTCACATCACTTTTCGCCTGTCGGAAAAACTCAAGGGGATCTTTGGCAAACACCACATTCCTGTTCATTTCAAGCCTGGTAACACACTAAGGCAGAGGCTAGTCCGTCCCAAGGACAAAACACAGAGACATAAACAGAGTAATGTGGTGTATGCTCAGACCTGTACATTGGGGAAACTAAACAACCGCTTCACAAGCGCATGGCTCAACACAGGAGAGCCACTTCCTCAGGTCAGGACTCAGCTGTCCACCTTCACTTGAAGGACACGGGTCACTCTTTCGAGGACAGCAATTTAGGTGTTGGTGAGAGAAGACAGATGGTTTGAAAGAGGAGTTAAAGAAGCCATCTTTACCAGACTGGAGAAACCTTCTCTGAACAGAAGGGGTGGACTCAGGCACAATCTCTCTGGCACTTACAATGAGATTCTCAGCTCTTTCCCCAGGAAGCTCCACAAACATTCACACCTGGGACCACATTACCCAGATTGCATGAGTCATATGGTCACATGACAGGGGTCATTAACAACCCTTTCAGGTTAACGACTTTAGGGGGGAACACCCAGAGATGGGTTTCTACGACCCATTCTTTCCAACTCCTCCCAGTCGTTGTCTGTCCCCTTTCTCCAGTAAGATAAATATCTGCTCCTCACACTAGCAATTTTAGAACTGAAGAAGCTTCTTGGATAAGAGGCGAAACGTCTTCTCAACTCTACACAGTCCAGTTGCCTGTTCTAAGTCTTCAAGATAACCATGACCTGGATGAATGAGAATCTACACGGACATATTGGACACTCAGAATTAAACAAAATCATAGGTGAAAGACTAAACTCATACAAACAGCAGTAGAGACGCAGCAAGAAGAAGTAGTGTCAGTGTGTTTACTTTAAAGCAGCCGAGAGCAGGAGCAATGTTGATTTCTGTTAGAGTTATGAATAAAAGCATAAAAAAAAATAAACTTCCCCCAGCGTCCGCTTGTGTACTCGGCTGCAACAACTGCCATGGAAGGAGTGGGCATGCTTGGAGGGATTTTCCTTTTCTGTGCCGCGTTTTTCTCATATTCAGTACGGCAATCAAGATGTTTGGATTTCAGGTGATAAATTTAACTGATTGATAGTTGACCCTCAGATCTAGGTGAGAGTTGGACTCCGCCTGGGCTGCCCTTTGTCACCGGTTCTGTTTGTAACCTTTATGGACAAAATTTCTAGGTGCAGCCAGGGGGTGGAGGGTGTCCAGTTCAGCAGGCAGAGGACTGCGTCGCTGCTTTTTGCGAGTGATGTGGTACTTCTAGCTTTGTCGAGCAGTGACCTTCAGCTCTTGCTGGGGCGGTTCGCGGCCAAGTGTGAAGCGGCTGGGATGCGAATCAGCACCTCCAAGTCCGAGGCCATAGTCCTCAGTCCGAAAAAGGTAGATTGCTTTCTCCAGGTTGGAGGGGCGGTCCTGCCTCAAGTGGAGGAGTTCAAGTATCTCAGGATCTTGTTTACAAGTGAGGGTAGGATGGAGCGGGAGATCGACAGGCAGATCGGAGCAGCGTCCGCAGTGATGCGGATGCTTAACCGATCAGTCGTGGTGAAGAAAGAGCTGAGCTGTAAAGTGAGACTCTTGATTTACCCGTCGATCTACGTGCCGACTCTCACCTATGGCCATGAACTTTGGGTAATGACCGAAAGGACAAGATCGCGGCTGAAAGTGGCTGAAATTGGTTTCCTTCGCAGGGTGGCCAGGCTCAGCCTTAGAGATAGGGTAAGGAGCTCGGACACTCAGGAGGCGCTCAGAGAAGAACCACTGCTCCTCCACGTCGAGAGGAGTGAGCTGAGGTGGCGCGGGCATCTGGTTAGGATGCCTTCTGGACGCCTCCCGTTAGAGGTGTTCCAGACATGTCCCACCAGGAGAAGACCTTGTGGCTGGCCCAGGACCAGGTGGAGGGGTTATATCTCTCGCCTGGCCTGGTAGCACCTGTGAATCCCCCCGGAGGAGCTGGTGGAAGTTGCTGGGGTGAGGGCCGTCTGGGCTTCCCTCCTGAAGCTGCTGCCCCCGCAACCCGGACCCGGATGAAGCGGAAGAAAACAACGACGAAATTTAACCTGATGTGAAGAAGCCAATGCACCCCCTCTTGAAATTTTAGCATTACTATGCAAATTGCTATCTGTAGTTCTTAGATACATTGAAATACGTCCACAGAGCAGGCATTGGCCCTTATCCAGACAAACGTACGCTGGCTGCAGTTTTGGCCGTGTTGTCTCAGTGACAAAGGACTTTCAGCCAAAAACCGAAATTGCACTTTTGAGCCATTCTCGGCCAAAGATTTTTGGTGGCCAAATTTACGGTACATCCCTAATTTTCATCTCCTAAAAACTCTGCATTAGCACATGAACACACCTGTGGAGTATGCTAAACTACACCTGACTTTACCAGCCATCCTTCTATAACAGCATAGGTCTGAGATTCTCAGACCCATCTTAAACCCCTCAAAATTTTAATGTTCTAATTACCTGTATTTGAATAATGTCTTTACTCATGTCAATTCAGTAAAGGATGGTTAGGACCAACACTTTTGCCTAGAATTATACTTAGATCATCCAGTCTTAACAGTTTTTAATTTGCCAGAAGCATAGCAGAACCGTGCTGAACCAGAACACATCTGGGAGGAGAGTCTGATTCCAACATTCCTGAAGAAAATGGTCTGAAGAATTTCCTGGCTGTGGGAGACCAAGAACAGTTATGTAAGGGTTAACTTTGATGAATATTCAGGAACATAAGAGACAGATTTCAAAGACAGAGACAAACAGACAGCTGGGTTTCATCCTCCTCAATCACTTTTCCTGACCCTCTATCTGTGCTCTTTAATTCAATCTCATTGTTTTAAATTCTCTTCATCCAAAGTAAAGAGTCTCATTTCAGGTCAATGTAGAACCTTTTCCAACAAAGGCAGGTCAACCATCCCTGCACTTATTCCTCCAGATAAAACTGTGCAGATTCAGCCCGGGGTTCGAGTCACATGTCCAGTGTATCAAGACTGGACCTGGTTGGACTCGATTTCAGCCTCTCCCATGTCACTCCCCCCGCCTTATCCAAAACAACCAGGTCAGTTACTATCACTAATAAGCCCCATCTCACCATAAAAACATTCAACAGTTAAGAGAAAGATCTTTATTCATAATTTCAATATGTTGCCATATTTTGTGATTTTTTCTGTTGTGTCTTCTTATTTGTATTGTCTTTTCTCATTTGTGTTTTTTACTTCAGGGTCACTGTTATAAGCTTAATGTGGGAAAGATGTATTCATGCTTACAGCTCCTTTTACACATGCACAAATTCGCTGAAAATTTCCTGAAATTGCCCTGGTGAACTGTATGTGTGAACATAAACAGCCAAGTTTTTCACCTCGACTTCACCACGAGTGTTTCCTGGTATCACATCAGGACTGAGTCTGAGTGAGCTCATGTGAGAACACAGAAGCAAATCTTCTGTAAAATTCACTATGTGCATGTGACAGGTTAAACCTAAGTAGTATCAGGGACAGATCTGGGTCAGACCCAGATGTATGACAAGTCTATGACATCTACATTTGTAGTATTTGCCTGTATTTTAACTGTTAGTTTTTGGTCAGAGGCTTCTCATGTTCATGTGCACAAAACCAACCTGATCTATTAGGAACGTCTGCAGGGGTTTCATTTTGTTTGGCTGCACATTTCCTCTCAACAACAAGAGTGTGATGATACATTTTATCAATGTGTGTCCACAGTGAGCACAGGTCGTGTCTTTCTTTGGGCAAGATTTTACTCCTGACATCTCAGCTGGAATGATCCTGTACTAAACAGTCCTTCAGAGGGAGAAGAGTTTTAAAGATCCCACGCTTAAGGCCAGGTGCTGTAAATCTTCTCCACCATCCAAAAACGAATTCACCCATGAATTTACCAGTGTCTAAAAGCTGCTACAACCCAGATCTCTTCTTGGCAGTTTACTCTCTGACTATACAGTATATTGCCATTGTGTATAGTCATTATATAGTCTGATGCAGCAAATAGATAGAAGGTCTGAGCAGAGAGAAAGAGACAGAGGAAAAACCACATGTTAATTGATACTAAGAACCCAATGTCCTCTTCAAGTCAACTGTGGTAATTGGCTTCTGGCCCAATCACCCACTGTGTTAGCTCTCTGCTGGTCCTTTACTCATATCATAAATGTGTGAGGGGAAACTCTGCTCAAGACTTTCAGAAAAGGCTCCTTATTTGCCTTTGAGACAATCCATACTACACAACAGCAGGGTAGAAGCTGCCAGCTGGCAGGAACAGTGTGCACAAAACACCATAACACCATAACTGGCCTGGTGTACAAAAACAACTGTGCTGACCATCAGCTGGAAGTCTCAAGGTCAAAATAGGTCAGACTGGACTACCAAAGGACCCCCAAAGGTGGTTGGGTGGTAAGGTGATTGGGTTCACGGACCGACAAACCGGTGACAGCCAACCAATCACATATAGTAGTGGTGGACAAACAGCAGAAGGTGGGGGTGATAGAGGTAAAAATCACAAGTAACAGCAAGTGTAATTAGAAAAAAGGAACATGACAAGAACTGAAAGATCAAGAAATACCAAGGACTGAAAGAGGAGCTCGAAAAGGTGTAGAAAGTGATGGAAACGATTGTCCCCCTGGTAATCACTCACTGCTGTGACCCCAGCCTTGGAGAGTAGTCCGAGCAGATTCCTGGCACATCATCTGAGATCTCTATCCAGAGTGTAGGAGCAGCCAAAATAACCATGCAGGACCCTCAAGCTCACAGGCCTCTGAAGCTTGAAGGAAGAAAAAGAGGCGAGTAGGAATGTGTATGGAGAACCAATCATTTCAAGTGCCGGTACATGATTGTTGTCAGGAAAATGCTATGAGGCCTGTAGACATACTCTGCTTCTATCTGTATTGTATGTTAATGCGTATGCACTCTGTCAACAAAGTGTAAATGTCTTTACCTTCCCCAGGAGTTTTGATCGATATTAGCCAAAAGACAAGAAGAAAACTGCAGATGAGTGACCATCATCATGGGCAGCTCCAGAAAATACCTCAAAACACATCTGCACAGTGAGCATCAAATGTTTCCAATATGCAGATGGACTTGAAGAATGATGATGAAGCAATAACACAGCCCTACCTGTAGGTATCCCATCACCTCTGTCCAAGAATGAGAAATGATGAGGGTTATAGCAAAACCCAGCACACAGCAATAACATCTACAGACTCAATGTTTGATTAAGCATCCTTAGTGGGAGGGTGGGTGGATGGATGAATCTGGTTCAAAGATCCCGTGGTAGCATGACAGTAACAGATGTAGTGTAGTAGAGCCTCAATCAACCAGGTAAAGCTCTCCAAAGTTCTTGAATCAACTTTTACTGAAGCTCAAAGTGAAATATTAAAAGGGTGGTATTATGGTTTTCCACATAATGCACATACAGTGTATAATGTCTATTGGGGTAACGTTGCTCTGCTGTTTAACTGATCAACTACAACTGAGGGAGCAGGACCAAGACATCAAGTTCTGTCCTCAGCCAGCTTCCGGAGAGGTGATCAATCAGAAGAAAGAAGGCTTGTGGAGGGGGGGCTTAAAGAGACAGCAGGCTGAAATGACATTTTAATACACCAGAGTGAGAAATTTGAGGCTATTTTTAAAATCTGAAAATAAAATAAAGCTATTAAAGATGTATCAGAGGGAAAGTATGGCGTCTAAAATAAAGCATAATACCCCCCCTTAAAAACTCCTGATTTTTCAGGTTTGGGCTTGTACCATAAAATACCAATACTGATTGTAGTTTTGTTTGTATTGAAATGACTTGTGGAGATAAGGAGCTTTCTCATGTTGTTGTTATTGTTTAAATGCATCTGTAGCCCAAACATGGCCTAATCATGTCGGGAGGCGTGATAGAGGAAAATGGTTGCATGACTAAATACCATTTTATAGAGTCAGTAATAGCCTATTTGCCACTTTTGGAAATCCACAGGAAATGGCTTTTCGATCAGCAGCAGTTTCAATCCAGAGCAGTAAGAACAGATGGAGCACAGCTGATCAAGATGTGTTCAAGGCCTTAAAAAGAACAGGAATGTTAACCTCTTAAAGATGGAAGTATGTGCACCGTGAAACTAAACCAACACCAATTCTTGCAAAAGTTTTAAGAACTGCAGCAGAGGTGTGCATTTCCTCTTCTTAGGATGATCCGGTCCACTTTAAGCCTTGATGGCTACAATCTGATTCAGGAATGGTCCATTGACAGTCAATGATTTAGTGCTATTTCATTCAGTTTGGTTATATATAAATCTTCACTCCCAACAACCTTAACTTGGGGTTAAAAAATGGGTGATCGAGATCATGATGACCGCAGACTCTGCAGAGGTAAGACTGGGAACAGTGTTCAGTTTTGACTGCATGTAACATGAGTATGGTAGCACGGGCTTTGTCATGGTCCTCTTGGGAGGCATTTGTTTTAGAGCCCATCGTACATCCACCTTTGTATGAAGTCCACATGACTTGTTCTGAGAGGTGGAGACTGTAACTCACTTTGCTGATCTCTGGCATTATTTTCTCTCAGTTAGGCCAACTGCTGCTTACTGCTAAGCTAACATTACTGTCGTTGATGGGGAAAGGTCAAATTCTGAGTTTCTCTTGATAAAAAAAAGTTGAGCTTAGACTGAGCAGACCCTCAGTAAACTAGATCAGGACTGTGATGTCAGGCAACTAAGCCATGTGCAAATTGTTTTTAACAATCCAGGGAGCTGTCCATCAGTGCACGAAATCTTTAATCTTACCACGCATTTTCACATTTACAACAAAAACTGCAAAGTTACAAAGCTTAATGTCCATGCTATATGTATGCAAAGTTTCAAATCATGAAGTAAACTTATTTTGTCATAATCATAATCTTGTCACAAATAAGCAGAAATGCAAGACTATAGTTAGGGTGCAAGATTTGCTAAAATTCTTACATAGGAATTATAGACTCTCCTTACTGGTTCATCTGAGCTTCCGGCAAACAGCCTGCCTCCAACAGTGTGTGAGGTGACACCCACAGCGGAGCGGGGTACCAATACACTAATTATACACACAATAAATAGCAGAGCACCTAAACAGATGGAGGACTCTTACTCTGACTTCACACATTGGGAAACAGCTCACTTTATGTTTTTAACCCAAACATCTTGTCCTTCAACGTCATTGCATGACCACCACTGTCCAGACTGAAAACTTGTTCCTGATACCTCTTTAAGCCTCAATCTTAAGCCTCATTTTGTTACCCACTGCTGCAGTACTCTTAATTCTTAACACCACCAGCCAACACTGTCACCTCAAAGCGGAAAAAGAAACAAACAGGAAGCAGCACACAGCCACATAATGTTTGGAGGGGAGCATATAATTTCATCAAAGTCCCAGCTGATCCACACAGGGGTGCTGTTCAAACCAGGAATGAATTGTGTTGTTTAAAGGGGACAAAGTGGTGGTGACATAATAAGATAAAGTGGAAAAATGTGTAGCATTAGATCAAAACTATCTCTCATCATCACATGATCAAAATAATCAGTAGAAACAGCAACACATATAAATCCTACACAGGACATCTGCAGAGTCATTTTGCTATTTGACATTCATGTTTATTATTGTTTGACAGAAAGCCTTCAAGAGTTGTACAATTGATAGTGATGTTTTATGGAGACACCTTTGACTGGAAAACCAATTACATTTATTATTTACAGTAGAAATGTATCGAAATACTACTCCTTTAGATCTGTATGGAACCCTGGTCTACAAGAACAACACTCCCGGTAAGAACCATCTCTGCATTTATTACAGAATAAAGTCCACTACAACCTGCTGGAAGAAGCCTGAAGTGCATTTGCATGGTTCATCCATAGTTACACATCATCAGGAAGCTGCTACTGAACAGTGCGCACCATTCAGACTGCAGACAGACCTGCAGACATACCTAGAGATAAACCTGCAGACAAACCTGCACACAAACAACCTGCAGACAGACCTGCAGACAGTCCTGCAGGCTGATGCTGAAATCAAGCTAGAATGTGCCGATCTGGATCTGATCCACTCTCAGAAAAGCATAGTTTAACGTCTTAGTTCAAATTCACAACCTTCAATACTTGAGTTATTTTTAGACCCGTCAGTCTATACACGTGGCTCTCCTCAGTCTATAAAGCAGAGTTCTAGCAGCATCTTGTGGTGGGCTACTGCACAACACCGGTGCTACCCTTACTGTTTTTGGGGGAAATTGCGCTTCTCAGCAAATCATACCCAAAGATATGCTTTATCATTTACTCCGGCTTTCCAGCGTCCAGTTTCAGGCTGCAAGCAGACTGAACCATGAGCTGGAAACAGGCCGAGTTAGAAGGGCGCAAGTGAACAGGAGCACACTGTTTTCGCCACCGGAGTCGTGACAGGTCACTTTGCGTGCGTGCAACCCTCACGGTCGCAACACACACGTTGAACGGATCAACAACGGCGACCCTCTTCAATCCGTTTGAAGGATATGAAGCGAAATCCGCCTCACACACAGCTGCCCTCACCGCCGGCGCACAGTGGGGTTCAGAAACACAGGTCCTTCCCTGCACACCTGTGGCTCAGAGTGGTCAAAAATTCAACCTACAATACCCGGTTCAGAGGCACAACAGCATCAACAAACACAAGTGATACCCACGCCCAAAAAAATAAAAAACAACAACGGAGACCTACCGAGCTGTAGCGTAAAATCCACGTCTGGTCCCGGTGCTGGTGGGGCGCGCAGCTCTGAGATGGTATTGATGGTGCGAAGTGCTGGTTATTTATCTGCCGGTATATGCGCACACAGATCCTGCTGATCCATGACCAGAGCGCTCGGTGCAGCGCCGCCTCCATCTGCTTCATCTGGAGGAAAAAACACGCCCACTGCGCGCGCGCGTGTTTCTGTGTATGATAACTTGATCATTAAGAAAAAGAAGAAGAAACACGGTAGGGGTCTGATTCACTGCATCAAAGTCACAACACTGAAGGACAAATAATCAAATCAAATCAGTCCTAAATACACAGGAAAAATCAAAGCAGAGAGTTCAAAGCGGGAAAATGAGTTTTTGTCACAGTCTGATGTGTGAAGAATATTTTACAGTCTTCAGTCCTCCCTGCTGGATCCTCAAAGTTTCTCACCACCGGCTCCAAATGCTATTCTAAGCTTTCCTCAGACTACCAGGGGTATATTGTGGTTAGTAAATCAGAACTACTCTAAATCTGGTTGACCTAAAAACAGTTTTCCTTTAATGTTTTATTTCATCATCACATTTACAACCTTTGTGGCTTTTGAACCTCAGCTCAGCGAGGCAGAGAAAGGGGTCAGAGCCATGACTAAACTGTCAGGAAAAGCCTCTAGTTGTGGTCTGGTGTTTTGTGGATGGATCCACCCATCCACTCAGAGACCTGAGTCCCACATAGCATGGGAGTGTGTGCGTGTGTGTGTGTGTGTGTGGGGGGGACTCTTGATCACCTTTCATACCACAGTGACCCACTGAAGCATTGAAAGAGTATTAGTGTGTGTTGTGCTTGCCTCAAACAGAACTAAGCCTCCTCTGAAAGGGTCTGCTTTGCTTCAGAAAGAGTGTGCTTATGTTCCAGTGTGTCCCTTTTTATTGAGGTTTCCTCTGCCAGGAGACTCGTGCATCTTTGTTTTTCAACATGAGCTGCAAACAAACTACCCCAAAATATCCTTGGTATGTGCTTTGCAGGAGTCATGTGATCATCCTCCCTCAGTGAACTTTGTTGTTTTATGATAATGTTACCAGAATTCTGTGGCGCCAGACGGACAAGACTCATAATCACTACGGCTGCTAGTGAGAGCTGTCAAACCTAAACCAACAGTGCATTTTGGGGGATTTGTTGAAATCACGGTTGCTGGTCTGAGGACCATATATCATAGTGATTCAAAAAGTCCTCAAATACTCTCTGTCATAACTCTCACCGTCTCAAACATAGACACAGACTACCCTTCAGCTTTCAGCTGACTCCAACATAAACCCATCTGCAGCAGAGTCAGAGTCTCTCTGTGAGGTAAAAAAGTGTAAAGGTCTGTCTGCCAGTTGAGGTTATGGATTGAGTAAAAACACAGCAGTATGTGAGACCTGTGGCAAACCAGCAGACAGGAAGTTACTCTGCATTATCACTTTACTTTGTGTGTCTCAGCAGTTATCCAGATAACTGTGCATTAAAATGACTAACAGATCATGCTCTGCATCTGTAAGACAGGAAGGAAAGAAAGACTCAGTGGGTGACTTTGGTTTAAAAGAAATACCAGACAAGAAATAAACAAAAGTAAAAATTAATTACAAAGACAATGCAAAACCAAAGTTCATCAAGCCGTTAACTCCTTCTCATTAACACATTGAATCCAGAACCACACACACAAAAAAAATGCTGGGTTGTTTTTTCAACCCAACCACTAGGTTGAGCCTGTTGGTCAATTTATTTGGGTTATTTTCATGGAGTTGGGTATTCTGAGTACCCAGTTCGCAAGGTTATTTATGTTGGGAACAGAGTTATTCGCTGTTGGGTTGTAATTTCTATACAGTATTGTTGGTTTATTGTGGACTACCCAACACATTGGGTAGAGGTTCGGGCATTTGAAACCAAGCACCACCCACTCACTAGATCAGGGGTGGGCAATCATGTGCCATGGAGGACCGAGAGCCCGGAAGTTTTTCTTTCCAACCCAAAACTCCACCAGGTGATTTCACTGATTACCTTACCTCCAAGCAGAGAGCAGGGACTAATCAGTGAAATCACCTGGTGGAGTTTTGGGTTGGAAAGAAAACCTGCAGCCTCTCGGCCCTCCATGGCACATGATTGCCCACCCCTGCACTAGATTGATGCCACAACTGCTGAAGCGAGGAGACGTACAAAGCAAAGTTTGTTACATTCCCACTATTTCTTTGCTGTACAGATGACTTGATCTTATTATGTAGACCATAATTTTGTTGTTAAGATGTAAGTGTACCAGCTTCGGCCTTCAGAAATCGATTGGTAGGTGAGCAAGCTAAATGTTAGCCAACGTTAGTAGCACCAAGTACATTGTCTCAAACGTAACAAGCTAACACATTAGCTGATGTGTGGTGTGGTGTGGTGTGGTCAGAAATGTTGAACTACTACTATAATGGACTGTTTCAGGTTGATACTAACAATCAATAGATGACTTTGTGACGTGGAGTGGAGTGGAGTGGACTGGAGTGGATGCAGAATACAACCTCCTGTTCTGTATTGTTTATTTTGAAAAGATAAGAAAACCATATTAAAAAAAACTGCCAAATGTTTACAAACTCCAAAGTTCATTCTCCATCAGTAAAATGGAAAGGAAGCTGTTAAGGGGTGGCAGTAGCTCAGGCAGTAGAGCAGTCATCCAATAACTGAAAGGTTGGTGGTTCAAATCCCCCTATCCTGAGTCTGTCCATTGTGTCCTTGGGCAAGACACTTAACCCACCTTGCTCCCAGTGTGTGAACTCCACTGGTGTATGATTGTGAGTGTTGTGTGGTGGTGGTTGCAGAGGCTGTAGGCGCAAACTGGCAACCATCAGTCTGCCCCAGGGCGGCTGTGACTACTAAGGTAGTTTGCCATCAACCAAGGTGTGACTGTGTGAGCGAACAAATAAAGTCTCCAATGTAAAGTGCTTTGAGGGTCTCTGATAAAGTGCTATATGAAATCTGATGCTTTAATGTAATTTAATATTATATTAAATATTAACAACCCAACATGCTGGGTTTAAAGAACCCAGCAGAATAGTTACTGTGAACCCTTATTTGGGTTATATAAACAACCCAATTGTTGGGTTTAGTGAACCAACCCAATTAGTTGGGTAAAATAAACCCAGCCTGTGTTCTGTCCAATATTAAATCAGCACTGGGTTGGGAAACTACCCAAATTGGGTTGTTTTCAACCCAATGTTTTTAAGAGTGCACAAACTGTTGTGCTTGTACATAGCTTATTTCTTAAACATTCTTAGTAAATGGCTGTATTTCTAATATCCTCCACCCTTTTACTAACTGTTGCAGTTTCTTATGAACAGGAGTCTGAGAAAAAAGGACTATTGCATAAAAGGGGCAGTGCAGTTTCCAGAAAGCACAAACCTTGAATCCCGTTACTTACAGTATTGAGTTTCCTAGAACTTGGTGTTCAAATTCCACAAATAAACAGAGTTCTGATTATTCTAAAAATACCAGTCCAGTCAGTCTCCAGTCAAAGCTGAACAGACTGCCAGTTTTTTTTTTCCACAGGAAATAGAGAGTATGCCCATAGTCTTCCATGTTAATGCAATTATCCGCCTGGCTTACAAAAGTCCAAGACCTGTTAACAGAGACTGCTGTACTTCACCTGCTCTGTGTGAGGTAAGTCCACATAATCACTTATTTTATTGATGAAAACCTAAAGACCCACTTCAATGAAAATCATGTTTTTCTTGTAGTCTACATGTTCATATGGCATTTCTCTGAAGCTACAGGACATATCATGAGAAAAATAAGTGCAAGATTGCATTTCGGAGTATGTCTGCAGTCAAATTGCTGTGAATCTCTGGCAGACTCAAACGGCAGGCTCAGAAACTGTTAGATTTCCTACGTCACAACTCCAAGCTCCACCCCTGGAGCCCTGATCTGCAGGTCAGACTCGGAGAAATAGAGGACAATCGCGGAAAAAGCGTGTGTGTTAGCAATTTGCAATGCTCGTAAGAAAGCTAATTATGATATTAGCGTTCATCATGCCATCAGATATTAGTGTCCGAGAGCTGAATCTACACCAGAAATGTTAGGCTGCAAGCTAGCATGAAGAGGAGTGTGCAGAACAGCGCTGTCTCTGTCAAATTGTTAATGAGCTACTGGAGCTCTGCAGAAGAAAAGCCCTTGAAAATAACACAGGTGAAGTGATTTTGGCTAAAAACTTCATAATCACAATTTAAAGACCACTGAGAACACTTGAAGTAGAAAAAAATGATTGGAGTGGAACTTAAAGAATGAATCTTTCCTTTTATATCAAGACAAAGAAAACAGACCTCCCCCATGTCTGTGGATGAAAGTAAGATCTTCACTTTTAGACAGTGGGGGGTCCAAACAGTAGCTGCCTGTACAGGTGAGCTAAAGGGGGAGGGGGCACACTAACACCCAGACTTTAGAGTCCACATCTCCTCCTACTACACCTGTTTGGCTCTTCACCATCTTCTTTTACTTTGTTCATTATTATAGCTTTGCATCAAATTTCTAATGTTACTTTACTAGTTCAAAACTTCTAGGCAATAACCTGAGTTTAGATCCCAGTACACCAGATCAGGTAACTTGTATCCATGGTGACAGGATTGATGTCTTTTGACCTCTCTGATGTTCATGGGTTTTAGGAAAAGTGCAGCTGAGAGACTTGAACCAAAGGTCATAAATCTTCCAGTGTTTACTGTTTGCTTGGCTGTGATCATTTTGAGTTAATTTAAGAACATTCAAAAATATTTAAGAGCTTACAGCAATTAACATGTGTAAATACAAAAACCTGAGGGGCAGGAGTCCAGGACTGAGAACTTACAAAATCTTTCTAAAAGAACACTGAAACAAAATGAGTGTTTATATTCTCTAAAGTGTCTCATTGGAAAATTTTAACTTTGAAGTGAAAAACATATTTTGCTGATGTGTAACATGATGACATTTGTCTTACCTCTATTTCGTAACTACTCATTCTTTCGTTTTAAGGAATGACTAACCACAAGGATTATCAGTTTGGCATGTTTCGATAGATTATTTTTACCAAATGCACATTCCAGAGAAACCTCTCACTTCCTGTTTTCTATCTGCGCCCTCACCTCCTGTTACTTCTTCAACAGGCTGCACATTTTCCACTGATTAGACCATTTCAATATGTAATGATGGA